GCCAGACGGTTGTTACTAGTAGTCGACGTAGAAGAGGAAGAGGCAGTGTTGGCACGACGGGAGGGCCCACGAAGCGAGTTGGCATCTGTAGCTTGACGTTTCGCCTGGCGCTGGAGCGCACCTTCGATAAGATCGAGTTGGCGTTTGTTACGAGATTCGTCGAGGACACGTACAGCGGCGACCCAAGATTTGAAGGTCTTGTCGTTACGAGTGTCGCTGTGTTTGACCTTTTCCTTGAGCTCATCGTCTAGGTGTGCTTCAAGGTGGTTCCGGAGAGCGGCATCGTCAAGGGCAGAGGGGGTGTTGCGAAGGAGACAGTTTAAGCTAAGAAGTTGCTGTGACCAATTCCAGAATGATTTACGTGAATTTGCGAGTGTAGACGTAAGGATTTCGTTCCGGATCTGGTCTTCCCAGTCATTCTGAAGATAGTTGAGACAAAGTTCTTTGATAAATTCGGCAAACGGAAGGGCGGAAATGCGTGCACGGTCGGCTGTGATCCAATCACGAATACGAATGTCCTTGATGCCAGGAAGGATGAGCGCGACCTGTTTCTCGGAAGGGACAGATTTGGCCACGAAGAAATCCTGGGCAGCATTTTCGAAGTCCATAGCTACTGCTGGAGTCAAATCTCCAGCGGTGAGGACAGGCGCTTTGCCGCTCGTGGGCTCGACAGTTGCAAGAGTGGACATTGAATTCGTAGGAGGATGTATGTGGTGGCTGTCGTCTGAGGAGTCCGATGAAAGTACAAAGGACAAAGGAGGGCTCGAGAGAGGGCTCGAGTGAGGATTCGTGTTTACAGAAAGTCGACGGTTGTTACGTGGATGCGAAGTAACCGTGAGTCCTTCAAGAATCGGTAGTTGTTGCGTTAAGGCAGAGGCGCGTGTAAAACGAGGGTTTTCCAGTGTTGGTACGCAGGCGGTCGGTGGCGTGGATACGCGGACAGTTGGCAAGGGCGATTTGGAATATATGCGCGTGTATGCGCCGGTAACGGTGAGGTGGTTGGAGAGGGCATATAGGTGCGTATATGCGCGTGTATGCGCAGTAACGGGTGAGGTTGACACGCGTTTGAACGCCAGTAAGGTCCAACTCGAGCGATGCCCTCGAGGATGGTGTCTACCCGTCAAGATAGATGTCAGAACCTACAACCGAGGTGTAATTTCAAAAAAAGTGGAAAACTATCCCCTGAAGGGGATAGAAAACACTAGGGATCGCTTAGGAACACTCACAGAAATTAACCGGGTGTATATTTCTGAGAGTAAACGAGAGGGGAATGTGTGGTATGGAAAAGGGAAGAAGGGGTGATGATGGTTCTGAAGAAGAAGCAAAAGCGTATGAGAAGGGAACTATCAAGCCGTCGATAAACAATCGCAAATATTTGTAATCCCAGGATTACAGTCTTTTGTAACCCCTTAAATACCCTTTAAAACGCACCCAAGAACGTACGATTTGGTAAAAAAACGAGAGAGATATGAATTAAAATGTAAATTACTTTTGGGAATAATAGATGTACCAGACTTATTTTATAGAAACACCAATTCCTAACGGAATTTGACGTTCTTGGGCTCGTTTTGAAGCTAATAGAGATGTTAATAAATTTACCGATTCACAAATTTAAAATATTGGCCTAAAGACCGGTCATAAACCGGTTAAAACCGATGCAGACCGAAACTAGTCTATAGACCGCAAAAAACCGCGGTCTGCGGTCTTTTTGCGGTCCGGTCTGGTCTTTTGACTTCTGGGGAAAAGGCAGACCAGTTACGGTTACGGTTAACGCCCCTGGGCATCAAAAACCGGACCGAACCGGACTTTCAAACACTAATTGTCAAACCTGGAACATTGGAGAAAGCAGGCCAAAGACTTCTCACCAAAATTTTAAAAGTGCACATTAGACTAAGATAGAAAGGAAGAATCACTGATCGGATGAGTGTGTCCACAGAAATATATGGATATGAGGCCTCCTGTTCTTCAAAGTTCATTAGAAAAAAAAGTCTCGCTTTTGCTGGTATTTTTATTTTTAGTATCTAAAAAACTTTAGAAGACTACCTACAAAACCCCAGCCGGGACTCGAACCCGGAACCTCCAGATTAAAGTGTGGGTTCAAACCCACAGTAGAAGTCTGACGTCATAACCATTAGACAACAAGGGCTTATTTGAATTTTGTTGTAAAGGAATTCACAATGAGAGGAGCTTACTGTCACACTTGTTTCTCCATGGATGCGACCTTGTAGTTGCTACAAACTCTTCACAACTTCCGCACCAGTCTTCTGAAATTCTTTGAATCTTGACCATTCTTTTTCCTCTGAAATCAACACTTCGTTTTACCAAACTATGAACACACGAACTCGCTTGTCGCAGATGCTCCGACTCGGTCCATTAGATCTCCAGAAAGTCCGCGAGATACTGGTTGGGACCGCTCCGGAATACATCTACTCTACTCTACTGGGCTTACCGACCGGCTTACTGCTTCAGATTTCTGCCACTGAGGTCACATGTCGACGTCGGACAAAGAGATACTTGTCGTCCACCGCCTTGACCAACAAAGACGCACCACCAAATTGTGGCATTGCCCTACTCGTATAAATTGGTACGATGTGTGTCTCTCTGTCATCTCATCTTTCCTTACAACCCCTGCTGTTGCCACTGCCTGTCCTCCCTCCCATAATAAATACTCGTCGGTATGCGTCACCTTTACCTACGGGAACCGCTCGCCGGAAACAGCGACTTCGGAGTCGGTCAAGTCTACAGTCAGGAGGTTATCAAGCAAATGCATGTGAGTACCGCGCTCCTTTTCATTGTATATCCCTTCAACGCTAACTTGGTTCCATTGCCTTAGCTTGAGATCTCAACGCGAATCACGATTTTGACCATCTTCATCACCCCCGGCCAAGTCATTTGCAAAAATCTGGCACGCCTTACGCAGGCCAAGGCGCGACAATACATCGCTTCAAATCTTCATTTAGGGCCTTTGGAAAACAGGAGTGTCGACAACGGGACAGCACTGTGGTGGGAGGAAGATGGTTTGGAAGTTGTTGAGCTAATGGGGCATGATCCTCTGTTCACGCATTTTCGATACGAACCCCCAAACGAGCTTTACGTGTTTGTTCAACATGTTAACTCGGTTCCAGATGCTCTTTCTGAATTTGTTTTCCTCGGACGTTTCTACCGAACAACCTCGGCCAACATTCAAGACCAGTCCCCCGTTGCCGCAATGTATCAGTCGAACATGGCTACATTGCCATACAAGTTACTTTGGGTTGGAATGCAAATTTTCCTCGCATTTCAGGTCATGCTGGCTCAAGAATCCGCTCCCGCCGTGCAGGCTCAAACATCCGTCGACACTACCGCCAGCAATGTTTCCGATGATGAAACTTCCAATGGAGAACCAGCTCATGCAGTTGCTGAGTTTGAGTTTGACACCGACGACTCCACTGTCATAGACGAGCCCCCTCTAAATGGGGGTGAGCTTTTTTCAAGCGACGGACAATTAGTCCGTAAAGCTGACTTTGCTTTAGACAACTCAGATGTCGATACATCCGACAGCGAAGATTCAGAAGATTATCTTGAGAGTGACATGGGTGAGCAAACCAACGATGAATAGTTATCGGCGCAGACTTGAACAACCCGGCTTGCAGACTCAGAAGATTGCTTTTTAAATCTCCTTGAGAATCCTACTAATGATTTTGTTACTGATGACGATAGGATTAAAGCGGTATATCGGGCTGCACACCGCTCGCTTTTCAGATAGCGAACTTAAGGTAGGTGATGCTGACCTTTGAATTGCAGCTCCGGATCCTCAGGCGCTAACGGTAAGTCTTTTAACATCCACCCCAGTAAATTTGATAGCTTTGGTTATTATACTACTTATTTTTTGTAATAAACGCTACCAAGATGTCGTTTTCACGAATATACATCTAGATGAAAAAAAGCTTTGCGTGTCGCGATCGCCACTTAATCTTTCTTTGCAGATATGTGTGGCATGAAAAAGGTTTGCGGGAGGCACGCTCCACTGCGCGACTGACGACATGCCCTGATCTCCGAAGACTAACTCGGCGAGTCCTGCAGGTTGCGGAATTGCTTCCCTGGCCTGTCAAGGACCGATTATTCCAAGACCAGATCACACCTTACAGGGTGAGAGTCTGTGGTAACCAAGTTTTCTGGAGGGGACAGTCTTGAACCAGCGCACTCGTGGAGTTAGCCGATGAAAGAAACCACCCGCATTCCCGGTTTAGGGCCATTACAGCCTGCACCATAACCAGTTGTAAAGACAACGTTACAAGTACTACACATCCACTACTTACCCCCCTTCCAGAGCATTGGGTTGGCGCTCAACTGGCCCTTCTTCAACTTTATCATGTTCTTCGTCGTTTATCCCCTGATAGAGGTATTTCGATACGCCCTAGCCCCCATCGCACCGTTCACCTGGTTCGGCCTTCCAATCAGCACCCTTGACCTCGTAGCCACCTTCCGGCTTTGCCTCGTTCTCCGCCAGATCAGAGAGATAAAGTATGCCCACCACATATCGACGAAGGGGTCCGAGGCCACTGAAGAGAAATCCTTCGTCAAGAGCGTCGCTACCACTCTTCTCGTGGTCTATGGAGGTGAAGCGATGACAGGTGCGTAGACGTTATCTACCAGCGCCCAACCTCGCTTGCGTAATTTAATAATGCTTTTTGCCCCGAAGCGTTTCTACTTGGCTTTCCGCCGTCTTTTATACTCTCTGGCACGGTCCCTGCGCTGTACATTGCCGTTCAGGCATTGGTTGACTACCTCCCCGCTGTACCAGCCCCTTCAGCACAGCTGGAGCTCCCCCTAGCAATCGTGGACGGCTTTACGCGTGCCTACCTTCTGTGCAACCTTATTCCCCCCACTGTTACGGCGAACACCTCACCCCTCATTGCTTCTTCTCCCTGGACACTGTTAATCACTTCGCTGGTACGTGACGTGACCCCATCTTGACTAGCCTAGCTGAACTTGCGAAGATCACAGCCAATGGAGGTTTCTTGCTGACGAACATGTACTCATTTCTCGATCCAACGCCGTTAGCCCTCCAAACACCACCAGAACTCCAGGCCTACGGATGGACAACCGCAGACTTGTGGTGTGCACCCCTCATTACAGGACTTTATGCCCTCCTTACGCATGCGCAACCATTCTGGGCCGACGCCCACACCCTCCTCGTTGGCCTCCTTGGAGGTGTTCAATTGGACAAAGGGATCGAGGCGGTCGACCCAGAGGTTGCGAGGGCTGTCTGCGCGCTGCTGCTTGGCACTCTCTTCGTTGGGAGGACGACAAAGAACTTCAATCTCTGGAAGAAACCTTTCCCCGTCATTGAGAAGGGTGGTGAACGAGGTACGATTCTTCTAATTATAACGTCCACTTTGTTGACCATCCTTGTTTTAAAGGCGAGAAAGCCAAGGCCCAGTAGGAGGCCACGAAGACCATAATGATCCCCTATGATACCTTAATACGTTCCATTAGAGTTTGAGTCCGTTTACGACACCGCTTTCAAGATACCTTCACGCTTTCATATGCAGATCTATCCGCTAACCTGTTTATCCCTTCCAATGTATTAACCTAGACGAATCATGGAGAATACCAACACCGTTCTTGTTCAAGGCATTGCATCGCGCATGTTTACCTATTCGTCGGTTGAGTTATTCGACTCTGTGAAGATAAAGGAGTCGGCGTTAGTCTCGTTTGTAGTAGCAGCACAAGGCGAGATGCAACGGCTAGGTTCTAGCTCTCGCCGAAGACGGCGAGATCATGGTATTTGTGTTATCGAGCCAGCGATGGGAGAGCATTTCCAAGTAAGGATTCGCTGGAACGACGACGGGTTTGAAGCTACGGACTGGGCTCATCGCGAGAGACCTGAGGGTATGGAAATGAAATCTGTTACTGGAGTTCGATCGACCTCGTTTTGCAGTTTCAAATTGGGCACCGGTGAACAGCGGTTTCGGATGTGCTGTCATCACGGCCAGGTTCACGAAGTAGTACTTGTTAAGCACCCTCGCGAGCTCGGACTTGACTCCAGAGATGCATACATGCGCATTTTCCGTCCAGCTTGATGGTACAGTTTGCATATAAACCGCGATCCGTCTAAAGTATCCGTTGGGCGTATACAAGAAAGGCGATAGTCTCCAAAAGTCAACAACATTCGGTGGATATGAATTCAAGTATACCTAGCTGTCCAGTTGTGAGGCCCAAGATCAGTATATTGGTCCGTCATAGTCAATCATGCGAGAGCTTTCACTGTCAAAAATTGGGAAAAGTCCCAAATCGCGCCGAAGCTAGATGATTCTTGACCAAACCAAGACAACCAGTTATCAAGATGCAGGCTAGGCTCGCCAGCTCCGGTCATTATTGAGAACTCGGGCAAGCTATAGAGCGAGCAAAGACCACTAAAGTTCCGAATGGCCACTCGGTTCTGTTCAAAGTGGTAAGGTTGTCCACAGAATGAGAACTTGAATTTGAAAGCCTCGAAGACCATCCGAGTCATGGTCATCACCTGATTTGATAGCATTTTCCCGGACCAAAACTTGGATCCTCCGGAACTTCAAGCGTGCTATGCTCCACGGCGTTTACTTCTAGACAGCAACGGACTGCGAAGGGACAGCAATTGCTATCAGCTATACCCCTTTACAACTCTCTACAATTCTCGCTCTTTGTGCCTATATAATGTGCTAGACTGGATTCGACAACGAGATTTTCACTCCAGGGCAACATTTACGACCTTCGCCGATATATTTTACTACCGAACCTTTGGAACACGCTGATAATATGGAGACCTCACCTGATTCGATGGCTGGCGTGCAAGGTTCGACGACGTTGAGGGCTTTGAGGGAGATTACCTATGGCAGCGTGCGTTTGCTTCGTGTTGACACGCGATGAACTCAAATAATCCTCTCATCCCTCTGTTGTGCACCCATGCAGATAGCGGGCATGATATCAAAGGTTTTTGAACACCCCTTTGATCTGACGAAAGTCCGATTGCAATCTCAAGTTCTTGACTCCACTGCCCGGTTCAATGGTCCCATTGATTGTTTGGTGAAGACATGGCAGAAGGAGGGCGTAAAAGGGTTATACCGCGTGCGTTTTTTTAATTACGCTACGTTCTCATTGCGCTAAAGAACGAACGGTTGCATTATTCAGGGACTTCCAGCACCAATTGTTGGTGCCATGGCCGAGAATGCTTCACTCTTTTTAGCCTACGGAGAATTCCAAAACCTTATTCGGCTAGTGACGCATCGACCGGTGCAAGAGGAGAAGCTAGCATTACACCACTTGGCGTTAGCTGCGGCTGGTGCTGGTGCCATCACAAGTTTTTTGCTGTCAGTATCCACCACTTCGTACTTTGATAACAAACCCAACCCAAGTCTACCACCAGAACCCCAATAGAGTTGGTGAAATGCAAGATGCAAGTCCAAATGTTGGTGACACCTACAAGCAGCACGCCCAAGCCCCTCCCGGGCCCCATATCCGTGCTCATGTCCGTCATTCGCACGACGGGCCTCCGAGGTCTCTGGCTAGGCCACACAGGGACGCTCATCCGCGAAACGGGTGGAACCGCAGCTTGGTTCGGCACTAAAGAATACGTCGCGTCGCTGCTCGTGGCTCACAGGACGCGCCACGCTTCCAGTTCGTCTGGAAAAACTGAGGCAACAGGTGCTGGTCTCCTGCCTTGGGAATCGGCCCTCTCAGGGGCCTGTGCGGGAGTTGCATTCAATCTTGCACTGTTCCCGGCGGATACGGTGAAGAGCGCCATGCAGACTGAGGAGGAGCTTAGGCCCCGCGTGCTAGGGGCGCCGCAAGTTCCCAAAGCCACCTTTGTGTCGACGTTCCGTGCAATGTACAGAGCGCAGGGGATCCCTGGGCTCTACGCAGGCTGCGGGATTACGGTTGCGAGGTCAATACCAAGCAGCGCACTCATTTTTTTGATTTATGACGAGTTAAAGAAATACTTTGGATAATGGGCACCAAATTTTAGATGTGTGCACATTGTTGAATGGTGAGGTGTTGCCCCTCACTTTCCTAGATCCAAGGTACTGGAGAGAACCCATGCAGATGGAAATGGGACGCGACGTTGAACTCGTTCACAGACGCAGTTGGTGTATTCAGTAGAATTTATGTTAGTGAAATGGCGTCCACAACTATGTAGAAATAGCTTGACGCGTTTCGCTCATATTGATGATGAGATGGTGTGACCCTGCTTTGGTTTATCCATGTCTTCAAACCCCAGAAAACCGTTCCACATCGTTTCCCTCCCATATCTCACCAAACTTGCACATGGATCAGCTCCCTTCCTTGCCACTTTTCTCCTGATCCATCTCGCCGCGCCCGCTGTGGCCAACCTCGGGGGCTCGTCGCTATCCTCACAAACCATGGTTAGACGCGCTTAGTTTCTACCGTCATAAATCACACACCAATAACAATAGGCCGTCTCATAGCTTCTAGGAAGGGAATATTACCAAACAAGCTTTGGGGAGAATTTCCTCCTCCTGAGTCCGCTGGTAGTGCACTCTATGTCAGGAATCGCCAAACGTCTGCTCTCCCCAAAGGACCAGCCTCCGCGCCCTGCATCCAGCTTGTTGAGCATATCGGGATACGCTACCCTCTTTCTCTTCCTCCCTATACATTACATGACGCACCGCGTGAACCCTACTTCGGACGTCCCACCCATTTTTGCCGTCGGACCCTCAGAGCTCGACTATGAGTATGTCAAAATGGGACTACACACTTGGCCTTGGAGGAGTTGGCTTCTATACGGAGGCCTAGTGGGCTCCGCTACGCTCCACCTCGCCGATGGGATGGCGGTCATCTGGAATACTTACTTGAAACGTAAATTGGCAAGCAGTTCACGGAAAACAAGACTCGCAGTGAGCTTGGGTGTTATCGCGTTGCCCGTCATGATGGGTATTTACGCTTTGTCCCAAGAACCAATGATGATATTCGCGTCGACTATGGAAAGGTACAAAGCGTCGTTCATGTCATCCACGGTATATCAAATCTAGAAAGTATATACATGATCGTGATGATTCCATTTCATTAAACTGCGTTATTCATGGATCAAACTCGCCAGAGCTTTGATGTTATTTCGTTCCACGTGAACGCATGCTCATCGTTCTCATCGTTGGGACTGTCAAAAGAAAATTAGCCAGTCTTAGCATCGAGTCTAAACAATGGCCCTTACACATTATGAGACCCTTTATTTCGCCAACCTTCATGTGCTCTACCGATTTGCGAAGCAATACGACACGGAGTGATGCCCAAACCAGAAGGAGACAACCAAAGGCCGCCGGAATAAGCCAATAGAGGGGTGAAAGATGCACGGAACCCCCGAAGACAACGTGAAGAGGGGGTGTGTAGATGATGAACATGCCCAGGCACGCTCCGCTAAGGATGCCTATGAAATTCCACTTGTTCCCAACAACCCGCTTGCCGAATGGGTATGAAAGTCTGGCTTTGACGGCAAACACCTGTAAGAGTACAGTTAAAATGATGTTCAGATGTGAAATGAGGTCGACGTACATTGAAGCACTGGACAATGAAGATAGATAGGTAGACTGCATCGTTTGATGAATAACGTTGCAGTAAGTCGAAGAGAAAAGGCTTACCGATCGACTGTGCCTGAGCTAGGGCATCAACTTGCTGATGTGCGTCGAGAACACGTCCTCGGCTATTGACAAAGTCCGGGCTGCTCTTCAGGAAATAGTCTGCCACCCAGTGTATGTCAGTAAGCGACATGGTCAGGAAAGAGGGAGACAAGTTGACTAACGGCCATCCTTCTGCGCCCGGCGAAGGTCGCCAGGAGCGAAACCAGCCTTGTAGAAAACAACGAAGTATGCAACCAAGCTGTTGATGTCGTGAGCTGTAGGGTTTACAAAACCATTGTTAATCGCCACTCACCAAGCCAACGTCTCAATTATTCCAGCCTCAAGGTAAGCATAGCTGAGAAGGAGCCCGTCTACCAAACTTTCATTGTCCGTAGGTTCCAGAACGTCCTCCCAGAATGTCCTCCTGAAGGGTGTCTTCAACTTGTATATCCATTGAGAAATGCGACTTGGTCGGATGACTTCCTGAGTCTCGGTGTCTCGAGCAAGGGTCCTTGAGCGCCTTAGTGCCCTTTTCTTGAGAGAGTGAATCGAACGCTCGTTGACTGGTTTACGGGGTTTCATCCGCATTAATCCATCGATGGTTTCCGGCTGGTCCCAAGCAAAGGAAAGAGCTACCAAAAGTTCGAATCCGAGATCAATGACCAAGATAAGTATAGCGGACAGGGGTAGAGGAAGCGGGACGACAACATCTGTCCTGTCTGTGAATATTGGCGAGTAGAGCAAAGGTTATGCCACCTACAAAGCAGCTGAGGAATTACTTCAGGTGTACTGTGGGAAATCGTGTACCTAATTTGATTGGGGGTAAATCATCGGACTAGCAGTAGCTCAATTGGAAGCACGTACTGGATCGACCGTTTCAAGTTGACAAAGATCTGGCGACCTTCAGCAACACCCTCTGTATCAAAATTAGTCGTATGTTCATGAACCTAAGAGAAAATCAGCTACGTACTGACAGTCGACGCAAAGTTATCATCTACAGAAATAGAGCATTAGACGTGCTTTAAACATGTCCAGCGAATGGGCATACCTAGAAGGATCATATTTGCGGCTTCCTTTGATACATCTGAACCAGAGATATTCATAGCAATTCCCAGATCAGCCTTCTTCAACGCCGGAGAGTCATTAACACCATCGCCCGTTCTACGTCAAGTCAGGATCATGACTGGAGTGCAAGATGAACCGGAACTTACACGCCAACGATATGGCCGAGAGCTTGGGCTCGCTTGACTAACGTCTAGGTGTTAGTAAAAATCAAGAATTGTTCTTATAGAGCTACTCACCAATCTCAAGTTTATGCTTTGGCGAGGTCCTGGCGAAAACAATCTCATCCTTGCTGAAAACTGAGAGCTACCGTTAGAATCCACCCAGTGCAAAAAACAAACAAACAATAAAACGTACTCTGATCCCATTGCCAACCCTCCAGAGCATCGATGTCGTCACCATGTACAACTACAGCGCTCACTTCATCCTCGTAGACTTCCTCGACAGGTCTTCCCGTTCTGGCGGCAAGGGTCTCTCGAGTATCGCCCAAGATAAGATTAATCTTTCGGGCGATGGCTTCGGCAGTCTTCGGGTGGTCACCTAAAAGGTACAAGTTAGGTCTGGACATTACAAAGTAGATGGGCTTACGAACCGGTAACCATCATTACCTTGATACCAGCCAAACGAAGGGTGCCAATAGCTTCGCGAACACCATGTTTCGGAGGATCTTCCAATGAGACAAGGCCAACGAAGGAGTAGTCAGCGCTAAGGGATTCATCGGTATTCGTGAAGGCGTAATCGGCTGGGTATTTATCAGCGGGAAGTAGGCGTTGTGCGCATGCAATGACTCGATGACCCCGAGAAGCCATGTACTATATACTGTGTGAGTGATTCATTGAATAAAGTAAGCGAAAGCTGCAAACATTGTAAGCTTCGTCGTATTCTTGCTTGAAATCATCCGTGATCGGTTGCGTCGTTCCGTCCTTGAGATAGGTCGAACATTTCGCCAAGACACGCTCGGGAGCACCTTTGATATAAGCAGTCAGAGGACCATTTGCATGTGGCTTGTTGACCTGGAAAAGTCAAATTACAGATAAATAGCGTCCATACTGAACATGGGAGCTCAACTTACGATGACCAAAGCCCATTTGTTGGTAGAGTTGAACGGTACTGATGCAAAGTTTAAGCGTTCACTCGGCAGAGATATGGAAGATTCCTAACTTTCAAACACCTTCGAATTTTTATGGACGTACGCATCATAATCAGCCTTTACTTGGCGCCCAGCAAAGCGAGTTAGCCCTGTTTCCGTTGCATCGCCGAGGATCGTTCGTTCATCGAAGGGAATGTCAGTCCTGTCAAATTTAACGCGAGAGTTGAGAGCGGCGATGTCCACCATTTCCGACATGCCAGGGGCGTCCAATGAGAAGTTCTCGGTGCTGTCTTCATCATTATTAGACTGGTTCGGGCGGTGATTAATGGATGTCTATCAGGTTTTAGAATGTTATATACCTGATACGCGCTGAACATCCTTTGACCACTCCAAAGGTTTGTTACCTGAAGCAAAGATGAGAAACGATACCATCATCGAATACAAACGACGTACTGTCATTTGATTGCGCGTCAAAGTTCCCGTCTTATCCGTGGCCAAGAGAGTAAGCTGAAGGAATGATTATCAGTATTTTGCTAGAAACGGGCAGAATAGTCTCACCGAGCCTAGTGTTTCAACACCCTGCAAATCCTTGACAAGCACATTCTGGGCAGCCATACGTTTGGCGGCGATGGAGAGTAGAAGTGTAACAACTGAAGGGAGACCTTCAGGCACGAACGCGACCAAGATGGAAACAGCGAAGGTGACAGTCAAAGCGGCCTGTCCCTTGTAGGCGGTGGTGATACCAACAGCAAAAAAGACGATGGCAAAGGCGATCGCGATGCAGGACACATAGACAACAAATTGACCACTAAGAAATCATGTTAGAACACCAAGGTGAACGATTCCAACGGACGTACATTTCACGGGCGAGCGGGCTCTCATTACCACTTTCTCCTCCGGTCAAACTTGCTATTTGTCCAATGAACGTGTGATCTCCGGTCCTAGCAACGACTAAAAAGACACTTGAGCTCCTGTTCAATTGTTGAACACTTTCCTAAAACGCACCTCCCCACCCTTCGCCATTGACAGTCAGCGTAGAATTGAAAACCTGTAAAATGTTGATCACGACGCCAGAAAATAGCTCAAGCAAGGTGCTTACCAGATTCTCTGCTTCCACAGGTCTTTGCTTCGAACCGTTTGGCAAAGGGATCCTCGCCTGGGGCTCTGATTCTCCAGTCAAACTACTGTTATCCACCTTGAGCTCCGTGGCAGAGAATAGAATGAGGTCGGCTGGCGTTTTATCTCCACTCCGCTATTTCCAGCTTTTGAGTACGCTACTTCGAGAGGAAAAGATAGCACTCACCAAAAGAACTACGTCTCCTTTGACTAGTTCTGCAGCGGGTATCGTAGAGATGGTGCCGTCGCGTACAACACGACAGGCTGGGGGTATCATCGCCAAGAAGGATGCAAGAATGGCTTCAGACTTTTGGATCTGATAAAAGTCGATCGATGCGTTTATGAATGCGACCAAAATCAGGATGCCACCAAGGTAAGTGTTTTGAAAGTTGTCCTGATTTGGGTTTTGTTAGCAGAAGTTGCAAGATGTCAGGTAAGTAGTGGTTACTTTGAAGTCAATGCCCAAGAGCACGTATTCAAGGACACCAGCGACCATAAGAAGGATATTGAACATCGTGAAAAGCCTATCAAGAAACTATGTGCTGCTCAGTAAAGGTCATTGTGAGACGGGAATGAAGTACCTTTCGCAATGCGCTTTTCTTTTTCGGGGGAGTCAAAATGTTCGGACCATCCTTCGCCAATCGAGCCTTAGCTTCATCCGAAGCGAGGCCAAAGGAACGCCCAGGATCTTTAGCGTCAAACGAAGTCTTAAACGCGTCTGTAACGCCAGCAAAATCCAGCTGGTGTTCATGGATATCTGCGTTCTCGAGGGATGAGGCTGGCGACTGCTTTTGATCTTTTTGTTTCACATCAAGATGCTCGTAACCGGCTGCTGCGAGTTCCCTGTCTTCTTGGGTGATCGATCGCTTCATCTCCACTCCTTTTGGACGAGCGGTATGTTTTTCGTCGTGGACGTCGTCTGGGAAAGCCACAACGCGACTGGCAGGGTTTTCCTCATCATGGTGTGGGACTATGTTGCCAGGAGAGGAAGGGGTGGGCGCGTTGTTGCCCTCCATGATGAGCGACAGTGACAGTCAGGAAGGGAATGGGCGAGCAAAAAGGCAGATGTATATAGGGGATAAGCGCTCCAGGCAACGACATGTCGCAATTTGTTGACCGGGGATAGATGGTGGGCTGGCTTGGGCCTTGGATCTGGTTTGGATCTGGTTCAGTGGTGGTTTGATTGGTCGGTTGTTGGTCGGTTGAAAGTGGCGTCCCTTCTCAACAAACGCTACCAAATCCAAGCCAGCGAACGGCCAAAAACCCTCAGCAGTGCCCAGCCAAAGTTCGTGTCTATTTTTGGATCTTCCATTTGTCCGATTAAGTTTAGTCCAGGGCTGCATGGTCTTCGGTGCGCTCCGTGATATGACACTGCGCGACCATAACTGACGATGATCAAGATGGTCGAGCTCCTGATTTTTTCCTGAAGCGAAAGGGTGCGTCACTCCTGTCTCAAGGGCATGCTACCACAATTGGGAAATCGTAACATAGTCTTCAAAGACGAAGCCTATGTTTGGCACAATCGATATCAAAAAATCAATAAGTACTGGAGTCGGACGAATCAAAACACGTTCGTGAAAAAGAAGAGCAGTTTGCGGACAGATCCTCACGTCGTGGAGTTCGAATTGGTTGGCCCCTCAAATGTTCGGAAGTAGAAAAGGTCAGCCATCTGTCGAGAGAGGTTAGCAGGATGTTGGCAGGATGTATTAAATCAGAATACAATCACCTACGGAACTCCGGATCGACGCACTGCTTTTTTTTTACCAAGTCGACCGTCGGAAAGCTCGTCTTGTCGTGATTTCACGATACTTATTTTTGGGGAATATCTTGCGCAACCGAGTCCCACAATCGTCGGCTTTTTTCTCGGGGTGATTGTTGCTTGACAGCTGAACTAGATAGAACGAGAAGCAAACGAGAAGTCAGCTGCTAATCGCGGTATCGACAGCTGAATCGATGAGGTGTTGTCGACCGGAACGTGACAAGCCCCGTGGTCTCGAACGACGGCGCACAGGCGGTGTATGTCCGCCTATGTCCGCTTGGTCTCCAAGGAAAGAAAAGCTGGAAAGGGCCTGCATGGAAAGAGTCGGACAGGTGCGAGTTTGTAGATAAGAACGCTATTGACGTGCTCGTGATGTATACACTATGACGTATTGTGCATTTACGCTTCAACTTTGACGAAGTCCAACGATCTTGCGGCTGTATACTTCGTTCAACTTGAAGCCTGAATGTAACATCACCGTCAGTGAGTCGCAAGACCTTCGCGCATACATATCAGTCCCGTCGATAGATTCAGCAGCTGAGTCTACCGTAATAACGGAATATATGTGCGCCAACAAATATTGGAATGACATATCCATTCTACTAAATGAGTGGCATGGTAGGCAAGAGTGAGGTGTGGTTTACATTGAAGTTGATCTATATTCAACTGGTTGAGGACTGCTGAGTGCGCAAAGTTAATTTGTCCCTCAGATCTTGAATCCCAGGCCGCGCATACAGGCAAGATGGGCCTGGACCTGCTCCTTGCACTTCTCGTTCGCTTCGGTCGTGTCAAATCGGAGGAAGCAATCGTCCCTTGCAGACTTTGTCTGTGGACAAGCGCAGCATCTAATACGATTGTCAAAGCCGCAAAAACGCAGTTGAAATACATGGCGTACGGTTTTAATCCTTTTGGGTTCAAAGGGTTCATCTTCGGGTTGGTCGGGTCATATGGGCACGTCTCTGCCACTGGCGAGGACGGTGACCACCAAGAAGTTATCTAGAGGTCTGAAATAGTGTCTGAGCAAAGCAAATCAATGTTTTTCACCAGTACCTTTTCAAACATTGGTGCAGGAGCCAGAGGAACTTGGTGCGTCGATGTGGTTGCAGAGGATGAATAATTTATTTTTATTACGCCCGATTTGGGCAAGCACGCATAGGAGCCGAACACCAAACACATATGTCTCCCCTTGTTTCCCCCCAACCACTTCCAGCCAAAGAGTCGAAGCGAATTCCAGGATTGAAAAGAGCTTCTAACTTGTTGCCCATGCTCTTGATATAAGATCTGGTCCAGAAGCGTGAAGACTTTCGCCCCCAACATGCCAACCTCTGGCGTGAATAGGTTTCTCTACGCTCTCCTTTTCGCAGTTTTCGTTCGCGCCCAGACTTGCGACAACTATGGCCTTCCATCTGGGTCCAACTGCTCGTGTCCAACGGGATTTGGTGGTTCTACCTGTGCGCAGCCCGGCTGTGGTGGAACCATCTTCCAAGGCTCCTCACGGCCGCTAACGACCCTCACTGGCTCCTTTGCAAACATGACCGCAGCGGGATGTTCGTGCGAGACTGGATGGACGGGTACAGGGTGCAATGTGTGTCAAACGGCGAATGCCTGCCAGTCCGCGTTTTCGGCCTCCGGGAATGTTTCTACAGACCCCGCTTCTGTGGTCGCGGGACAATCCGTGCAGAATAATAATACCTTGGTGTGCAATACCGCTGCTCGGGTATGGGCCGCAGGACAGATGAGTTGTCAGGTCAATGTACGTGGTCTAGCATGACATTCGCGCTGTGAAGTGAACTTAGTTCCGAAATTTAGAATCCAACCCTGCAAGCAATCTATCCACGTTCCTCGACCTTGAATATCATGCGTTCCCTTCAGCCTTCCCTAACACCCATCCCCAACGCAACTGCATTCGGCCCGGCAGGTTCTGTTATAGCTCAACTGTTTTACGACGGCGTTGAGCAGTTTTACTGCCAGGCGGACAATTGTACGCAAAGTCTGGGTGCTTCAGGTTCCGGCACGGCCGATTGGGAATGTCAGAACCTTCGCTGCACGTGCCGGAAGGGCACCACCTTCTGCGGAGCAGTTCCCTCTACCAATCTGACAGCGACCATCGATACGCTTGGGGGAACACTAGGGATTAAATGCGAGGCGGTTGACCCCACGTCGAATATGGCAACGTGCAACTTTGTGCAAAGTGTTCTTCAGGGTCTCTTTGGCGAATCTGGGCTCACGTTGAATGGATGTAGTTTCGGCGAATGTGTCGCACAAAGTGTCGTTGACAGTGGTGGAAACTTGACTCATACTTCCTCTTCAAGCCAGACAGGAAAATCTCTGAGTGGAGGTGTCATTGCGGGTTTGGCAGTCGTAGGTGCCCTTGTCTCTGCAGCACTCCTGTTGCTCGCCCTTGGATTCCGGACACAAAGAGCCGCTCGAAGAAATGGTCTTGGTGACGTTCGAGGGGCAAGAGTTTCGGTTCATTGGTCCAATCTCAGTTACATCATACCAGGTGCTAGTAGGCAGAATGCTTGGATTGGAAAGGCGCGAAACATTCGAGATGGGTCGACTGCAGTCAACGACGATCAAGTCATTTTGGACTCCGTTACTGGGCGAGTACAGCCTGGCCAGATGATGGCTATACTAGGTCCTAGTGGTAACTGCATTGCAATCTGCTTGGTCGTTGCAATACTCATTGATCTTAGGTGCGGGAAAAACATCTCTTGTTGAGATCCTCGCGGGAAAGAACAAGTTTGGTATCGTCACGGGAACTGTTGACTTTCCATTTGAGACTGCTGGAGATCGGACCTCGCCTCGCATTGGCTTTGTACCCCAGCAGGATATTCTTCCGGCGACTCTGACCGTTGCTGAAGCCCTCTTATTTGCTGCGCGTTTGCGTTTGCCCGAGAGCGTTCCGGACGTCGAGAAGCAACAGCGGGTCGACGAGTTGTTGGAAAAACTTGGCATTGAATCGATCAAGCACACCAGAATTGGGGATACCACTGGAGGAAAAGCTAGGGGAATCAGTGGTGGTGAAATGAGAAGGGTCAGCATTGGATTGGAGCTCATTGCAAGTCCTGATGTTCTCTTGTTGGATGAACCAACATCAGGTTTGTCCTATTCTTCTCGTCGAGTTATGATTTAAAGCCAACACAATGGTTTCTAGGACTTGATTCAGTCTCAGCGGCTAGGATCGCCGATGTACTGTATGCTATTGCTCATGACCCCGAACATCCTACGCCTATCATTGCGTCCATACACCAGCCGAGGTTTGTTTTCGATCCTTCGTCATACAACAGTTGATAATGAATTATTTTTAGCTCTCAATTATACCAAAAGTTTGATTTAATTCTCCTTCTCGCTCACGGACGGGCACTCTATTCCGGCTCTGGTGGATTTGACCCCGCGGAGTATTTCTCTCAAGTGGCCCCCGGCGTAGTGCCACCCTATCAACAAGGGTACAACGTCGCTGAATATCTGCTCGAAGTGGCAAATGACCCTCCAGTCAACTTGTTCCAGCTTAGCCACTCCCGTGCAGAAATTAACCAAGTTGGAACCAGAAATCAAACGCCTGATCATGGCTCGGAGAAACAGCTTGTTCACCCTCATACCGACCCAGCTCTTGATGAGAAAACCACCACACAAGCACACGATTCGACCCGAAACAAACGTTCTGGTTACGCGACAACATTCTTGACACAACTACAATACCTTTGCGGCCGAGAGTGGAAGATCTTGAAGAGAGACAAGTCACTTTTCCTCACGCACGTCGTCGTGGCCTCTTTGCTCGGCGTCTTCTGTGGTAAGGTTGACTTGACTTGGGAACTGTCATGGATCTTACAAACATATAGGGGGTCTCTATTTTAACACAGGTATCACCATCGCTGGGTTCCAGTCTCGTGTTGGGTGTCTGTTTTTCCTTGTGAGTTGTCAACAACTCATTCAATCAGTCTCCGATTGATAGGCCGTCTAGGGTTCTCTCATTTCCTTCTCGTCCCTCAGTGCATTGTACAACATAGTTGAAATTCGACCACTTTTCCTCCGTGAACGATCAAGTTCATATTACAGGTATTCGTCTCTCCAACACTACTTCTCCTTTTATCTCAACGTCCAATATTACAGCCCAACGGCATGGTTGCTCTCTCGCTTTTTCTTTGACATGATACCCCTCAGACTGATACCTACAATCATTGTTTCCACCATGTGCGTTGCAACAGCAATTTTTTCAAACTAAGAAAGTTGACCTTTATCATAGTACTTACTGGATGGCGGGCCTCGCGCACGACGCCGCTCACTTCTTTAAATTCCTCTTTATACTAATCCTATACAGCTTAACGATGACGTTGTTTGTAAGTCCTCCGCTTCACACAATTTTCCCACATTCCAACGCTCAACTGGCCCCAGAATTTCCTCTTGGGGACTCTTTTCCAGAATGGAGGCATTGCGATCCTTCTCTCCGCTCTCTCTGCTCTCTATCAAATGACTTTTGCTGGCTTTTTCGTGCACCTCAACGACATACCCGCCGTTCTTCGTTGGCTGCAGTGGATTTGTCCCTTAAAATATACCCTCGAGGCTTTATCAGTGAACGAGGTCAACTCTGGATTGATGATCGTCGATACCCTACAGGGTGTGCCCGTTAGCATATCGGCAAGTCTAATTATGAATTTGGTATGTCCCCAACGTTTCTTTAGTGGATTGAGTCCTGACTGTCATACAGCTTTTCGGATTTGGGTCGAACAACTATTATCGGGATGTTCTCATTCTTTTTGGTTTTATTGCGGGATTCGCCGTGGGGGTTGTTGGGATTGTGTGGTTCAAGGTTAGGGAACGGCGGTGATTTCGTGATACTGGGTTTTGCTACATATATCCTATTCACCTGTAACATGTATTCAAATTTTTTTAACCTTGGTACATACATACATACATTGGTATCTGGACGAAATGTGCCATGATTAGTGTGGCTTCATTAGCCTCGTCCTTTTCGATTTCAGATGAAAAGCGATGGGATGGAAATACCCTAGAAGATGTCAGTTTGTCAAAAAACGGTTACATAACGTACATGTTCCTTTTCGACGCGTTTTCATTTTTCAGGTCCTCTATTACATAAGTTACTGCCACTATATAATCCTAGACTTGACCAAGACTTAACTATCCCTATCTACATCTTGGCCCATGAGTGAAAGGCGTTCGAAGCGCTTGAAGGCACAGTCGCGCATTGTTAACACTGGAGAGGTTAGCGACAATGACAGTGACCAATGGTCTGCCAGTGAAGATCAGCCACGGAAGAAAATCTCAGCCAACCCCCGAAAGCGCAAGTTGGATAATGGCAAGTCTAGCAAATCCATGGCCGAAGCTTTCAGGAAGGTACGGGGGAAACGGGGGGCATTGAAGCACCTTACCGAGGCGCCTCTTGACGTGCTTTTTGAAGTGAGCGATGCATTGAATTGAATTTATTGACGTGTTCTCATCCCCCTATGAAGATATTTGGGAAGCTCAACCCCATCGACCTCTTGTATCTTGCGAGGACCACCAAAGCCCTACGAAATATTTTGATGAGGACTTCTGCGAGATTCATATGGAAACAGGCCCTTGCCAACATCAAAGGGCTACCTGACTGCCCCACAGACCTGAACGAGCCTCAATACACCAACCTCGTTTTTGGGAAGAATTGTTACGTACGTGATGTTCACTTCTTTTTTAAATGTGACTACAATTCCAACTGACGGTTCTGTGCAGTTCTGTCAACGGACCAGCGTCCCAGTGACGACAGTCTGGACTGCTCGATTAAAATCCTGCTCTCGGTGTCTCAATGAACAGTCGGTTTTAATTTCTTCTTTTGCGGGCTTAGCATTCATATAAATATTATTGAAAGCTTCACAGAGTATCTGCCAGACTTGTCCATTCCAATACAAATCATTTATCTTATCCCTGACGTGACAATCACGCGATCAGCTGGTGCCGTTGATTCATTCCTTGTATCACTTGAAAGTTGACCTAATTTCTTCCATTTCCCAGGCAGAGGTCGAGTGAGGTCTGTGAGCCTTCGATATAGCGCGCTTGGCAAGCTTTGGGAAGAAGAATATGGTGCTGAAGATGTCGTCGGCAAGAAACTATGGGCTATAACGAAACGAGCGGAGTATACTCCTTTGAATCAGGTAAGTTTTTGTTTCAAATCCTCGAATAATGTATGAACGTGCAAGATAGCATGCCAGGCTTTGTGAAGTGTGGCAGAGTGACCTGGAGCGGGAGCGGGAGCAGGAGGCGGAGAGAGCTCGTACGGAGAGAAAGGAAATGTAAGGCAGTTGACGCTATTTTCTCGTTTCACCGCTGAAATCCAAAGAAGTGCTCTCGAAAAACTCAAGGAGCTAGGTTGGGCTGAAGAGATACAGAAGATCTCGATCGACTATTATCTCTCGCGATCTTTCGATCAGCATCTAGCTGTCGCGCAGAACCAAAAAAAGGGTTTAACTGACGAGAGTAAGACACTTTTTCTTCATTGAAGGTGGTGCCAACTGACGTATCAAGCCTGGCTATCTATCCGACGGCCTATTATCAGCTTTTTGGAAGAAACGAAGAGTCAGCGTTTAGAAGCTGAACGAAAGGCTGAACGCAAGAGAATGTATGCTATCTTCATTTCAATATTGATGTTTTTCGAGAGACCATCATCTTTTACCAGTGCCTTGGATAAGCTGAGGGCCATGGGATGGGGAGAGGAAATGGACAAGCTCCGTAGTTATGAGCTGAGTGATCGCCTTCGAGTTATTGAAAACCACGAGGGTGTCCTTACGGATGAAGGTGGGCGCTTCGTGGTATATGCCCACTCTGGCTAACATTCTCACCGTATAGTTTGGGACAATATCAAGGTACCCATCGTGGCATTTTTGGAGTCTGCAAAGGCATCTCGCCTGGCAAATGAACGACGGGAAATGTTGCAACGTCGGCGGTCGATCGTCACTGACATTCATAAAACCTTTTTGTCTTCAAGTCCGGTCAACGCCATTATCGCTCCTCTAGAGTATGTTATCGAGCACGAAGAATTCCGAAGAATAATACACGACACTCCTATCAGCGAGTGGCTGACTCCTGCTAGTTTTACGGATGCGGCCACGAAATTTCCCCAGATTTCTCTGCAATGGGAGAAGGAGATGCAACAAAACCTCATAGCTATGCTAAATCGGAGCCCAGTTTTTGACAAAGAAAATCACGATGAATCTGATCTAAATCTCGCAGCCAGCGTTTTCAGATGCTCCAGTTGTGGTTGTGGCATCCTTCATTATCCCAGAATCCTGATGCATCGTTGTGGATTCAAAAATATATCGTTTCGTCCAGAAGCTTCAAAAATTGCCATTGAAGTGCTCAAACTATGTGGATATGACCCAATGACGACGAAAATTCTGGATGTGCCCGAAGGTCGCATCATCGTTGAATGCAAAACCTGTTCGTCCAGACACCAAGGGGGGGCAATGATGACCTTCTTGGCAGCGGTGAGTAGTATTTCCTTTTTTTTTTTTTCACGACAGACCAATATCTTTTTAGATCAAACATGGGGTACCTGAGGTACCTAGGTATTCTTACTATTCGTCCACTTCGGCCACTGGTAGCAATTGCACCAAAGGCGGGAAAATGGATTTACGACTACCGGATAATGAAACTTGCTGTAAGGCACGTGAACGGATGGCGGAAGAAAATGCTCGTAGTAGGGCCAAAGAAGATTACTTTGGTCTTACCTGTGCTCACTGTAAAAACCCTGGGAACTCCGTGTCGCTTGAGGACCATGTAAAACTCAGGTAGGCGATCGTTGATGGTAATTATAAATGCTAACGAAACATTTTTGAATCAGGCACAATAAAACAGAAGTGGTTAGCGAAGATATAATCCCCCTCCTTGATTTGGATCACATCTGGGATATATACTGGTTGTGGCTACCGCCACCACCGTCCTCTTAGATTCTGATTGGTTTATTGTAACCAGTCTTAATTTTTGACCTTGTGAATACAACATAAGAGTACATATTATCATCGGGTTGTCGCTTCGAATCATACTTACGATCCGCATGAGAGCTTGGCAGTAGAATTCTGCTGGAACGTCGAGGACGGCATAGAACCATTTTTGCAATGTGCGAGAGAGGACTGAAGGCCATCTGGGTGAGATGTTCGCGTATGAACACGTCTTTTCCGTTCTGGTGGTGACCTGGGGACTTTTTACAACTTGAAAGAGAACACAAGCTGTGCTGGAGGTGCATAAGTTACGGCGATAGGAGTCGACGAATAAAATTTTGCTACGTTTGCGAAGCACGAGGTCGAAAGGGAGGCAGTTTGAGTGGAAGGAGGTGTGCGGGTGGTGTGAGGCGAAGACGCGAGAAACATATGTGTTTGAGCACCGAAACCCCTCCCAAAATTAAGGGCTGGGTGGATTTGATTATCAGCGAGAGGCGAGTCACAGGTTGTTAGTTCAAAGTTCTACGGGAGTAGGAGAGCCCAGACATGACCACGCCCGCTTTGCATTCTCAAGCCGGTCTCAGTACGCGAAATGGCCCATTACTGTAGATTGGGTTGAGCTTTGTCCCGATCATGAAATGCGTTGCTTACTTACAACATTGGAATCCCATGCGGATCCTTCACTGTGCCAGCAGCTTTCCGCTCTTTTAACCAGATCAGCAGTAATCGCAGACCTAGAAAGCCTCAATTATATGCAGGCTTCCACGATCAAGACCTCTGCGCCAGCCACACAATATATTGCAAAGTGTCCGTATGATGGAGTCCCAAAAACCTTTCCCAACGTCCTTTTGAATGTAATTTCGTCACGGTTGGTCGACGCTTGAGAGATACTCTAGAGGAGGTGGTTCATCATCGATTTGAAAGTGCGAAATGCTCGAGTCTGTCCGATCCGACGAGGGCACATCGGAGTATGTCCACGAGAAGGGTAGGTTTCTCTACGCCTCCAAGCGATGGATGCTACTTTGCCGCGCGCTTGAAACGCCGGATTAAACGTTGCTTTGTCTGCAGGAGGTCGGTAAAGGAATCCAGCGAGGAGTCGCGTTTGTCACAAGTCACGCGTCTGACTCAAAGCGGGTTCTATGTGTGACGGTGACAAGCTAATTTAAGTACAATGTGAGGTTCACCTGACATGACTCTTACGCCGCACATCATGACCGAAGACTCAACCCCTGGGCGACGTTCCAGTCGCTTGACAGCCAGAGCTATGTCTTCTGTTCCTGTCCCAGGTGGGTCAGATGAAATGGACGTTGACTCTCAAGACGTGGCTTACCCTGAGTCTGACGATGAACTTCCTGCCAAAACACTCAAGCCTACTCAGTCCCGAAAGCGCAAAATCCCTGTTGATGAATCGTTTAACCCAAAGGCGGACGAACATCGAGCGAAGAAAGTGCGAGGGAAACGAGGTCTTTTGAGACAACTCACGGAGATGCCACTGGACATTCTCTTCGAGGTAAGTCATCATGTACCCCGGATGTCTGACTCACATAATGATTCCTGAAGATTTTCGGGCAATTGAACCCCCTCGACGTGTTGAACCTCGCTCGCACTACGAAAGCCTTGCGTGGGATTCTCATGCAACGCTCTGCTGTCTCTGTCTGGAAGCAGGCGTGCGCCAACATATCAGGATTTCCGCCATGCCCGGAGGACCTGACAGAACCTCAGTTTATCAATCTCGCTTTCGGAAAGCAATGCCACGTAAGGGTTTCATATTCACGATACAAGTTACTCATTACTTTGCAGTTCTGCTTGAGCAGCACTGGCACTCAGGTTATCTCATGGGAAGAGCGAGTTAGAACGTGTCTCAAGTGCATCGATAAACAGTAGGACATTTTTCTTTTCAAGAACTCGTTGGCTAAAATCAGGGAAGTTTCACCAGTAGTAATCACGGATATGTGTATATTCATGGTGTTCCGGAAAAGGTTGCGACGTGCATTCCTGTGACAAGGGTCACAAAAGCATCGGGTATCTTTTTTTGCCACTAATCAGAGGCAATGTACCTTACGGATTCACAGGTCGTCGACCGAGGCTGTTCATTTATCGTTGTGACGAAACCATTGATCGCTTCAAAGAAGAGTACTCTGCGCGGAAGGACGATACTCAAGCAGTAACTGAATGGATTTCTACAAAGGAAAAGGAACGCGTAGCGCGATTAGAGGTGTGCGGCATCCGGTTCCACCCCTTACATCTTAACTTCAAGTGCGAACTTGCCAGCATGTCAAGCTCTGCGAAAAATGGGTGTCCGAACAAAACGAAGACCGCTTGCGCGAAGTAGAAGTAGCTCGCAATAGGCGGAAAGACCTGTAGGTGGCCATGATCCGCAATCTCTTACGACCTCTTACACTTACACATAGCATCATTGAGAAATTGAGTGAACTGGGGTGGGGCGACGAGATTGCCAAGGGGCAAAACCGAAAAAGGCTTTCTGAACACAGCCTTGTCACGCAGAAAAAGGAGTTAACTGATCGTGGTGTGTGCTTGACGCCGCTCTCGTCCTGAAGAAATCGACTTATATCTCGTTAGTCTGGAACAATATCAAGGATCAACTCGTTGCATTCATGGGGGCTCTCAAGGTGGCTCGTTCAAGAGAAGACCGCAAAGCAATGTTAAAGAAACGTCAACATCTTATCAAACAAGTGCGGAGCGACTACGTGGCTACTTGTGCGGTTAATGAGGTTATTCCGCCTGCTAGCGACTTTTATCTCTTCCCCCCACTTCGACATATAGTGGAGGATACCCCAGTCGAGGTCGAAGTGACGTTGGAAACATTTCACGAAGTTATGAATCTAATTCCAGACTTTATTGCGGTATGGAAAGTCCAAACATGCGAAAAACTCAGGGGGATGATCGCGGAAGCAAACAAAAAAGATGAACCCCAAGTTGACACACCAGTGACACCACAACCCGACGTTAACCTTGCGACCGCGGTCTTCAGATGCAGCAAGTACGAGTGCAATCTATCGAGACCATTGTTCTATCCCGCAGTTCTCATGCACGCCTGTGCATCAGAATATACTTATATCCACGCCATTGAAGATGACGACGAAGATCTGGTGGATTTCTCTACGAATTGCAGACTGCGTCCTTGGAACGGGGGTAAAGTGATTTCCTTCTTTACGGCGGCGTCGCAGACCGCAGCTGAGCTTGTGGAACTATGTGGCCGTGATCGGAAGACGACCACTACCCAAGAGATGGACTGTGCCAATCCTATTTTTGAATGTGAACACTGCAGATCCGAGCGCCAAGGACGGTTGATGATGACATGGAGACGAGGGGTATGTTAAATGATATTATTCATCCTGTTCGGCGTTTAACTTACTCGCTGAAAGCTCACCCATACTCACTTCGCCGGTCCTGCTGGACTTAAGTTGACCCTTCCCGACGAAGAAACACAAGCGAAAGTAAGACTGAGGATGGCCGAGGAGGTTGATCGCAAGCGAGCTAGGTCATGCGACAGGTCGCTCTGTTGCGTGCACTGTCATTTGACGGGTGATTCTGTTTCTTTGAAAAAGCACATGGCCGAGACGTACGTTGATCGTGAACAGTATGAATTGCTGACTTACACCAAATTTCAACCTTTAGGCACCAGAAGACCCAGATGACAAGCAGCGATGTCGTACTGTACATTGACGCGGACCACGAACCAGACAACTACTATTTGTGGACTCCAGTATATGTTTAGCCATATGTACGATTATGAAAGTTATTTCCACAACTGGAGGCACCTCTGCCTGGGTATTGCATTAAAACCGACTAATGTACAAAATTCCTCTATCATCAAACTCTGTCCGTCAAGGAGCATAATCACAAGGCATCGAAGTTGATATGATGTGAAACTCTTCTTCTTTCCAGTTCGTCCTCCCTCTATGATGAGATGTAGGATGTGCGTGTCTTTGAACTGATAATGAGACGAACCTTCTCGTTCAAATGAAGTACAAATACGATGATCGCCAACACAATTGTTCCAACGACCACGGTCACGGTTACCCATGGGATCCATTCTCCTGGTCTTAAGAAGAGTTCGCGTTTCCAAGCCTCACCTTCCTTGGCAGACGGAAGGATGACCACCTTGGAGTTGGGAATGACACCTTCCATGTTGATAAAATGCTCTTTTGAGTGGACGGTTGTTCCAACGAACAGGTTTTCGATATAATTGTTCGTGCGACCGAGTCCAAAGAAGGAATATGGAGTTTGAAGCGAGTGGTATGATGTCTGTGGGAGCTGACCAACTGGCATCAAAGAGAAAACTCAGAGTTCAACACGGTTTCGAAGGGTCGGGCTTTACCTTGAGCAGCTGAACGGTGGCCTGTGGTGTCAAGAACAGTGTATTTGTATGACGCGCCAGAGTAGCTGACACCGAAGGGCTTGTTTGTTTAGGGTCAGCAGAATTCACTTATCAGAGCAATCGAGTTTACATGATAACGCTCAGAGCTATTCAGGGTATAACACCACCCATTGTCGCAGGCGCCATTGAGGACTAAACTACCCTTGAGTGTATGACACAAGATAGAAGACATCAGGGCTTACCGATTGCTTTCAAAAAGAAAGCGTCGTAGTAGAAGTTATTCTGAATGAAAAGAACATGTCCTTGCCCAGCGTCTCCCGTTCGTTGGACCATAATATCAAGAGTTCCCTGCATATCCATAAATCAGAACAATCATATAAAACCAAGAAGAGTAAAACCATTACATCTTCATCCATGTCCAAAAATGACACCCCTCGGGCGTCTTTAATGGCCTCTAAGGTTTCTGCGCCGTGGCTCGCGACTTTCCACCCACGTTTCTCGCGCTCATTAGATACGCACCCGGCTACACCGTCCGCACAAGGAACGGAAAATACGAGGCTGGGAACACGTTCTCTCTTTCCGGACACGGTGATAATAAGAAAATCGGGATACCCATCCAAATTAGCGTCACCAAGCTTGATGGGAACAGGTAAGGGTGGCTTCAAGGACGTGTCAAGTACAAGCAGTGAAGGGGATAGAGGGAAGAGGGAAGACAGAGGGAAGCGAATGAATGCCTGAGCAAAGGAAGAAAATCAGTATTCTGTAAAATTACATAACGCGAAGTTGAGCGAAAACTTACAGGGTTATCAGGACTATTTGTAAGGTTAAATCGAAAATCTGAATCTGGGGTACACAAATCCTCTGGTGGCCGACAAACGCGAACTCCGTTTTTGACACCAGAGTCCGTGGACGATGCACATAATCGAAGCTGCTCATTGAAGGCTATATTGATGTAGCAGTCTGTGCCCACGCCTGTCGAGGAAGACACATGGGCACAAGTAGGAAAAACCATGTCAATCGTCCCGTCACGATCTATTCCAAACTTGAGCAGCGGGCAGAAGAATATTCGAGATGGCTAACTTATGTCAGCAAACGAAATCGCTTGCGTTCCGGGAGGTAGTAAGCCCGCCTGCGAGAGACTGAAGCCATTGTCTTTGTTGTTCACCCATATTTGGTAGGACTGGCCTCCTTTCTCATCGTTACAAACAAGGAATACGTCTATAAACCAGGTCAAAAGCTTTGAAATTCCAATCTAATTCAACCAAACCTGCAAGACAATCCCCGTCAAGGTCGACAACAGCATTGCTATGAGGATTTGCCAGAGAACATTGAGATCCGTGGAAAGGCGCATCAATTCTAGAGCGGAGCGGTCAACAGTTGAGTAGGTGTTATAGGTGTGCTAACACACATCTCAAATAAGGGTGAATCAGCTTGAGAAGCATTCCATACATTTTGCCAGATCTTCAGAGGTCCCTGAGATGCGGAAGGCTTAATGCCTAGGAGATCAATTTTCATATCCCCGTCAATATCAATGGGTATTGGTTGGGCAAGGGTGGAAGGCGGAAGAAACCTGGGGTGGTTCACATCTAGGTCAAAAAAGTGTCATGCCATTCTTCAACGAAATTAAGCTTGACGTACCAAAACCCCCGCCGACGAGGGCAGGATATAGTGTCAACTCCAATTGGTTGGCGGTGACGCTTTGGCTCATAACGAGGAGGTCAAGTTTTCCAGAATGCGTAAAGTCTCCGGGAACAACGTTGTAAACTCTGCGTGGGTGCTTGAATGACCCAGAAGACTGAAAAGCAAACGCCTCTGTGGTACGTGAGTACACCTCCTACAATAAATCCAAAGTTATGCACCGTGACTCCAATGATGGACTGAAAGTGTCTGCTGATCAGAGGCCAACGATAAAACATCCAATCTAAGCATGCTGCTGTTCAGATGTCCTCATGCTGCCAACAAATATTGAGCATACAATTGGTCCCCGTTGAAGTCTCCAAAAGCAACGACTCTATTGTCCCCACTGAGACCCATAGTTCCTGCATCTATCAAAGAATTTCCAGTAAACCGTTTAGAAGGGAACGGCCACGGTAGCTTGAACGCATTTCCAAGGGGGAGAAGAGCTAGCGCAGTCGTGAGTGTGACTGATGGTGATTTCCGCCGTCGTCCAGGTCGATAAAGGTACATGTCGTCAGAAGAGATATGTACAGAGAATGTAAATGACTGGGAGTGCCAGTGCTTGGGCAACAAGTGAATGAATCCAATATTGACATATGTTTGAATTCCAGGACAATGACCACCAAATTCAACCGATCCCTGTCTGGTGCAACCACTTGACTTGGCACCCACACTTTCCAGTCCACAGGCGTGAAAATACACGGGCACGTATCCTAAACGTATCCTGAGGCTGTCTGCCTCATGACTTTGCGTGCAAAGTGCTTTAACTCCGCAAACGGACTTTCTGTCGTGCACTATCACACATTCTGACAGGCTGATCACCGTCACAGACTTAACAGATTCACAAAAAACAAAGGTGAAATCTACGGAGGATCAAGTCGTACATTATATGTTTGTTTAACACTTCTGTCGCTTAATGTCATATACTCTTAGGTTGTCAGCCTCACAAAACCCACGCCGTGGGGATAAGCCACCTGACTGCAAGCGCCTATCGTTGGCGTCGATTGTGAAGAAAGACAGTCGTTTTCAAGTCATACGATTCACAAGGAATCCTTCTCCACGGCATGAATCTCGAAATCAGGCTACCATCCAACGCTGATTTCTGGACGGTGACTCGCAAAATTGCAGGAGTACTTCATGACGATGACTTCCAGCCTAATGCAAGCGACGACCGGATGAACTTTCAACTCAAATTCAAGGAAAGCACGGTCAGCGAAACAAGAAATTCTGGCGGGATCTTGACGATACATAATGCGACGATTGCTACAAAATTTCTTCGTTGGGTCAAAGACCACCCCATAAAAATCGAACGAGATAAACTCCGATTTTATGCGAGCAGTACTAAACCAGGATCGACCTTGATCGAGACCTTGAGAAAGACGTTCTACACCGATCCTGATCTCGAGGAAAAGCATGAGGAGATACTCCGAGGGCTTGAAGACCGCTTTCGCGTTGAAGCTGTCCAGATCGGGGTGTTTCATCGAACTAGTTATCCAGAAAGAGGCGCCCTTTACCCTCGAGATTTCTCTATTGAATGGGAGAAGATCTGCACTGGATCGGGACCATCAGGGTGGCTGACCTTTGAATACGACCATAAGCATTTTCAGATAACAGTTGAGTTGTTCTCTTCAAATTATGCTACGACATTGACGAAGAATTGAAGATGCAAAGCATCTCCGAGACATACGGAAAAGCCATTTCTATTGAATTCGCCAGCATTCAAAAAATGGCTGTTGGATATGACCCAAAGCCTTGTTTGTAACCGTCAACGACCACCCGACTTGCCCACTCATGACAAATTTTCAGATATATGTTTCGATCTGTTATATCCTCCAACATTCCAAGAAACAGACAACAACTCCGGAAGCTGGAGGCTCACTTCGCTCGAACCTAGCCATCAAGTTATATCTCCGTACGCGTATCAGCTACGTTTACTCCTTTGGTCGGGCGGACGCAACGATGTCATGAAAGATTTTGTGGAAATGTGTAGGACTGCTGGGTTAACGAGCAACATCACGCTCGTTCAATTGTACAGGGACGTTCAAGTTCAGGCCTTCCGTTCCAAATTATTCTCTCGTGAGCTCATGCATAGGTACGAGAACACACTGCGCCGCGTCAAGTTTCCGTGGCCAGTTACCTTCCAACTCGCGTCACTTCTATACAACGGCGTCCTCCATACCAATGAAATCCTCGATCTTCTTCCTTCAGTCCAAGAAGTTTACGAGGCCCATCTGAGCGACACGGGAGACCTCCTGAAACAGTTCCATGATGCCTTGTTACAAAAGGCTGAACGTCAAAGTCCGAAGGCGTGCTTCCAGGAGATTCTCCAGAAATTCAAACCCAGGAAAGCCAGAGGGTTTAACGCTTCATTGATCAGCGCGGCCCACGTTACAATTACTCCTACCCGCATGCTTTTGGAAGGCCCACTTCCCACACAATCCAACAACGCCATCCGGAAGTATAAAGGTTGCGATGATAACTTTATTCGGGTTGACTTCCGTGACGAGGACCGATCTTCCTATAAGCGAAATCAGGATGTCGACGACATGTCCGTTTTACGTGAGCGGGTAGGTGACGTCTTGAAGCAAGGAATCATGATAGCAGGACGACATTTTCAGTTCCTTGCGTATTCCACCTCCTCTTTGCGCGAGCATGCTGTGTGGTTTATGAGCAGCTTTGAAAGTGGTGGTGAAATGATAACACCCCAAAAAGTTGTTCGAGATCTTGGGGATTTCAGCGCACTGGCTCAGCAACCCTCCAAATATGCAGCACGAATTGCTCAGAAATTTTCAGCTACAGACCCATCGGTTCATATACATGGTCACGAGTGGGAGCGCGTCGATGACATCGAATACATCGAGGAGCGGACCATCAGAAACGACGACGGTGATATTGAGACAAGAAAGACTGTTCATTGCTTCACGGATGGAGTAGGCACTATCTCAGAGTCTCTCGGGCAAGAAATATTTGAAACGTTGAGGAACAACGAAGGTCGTCTCGAAGAGAAAGCTCCCCTGCCGTCTGCGGTGAGACAACTTGATTCCGTACTTCTCCCTTGTTGACCCTATCCTTGAACTAGTACCAAATCAGATTTATGGGCTCAAAAGGTGTTGTAGTCGTTGACAAGCAGCTTGACAAAAACTCGAGTGGGATTCGCATGCGGCTGAGGCCATCAATGATCAAGTTTCCTTCCCTTGCTCAAAGCGAACCTCTTGAAATTTCAGAAGCTTTCCGTTATCCAAAACTTTGTTATCTCAATCGGTGCGAGAATTTACTGCACATAGCTAACAACGACTAGTAACTGTTTCGAATTATTCAGCCCGCTTGTCATGTTTTTGGAAGACCTTGGTGTGAGACTGCAGACCTTTTTGGATTTACAGAATGCCGCCATTGCGGAGGCCCAGACCATCGACGATTCACTCGAGCAATTCCGATCTATCATGGAGACCCATCGGGGCGGACTTGGCAAATCATTCGATTTTCCAGACATTCTGAAGCATTTCGAGGACGACGGGTTTGATTTGCATAGCCAAGACGGTCGCCCAGGAATTGACAACCAGTTCATCAAGCAACTTAGAAATGTTGCGAGAATAGAAGTTTTGCGCGAGATTAAGCATTCTGCGCGAATCAAGATTCCAGACAGTTATTTGCTTGTTGGTGTGGCTGACGAAGGTCCGGCGTATCGGAAAGACGGGTACCAGAACGTGTACGAGCTGCCGGAGGGACACATATACGGTGCACTTTCCACCTTGACGTGCCTTTGCCTCCCTTTCATTGATGTTTCTTAGCTTGTGTTCAGAAGGCCGGTGATAAGGAACCCACTTGGCTCAGTGGCTCATGCTCAATTTCACGGAGTCCTGTTGCCCACCCAGGCGATGGTATGTAAGCGTCGGTGGTGTCAACTATGCATCGCTGAATTAACTTGCGCTATCTCAGTACAACGAGTCCGATGTATCGGTAAACCTCCGGAGGACAAACTTTGTCTTTTTTCTCATTTGGTGAACGTGGTGGTCTTGCCGTCTGTTGGTATGGACTGTTGACTCACATCGCCAAAGACAATTTCACAATCTTGTTCTTCGCAGGCAAACGTTCACTGGCGTCTTGCTTGGGGGGCGGAGACTTGGATGGGTTAGTGTTGGCTGTTATGTCACCAACTTACATTGATTCGGTCCCATATAGTGACATTTACTCAGTCATCATGCTCGAACCGTTGCTTCCGACGCAGATGGTTGTACCGGCAAGCTATGACTCTCTACCTCCGCGTGCACTTCCTCCAGGCCAATCCATCGAAGAGGCCGTTTGTGATTTCATCGTTGAATATATCCACTCAGATGTTTTGGTGAGTTGACACCTTACGTCTGGATCTGCTTCAAGTTTGGGTCTAAGACTGCTTTCAAACAGGGACTCCTATCAAATCGACTGCTCGTCATTGCAGGTATTATTGTGTGACCCTCATGCCTGCTCTCCATCTGACAAGGTTGTCTGCGACAGATCAATCCAAGGTCGGTACATTTGCTTGAGAACTGTGGACCTCCGTTTATATCACTCTCAAATAGGAAGGCGTTTTTGATCAAGACTGTGAACATCTCGCAGTTTTGTGTTCCCAGGTGCGATTAATCTCATTGTAATTTGAGAAATGTGATAGTGACTAGTCTGATTTTTTAGGCTGTCGACTACCCAAAGCAAGGCAATCCTGTTGACCTGTCGGGCGGGGCTCTACCTCATCCCCTGATCAGGTGCAAACCCGACTGGCAATCCGCCGAGATAAACGCACCCCGCCAAACCGACTATTACAAGTCGACGCGAGCACTTGGCGTGATGTTCCGTGATCATAGACTCGAAGTCGATGGCCCACTTCCCGAGATGGAGCAAAGAGACAGATCCGCTGAACCGCTTCTGAGCGATCCGATCTCCCTTGCGTACAAAGATCGCGTCCAGCGCCACATCGGAACAGCCATTGAGCCAAGTGAACACGAATTCGTGACAACTTTGTTTCAAAGATATGTCGCAGAGCTATCTTACATTTGTGCGATCCACACGCTCTCGAATTCCCGTACGATCCGACTTCGAGAGGAAGAAGTCGTCGCTGGGACGATCCTTGCCTCCTGCAACAACAAAAGAATGCGGAGGGATAGGATTGAGCGGGTGAAGGTCCATTCGGGGGTGATCGTAAAGGAGATACGGCAAGATCTGGTAGCGCCGGGATATCACGATTCAGAGAAGCTGACGCCAGATGCACGGCTCGCAGGGCAACTGCTTACGCTGGAGAGAGCATGGCAGGCCTGGGTGTTCTCGTTGAAGCTCGGAAACGAGTTTGGCGCGAACAGCTTTGGCCTCATTGCTCTAGGAAGCATATTTGATTGTCTTGATCGTTTAGAAGGAAAGAAGGGACAGTCTCTTGACACAGTTATCGAGGAGGAAGACACTGAGCGCTTGGACTTTGATGCATTTTAGATTTTGAACTCAGAACGTGAAGAAGGCCTTGTAACACATAAATGGTGATGGATGGAATCAGGATTTTGAGAGGGAGAACTAATAACAACCTTTTATACGATTGGTGAATCCAACTGAAGATGAGATGCGCGAGTAAGCGAGCCGGCTCTGTGGGCCCATCAGGAAAAGGTGATTTCTCCGATAGATCGCCGGTTAGTTCTGTAGCCAGATATAGAAAAAGTAGGCACTGTATTTTAGCCGAGCGCAATATGTAACTGCATTGGTCATGATAGCATGGCCTTGTCATTTGATAGTACCTAGAGCTGATGAGGAAGCAATATCTTATTAGTCGGATGAATAGTTACAGCAAGATCTATGTTGGCTATCAATGCTATGGATTTTGTATCTACAGTTTCTCTACCCCCCGAAACACACCGGCCTCGCCAATTAATAACTGTATTCCCCTCAACTTATACCTATTACTAACCGTTTTAGTGCATTGTCTGGAGGGCTGTAATGTCTGATCGTGCACGCGATCGATGGGGGATGTCGTTTGGTCGACGTGGACTTGGGAGATGGGTTGGCATTTGGAGGGGGAGTGGCGAATCGCTTATTCGATGTCGGTGTTGACGTAGTTTAGCTGGGGTGGTAGGTGGTTGTGGCTGAGATTCGTGGTCAGAAAGAGCCACGTACCTTGTGAAATTACGCGACGCAGCCCGTCACCCATCGACAGTTCCTCCACATCGAGAACGAGATGGAGGCCCCACGTCATTGCTTTTGAATAACCCCCCTGCACCTCCTCGACACTACCTTCCTTTGTCGTCGCCTGTCACCGGGCGGCTGGGGTCTTCTGGCTGTGTTCATGGCACCGTATACCATGAGGGAGAATGACCGGTGGTGGTCGATTTACCGGAATCGACGTGTCCGATGGCGACGACGCTAACGTGAGTCTTCTCCTTTCCCGTTTTGTTGCAGGGCGTCTGCACCCACTGCCGTCGTGGTTTGCCCCTCTACACGCTCAGACGAGTCGCACTCCTATAAGCCCTAATCTGCACCTGACCTCCTTGAGATGTCTGAAGGGCTCGGATTGGTCACTAAATCAGACTATGCACTTTAGACATAACGTTGGCACTCACCGTACCTGGACCATTCGAGCGCGTGGTGGGCAGAGGAGTTGAACATTTCGCGCAGGCTGTTTGTTACTTAAGGGCATGATCTTTCAAAGCTTGACACTCGATGATCATAGCCACCTGAGATTCGGTGTTCATATATTGCCCGCTGGTGTAGTGGTAACTATCGATAACTGACTAGAGTAACTTAGTAGGTAACTATTACCGCAAGCCCTGGAGTTCGAGTCCGGCTCAATGCAGACATTTAATTTACAATACGAAATAGAATACAATACTTACTCTACACTACAAAATGAAATGGACACTTCAAACCCTTAGACTGACACGTTGTTTCCTATATTAGAAACTATGACGATTACCCCCCAAGAAAAAGCCGATTCTGCTTTTAGAATATTTATCAAGCTACCTTGTACCATAGAGTTCACATAGAGCTATGTACAACTACGGGAATTTGACTCTATCAAACTATATGATGATACAGCATAACCACGCTAAGCTATAGACTTAATTGTAGTGATATGTATTTGTCGGTGCATCTACCACAAACTATATATCAGGGGGCTCTCGATGGCGCTACCAGCACTATCACGTCTACATACCGCAATATCGCAAGTCCATTTTTTCCTGATGGCTGCATCAGGAAAGCTACAAGAATGGTATGTCCTCGCAACGCTTATCGAGGAAATGTGGTACCTTCAAGATATTCATGACCTATTTTTCTACAAGAATTTTCATGATATTCCATACCTCAAGGAAAGAGTGATTTTTTTTTTTGCTCCTTTTTTCCGTCGGTGGTCCTCCGCAGGCCGAACATGCCTGAAAGTGAACGCTACGTGGGTCCTTTCAACAGCAAAAACTGTATTGTATGCATGATGCTCTTTCGTGAGGGACACGCGCCGCATGGGTTGAAAAACAAGTCGTCTAGTTTGCCATTCTGTTGTGCAGGTGCTAGGGAGTTAGTTTTTATTTATTTAGAAAACGTTCAGGCTTGCCATCTATTTTTAGCCTCCATCTCAAAGAGTACATCTAATATCTAATTAAAATAAAAGGTACTGTACTTGTACACATAGTAGCGACTAAAGAGACATCTAAAAAGGTGTAAAAGTACTCGGGCAGGATGAACAGACAGACAGATAGATGATGATAGTAGAATAGGCTGTAACTGTAAACGATACACGGTACGGGGTTTCTACAAAAGTTCTAACAATCGTGCAGGTAGGTGTGGGTGTGGGTGTAAGGGAAGACGAGATCGAAAAAAATGAAAGGAAGGAATTCGAAAGAGGAACCGCCATAAGTAGAAAAACAACAACACTGGTAAGTAGATCACGCTGTAAAAAATCGACAAGAGAACGGAAGAAAATAATGTTATGAGAAAAGATGGTGTGTGTGTGCTTCGTTCGTTTGAAATGGGTTGCTGGGTGGGGAAGATACGCAAATGACGATGCTCTGCGTGGCGTAATCGTTCGTGCAACTGGCGTCATCCCTCCAGCCTGGCCTCGAGCGCTCAGACGACCTCCTGTCGTGCGATACTGTCAATCCCTTCTTGATCAAGGAGTAACCCCTCCTCCTCCTCTGGCTCACCCTCCAAAGCCTTCCCCTCCCCATCCTCATCGTCGAATATCCACTCCCCATCATCCACATCCATAGCGTCAGCCTCCCCTCCGTCATGGACCCTCAATATCGGCACAGACCTGCCCTCCTCGTCCACATGTGACGCAAACATCACATCCTCCCCGCCGTCCGAATGTGACGAATCAATGGGCACGACACGCGGATGCTGCCCAACACTCTCCGGAACGACACACCCACTAGTCCACATCCACTCGTCGTCCCACAGCTCGGCCACCCTTGCTCGTTTCCTCGGATCTCGGACAAGCAATCGACCAACCATCCTCCGCGCACCTCGACTCTCCACCAATCGTTCACCCACCAACTCTTCCTCCCCCTCCACACGCTCCAGCAGCTCACCACCAGGCCACTCCCATTCCCCCCTCGCAATTCTCATCAACCACTGCCTCCTCTCAAACACACCACCACCTGTCTTTCCCTCCCCTCTCTCCCCCCCAATCTTCCCTCCTCCTCCACCACCAGCACCAGCGACGCCTTCACCAAACGGCAGCCTCCTCGCCACAAGCGCATAAAGAACAACACCACAAGCCCATGCGTCCGTCTCACGGGCGTCATACACCCCTCTACGTGTTTTCTTTCCAGATCCAGATGTGGACCCGCCCCCGCCCATGACGAGCTCTGGTGCAGCGTACGCTTCGCTCCCACATCGCGTAGAAAGGAGCTCGGCATCGCCGTCTTCGTCTATCTCTACGAACCTTGACAAGCCAAAGTCCGTGAGCATGATGAGTGGGAGGGGTGGGGTTGGGAGGGTGCAGAGGGTTGGTGGCGGGGAGGAGGGTGTGAGGGCGTTGTATGCCGTTGTTGTTAAGAGTATGTCTGGAAAGAAAAACGATGGTTGGTTGGTGCGGGATGAGGAAAGAGGGGGAAGAAGAGACGTACTCTCGAGTTTAATGTCCCTATGGACCAAACCGACGCCATGCATCCATCCAACGGCTTTAGCCAGCTCGCACCATACTCTTTGAAGAACGGTTTCGCCTGGAAAGCAAGTGTTATTTAATTCGGGTTATATTCGGCATGACTAACCCAATTTTCCCCACGCTACGTCGTTATTGACAAGACCCAGAAGATCGCCGCCTGGTAGGTATGGCAAGACCAATACATGGTGCGTCGCAGTGTTCAAGTGAGCTAGAAGCGGGGTAATATTTGGATGCGATATGTGCTGAAATAGAAAAAGTCAGCCATGTGATTTGGTTTGTTTGGCACAGAAAGAGGCGATGTCGTGTGATCAAGATTTGGAAAGGAGATATAATGTAAACTCACCCTAAGCACTTCAACCTCTCGAACAAACCCAACTCTCGTCCTCTCCTCTTCCAATAAACTCGTTCCAATACTCCGCTTGGCCGTCATCTTGACAGCAACAACCCTTCCTCTTGGAGTAGCTTCTAAATCCCCTATACCCTCCTTTCGCAAGACACCCATCTCTCCATGCCTCTCGTCAAGGTACACCTCATTGTCTCCACCCCTCTTACCCCCTTTAATCCTCCCGGCAGGCCTCGTCCCCCTCACCCGTTCCTTAAACTTTAAACTGCTATCCCTCGACAGCGTCTGTCGCTGCTGCTGATGGAACGTCCCACCCCCCGTCGTCGGGGACCGTAAACTCGACTTCCGAGACAGAGCCTTTCCATCGCTAGATCTAGGACTTTTAGCGGGATCCTCCTCCATCGACCCCGCCCGCGCCTCTTCCCCCGATTTCTTATTTAAGCTCGCCTTCCTCCTCAAATCCCTCACACTCGCTTTAGACGCCAACGCAAGAGGCACAGGCGATAGATCTTCAGCGAGCCATACGGCCGAGAACCCTCCTTGTCCAAGGGGACGCATCAACCGAAGCGTAGGCTCTATCGATCGCGATGTTGGCGTTGGTGTTTCTCGCTCTCTGAGGAGATGGGGCGTATGCGAAGTGATGATACTTCCTTGGCGCGGCTCATCGTCATCATCAAGCACCTCCGCCTGCATCCCTTTCTCAAACTGCGATAAAGACGGCTCGAGGTTCGCAGGGCGTGGTGTGGGCTCTTCTTCATCGTGTTGTTCAGGAGGGGGAGGCGGGGTGGGTAAGCGGTCGTTGGGATCTACGATGCGTGAAGACGACGCTGATGATATCGAAGACGAAGACGAGTGTGTTCTTTCAAAGCTTGGAGAGGGCAATGGGAGGAGGAGGGCGGTATCTGTATCGATAAAGTGGGGTTTCGCGTCGGGCGTGGTGGAAGTGTATCGCGAGGGAAAGATGCGGGAGACATGTATACGGTTCGTGTTGGTCTGCTTTGGTTTTGAGCGGTGTGGGAGGAGAGGTGGAGGGTCGGTGGGGTTTGCGAAGAAGTGGGCGGTGATTGAGGGTTCATCGAGTGTCGATACGGGGGAGGACGAGGAGAAAGGCGATGCGAAGAATGCGTGTGTTTTTGCTCCAGAGGTGGAGTGTGGTGGTGATGGGGCACTTGCGAAAGAGGATAAAGAGAGGTCGGAGAAGGTGGATGAGAGTGAAGAAGATGTGCTTGTACTTGTGCTGCTTGGTAGTGAAGAACGAGAACGCGAGGATGTCGTCGAGTCGGCTGAAGAAGAAGAAACGGCAGCTGAGACGGCCGCTGAGATGGCGGCGATGTTCATCATCGTTGTGAGGAAGGGCAAGACTATCTAATTGACGAGGAGAGCATGATGATGATATGAACCACAAATAATTGGTGACATAACACGTCACTGACTCGGACTCGGTCCTCTCTTTCCGATCCTCTCCCTTTGTTCCCTTCGACCCGGCCATGACTGTCATGCCAATACGCCGCTCTTTCTCCAACATTCTCCCATGTCCTATCGAATCGATAACCTTCTTATCACCACTCACTTGCACCTCACTGGCACTTGACTGATCTCAGTCCGGAACATCTCGATCCTGAATGTCAATCCCCAACCACGGATCCTGGATCCCCAGACCAGGGTTCTGGCGTGCACAACAATCATTGACATTTGAGCCCTTGACTCGTTCCATTTCCCGTTTCCGTCCGCTTTGCCCTCCCTCCTCCGACTCAGTTGGTCAAAGTCTCGACTTGGACGGTGTGGCTTGTTTGGTTATATTCGGTCACGTGGGCGATTGGGTTATCTACAGACAGGGCTTTTCTCACGCTTCATGAGGAGATTTTATTACACGGATTGCAAGCTCGAGCTTTTACACCAAGACGTTGGAACGCACAAGGCCAATTCCCACGTTTTTGATTGCGGTTGATTGTGAAACGGACAGACATATGCGGGAGCTTCCCAGCCCTCTCGTCAAAACAAGCCTGCCTTGCCTAGAATTCTCCAGACGATCAATTCATGCCCGAGCCTCCTGCTTCAAATTCAACCCACCATAACTTGTACCCTCCATGGCATTCAAAACGGGAACCTTTCTCAATCTCAATTGCCAACACGATTCCCACCGAATTTAAAGTATTCGAGCGCATTTTGGACCACTTATACGACGACGTCCCCTGTACCCTCGTTTGTCGGTCTTGGTTTGCCAGAAGCTGGTATCACCTGTTTGCGCACGTCCAGCTGGATTCACCAAGGATCGACGCGCTCTCAGGCATTTAGGTGTGGACTATGTACATTGGGTGACGCTGGGTCCGACTTTCCTTCTTCCCCCGATGAATTCCCGGTGTCGGGAGTTTCGGAGTCGTTGAGCCTTCAGCATATGGCGGGTATTAAGATCGTGAAGTGGATTATGGGCAGGCGTGCGCCGCTGCCCCCCCCCTTACTCGAGTTTGTTCGCATGCACATGATGCGGAGGTTGCTGTGGCGTATAAAAGGTTTGTGAAGAGTCTTGAATGTGTATATCTCACGCAGGATGTGTAAAAGTACAGTAAGCAAGCCATCTAGTACTACCACATCCCAAACTAAAACAACTAGTCATCCTGTCATCTTTCCCCGCACCCCGGCACATCATCTTCTCCGACATATCTGCTTTCCCACCTCGCTCTCTCTCCCTCCTCCGTCTCAGTTGCGACTTGGACAGTGTCATGGTTTGTTTGGTTATATTCGGTCACGTGGACAGTTGAGCGTGGACGCGCCACGAATTGAAAAAGTGAAAGCCTGCGTTGCTTTTCATTCACAAACAATTCATGCCTGAGCCTGCTGCTTCAAATTCAGCTCAGCATGACTTGTACCCCCCACTGGCATGGTACACAAGACGGCGAGCACTTGTCAACACGATTCCCACCGAACTATTCGAGCGCATTTTGAATCACTTATACGACGACGTCAGGACACTAAAAGCCTGTACCCTCGTTTGTCGGGCTTGGTTTACCAGAAGCCGGTATCACCTGTTTGCGCACGTTCATCTGGGTTCACCAAGGATCGACGAGTTCTTACATTGCTTTGACGCAAACACTTTGCGAGGAATGAGGGGGCTAACGGCATGCGTTCCCCGCGATTTGCGATTCAAGCTCGACCGGACACCCTCTCTCAGCTTGAAGACCAATTCGCGAAAGTGTGCAGTGTACTCCCAAACATCGAATTTCTCCGCCTCGCGACGTTCCCTCCCGCCCCGCGTCTGCCCTCATTGCTTGCGAACTACCAGAACACCCTAACTCACCTGGTCATACAAACCACCGTCTTCACCACCACAAGCGCCTTCATCATCGCCATTTCGGGGCTACGCGCTCTCAGGCATTTAGGTGTGGAGTATGTACGTTGGATGACACTAGATTTCCCTTTCTCTGAGGAATTTCCCGTGTCAGGGGTTTTGGAGTCGTTGAGCCTTCATACTGTGGCGGGTGACAAGATTGTTCAATGGATTCTGGGCGTGCGTGCGCCGCCCCCCCTTACTCGAGTTTGTTTGTTTGTGAACGATGCAGAGGTTGCGCAGGAGGTTGCGGTGGTGTATAAACATCTTGCGAAGAGTCTTGAATTTATATATGTCACGCAAGATGTGTTAAAGTCCAGTAAGCAACCCATCTACCACACACTCCAAACTAAAACAACTTTACTAACTGTGCACCCTCTCTTCTCTAGTCAACCTATCAACCTTCCCCGCACTCCGACACATCATCTTCTCCGACATAAGCGTCTTCCAAAACCAATCCTCATCCGCCCAGCACCTGAAAACCCACCTATCCAGCATCACCTCTCCCCACCTTCATTCGCTCGTTTTCCGAATTGTCATTGACAAGCTGGAGAACCTCCAAAACAACGTTGATTGGAGGGGGATCGTTGCGCTTTTAGAGGACGACCGGTTTAAGGGGTTGAAGAGGATTTATTTTTCGTTGGGGTTGTTTTCGGGGCAGGCGAAACATGTTATTTTGAAGTATTTCGAGGGGTCGTGGGTTAGGGAGAGGATTTATTTTACGGGGTTCGATGTGCATAGGGGGAGGGTGTTGCGGGGTTGGTTTTGATATGTTGCGAGAGGGTGGGTTTGGTGCTTGTGCGTCTTGCCGTATGTTTTTGAGTACCAGACAAACATTAGCCTGATCTCCGTTCTTCCCTCCAAGACTTTGGTACGAGACGCTAGAAGAATGACATATGCCAGGACGTTGACAAGTCATTCGGTGAGCATCATCGTTTCTTGTGCATTCCCTTTGGCAGAGTTCTCGCTACCGACCTGTTCACGTTAATCGACCTACTTAATCGGAAATCCCTCAAGTGACTCACCCCTGCACCAACTGATATGAATCGCCTTCCCTTGCTCTCGTCGCCTCATAGCTCAACATGTCGGCCACTTCTACGATAATCATCCCCACAACGGCCTTTTACGACGCGTGGGCAACGACCTACGATACCGACGGAAACGTCCTCCAACACCTGGACAGCGCCGCGTTTAAAGACATCACGCCGCTCCTTTTCAGCGTCCTTCAGAAGCCAGTAAGGCTCTTGGATCTAGGCTGTGGAACTGGACGAAACACCACCAAACTTAGGGGACTGCTCCCACCTGGGAGCACCTTATACGCGGTCGACGGTAGTGAGGGGATGTTGGCACAAGCGCGCGCTAGTATGCCTGGAGAGCCAAGTGGCCAGGTTGAGGTCAAGTGGGGTTTGCTAGATTTTACGCGACAGCAGGCGGATCTCGACGCGTTCATCGATTCCGCGCCAGTTGACGTGGTCATCAGCACCCTGGTGGTCGAACATGTCATGCTGGACCAATTTTTTGCGGTTGTCGCGAGGATTCTGAAGGTGGGCGGGTGGGCGTGGGTGACCGGGATGCACCCCGACATGGGGCAGAGTCGGGCTGGATTTCGGAGGGATGATGGGGTCAAGGTACATGGGATTAGTTATATCCATGGGTTGGAGGAGACGATAGTCGCGGCAAAGAACGCTGGACTGAAGCTTGTTGGGAACGTTAAGGAACGCGGCGTTGACGATGAGTTTGCAGTCCAGGAGCTTGGGGAAAGGGCCGAGAAATGGGTGGGGAAACGCTTGCATGTCGGGATGCTTCTGGAAAGGGTGCTCTGAGTCTGAGTCTGAGAGCCCAAAGTAATTTCTGCTTGAGCATATGCTGATAACGATGGGGATTTCCATGTCCGACATCTTCAGCAAGCCTTCAAGATGCAAGAGCTGCTGATCCTCACCGGCACCCCAGAACCAGATGTTGCCTTTTCAACCGTCAAAGGAATTTGAGAACACCTTGAATTTCGTTGTGCACGATGCAGCTTGATGCTACCAACGTCTCCGCTGTGTGAAGCCTGTCATCAATAACAGCACCCACTTTCTGCAGACTTCCTGTCACTCCACTCCAATTTCCGCTGGCTTTACACTCCCGGGATTATCCACGAAATCATACCATCATCTGCAACGGCTGAGTCCAAGTAATTGACAACGTACCGAGTTCCTTGAAGCCTAGGACGAGCCAGTTCAACTAGACTGTACCATTTCGTACCATCGACGACACTCATTACTCAGGGCCGTCGTCTACCTCTGCTCGCCAACACAATGTCTCTCCCCCTAGAACTAGTCCGGGAAATCATCCATCTCCTACTCTTCTTCCCCCCACCGAGCCGCTCGACTCCAGATGATATTGATTGTGCAGTCAAACCCACATGGGACACGATCAATGCGCTCAGCCTCACTACACGAAGCTTTCGTCCTCTAGCACTTGAAGCGTGGTTTCGGACTCTCTACATCGATTCGCCAGAAAATCTAATCTTTTTACGGGACTCAGGCTGGTTTCCTGAGCTGGGGAGTAAATGGACCAAACACCTCCACTGCGTTCAATCATTCAGCAAAACCATCTCTTTCTGGAATCTCTCCACCTTCCTCCGCGTCTCCTCCATTGACTGGACTGGCTCACGCGGTCTTTCTTTCCACATGAGAAATTGGACACACTACCCTTTTTACACCTCTCCTCCACAGTTGAACACCTCGACTTGCGCGGATGGATGTCTGACCCTACGATGATTCACTATATTGCTAATACCCCAGGCTTGGGCCATTTGAAGACGTTGAAGATGGTGCTAGGCACGATGTGGTGTGAGCTTTGTCATTCTTGCCGTGCTGTCAAGTTTAAATACAGGCCAACGGGAGTGGTGTATGAGGGGGGTTTGGGGTTGCCTATCCACTACGCACGTGCTCTAGCACCACTCGAATACCTTGAAGAGGTTGTGATTATTATACACATCCATGACTTTGGGCGGACTGCATTGGGTTTGAATGCAGACTCAAATGCGGACATGAACCCGGAGACGACCCCCACCTCCAACACCAATTTGAACCCGAACTTATGGTCGGGTGAATGCGATAACTGTATGGTGACGATGTACGATGATGATGCATTCCGTGAGAAGTGGGTGGCTAGTAAGAGACGCGTCGGTCTGGCGTTCGGTCACGATGGTGATGACGATGATGACAATGTGAGGCCACCGAAGTTGAGGAGGGTGGAGTACCAGTTCTACGGTGGATGACGAGTATCGGGAGGAGACAGGGATTTGAGGATCACGAGGATGTAGATACCAGTGATAGTGACGGCTGGGAGTGGGATTGAATGAATGGTTTAGTTCTTGGATTAGCGAGACAATGCGAAGGGGATACTACTCGTTTTTGAAGGGCATAAGGACAACCTAATTGCTTGACGCGTCGATGTTGTTTCCCAGTCTTGCAGCCCACGCGCCACTGTACGAGGTTCTACAAAACGCACTTGATATCACAGGGTGAGTATGTTAAAGTCGATAGTATAGACTCGTATTATGACGCAGACTTTGACGAAACGAGTCTCTTTTGGGCTCGAGGATATCACAATGGGTTATTCACTGCTCTCATTGGTGTTATCTACAAACATGCGATCGGGAAAAACGGTTGGGAAAGAGTTCGCTGGATGGTGAATGTCACTTTGAGCCCTTTCGCCTCACGTAGTACTCCACCCAAAAAGTGGAAGAAACAATCAAGTCCCGGGTGCAAGCTGATACGGGCCTTACATGTCCTTTGTCAGATTGTATCGTCCTACCAGTGCTTTAGATATCTGTAACAATGTCAGAAGCAACCCGGAGCTGAGATAATTTGACTATCACCTCTTCACACATCACAAGCCACTCTTCCCCAAACTTTGAATTCTTGTCTGTGTGGTAACGCGCAATGATCTTGAGGTGCTCGGCCCTCGACAAACTGACGGTCGCCTGAACCGGAAACTCCTTGGGACCTGTTCATAACAGAATGATCAACGAAAACCGCAGAGGCACTGCACTGTTACTCCACACACCTTCTGTCTTTGGAGGCCATGTCTCGAAGACGAACTGTCAATGCATCCATCAACATGACAAGCCAATCACGCTTCAACAAATCAACAAAGTACTCACCTTTGCAAAAGACACATCCTTCATCGACGACGCGCACTCTAACTTCTGGATCTCGTCTTTCATCTTCTCTAGAATGGGCTTGCGTTTATTCGCCCACTCTTTCGCATCCTTGGCGTGCAGCTCGTCGCGATAAGCTTGCACGGCCTCGGTGCACTTGAGGTACCATTCGCCTTTGGGCAGTGTGGGAGCTAGCGCGGCTGCCAGTTGAACTGCTCGAAGATACAGGCTGTGTGCGCTTGGGAAGGAACCACACAGTGAGATGCGGTGTCGGATCAGAGTCTTGAAATTACTTACACGGCGCGAAGTTTGGATACCTTCGAGTGGAAGCGAGCCAGACGGTACAGCACATTGCCCTCTAATTCCACATCGTGCCCCGTGACGAAACTCAAAGCAGCACTAAATGGAGCCATCAGTTGGCCATGGTCCTAATTAGCGTTATGCATGCTTAGACCCACCGATAGTCGTCCTGCGCCAACAGCGCCCGCGCAAAGACCTCCTCTGGTTCCCCGGATTCCACGTCCTCGAAATGCATATCTCCCAGATGGAGCAACTGCGACGCCTTACACATTGCTAGCAACATTGCAAACTCGTCGCTCAACGCCCTAGCATCTCCCACTTTGTATGCACTCGTCAGCCCACAATCACCCAAGCCCACGCTTACATCCGCCCACGCTGCCTCATACGTGTCCTCCAGCCCCACTAGGACATCGAGCGCAGACTCCTTTGAGCTGAGGAGGCTCATAGCGCGAACCCACTTTCCATCTTCGAATTGCCGAACGGAGTCGTGGAAGATCTCTCGCATGAGGGTACACGATATCTCCAGGTGGATAACGCGGAGAAGGGGGTCTTTGACCGTCCTTGACACCTTGAATAAGTTATCCTCCAGCCCACGGAGGAGGAGTTGGCGGTTCACTGGCGTCGCATAAGATCCGTCGCTGAGCATGTGCACGAGGACGCGTTGGAAGTCGGAGGTGCTTTTTGAGGATTGAGGGAAGGCAGGACTGGCTCGAAGTTGAATTCGCGTGGTTATGGCGCCGTCGATGTGATGCAAAATCTCTAGGACGTCCTTGTGCGTGATCTGGTTTTGGAAGTACAGCTCAAGCATTTTGCACTACGGTCAGGTCAGTGGCCTTCCATATACTCAAGAGAAAAGAAGTGGAACCGACCTGCACCACCAACAATTGCCCCCTCACAAGAACCATATCCACCTCCTTCAACTTCTGACTCTCAATCTTCCTCAACATGGCCATCGCCTTATCAATTCTAATCCTCTGCATTGTCGTACCTAACCCAGGTGTGTTCGCGGTCTCGAGCATCTCCTTCGCGTTTGCGAGCGCCGCGTACACATTGACGGGGTCAGCCGTGGGAGCGTTGGCCCCGCCAGCTTTCTTGGGCACCATAGGCGGAGGCTCCTCTGGCTCCTCCGGCACCCATTGACATGGCATCCAGTAGGTCGTGCGCGGTCTCGCCCTAGGCAAATCCATCGACGACGGCGCTCTAGGGCCATCGGAATTGGCGCTCGTAGTGCTCGGACTGGCTGGGTCTGTGCCTTCATCACCTAGCCAGTGGAAAAAGTCTCCGATAACTGATGCGACGCGGCGCAGCGTAGCTCCCCTTCGAGGCGGCTGGTCCCCTTGGGGTTGGTCCATTGTCGTTGGAGCGGATAAGAGGCGACAGGCGCCAATATTGTGTTCCTGAGTTGGACAGCACAAGCTTTCCTTCTTCCTCCGCGTTTCCTCCATTGAACCGGACTAGCTCAAGCCGCGATTACCTTTTTTACACCTCTCCTCCGCCGCTAAACACCTTGACTTGCGTGGATGGACGTGGTCTGATCCTAGGGTGATTTAAAAGATTGCTAATACCCCAGGCTTTGGGCATTTGAAGACTTTGAAGATGGTGCATGGCACGATGTGGTGTGAGCTTTCCCTTGGTTGCTGTGTGCGGGTGGATACGATACCTATATGGTGATGATGTACGACGATGATGCATTGCGTGAGAAGTGGGTGGCTAATAAGAGACGCGTCGGTCTGGCGTGCAGTGACGATGGTGATAACAATGATGGCGATGGGAGGTCACCGAAGTTGAGGAGGGTGACGTACCAGTTCTCTACAGTGGATGACGGGGAGGAGGAGGATGAGCGATCTGAGGATTACGAGGACGTGGATACTAGCGATAGTGACGCCTTGGAGTGGGATTGAATGAACGGTTTGGTCCTTGGATTGGCGAGACGATTTGAAGGGGATACTACTCGTTTCTCAAGGGCATCAAGGACAGCCCAATCGCTTGACACGTCGATGGATGCAACTTGTCTCCGGGTCTTGAGGATCATATGAACACCTGAAATAAACCATTCAAGCAACCTAGCCGACTTCATACCCTCCTTCAACCGACACAAGGATGTGGAATGTATGTGCCAAATGATACCCCAAATTGCTTTAGGACCCTCCCAGTTGTTATGTTGGACTCCTTCCGGATTCAGATCGCAAACGCGGTGGTCGTGGAACAGATATGTTCCTCGTTGTTGTTCGTCTATACCTCGTCTCATTCATGCCCCGCAGCTGGTAAGTCTAGATGGAGTGAAGGGGGCAACAGGATGGCGAACATATATAAAGGTCAACGGGCAGAAAGGGGCAGAAGCAGAATTGAGGCTGGAGGGTTTTATCATCTATATAATTAAATTCGTAGAAAAAACATATCCTTTTTGGATGAAAACATACCATATTTGGAAGACCGGGGTAACGAGGCGTCGAGAGCCTCAATGAAAAAAAATCGATCCCGGGTGATGTTTAAATTCTTGGGGTCTCCTCGATCTCTTCAGGATCATTGTTTGATTGGGACTAGTGATGCCCAAGGCAACCTCGCATGGTTGCGACTCGGAGTCTGCGTCGCCAAACTCGTCGCCTTTAAAGACACCCAAGCGTCAAACAAAGAAGAAGGCCAAACTAATTACAGATGAAGCTTCTTGGCCTTGTTCCAATATCCCAGAAGGGCGAACAGTAAGTACATATACTATCCTGCGTGCAAAACTGACATTATTCCCAGATAAATAAGACTCGGGCTCGTAAAGAATACAAGCTCAGTGACAAAGATATCAGGGATCTCCCATACGTCCGAGTCGAGGACGAGTGGGTGCCCGTTCTTTCTTCCGTTAATAATGTTCATTTTATTTGCTAGAAACTTCCATGGCGGAAACTACCGTAAACCCATGATGCTCTATCAGGAGAGAGACATAGAGCTGACAGCCTGGAGGAAATACGGTGGACCAGTGGGGTTCCAAGCACAGTGAGTGGGTCTTTTCTTGTGCACGATGCACCTATTACCCTCTCCTAGCCTACAGGAAAGGCACGCCGAGTGGCTCTCGAAGGGGCGCAAGGGTGTGTGGCATGAACCGACAAAGTATGGACTCTCCGTGCAATTGATTACCCAGCCACCTGCGGGCGTTCCGGTCGACACATGGGCCGTAACTCCAGAACTCGTACGAAAAAGGGACTATCTGAAGGCAAACGGACGACTCTGGGTATGGGATGCATACAATAAGGCTCTCGACAATGCCTTGGGACGGGGTGAGGCGGTCCGTTTGGGGTGCAGCGTGCCACACCAGAAGCTTCGTGAAGCTGCGCTCTGCGATCTCAATCAATCCAAGAAATATCCGCCTCGTCCATCTCTGGAACAGCTTGCTTCAACCTCTTTTGATAGCCTGCGCGAGGTTCTTAAAGATGCACCCGTACCCAAGGGACCGTATGTTGAGGTGGATGGTCTAGACTGGCATGACCATGAAGATGGTGAGACGAGTATCTACTGGGCTGAAGGATACCTCAATCGACTATTCACGGCTCTCAATGCCGTCATCGACGAACATGGGTCAGGAGAAAACGGTTGGAAGAGTGCCCGTTGGATGGTGTATGATACAGTGAGCCTTTTTTCCTGTTCGTTGTCTTCAGTTGATCCAAAAATGATTCAGTACTCCCAATCATTTGCTGGAATTTATTATCATGATGTCAAGATGGAAGTTGTAGATGATGCATATGAATGGCTTTGTGGCCGGCTTATCCACTCTGAAAACTTTGCCATCACCACAAGAATGGATGAATGCTCAGAACTTGGAAAGCGGTATAATGAGATGTTGCCTAGGCTCTCTCCCGGGGAATAGCTGTACAATTAGTGCTAGCTACATAAAGATCTGTACAAAATACTTGTAAGATAAGGTGTATTCAGGAGCAGTCGCGATGAAGATTCAGAACACCCGGTTCCCGATACGCAGTTGTAGCATCCAGATACAACAAAATTCGGCCAACAAACAGTTTGCACGTCGAAGAGGTTCACAAGTTGGAAGTAACCTTGATGCATTTTTGCAAGCCAGAGCTCATAGGTACATAACATCTCATTACTCAGCTTTACTACCTTTCCCCTTCTTGATCTCACGCACCTCGCCCCCCAGCCACAGTGCGGAGAACAGGAAGAAACCAATGCTAGTGCTAATAGCCCCAGCATAGTAAGGCCAAGCGGCGCTGAGGAAGCGGGGGTACCCATCATGCCTAGGGGGTACGACTGCAACCGTCGTTGAGCTATGCAGGTGTGTCCAGCTATAAGAAAGTCGGGTGAGTAATAGCTTCAGAAAACACGGCAAATGCACGTACCCTTTTCTCTTGTAGTCAATCACAAACTTGAATACGCCGTGTCTATCGGGAGCGCGGAAGGTTACAGAGTATTTTCCCGGAGAACCCACAACGGGTGAAAGGGCAGTTCTAATGAAGGGGTCGAGCATGGTGAATTCGAGTTGGAGGTCCGTCAAGCCAGAGTAAGGCTTCCATGATGCTGTTTTGACATCATACTTGGAAATGTAAGCCGTATAGACCTAAGAATACGGATGAGCTGGAGAGTCGGGAAGCAAATTCGAGGAACTCACGATATTGTCGTTATTTGTGTACTGCTCCTTTGGTTCAGTTGCATTCACGAGATGATGTTCTACGCGATCGATACGGAGTACTTGGGATTCTTGGAAAGTCCATGTAGCAACTTCACGAGCAAACTGGGCATTTCCAGACTTGACGCCCCTACAGTAATGATTAATGGTAAGTTTCTCCATAGAAGGAGAAATCTCACATACTTTGTCACTTCCTTCTGTGCAAGTTCATCGTTGAACAGACTCACACCTCCAACCCAAGTGATCCTTGAGCCAGTGAGAGTTTGGAAACCAGTAACAAGACTGAGTTGACTACCAGCCCACAGGCCTTCACCACCTTTTTCCGCAGCTTCGACCAGAGCGTCTGCTGACCCACCGTCGATTTCAGATGCAAAGCTCTGTGGGGGTGCGCGAAGAATCGATACGAGAAGAGGGTTGTTTCCAAGGGCTTGAGGAACTCCAGAAAACCACACGGGGGGCAAATCTTTGCTGACGACAGGGTTTGCAGTGATCGCCACGGGGATGAGGGACGCAGAATCCTGGCGCTCTGGAAAGTAGGATACGAGTGGGGTTCCCGGGGGTGGGAGTATAAGGGAGAACTCCGTAGCAAGAGAAGATAGCTGGGTTTGTTTCGTGGAAAGAGCAACGATGATGTTGGTATTGAGCGAGAGCAAATGAACGAGGGACTGTGGCGTTATGTCCTTTCCCAGATCTAAAATTTGTGAGACTGCGTATCCAGAGTGGTAAGCTTGGCGCACTTTTAGTTTCCGACGCAAAGAGAATGACGTGTGAGAAGTTGGGCACATCGTCCTGAATGATGAGTGGACCGTCTTCCTTTGGCTGGCGAAAGGTTAGTTCATATCCCTGCTCTAGTAAACTCAATGACACGCTCCAAAGACAACGCGTGGTAACTCACCCTTGAGTCCGTCAAAGAATATTGAGTAATTATCCCTATGATTCGGTTCCACCACGACAAGAATAGAATCACCGGCACTGGACTTGGAATTTACGAGAGCAGTAAGCCCTGAAAGGAGCCAAAAGACGCCGCGAAAAGATAGCATTGGTCTGAGGGGACCGCGCCGACGGTAGGATGGGATTTTAGTAGAGCCTTCCACGTTGACAACTTGATTTCGCGAGGCCACTGCTTGTCTGTGTTTGGCAAAAGCCTCACAAGCAACTCACCTCAAACTCACCTATCCTCAGTCGTTTTAGTAAATCGCCCCAAACAGCTAAGGAACCTGCAGAAAAAAATCATCACTATGTACACTCTGTTTCGTGTAAGCGTAGAAGACTGAAGTATCGTTGGATTTCGTGGTACATATGATTTTCAGGCCGATGTCGGCCCAACCAAACTCCGACTGAAAAATCGGAATGGCTCGTGACATGTGACATTGCAGGAATCCCTTCAGTCGTCGTCGCGCGTCCACGTCTACGTCCACTTTGTATCCGTACCTCGTCTTTTGTTCAAAAATGGGGGCCTCGGAAGAACTAGAATACCTGAAATCCCTCGTCTCTCAACTCAATGGGAAGATTGCGGCGATTGAGGCGAAGGCGAAGGGATCTCCGTCCCCGACCCCAGCTCAGCAGCTTCGAACAATCTTAATTGGACCTCCGGGTGCTGGTATGTTTTTATACGTCTAGAAATCACGGATCACCTTTTCGAACGCGTATTTTGTAGGAAAGGGAACCCAGGCCCCGAAAATCAGAGATGAATTCTGCGTCTGCCACTTGGCTACTGGTGACATGTTGCGCGAGCAAGTCCAGCAAAAGACTCCTCTTGGCATTGAAGCAAAGAAAATTATGGATGCTGGAGGTCTCGTTTCAGACGACATCATGGTCGGCATAATCAAAGACCAGCTCGAGAACAACAAGTCTTGCAAGAATGGGTGAGTGGGGATGAGAAAACGAAGTTCAACGTGATCTGCTGTCCGGCTTCATTCCTCATTCTTGTATCTTGATTGAAGTCTGATCGATGAAATAATTTTGTTAGGTTTGTCTTAGACGGTTTCCCGCGAACGATTCCCCAAGCTCAGAAGCTGGACGGCATGTTGGCAGAGCGCAAAGAGAAAATTGATTCTGTGGTCCAACTTCTCATCGACGACCAGCTTCTTATTTCGCGTATCACCGGTCGCCTTGTCCACCCCGCCAGCGGACGGTCGTACCATAAGGAATTCAAGTAGATGATTTCCCCTCCCCCATTATCAACTTCTCACGCGACTTACCTTGCAGCCCACCCAAAAAGCGTAACGTAGACGACGTCACGGGGGAACCTTTGATTCAGCGCTCCGACGACAATGTGGAGACACTTACCAAACGCCTTCGCACGTTCCACTCGCAAACAGGACCTGTGGTGGATTACTACAAGGTGAAGGGATTGTGGCATGGGATCGACGCTGCTCAATCACCGAGCGTGGTTTGGGAGAACCTTCGATCAATTTTCGTCAGTAAAAAGTAGACATGCTCTAGATTTGTGGTGGTTGACAACATAGAAACGTCGATCTTTTCTTTGGCACCGTCAGCCCGGACTGCTGTCGATCATACGGACGATTATTCTCAAGGCTCAACAAGATCACTGACTGAACTTTCTCCATAGCCAGGTTCGCCTCCTTGGTCAACAGGCACATCTGTCATCGTGTGATGCTCAAGCGGGAAAACGAGCCGACCACCCGCTGTCGTTGTCGTTGGGTTTAGTGTTCAAGTTGAGTCCAAGGCTCGTGATGATATTCATCGAAACAAGTCCGTGACGCGCGGACCAGGCGCGGTGGTATTAACTAGCGTGTTCTCGAGCAAAGCGAATGTTTTAGTCTGGGCATATGATCTCAGTATGTATAATATCGTTACGAATCATTGTGTCAACAAGGCGGAGCTAATAACTGCGAGCGTAGTGAACAACTGAACTGCCTAAGTAGATCGAATTCAGTCAGAATATTCGGGTGACCATTGGGTCGGGTTTCACGGTACAAACCATCAAATCAGGAGGTAACAAAATAAAAGATAACTTTTCCTAAACTTAGAGCCTTCGCCGGTGAACCTGAACCGGACCTCAATTTGGCCTCACCCTGATTCGGAGGCAACAACCTTCCATTTGGTTTCAAGACATTTCCAGTGACTTCTGGGCGTCTAAATGGCTTTTCGCCAAGTGTCGTGTTTCGACACATTGAAATGACACCTTCTGCTCTTTCACTGATTCATTGACCTCCTTCAAAGTCCCTCAAGATATTGTACCCTCTTTCCGCGGTTGCCATAACACGACCTCTACACTATGCCACCTGCTAACAAGTCCGACACTACCGGAAACTTACGCCGGGGATTGGCGTGTCTATCTTGCAGGTGAGCCCATGCTTTTTGAGATTGTGTCCGACCTTCCGCCACTCACTGTTGAACATGATAACCTCGTAGGAGAAGGAAGCTGGTGCGCAGAAGCTATCTCTTCGTCATGATGAATCTAATCGCGTTTCTTTGTCAGAAATGTGACGGTTTACGCCCTGTCTGTCAACAATGTACCAAGATGAAACGGCCGGATGAGTGCCAATACGACGATAGCAAAAGGAAGAGCCGGACACAGATGTTGCGGGAGAAATTGTCTGCATTGGAGGAGAGGGTTCGAGAGCTAGAAAGCGAATCGGGCTCATCTAATTATGGAGGGTCTCCATCAAGTCTTAACTCTCCCCAGGTTTCCAACGAGGAGACAGGCGACGATCGCGACCCCGGTTCATCGATAGCTCATTCTCGTAGAGTGTCGGCCGTCACTGCATCATCATCCGGCTCACCCCTGCTCTACTATAATGATGAATCCGAAGTGCCTGGCTGGGGAAAGGGCACTTCTTCGTCGGAGCCTTCAATGTCTATCCGACCATCTCCTTTTCTTCCAGTTGCGCCTCTACCACCCTATAGCAGAGGAAGAAGCCTCGATAATATCCAATCTTCTCTCATACCATCAGGGGATACAAGCGAACCCGTTTCATATGAAATGCACGCTTTCCTGTGAGTTCTATCAAGTGTCTTCTATGTCTTGTACCTTTGTTGAATATCGGACAAGCATTCAAACATTCACAGCACATCAAAAGCAATGCTGTTTCTACGCCGATTTATCGCGATTCAACAAATTTCCTCTTTTGGGCCCTGAGCCACCGGTGGATTCCCTTCCGGGCCTTCCCCATCCTGCACTTACCAATGCCGTATATTTGCTTGGATGTCACTTCGCGCGTTCCGCACTCTGTTCGGATCTTCAGCCGGGCTTCATGAAACAAACATTACATGAGATAGTTCAATCCCTGCGCAATCCAGAACCACTGATTGATGTCATACAAGCATCGTGTCTGCTAGCTCAATATTTCTACTTCAATGGTCGGGCGATTGAAGGCTACCGTCATTCCTTTGCTGCGACCAGGATGTCAGTGGGGCTTGGGTTACACCAAATCAGGCCACCAGATCTCCAGTCTGAATTCGTTGATGGTTCTATGTCGCACGATTGGGGCACAATAGCGGACAGGATAACGGTGTTTTGGCAGATTTTCGTGGTGGATAGACTTTGGTCTGCAGCTAATGGTTTGATTACGGCGCTGCCCGACGAGAAGTCGTCCTGTCGACGGATAACGACCCCTTTGCCGACAACGGGTAGCTTCATGCAGGTGTGTTTTTCTTATTCAATCCGTTTTTATTTTGAGTTTGAGCGTATATCTAGGACGGAGCCAATAGCCCTGCCTCTGCCTTATTTGACCTCCAGTCTGACCATGTCCACTTCTCAAATCTGACAATCCCCGCTTTAAAAGCGATGGCTGCCTGTTTATTTGACAGAACGTCTCGAGTTCATAGTGAGCGTCTGACGAACTTTTAATTTTATCGCGACTGATATTGATTTCTTCTTACAGGCTCGACGACGAAAGATGGCGCTACATGGGCTAATCATCGATCAGCAAACGCTGCCTTGAGTCGCATAATACATCTCCTGCCTCTATTTCAAGGGGTGGAAGCGTGGCGCACAGAAGCCCCTTTTATTGATATGGACATATATGTTGTCCACATGATGATATATGTGTCCACGATTCACTTGCAACCCATTGAAAGCATGAACCTGAAATTGGAATGGGCGGCCAATGGAATTGTGGGTCTGGTGACCCTACTCCATGAAGCGGATTATCCGTTTTTGGACCCCATAGTTGCTGTGAGTTTACGGAACTTTCTTGGTATTTGACGCTTACCATCAGCCCTTACACAGGTATGTTGGGGAGGTGTTGTCAAATCGTTTATAAAAATCCTCAAGGGCAATACAATTATGAACAACTCTACCACCGGTTCTTCGCTTTACACCACGGGATATATACACCAATGTGTTGATTTATTGAGCTCTGCTCTTCGAACTCTAAGCGTCTACATTCCTTTAGCAGGTACCGTGAAATTATTATCGCTCTAATGCTGGCTCTATTTAACCTGCTCATTCTAGTCGAACTTTTACGAACCATCGACGCAGAACGGATGGAATTCATGCCACTGGGGCAGCCATACGGAATGAGTCCGCCACTGCAATTTGTACCACAACCACTGCAGCTTGTGTCGCTTGTGTCATAGAACGATCTGAATGCCGTTACCTCTGCATAATATACCCATGGCTAGTTTGTTTCTTGTGGATTTCAAAATGTATATGCGCGCGCCACTGATGAAACAACACTTTGTCCTTTTCAAGCCCATGTCACGGGAAGAAGTTGCGTACTTGAATTTGTGGCCACGCAGCTGTGCTTATAATTTACTCATCTCGGCGGACTTCATTTCTGTGATTAGATAGATAATTTAATAACGACCCCACATCTCATCCTACTTTGTAAATATATTTGAATCTTTCCTTCCTACAATAATTATGAGGTGAACTTCAAGTTGGTGAGCACTTCCCAAAAACGACACAGTGAAACAGAAGATGAAAGGTCAAAAAATTTAAACGTACTTCAAGACTAATTGGGTATGTATTAAATATGGAGTCGTCTCCGGAAAACCATGAGATTTGACGGATCACTCGACAACAGTCACTCACCGAAAGATTAACCGCTTCAATCCCTACTAGATGTCGAATGATAAATTGATAATAAAATAACATTGAGAGAAATGAATAATGGCGATGTCGAAGCTGAAAGGAGGAAAATACGGCCGCAGAAGGTCAATTAAAACACAGCGGAATGCCGCATAAAATTGAAAGGAGATGAGGATAAGGAAGAGAGAAAGCGCCCTATGATTCGAGAGATGATAATTGTGTGGCTTTGTTGTGGAGAGCCACGATCTAAAAATAGCTGAGCTTGTTCGCCTATCTATTTATAAATCGCTGCCGCATTTCCACCAATGGGTCACGTAGAGAGATAAAATGCGCCTTTCACTTCAATGTTGTGGTACTATGTCGCCTTTATACAGTGGAAATACTCTCTCTCTCACCCGCCTCTCAGTCTGCGGACCTCAAGCAGAAGACTCCCTCTCTCAACAGATACAAGATTCACACCGGAAACGCAGGAAGACAGCTACGCACAAACACCGAGACATATGTCTCCACCTGATCATGCTCGTCCCATCGACTGTGCCTGTCGCTTCGCGATCGGGTACTTAACAGGCCGAAACACTACCAAGATGGATTGCACAGATAAGCAAGAAGACGAGACTACCCCGCTTACCTATATGGATGTGCCCCAAAACGGCGTTTTTGTGCCGGGCTGGATGGGGGAATGTTCGCTGTGGGCGTGCCCTCACCAGTGCATGGGGCAATCTCAAGGGGGTCAGGAATACATGGCATTAGGGGCCATAGGTAGTCTACAAAAAGTTGTAAAGTCTGACATAGGGCCTCGCCCTAATAGACTCTAAATTTGACTCGAAAAAAAAAAAAAAAAAAAAACAGTGGAAATAACGCAACGGGTCTGCATCATTATTTTGGCAGCGGCGAGTCAGCTGTTGTGGCGTCGCGACTCGCAACACCACAACAGCTATGAGGTCAGAGAATGTCTACCAATTCGCGCCACACACCTCCTCTAAGAATAAATATCGTCAACCGTTGTATAATCACTTGAATTATAGTTCCATGGCGCACCAGCGAGTAGAATGAAGGAATATTGTTGTTACCATACAGTTCTGTCCAGTTATCCGCGAAACGCAAAAAAAACAGATAAACCACGTTTCCCTATCTTTCGAAGGGTCCGGCGGTCAAGAGTTAGGGGCCTAGAAAACGCGAAGAAAGCATATCAGTATGGGTATCAATTTGTTTAACAAAGCGAAATCGATGCCTGCCACTGAATCAGCCTTGGCCTTTCATCATACGTGTCCGGATGTCTCGGATCCGACTATGAATGCATGATGTCTCGAAAAATCGATGGCGTCGTCCCAAAGCGGAAACCAAAGGAGAAATCGTAATCTGTTGTGATACGCGTTTATTTCATTGAAGGAGATAAATTGGAGGCTTGGCGATAAGGTATACAGTGTCGTTTTCTTGGGGGCGGGGAACGCAGTCGCTACGTGCGGCAATCGACAAGATAATCACTGTGAGTGCTCCTCACATTGCTGTCTTTGAGTGACCCAGATCGGCAGACGGGTACTTGACCATGGCACTTGCATAATTACCAAAATTTGGAAGGAAATGGAGAAGTGTGGATTTAGCGCTTGGGTTCAAAATCCGGGGGCGACAAAAGACACCACTAATGCAGAGGGCAAACAATTGCACGGCATCGACGCTTGATACCATGCCGCAATTATCGGTTGCGCAATCCACTTGCCGGAGGAATGGCATTCGCGAAAGGAGCTTGACGCAAAGATTGCGTCAAGCTCCACTGTGTTCCGTCAGTACCTTCCATTGGCGCTGCTCTGAGAATCAACGCTCTGAACCTGAAAGCCGGGTAAGTTGAGATTTATAGGAGTTTTCTGTACACTGGTTGAGGTTACCTTCTCATTTACATCCAGGTGAGGGAGCAAAAAGGTCTTGGCTTGCAACCCCTCCATCTATCTGTATTTCGAGTGGGAAGTAAAGATATCGGAATCCTCTAGACCGACCTTGCCTACAAGGGACCCGGAGCCGGGTTTCAAAGCGGAATTAGGCGTTCATCATCGATGACCTCAAGGTGCCTGGATTAACGCCGCGATGACAGAGAAAAAGTACGTGATGAGGTGATTTGAGATGATTTGTAGTCTCGGCCAAGTAATCATTGTCGGATTAGAGAGTAAGCGAAGTTGGTTGAAGAGATTTTCAGTTTGCTGGAGAGGGCCTCGGACTACTGTGGGCCATGTCAGCGTCAGATCCGGGCAAGTGACTGCAAGTGATAGCGTTTGTGAGGTATTCAAAAAGAAGCGCACGTGTGATAGCCGACCAACATTTGCTTTGCCCATTTGGATGTTTTATTTTATTTTGGTTACTTATTCCGTTTCGACTGGGGAGGGACCGTGGCTGGGCTTTGATAAATATTCAAATAGCCCTCGCCAGACCCCTGGTCTCTTCTTGCTCTCGCCCACGCCGGCCTCTCTTGGCCTTTATAACGACCTTGAACTCGACATTTTAACGACTTTCTTTTCCGCACAACCGTTACTTTGGTACGTCCTCGCTTGTGAAACCTGTCCACCGCCGCGGGGCTTCCTATCTACCCTTGAAAATCGTATCAGGTCCACTGAAAAGTCTTTCAGGATCCCCTCATCAGCCTGCTCATAGAGTTAGGAGACGACATAACCATACCGTCACCCCCCCAACCATCGAAAGTCAAACAGCGTTACCGTCATCAATTTTCACGTATCCACGCCCACTCCACATCAGATTCCCGTCGAATAAAGCTGCCCGTGCATATTTGACCAGTCGCTTTTGCTTGGGTTGCACCTTACGCCTTGTCTCATCCGTGTCCTTTGTCCACCGCACCAGTCCCTCAAAAAGTGGAAGGCACCATCCAAGTCACCTTTGCGGATTCAGGAGACCCATCTTAATCCAGTTTACAACGCGCGGTGCAAAACAACGTAACGTCCATCTTTTCAAAATAGTCAGCCGCCGAATGTCTCACCTCTTTCCTTTTAGCCTTTAAACATTCTTAATGATCGCGACGGTAACACCTCAGCCTCAAAGGATGTTACAGGTCCAGGATGAACACTTTCCCCTCTTTGCGAATGCGGCTGGCGCTCCCCTACCCCTCATTCCTCGTCGAACCTCTTCCCGCTCAATGATTAGTCCATTGCGATCACCCGTGTCATCCGCCGCACGACGGAGCTCTTCGACCGACTGCGCGACTCCAACCCCTCCTGTCGTGAGAACCCCAGTGTCAAACGATGATTCGGACACGGACACCTCGAGCCCATCATCTGATGGCACGCGTCCGACCATCTCAGTTCGCTCACGTCGGATACGAGGAGTACGGCCGCGCACGTTGTCCCCCCCTGAACTATCCACACCAACCCCCTTTGTTTCCCGCGGTAAGACTGGCCTTTGCGACGCGTTGCAACCACAGATCAAATGCTCTAGTCCAACGTCGGCAGACAGTACCCCGCGTCCAGCCCTGGCGCGACCCCTGATGTACACTCCTGGCATGTCGTTGCGCATAGGTTCAGCGGCCGCAAATACGCGTAGCATGACGCAAGCGCACACCCACGGATTTGCCGCAGAGTCGTCCGCGCAAGGCGCAAAGTCTGCTCCATGCGACCTGCAAAGTGACGCGAGACTGATCAGAAAGAAGTCAGGGCAACTCGTCAAATCCTCGCTTAAGTCGTCCAAATCCGCTACTCGGGGCTCTCTTTCCGTTATTACCATCGGCAAAACGAGTAAAAGTGAGCCCTCAACTCCAACGGGTAAAGCTGTCCACTTTGACGCGAAGCTGGAGCATGTCAAGCTTTTCTTGGCTGAGCAGAAGCCTCTTGCTGTTTCTAGGGATGGAAGCCCGACAGAAGACACTAGTGGGACGGACAGTGATTTCCCTCCGTTTATTTTTGGCGATGGGGACGAGAGATGGTCGAAGAGGAAATTGGTCATGCAGTTGCCCAATATGCCTGCGAAAGCCGACGTCAACGCGGAGGTTGCTCTGGAGGAGCTGTCCCTTTCACCCGACGGCACCAGCGTTATGGGACATGTGCGAGTGAAGAATATCGCTTATGCCAAATGGGTAGTGGTCCGGTTCACCTTCGATTTCTGGCAAACGACAAGCGAGGTTACAGGCCGCTACTTGGAGTCGATCAGTGACGACTTTGATCGGTTTGTCTTCAGCATAAAGCTCAACGACTTGCTTGCGAGAATTGAGGGAAAGACGCTACTTATGGCTGTCAAGTACAGCGTAGAAAGGAGGGAGATCTGGGATAACAACAGTCGCCAAGACTATCGCGCCAATTTTACCAGGGTCAACGCGATAGAGAGATCAGTGTCGGACGATGAAAGCAGCGACATGCTACGCAGCAAATTGGAGAAAGTCATTCAGAGTAAAGAGCTGGCAGGCTCTGCAGTCTCAGCTCAACAGACATTGGGACCGGATTCAGAACCAGTGGTGGTGGACTTTAAGACCGTTGCGTCATTAGCACCCCGGTACGACTTTGGGGCGTCTCTCAAAAGCCCTTGGAAACCTGTGGATTCTCCTCCACGCCATTGTCGAACTCGCTCATCTCCTCAAATCAATGCTTCGCATTCTATTCCGGGCTCGGTTCCATGGCCTTCGAAGTTTGGGTCAGATAAAGCAGCACACAACGTCTCATCCACCACGAAGAACATACCCACATTGGGGTCTCCCCGCGACCGAGATGACTGTTTCCGCCCAGCGCATTGGTCAGCGTCTGACGTTGACGACCCTCCTTTCCAGATATCAAATACAAGTCAAGGAACACGTCGTCACCACCGTGGATATTTTGACCTAAATGCTATGGGTGCTTCCAGTCTCAAAAGAACTCCACCTGGGACGCCGCTTGAAGAGGGCTTTCCCGCCTTTTCTTCTTCCAAGTTTCCTTCTTTCCTTCCTATCGAGGGTTTGCCGCAGCCTTCACCTACCTACAGATCGCATATGAATGCCGAAACCGTCCATCCTGCAGCGGACTCGGGTGGAGACAGCGAGATGTCCACGCCCTGTATCGCTACGCCTACTTCATCCCTCCCCAATACGCCTTCACCTGTCGAGCCCTTCAAGGCGCTTCCCTTATCAGAAGACGAAGCCAATCTGAGCCCTGAGACTCATTATCGTCAGTTTTTAAACAAGTATGTCGCATCCTTCTTGCATTTGGTTTATCGTTAGCTTACTAAGTTTACTCAGGTTCTGTTTCTTTACCGGACCAGGAACTACCATCGATCTTTCTGCCCTTCCCCGCACACAATCTACGTCTGATATCGAGGAGTTGCTTTCAGGCACCTCACCTCGCCTTCTATCTTATGCCCAATTCGTCCCTCACTCGCCACCCCGCTCTTCCAGCGCCGACAATCTCTCACCTAAGAGAGGTAGCGCCCTCACTCCTGCTGTTTCTAGATTTAGAATCAGCGAATCGTCATCTATCACCATTTAAAAAGAATCGCAACGAATGGAACTATATCCCAGTTGGAGGAACCCCAACATCGCATGCGGTTTGTGGTGTATCTTCCCTGTCAAGGCTTAATCAAAATATCTTTATTCTCTTGTCTCGTTCCTCAGTTTTTCTAATCTTTATCTCCTCTTATTGATTGTAACATTACCACACACACGTCTCCCTTCGATTTACATTACGATCAACTTGTCTCCTCTGTATAGTATGCATGGACAAATGACGGGCATTGTCGCCTCGGCCTTACAACTATTAGCATTTCCAACAACCACACCTTAAATCATCGATTTTGTACTTTTAGAAAAACCGATTCTACGATGTATGAGTATGATCACCATGACAGCAATACCTTGCGATGTACGAGTATGATCACCATGACAGCAATACCTGACAGGATTCTTTTGAGCTATCGTGACCCTGAAAGTTTCGAGTGCAATGCAAGGTTCATGTAGAGCAGCATACCGTCAATTACACTACAGGGACAAAATAAGACACCAGGACTCAGTACCGACCTCCCCTTGGGCCATAACGACCTGTGCGGCTCCCTCCACGTCCCCAGTCATCCCCTCCGCCTCTGCCACCTCCACGACTCCAATCCTCCTGTCTCTCCCCTGACCCATACATGTCTTGCTGTGGTGGAGCGGCTTGTCGCTCAGCCGCTCCAAAGCCAGGAATGAAATCATCCCCATTGGTATCCCCATAGCCAGCAGGTCGACGACCAAACGCATCAGTCGCCTGACCACCGCCAAAGCCTGGCGTGGATTCCTCGTCCTTGCCCCACCATGACGGCCCTGCACCACCAGCGCCATAGCTAAACCCTGGAACCATTGCATCGTCTTCTTCGTCCTGCCCGCTAGTATCAATGATCTCTGGTGGCTTTTCTCCGCCCCCAGAGAACACAGATGATGCGTCCCCAGGTCGTTCCCTGGACCAGAACCGCGTGGTGTGGTCGTTTGAAGCGCTTACAAGGAGGTGGCCCAACGGGTGATAGGCGAGCGACCATACGTTGGAGTCGTGAGCTTGAGAGAGGGTAGCGCGTGGTGTTGAGACAGGTTGTGCGAATGAGGCTGGGTCGGGAGTGGAAAGATCCCAGTGAAGTACGGCGCCTTCTGAGCCACCGGAGACGAGCAAGGGGTGGACGGGGTGCCATGTTACAGCTGGTAGTGTGCTGGTTAGTAAAAAGAGTAGGCATTAAAGGTGAGAGATAGACGTACAGCAGACCTCTTTTTTGTGCCCTTTGAGAATGCGGAATTCTTTCATTGCACGGATGTCAAAGATGCGGACTGTCTGATCGCGTGATGCACTTGCGACAAGATTTCCATTAGGAGACCAGGACAAGGCTTGTATCGTGTTCTTGTGTTGGTGCCTATGGTTCGCGGATTAGACAAGTTAAATTGAGGAGGGACCGAAAATATACGGACAATGTTGAAAGAACGGTCCCGGTTCGTGGATCCCAGAATTTGATTTGGTTGTCTTTACTTCCAGAAACCAGTAGCCCTTTGGTCGGATGCCATTCAACACATTTCACGTCCCATCCGTGGCCTAAATCACTAGATCAGCAAACCCCAACACAGACGTAACTGATGGCGCTGACCAGTGAGGACACTCTCCACTCTACTTTCAGCAAAAGACCATATCCGCACACTAGAATCGTCACTAGCTGTTGCAAATCGACGGTCGTCCGGGCTGAAGCTTAACCCTCTGATAGCTTCTCGTGAGGATGAACCTTGCCATGCCGTCAAGTTGTTCATGTTCGGCTCAAAGTATTTAATGATTCCACTTTTGTCTGCGGAGGCAAGGTATGCACCGGAGTGGGTGAAGGCCATTGTACAGATTGCAGTATCGTGTGCTTGTAGAATTGTTTCAAAGTTGAACGTTAGGCCATTCCAAAGCGTAAATTCGCCGCTTGTCGACCCAGTGAGAATGCGTCGGCCTTCTGGTGTCCACTAAGGATCTGAACATTCAGCGCTTGACGGAAATTACGTTCACGGAAACATACCGTGACGACATTAACTGGACATCGAATCTTGTTTGTCGACGTGTGCACAAACTTAGTGCATAGCGAAGTGGATGCATTCTCCGGGTATGCTTTTGGTGGGAGTAACTAGAAATATCAGAATTTTAACGATGAATGTAGAACGGAATTGGCTGATCCATACGTCAACGATAAACGGTGGACTTGGTCTGATGTGTGGTGCATATGTGGGATTTGGTCGCAATTTCCTCAACTGCCTCGCGCAACTCAGCTTCGCGTAGTTTTCCTCAAATGTGTACTTACCAAAGCCCAGCGACCCATTCCACCGTTATAATCGACCGTCCGCCGAGGTCGGGTCTTCTTGATGACCTTTCCGTCCATTATCTGTCGTGCATTGGCCAGCTCCTGCTCTTGTATTTTCCCCTCATCTTGTGGTGGAGGTTGTGGTTCCGAGAGATATTTGCGCGGGGTCCATTCTAAATGTGGTGCAAACGGAGGACGAGGAATGGCCTTGGGAGGTAAAAGTGTTGGAAGTCCGGTGGTCATGCTATATTTTTTTTTGGTTCAAAAAGTGTTCATTATACGAAACAAATGATAGCTACAACGCGGGAGGGCAATGGTGGGTTGGTCGTGGTGGTCACCAATTGTTTGGATTGCAAGGCATTGGAGCACAAATGTGCAGGGGCGGAAACCACCGCCTAACCTTCTCACATCAATCACAAACAGATCGAGCCGCACATTTTGTTCGCTGAGCTCAATTGTCAGGCCCTTCAGGGAGCAAAGGACGCCTCATGTTGTCTTTCTAATTGTTAGCGCCTTCCTGGACCTTCGGAAATGACCACAACACGTTTTTTGTCACCTGGACCCACAGAGTCCCTGAAAACACGCTATCAATCTGCATGGGTTCACGATTATCCTCTATTTTCGACGTCATGGAAACTTTCTTTGTTTGCTTTCAAAAGCCGTTTGATTCTGAGCGCTCCGGACGTCCTTTGTGCTCAGCCATATAATCTTTGACCTTACTCAACTCCTTATAATCAAGACTCGTTTCTCGCTACCAGGAAAACACTTTACCAACTTCTCCAACTCTCCTTGCAAGTTCCCTCTCATCATTGTTTTTGGGGCTGCCACTAAAAGCATTTTTTTAGGAATCGTCAGCTGGCTCTGGAAGCGGTGGCACGCCAATGAGAACTACGTTCTTTGATCCAATTACGAACCAACATTACCAGGTGAGCATTAGGCGCTATCCAATGTAAAAGAATTTTAACATATTTCATGACATAGGGAGAACTCCCACGTTCTTCAAATCGCCAAATTAGTAAGACGCGGTCGTCAAATGGTGTCCACCGACCTACAACTCCCATGAAAGTGGATGCTGTTCTTGACTCCCGGGGCTCCTCTCCGTCAGTGCATTACAACCCTTATGAAAACCCTTCGCCCAGAGAACTTCAGGTGCGCATCGTCATCACCCCCATAGATCCAAACTGACAAGTTTTGAAGATGGAATTAGAGTCAGTACTTCAACAAGACTTCGCATTTCCTGGCACATATCACCAAGTGATGGAGCATCTTTCATGTCCTCACCTCGGACTACGAGTTGATGGCCTTGAAGACGTCAGCTTACCTTTGAACGATCAAAGTGCTAGGGCGATACACGCTTTGGCGGATTCCAGCAAGAATGGATCTGGACGCAGTTTTTTGGAACTGGGTACCGGTTTCTCATTCATAAAACCTGAATGGAATATTTGGCTACAAACGAGAATGAGAGAAGAGCTCTTGCGAAAGGTACTTCCGGAAGACTGTCCTGTAGCATTCAAACTCTCTAAACTAATGCTCTGGGAAGCGGACGCCGAGTATGTTCGTTTCGTTTTATTTACTTTTGACAACTAACAGCCGCTCTACGTTTCAAGTGCCCCGGAACATTCATGGTAAGTTATCACCAGTTGACTCAGGTGAATCTGAGTATCATGTCCGTTAGTAAACCAATCAGCAAAAGTGAAACGGAATTTGCGACTATTGTCGTTGTCCTGCCCTCCAAGTTCTCGGGAGGTAATGTTCATTTCTGCAGCCATGGCTCCAAGCAGTCCTATCCGACGCAAAGCCGTGCGGAATGCACAATGTTATCCATCTTCTGGTATGATGGGTTGGATTGTTCATTCCAACCCATTATATCCGGACGTCGCTTGGCCCTCGCTTATCGCCTCGTCTATATCGGGCAAGGATCACCTCCATCATTGCGCGAGATGCAAGGCAAAACCAACAAGCTTGGACTAGTCTTGTCAAAGTGGACACGAATGCGTGCCATCGATGTTGTCGACTTGCCAGCTACGGTGGCCTACCCACTTCAGCATGATTACCCAATGGGGAGGCAGCTCTTCCTTCGAGGACATGATGGTCACAGACTTCGGCATCTGAGGACTCACTGTGCAGACTTTGGGATAGAGGTCGTGGTTGGCGTTATTAAGCGACGAAGTGCAAACGAAACTATCAGGCAAGACAATACCGAAGCTGACTCAATGGTTGAGGACCCTCCAAAACCTGAAAAGCCCCAGCCTCTTGCCGTCATCTCCTCGATAACGAACATTGATGGTGCCCCCCTCGCGACAAACCATATGAACGTTCTCCACCTCCATGCGCCAGATATTCTGTGTTCCGACCCGCAGTCATCCTCCAGCTGGGTTTTAGCACTTTATCACCAGCAGTGTACTGATTGGATCAAGATAAAAAATGCGCTTCATGACAAAAAACTTGCCTTTGAGGCGTACCTCAACTTCCTACGTCAGTCTTTAACTAGAGACCTTACGAACCAGCCTCCGCACATCGTGAAACTAGAGGAACATGCGCGGGAGCGCATGCATAGATCTCTGCCTCGGACGTCACCCTTCAATTTATCTCTTCAATCTGTATTGGCAAGCCTTGCAATTCTTCGTAATGACTATGATTCTTGGAATAGTGCCACTGTGGCGGCGGGTCACGATGCGCCCCTGCTACAGATCCTTAGAAATGTTCGCTGGCTCGACGCTTGGAATACCTTTTCATTAGAGAAGACCTTAGAAACGTAGCTCACTTTACTTCTGCTGTATCGTCAACTAACGCGATTCTCTTTAGGTTAAATCATTGTTGGAGCTTGAGGACTTTTCACGAATGTATATCCGCAGTGGTCGATATTGACGCAGAACCAATTCCCGCACAAGAGGAACGAGCCAATGGGGTGACCCAGAAAGGCCTACAAAAGTGGACAACAGACCAACTTAAACTAAGGCTTGGTCTCCTGGATAATTTGAGAGAGAACGATGTCGCTCCCTTTATCAGACTTCTTTTCGCCAAGGGCCAGAATTTCTTCATCCAGGAGTAGGTCAACCCGCTTTCATTTGATCACCATATTGATTTAGTTTACCCCAACAGAATCTATAACCATTGTTTCCATGAAGTCCCAGACTCAGAGTTTTTCATCGCATTCATCAGCACACTATCCAGAGTTCATGGGTCTCCTTACCAACAGCTCATAGAGCTATGTCTACGGCGACTTTTGGAAGATTTGAAGCACATTGCTCGTACCCGCAGTCTTTCTCCTGAACACCAAAGCGCCTTGAAAGCTCGCGGGTTCATGATCTATGACTATTTTCTGTCTATACGCCGCCATCAGGACGTTATCGACGTCTTGATCGAGAGCCTCGATCAGATCCAGGAGTTGCCAGCCTTCAACGAAACAGCGACGGCGTTCCATCTTCCACTTGTAGGAGAAATTCTGTTGAAACGTTTTCCACTGTACAGAATTCAACCATGGGATCCTCCTTTCAAGACCTATTATGCACGGCTTGTTTCTTTTCTTGCATATTTTTGTCTTTACTATGATGGGCGTTCCCTCCTTGAGATGAAACGGGGCAAGACCCCTCAGAAACGAGTTTTGGACACATTCTTATACTCCACCTACTTGGACTCGGCAACTTTCTGTGGACCCAGGTCAGACATCAATCTTCTCATTGGACAGGTCAAGACTACGAAGGTCCTCCAATACCGACGCCAGCGAGATTTCCTCCACATCACAAGGAGCTGTGTGCAAGACCTATATCTACACCTCAAGGTTAACACACGCTTCTTCTCAGACTTGCGTGCCTTTGGTGGGATCGACTCGGTCAACCTGATCATGGACGGCTTTGCAGGTGTTGAAGGAGGTGTCGATGCTCTTCGAGCGCGGTTCGCACTGGACCCTACAATTCCGCGGCAGGTGAATCCTCTTCTGCAACCGGGACTTGCCTGCGGTGTCTATTATTTCAAAGACGGGGAATGGGTGTTAACGCACCAGGAGGTTGGGCCCCGCAATTCAACAGAGATTTCGGCGCCTGTATAGATATCGAAAAGATGAACTTCCAGCTGATTCACTGTATGTACTCTTAGAAACATCAAATAATTGTTATCCCAACTACGGAGGTTCGATGAATGCAGATATGCTTACATCGTGGCTTTCGACGCAAGAAGGGACTTTCTTGAGCCTCGGCATTACCCGACTAATTCTATCCACACTCTATCGTCGATGGTCACTCCTTCGTCAATCCGCTCTTCTTGCGACTGGAGTATCACCAGAGGCTCTCCTACGCTAACCATCGCGCTCGAAGGCCGAAGCTATGAGGCGGACATTGAACGGACACTCTTCCAAATCCGGGGCTTTTTGTTCCTGATGGCATAACATGGTGAAAAACAGAACTGCGCATGGACACGATGATACTACATATCTCTATCAAGATCACCACTCAGAGAAAGCGCGAGCGTTCCATGGGTCTCGTTCCCTGGAGTAAATTGGCGGTCTTGTTGTGCGCAGCTCTTACCACTGTCAACGGTGCTCAAATACCGCTAACGCCACCACTTTCTTCGCATTTTCTCAAATCTGCGACGCCGGCGCTATGGGATTTTAATGTGACCCCAAATCTAAACTCGACGAGTCATCTTATATTCGACACCGTTGCTTCGTTATCACAGCACTGGACGAACACACGCTATCGAAATGGTATTCATTCGCATTCAAACGCTTATGAAGTGACGACTGACGTTTCTTGCGATCTTTAGGACACAACATTGTACCGGGGACTGTTCCCGTTGGTACTCTTCTTTATCACGGCACTGACAAACACGAAGTCCCCGCAGGACCAGAATGGACTGCCACAGACCCAGAGCACTCGTATCTTTTCTGCCGAAGCGCACCCACGATTGATGGCTCGTCATCCGGCTGCTGGCATTTGACGCTAGTTGTGACACGCCCGCTCAAAGTGCTCTACTTCGATGGAAGCAGCGCTGCGAAGATGTATGGTGGTTCTATGGATACTCAGGATATTGTAATCTGGGGAGAAGTCAAGCCAGATTGGACTTTCAGTGAGAGGACAAGAATCAACGAGCTCTGTGAATGGGGCCGGGAGTTTGGGCTGGATGGGTTTGTGAGGTCGGTTGCCTTTTATTTATTGCGCTACTGCTACTAACTCAGAGGTTTGAACTGGAAGAATGGAGATGGACTTGTGAGTCACATCTATTTGAATTTTTATTCCCTACTAACGAAACAAAACTCCTAGTGAAATTATGCTCTGCGATTTTACAGTGGCTGTTGAGATTGTCTCCTTTCTCAACCTGAACTCAGGCATGAATAGAGGGAGACATCGTCCTCCTTCCAAGCCACCTGGTAGAGAGCCAAGCTTCGAGCCTGTGCCGAGTTTTCCTCCGCCCAATGATGATGTTTCCAGCATCCTCCAATATCGAGTTATTGAAGCAGGGGTATGGCACAATACATATCCTGGAGAGACACGCATCAACCTCGACCTCAACGGCTTGATCTCATTCTATGACACAGACCTCTTTCCCAGCCTTGCAGTTGCGAGATTTGGTCAGGAGCGGTGGAAACATCGTTTGCAAGGGCTCAGTGTCGTTGATTCCAAGGCTTTCCAGACAAGAATTCGGGAGGTTCTCGAACAAATCGGACACACTGGAAGTGGCATTGATTGGTCAACCTTGATTCGGGTTGTCGTAGATCGATACGCCGAACGTTTGGAAATTCTGCAATACCTTTTGAACTCCACAAGCACAGTAGAACAGGCGAAGAGAGTTCAAAAACACTTGAGGAGCATGGTCATACCGTACATTCTTCACACCTCTGTGCCCAACTCGGATTTCAATAATCACTCGTGGGCGTTGCCGGTATACGAGCATTGCGCTACCACACATACACGCTACATTTCATCCATTCCCAGCATATTGACGAGGATGACGAAATCCGAATCGTTGATCCTACGTTCCGTGCAAGAAGTATCGAAGGAGATCTGCCGCGTTGTAGTGGGAATGTGGGCTGAAGGGGTCGAATTAGGCCTTGATGCCATTTCGCCTGCATCATTGTCATCAGTACCAGCGCGCAAATTCGAATCCGTAGAAATCATCAACGCCGTTCGCCGATGGCAAGAACGCACGGAAGGCCTGATGGCCTGGTTGGATTGGAGCGTGTGGGTGAAGTGTAGACCGGCTTGTGGGTATGAAGAGATATGTTATCTCCCAACATGGCCGTTCATTCCCGGATCTGGGCATGGGCCGCGTCCTCCTCGCCCTGACGTTGGTCAGTACAGGGTGAAGGCACAGCTTCAGGGCGCTGATGACGGTGAAGAGGATCCCGTTCTGCCCCAGCCTAAATGTATCCGCAGAGTTGAACCATTCACCGGGATCTGAGTGTTGTCATTATTATTGCGTTGCTTTTGTTGTGATTTTATACTTTCCTATTATGAGGGACATGGAGAAGAAGCCCGCGATCAAAATCTTAGTTCATTGGAATATACGAAATCGACTGAGCAACGATTGAGGTTGGAGAAGTTCTCGCTGTGGTTGCCGAGTCGTGGGAAGTGTGCAAGTGGAACGTTGAAACGTTGACCGCCATGGTTTTTTCTTCTTCAACCACCAGACCTGGTGTCATTGACCGGTCAATATCATACCTGATTCTCTGTGCGACATGTCAATGTCTCCCCCTCCTACGCGATACTCTTTAAACTTATTTTTGCGACAGCATCGTCTAGAATTCTCCTGCTCGAACACCCATAAACCTAGTCAAGGTCCTAGTACACTGCTTTTCAGCGGAGTCATACTTGGAGCTTGTTACATTCATGGAAGAAAGAATTGATCTGTTTATCTTCGCCATCGGTCCCCGTTTTGGAGGCCATGGGTCGACGGAGATCCACGTCGAGTCTCTTCAGAGTTGAGTGTGGTGTATCGCAACCTTCTACGGTGGTGAATCAGGCTACGTTCATAGTTTTGGGACATACATTGTTATCTCTGACGTGTATATCTTTTTATGAAAATCAGTGCTGGTTTTTATCATACATCCCTGATCGTTTACTTTTCGCCTGCATGTGAGGTGAACTCTTTCCAGATAGTGGAGATGCAAGTCAACACCTTGCTTCTGACGGTCGTCCCCAACTTTCAAGGGCGCGGGCTACCTCGTGACGTTTGAGATTTTTTTGGAAAATCTACCTGTCTTTGTGCTGGAGCTCAAACCAGAGAAGGAGTTTTCGAGCAGGTCTAGGCGCTCAGCTGCCGATGCTCAGTTGCGCGAACGCATGGGTGACCTCATTGGTGATGCCCTGCTCCCTCTCTTTTTGTATCTCCAACTAATTTATTACAGACACTTGTCCTCTGCCTGTCTTACACGGCGCCAGCGCTTTTGGGACCAAGCTCTGCTTCTACTCCATTACGAAGGCAGGATTGATCTTGCCCGAGCACATCCCTTGCTCCTTGCCATACGTGATCGATACCGCACCGGTTGACCTCTGGAACTACGATATCCTCACGGACAAAGGTGAGGCTGAATTGCGTCGCATTGCTGAGGTCATCACCACCGAGTGCGCCCAACCTCCACTAGGTGAGAAGGGGACAGCTTTTCAATACAGACGCATTTTCTAATTGCTCCGCAGATTTCTTCTATGCTGTTCATAGCGGAGGGGTACTAGGACGTGAATCCTGAACTTGGCAGATTCCTTCATGTAACAATTGTTACGTTCATGGAAGAAATATTTGATTTGGTCTTTGCCTTTGGCCTTCGTTTGTAGGTCATGAATTGACGGAGGTTCGGGTCGAGAGTCTGTGAGTGGAGTGTGGTGTATTGCCGCCTTTATGGTGAACATACATTGATAATCAGCGCTGGTTTTTATATGGACCTCCGATCGTTTACTTTTCTCCTAAGTTGGACTGAAGTAAACTCCTTTCCAGACAGTTGATCAAGACATTCCAGTGATTTCGAGTCGTCAAGAATGAACGGTTTCTTCCCTCCTGTCAAAAAAGGCCGAGAAGATAAAACTATGAAGCGCTCGCGCATTTGGTTTGACGACGGAAGTATCATCATCCAGGCTGAAGATACTCAGTTCTGTGTTCATAAATCAGTTATCTTGAAACATTTTCCCACCTTGAATGATCTTGTTTCTTCTCCTCAATCATCATCGAACGGATGTGCTATCATCAAACTCTCCGACTCAGCTAAGGACTGGGAGAGCCTGCTCACCATGATCTACGACCATCTACCGTGAGTTGCACATTAGATTCGAAGCGAACAGCATTTCCCTGACCTTTAAACGGCGTAGAACATGCAAATCAACAGATCTTATCCCTTTTCGTACCCTTGTAGCAATGCTTCGCCTTGGGGACAAATACCACGGTCATAGCATTCGAGAGGAGGCTTTGAGATTTCTTCGATACGAGTTCCCTCAAGATCTCGACGACTGGATGGACATTTGGGGAACAAAAATATATCCATATCCCGAATCAGAATTTGACTTTATCAACCTCGCCGATGAGATAGGCTTACACTCTGTGCTTCCAGCAATGTACTACACCTGCATTAAGTACGAGAAACTGGTCAGTAAAGACTCGATATGATCCAACCCTCTGACTCACTCTACCTCTAGAAGGACATTTTTTACGGCCATCCGAACTCAGACGGGAGTGTAATGCGACTTTCATCAGACGTGCAAGCGTGTCTCGTCATCGGACGAGAAAAGCTTGCCTTCGCACTCAGGAAACATACCTTCTCTTGGTTGTACAATAAGAAGATCATCCCGTGCTCGCGGTGCTCTGCCAAACCAGAGTGCACAGCGGCGCGAAACCAGCTGATCCGCAAAGTGTGGATGCCCGTCCCTAATATCTCTTTGGCCCTCGACGTGTGGAATCGATCAGAGTTTGCCTCTGGCCTTTGTAGTTTCTGTGCTTACACGGCGGAGAAGCTTTTCCATTCCGGCCAAGAGAAGTTGTGGATTGAGCTGCCGTCTTACTTCGGATTGCCCAGCTGGGATGAACTGGAAAATTTAGATGATCCGGGTTCCCCCTCTTTGTCGTGATGTTCGCTCCTTGTTGGCAGAATCGCGCTGTTGGGATCCTATTCCTCCGAACTGTCAATCGTAGACGATCTAAATGCAATCATGTAGTATGCGATTCGAACGGCATCAATGTTCCATTGAAAGATTGGTGGCCTAGTGCAGCAAGAATTTGCACGCAGTCCGGCGACCAGTGCGTGGTTCTTCAGTTGGAGGACTCCCCTTATCGGCGGAAGCGTGAACTAGCAAGAGAAGCACTTGATATTCAACACTACATTACATGGTATTGCCCAAAGCTTTCAAAGTACCAACCCACAAGATTTCGAACGGATAGAGCGTTAGAGCTAAGGCTTGACGCTTTCAATTTGAGACTCGGATGTTGTACACGCCACACTCGAGCCAGATGACGGTGAATACCTTGATCAGACTGTCCCAAGTCTTCTCTTTAGGGACCGAATCTTGGCCTCCTTCAATGCAACCTCCTTCTGACAATTCAAAAAATTCAGGTGAAGAAAGTCATGGTTGAGATGAAGAACTGTACCTGTAAGGCCTGATGAAATTTCCAGTAGGGATCGGCGAAATGAGCAGGAAGGGATAAGAATAAATGATCTTACCTCCCGCTCTGCGATTTCTTTTTCCAGTGCCTTTAGTTCCGCCGATTTCTCTTCTAACTTTCGTCGTAACTAGCGAAAATAATGAAGACAGGCAAATGAGAAGTACATCACTGAAAACCAGAAAAAATGTACCTGTGCTAGAGACGGAAGTGGTGCCACATCTGAAGAGTCGGAAGAGGGATTTGATCTTGTATGATTGGAAGAAGACTCCGGTCCAGATGGCGGTACCGGCCGCGTCAAGGCGGCTTCCAAGTCGATTATTTCTGTAAACGATGTGGTAGCAGTTTTCTTGGAAGAAGACTCCGGCGCAGGTGGCCGTACTGGCCGCGTCAACTGGGCTTCCAAGTCTATTATTCCTTGAAGAAGAGTTTGATTTTATTTGCTTCAATTTGGGTGGAAGTAGAACATTACCTGTATTTGACGTCTGGCGAGATTTTGCGCTAGGTGACTCAACCCTTCGCCGTTTCGCGGAGGCAAGCTTGGGACTTGAAGCGGATGGCTCGGCGGCTTGTATCCGTTTGGCGGGTGTCGAAGGCGCTGCTGATGCATCTATGAAGTTGAATTGAAATACAATATATGGGGCTTTCCCTTCGTTTTTATCATCCACTACGTCAGCTTCAATAGTGCAGTCGTGATCTCCAGGTTGACCGGGGACTGGGTTTTCCGAGAAGGCAATGACCCCTTGTGTTCGTCGGAGTTCCAGTCTGACGAAACCAAGACGTGCTGGTTTGTGGTATCAAGCAGCCACCCAATATAAGAAGCCTGAGCACGTACCATCCTCTAAAACAGAACGGGGAGCTTCGAGATGTCCATTGCGTTTGTACGGAGGAAAAAGTCGACTTTTAGTCGAGCTAAGGGCCTGAGATCTTGGATCCCGCTGGTCTATAAAATGACTAGCAATGGCTACGCCTTCGGGAAACTGATTGTCGTCCTTGTTACGACCACTTCGGGGTGTGGAGGAGACAAATGCCTCCCAAAAAGCTGAAAGGGGAGGGGAGTTCGGGCTACACTTCCAGTTGATGGTATAAAGCTGAAATGTAAAAGGATAGTCATCGATTAACTAGGCATCTGCCGCACGTAGACAAATCCCGTAGCTTATGGGAGAAATCTTATTACTCACTGCTCCGCGTTTGATACTAACGGTAGCTGAGATTGTGTTGTCTTTCACTGAGTCACTGGTGTGAGGAATGATTTGGCCCTTGGGGTCAACCAACCACACATCCATTCCTCGATGAGTCAAATATTTTTCCATGGGTGGTTCAAGTGCAGTGCTAGGAATCGCAACTCTGGTGATAACGATAAGAAAGTCGAGGAGCCAAATAACGGTCAACACAAGTTGCATTATCCCTCTTCACGGATCCTGACAGCGACCACAAAACAAGCTATTCTTAGAGGACGTTCTTCGCCGCTTACTTACATTGTTGTCTGGTCCAATGACGGACGAGTACCCCAGTCTGTTCCGTATGTGTTTTTCCCAAAAATTTCGAACCGCGCACTCACAAAACCAAAGGCTCGGAACGGATGAGTTTGGTGCAGCTCTTCGTACCAACTGAAGTTGCCCATGATACTGTTGCTGAGTTAGGCGAACTTGGAAATGTCCAGTTCAACGATGTAAGGGGCCCAAGCATCGCCGTGAACCAACTCACCCTCGCTGTTCAAACAGTTAAACCCCAGCGTCAACCCATTCCAGCGTTCTTTTGTCGGTGAGATTCGTCGGATCGATGAAATGGCCCGTCGCGTCCGATTCTTCGCCACACAAATTGAGAAAGAGAAAGACGTGATTCCCATTCGACCTCTGTATGACTCGGCCCCTCTAATCACCGTGGGTCCCCGTGCTGCGCACACCATCGACGAGCTGGACACCACTCTTGCGGAGCACGAGACGAGACTTACGAAGATGAACGATAGTTACCAAATTTTGAGTGACAGGACGAAGGAACTCATTGAGGCTAGGCATGTACTGAGGGAAACAGCGGTCTTTTTCGAGAAGGTTAGTGCGCTTGATACTGCATGCTGTGAAACGCCTATGATGTCCTTGAAAGGCACAAGGCCGCCGGTCTGATATCCGCTCGTCTTTTGACGATAGTTCGGCTCCCCTCTTGCACCATGAAGATCGGGAGAGTCAGTTTTCGCCAGCTGAAGTGCAGTTTGATCTCGAGTGGGTCTTCCGAGGAAATTCATCTAATTTTTGCAACTGACCTTGCGTTTAGGTTTGTTGCTGGGACCATTGAGCGCTCCCGCGTTCCTACCTTCGAACGAGTGCTGTGGCGCGTACTCCGCGGAAATCTGTACATGAACCACACGGATATAGTAGAGCCTTTCATCGACCCCACCACTCTCGTCGAGACCCGTAAGAACGTTTTCATCATCTTCGCTCACGGCGATGCTCTCCTCGCCAAAATTCGCAAAGTGGCAGAGTCAATGGGGGCGACGATTTACCCTATCGACCCTAACGCTAACAAACGCTCCGAATCTCTTCGCGAGGTTACGATCCGTCTGGAAGATCTGGAGACGGCATTATACAGGACCGGGTTAACCAGGCGGTCCGAGCTGGTGTTGGTTGGCGAAAGTCTTCGCAGCTGGCAAGATGTTGTTAGGAAGGAGAAGATGATCTACGAAGCTCTCAACCTATTCAATTACGATGTTCGCAGGAAGACGCTCATTGCTGAGGCGTGGGTTCCAACCCGGGATATTGTCACCATCCAGTTAGCGTTGAGGCATGCTACGGTCAGTCTTACGCGTCAGTCAGAACCGCACTCGCTCATTCATTCGTTCAGGAGGAGTCCGGCACAAGTGTCCCGCCCATCTTGCAAGAGCTCCAAACGTTTAAGACGCCGCCTACTTTCCACAAGACGAACAAATTTACAGAGGGTTTCCAAACTATCATGGACAGCTATGGTATTGCCAGGTACCAAGAAGTCAATCCAGGCTTATTCGCCGTCGCGACCTTCCCTTTTTTGTTCGCTGTCATGTTCGGTGATATTGGTCATGGTGCTATCATTTTCTGCGCTGCGTTGTACATGATTCTTTCTGAGAGACGACTGGCCAAGGCAGATCTTGACGAGGTGCGTTCCAGAATCCCATCGTTTTGAAGCGCGAGGCCAATTGACGATGATAGATTACTGGTCAATTTTTCTTGTGAGTACCAGCCCTTTTCTTGCTTGTTGTGGATTGGTTAATGTTTGTTTATGCAGTGGTCGCTACATCATTCTTCTTATGGGCCTGTTTTCGATGTACACCGGCTTCATGTACAACGATATCTTCTCGAAGTCACTCCATATCTGGCACTCAGGATGGACTTTCCCCGAAGGCAGTGGAACGATCACGGGAGCATTCAATGGACATACCTATCCTTTTGGGCTTGACCCTGGCTGGCACGGAGCCGACAACGCGCTCGTTTTCACGAATTCCTACAAGATGAAAATGTCGATTGTTCTTGGTGTCATACACGTTTGTTTTATGGTTCTACAGCGTTTTTCTTTCACTAAGGTCCATTGGCTTCATAGATGACATTTGCGCTGTGTCTTCAGGTTCCAAATCATTTCAAGTTCAAGCGAACTGTGGACATATACACCAACTTCATACCCCAAATGGTATTCTTGCAATCGATTTTCGGCTATCTCGTGCTGTGCATTCTGTACAAGTGGTCGATTGATTGGTCGAAGTCCGCTGCTGGGCCTCCGTCACTGCTGAATATGCTTATTTCTATGTTTTTGGAACCTGGAACGATTGCACCTGGGAATAGGCTCTACCGCGGACAGGGAACTGTCCAAGTGGTGTTGTTACTTATGGCTGCAGTTTGTGTCCCTTGGCTCTTGATCGCGAAGCCTTATCTCCTATGGAAAGAAACACATAAGGTCCATGGACAAGGCTATGTTGGTATCGGGCATGATGAGCCTGTTAGGCATAGCACGGACGATGCCCTGGAGGGCGAGGAGGAAGGGAACGGGAGAGCCATAGCGGAAGCTGCGGGCGAAGGACATGTAAATGAAAATTTTCATCCTCTTCTGCTTTTGGTTGCTAATAATGCGATCAATTATGAAGGAACAGCACGACTTCAGCGAGGTTGTGATTCATCAAATCATTCATACGATCGAGTTCTGTCTTGGGTGTATATCACATACCGCATCGTACCTCCGTCTTTGGGCCTTATCTCTTGCTCATGCACAATTGTCGGAAGTCTTATGGTCCATGACGATCGAAGGATTCCTCGGACCGACCACCCTCTTCAATTGGGCAGCATTGCTATTTATGGGAACGTTTTGGTTTGGCGCTACTGTTGGCATTCTGTGTATCATGGAGGTGCGTGTTTCCAGTTGTGACTGATGCATGAGTTGATGGCCTTGACTGATGCAGGGACTTTCGGCATTTTTACACGCCCTTCGTTTGCATTGGGTTGAGGCAAACAGTAAGCATTTTGAAGGCGGTGGCTATGTGCGTTTTTGACATTTTGGCCTGTTTCGTGACTTGAAACACTAATGTTGTTTTATTGTAGGCGTTTGCTCCCTTGAGCTTCGCAAGCAGAGAGTGAATGGACGGTTGAGTCAACGTGCGGTTGACGATCCTATCAGACGGACTCTTTCCCACTCCGTAGTCTTTATTGTTCTGGCCTCGCTCTCACATTACGAATTCAACAAACCCGTTTTTTCACTGCGTCCTGCGTCAAACTAAGCATTGCCATTGGAGATTGATGCAACCTAGAGCTATCGTATGATTGTCGTTGTGCTTCCAGGGGTACCGCCTACCCCGCATCTCCGTTGAGCGCCGCCACAACATTGAATTGGGGTGCAATTGTCACGCGGTGGATGAATTGGGCGATCGATGTAAGTTTTTTCAAACTCCGACCAAGGTGATTAAAAGCAGTGACATCCATTATTGACCGTTCTTTACATTCCCCGTCTTTTTTTCTTTCCCCCCATAGAGGTGAGCACATACGGTCCATCGCCCACGAGTACCATACTGACCGCAGCTCCTGCAGGCACTTTGCCACACATAGAAATAGAGCGTCCTTTGCTTCTTGCCAGCTTTTGTCTGCCATTAACGACTTAAAGACATCTCTCAACCGGACTATCAACACTTAGGTGTGTTTTCCTACTATTCTTTGTTTTTTTGTCGGTGTTATAGCCGAACTCAACAGTATCTCACTAGATACCGGAATGCCTGCTGCCACCGCTACTGCTGCTGCAATCCCATCTCCCGCTTCTCTCAAAGCCGCCGTTGTCGCCGACGGCCAAATGAATATCTCCGCACTCTTCGTAGCTGACAAAGCTGCACGCGAATCCGCTGCAAAGCCCCTAGTTGCAATCGCTCAAAAAGAAGGCCCCGCGGCTTTACAATCCGCCGGATTCGCCGATGCTATCGTCAAGGCTCTTGCCGACAAAAAATCCCCTGCTACCCGTGAGGGTGCTGCTAATGCCATTATCGCTCTCGCCAAGAACGGCGCCATCAGGGCGCTCGAGCCTATTTTCATCGATTCTGGCATTTACAATGCCCTCCTCGAGACTTTTGCCGACAAGATGCCCGCTGTGAGGACAGCTGCCGTCGAAGCGGTTCGGGAGTATGTCGCTGCCATGAGCCCATGGGCCACTGCTCTCATCCTTCCTGCTCTTCTTCACGAGATCAAAACTGCCGGCAAGTGGCAGATCAAGACCGGCTCTCTCGTCATTCTCAATCAGCTTGTCACGAGCGCTCCTGTCCAGACTGCTCGTCTCATGCCTGAGATCGTCCCTGTCCTCTCAGAGGCAATTTGGGATACCAAGGCCGACGTGAAGAAGGCTGCCCGTGATTCACTTACAAAAGCCACCGCTCTGGTGTCGAACAAGGACATAGAACGCTTTATTCCTGCTCTTATTAAGGCTCTTATTAATCCTGTCGAGGAGGTTCCGGGCACCATTGCCCTCCTCTCGGCCACCACATTCGTTTCTGAAGTAGATTCGCCCACCCTTTCCCTCATGGTCCCTCTCCTGTCTCGTGGTCTCTCCGAAAAGCTGACCGCCACCAAGCGAAAGGTTGCTGTGTGCGTGTTGTATTATGTGGAAAGAGTATGCCACTGATCTTACTTTACAGCATCGTCGACAACATGGCCAAGCTCGTCGACTCTCACGTCACTGTCCGACCTTTCCTTCCCAGCCTTCTCCCTGGTCTCCTCAAGGTTGAGTCCGCCATCGGTGACCCAGAAGCCCGAGGTGTTGTCGCTCGTGCCATCGCCACCTTGCGCCAGGTCGGCCAGGTGCCTGAGGGTGATGGTTCTGACCTCCCCCCTCTCAAGCACGCTGAAGGAGGTCAGCTCGCCCACTCCCTTGTCCAGATCTACAAGAAATTGGGTACCGAGATTTCCCCTGGCAACCTCGACACCATGTATGCGTCCGCCCTTGCTGCCAACCTCGTCAACTCCAAGAACTTCGAAGTTCCTGAATGGGACACCCTTGCTCCTTACCTCACCTTCATCGCTGCCACGCCTGAGCCCGTCACAGTCGCTCGTGAGTGGGTCGTTCGCTCTGCCACTGAGGGCACAGACGACGAGGAGGTCCCCGAAGATGAAGAGGAAGGCGAAGACCTTTGCAACTGCCAATTCTCTCTGGCTTATGGTGCCAAGATCCTGCTCAACACTGCTGTTCTCCGTCTTAAGCGTGGCCATCGCTACGGTCTATGCGGTAAGAACGGTACTGGAAAGTCGACCCTCATGCGCGCCATCACCAACGGCCAAGTCGAGGGCTTCCCATCTCCTGATGAGGTTCGCACCTTCTATGTTGAGCACGACATTGACGGGAGCGAAGAAGAAACTTCCGTTCTTGAGTTCATCGTCACTGACAAGCGTATTCTCGCTACCAAGGAGGACATCATTGAGACCCTTGCATCTGTTGGTTTCAGTGACGAGCGTCAAGCTCAGGCCATCGGCAGTTTGTCTGGTGGTTGGAAGATGAAGCTTGCACTGGCCCGCGCGATGTTGTTCAAGGCAGACATTCTTCTACTTGATGAGCCCACTAACCATCTCGACGTTGTCAATGTTGCTTGGTTGGAGAATTACTTGACCAACCTGAAGACCTGCACTTCCAGTGCGTTTTATTCATTCTTCTTTGATTTTGTTTACTCACATGCCTCTGTACAGTTATCGTCTCTCACGATTCCAGCTTCCTTAACAACACCATCACCGACGTCCTCCATCTTAACCGCTTCAAGCTTCGCAGATATCGTGGTAACCTCGAGAAGTTCGTTCAACAAGTTCCCGAGGCCAAGTCCTACTATACTCTTGAGGCTGCTGAGGATTACAAATTCAAGCTCCCTGATCCCCCTCTTCTTGAGGGTGTCAAGACCAAGGAGAAGAGTCTGCTTAAGATGTAAGTTTGACTGTCCTGTGTGGCCATCTGGATGCTGACTGGCAACGTAGGCGCAAGGTTGGCTTCCAATACCCAACACAACCTGTTCAGCAACTCTACGACATCACACTCCAAGTCTCCCTCTCTTCGCGTGTTGCCGTTCTCGGTCCCAACGGTTCCGGCAAGTCCACTCTCGTCAAGCTCTTGATTGGCGACATGGAGGCAAACAAGGGCGGTGAGATCTGGAAGCACCCCAACTTGGTCATCGGTTACGTTGCTCAGCATGCCTTCCACCACATCGATCATCACCTTGACAAGACTCCCCTCGAGTACATGCTCTGGCGTTACCAGACTGGTGAAGATTTGGAGGAGATGACCAAGGCCAACCGCCAGATCTCGGAGGAGGAGATGCAGAAGATGAAGGATGGTGCCTTGATCGTTATCGAAGGTCAGAAGAGGACCATCGATGAGATTCTCGCCAGGAAGAAGCTCAAGCAGTCGTACGAGTATGAGGTTTCCTTCAAGGGCCTCAGCTCTTCTGAAAACATTTGGTTGCCCCGTGACGACCTCGTCAAGCGCGGTTTTGAGAAGGTTTATCGATTCATCTTCTTTTCCTTTGCTATTCTCATTGCGTTTTCATTCACAGAAAGTCATCGAAGTTGACACCCGTGAGGCCCAGCGCCTCGGCTTGCTCCGCCCCCTTGTTCGCCGGGAGATTGAGAAGCACTTCGCCGACTTCGGTCTTGAGCCCGAGTTCGTCTCGCATAACACCATGAGGGGTCTTTCTGGTGGTCAGAAAGTCAAGATTGTGCTTGGTGCTGCTACATGGCGTCGTCCCCACGTCATGTGCTTGGATGAACCTACCAGTGAGTTTCAATTGTGTTTCGTTGTATTTTGTTCGGGACTCACTTTCATCGTTAGATTATCTCGATCGTGAATCGCTCGCTGCGCTCATCGAGGCGCTCAAGGTCTTTGAGGGTGGTGTGCTCGTCATTACTCACAACCGAGACTTCTCCGAGTCACTCTGCAAGGAAGTTTGGGCCATGCGCGACGGTCGCTTGGAGGCATCTGGCCACAACTGGGTTGAGGGTCAGGGCTCAGGGGCACGCATTGATAAGAATGACGGAGAGGAGGATGTCCAGTACGATGCTATGGGCAACAAGATCGACAACAAGAAGGCCAAGAAGTTGACGTCGTCAGAGCAACGCAAGGTATGTCTACTGTCTTCACCTTTGGTTTCTTCGGCTAACTCTCCTTTTCCCCACAGCTCAAGAAGGAGCGCATGGCACGGAAGAAGAGAGGCGAGGAGGTCACTGATGATGAGCTCTAAGCTTGTTTCAAATCTTGCATTGTTCATATGTATACCATCAGTTTCTTCTTGTCCCTCCATCTCTTGCATGTTATACCGTTGTCTCCTACACTCGTCTATCTTCCATGTTGTTTGTATGTCCAGTATGTACTATGGCTCACCTGTCCCTAATTCTTTATTTTATGAATGCATCTACTTCACGATTTCCATGATAAATGGCGGGGTTCTTGGAACCGATTCGGTTGGAAATGAGTAAGCTGTCTACATGTACATAGTACGGCGGTATCTAGAAACTATTACAGGCTGGGTGATGACCTTCTCGAAGTCAATTTCCAACTGATTTCTGTTCCTTCCCCTCCCAAGCGTCTTACGACTCCATCGCCCTCTAACTTCTTCAAATGTAAGTTGATACCATGCGCCGCAGGGAGCCACAAGGACTCCGGATATGCAGAGTATAAAGTCTTGACTATCAACCATGTGGTCCAATCTGTCTGCCCAGATGGAACGGGGGACTGAAGCACCTGCACAACCTGGGCCTCGCGATCGAGCCTATGCTTGATGTACGTCGCAATGAGTTCACGGCCGTTGGTAACGACGGGGCCGTGTCCAGGATAAAGGGAGACGTAAGGCGACTCAGAGTCTGAATCAAATTGCAGCATCTTGTTTAAACTTGTAAGGTAGGTTGAAAGATCCTCGAATACTGTTGTTCCTTGCCCGAGAACGGTATCTGCTGTATAGAGGGCGCGGTCTTGTGGGATGTGCAGACAGATGGAGTCGGTTGTATGTCCTGGGGTGTGTAACACACGCACTGTAGACGTTGGTGAGGACTCTGCTGTTAAGATTTGATCATCGTAGAGGTCGTGGAATGGGGATCCGTCTGGAGATGGAGTATACGAGTCTTTCGGGAGGGAGCTAATGAGAGAGGGGATTTTATGATGACTTGATGTATATTCGTCTTCAGCGTTTGAAGATAGAGGGAATTTGTGCAGGCGAGGTGGTTTATATGGGAGTGTCGGGTTACGTTCTTCCCATAAACGACGCAGGAGAGATAAGACTGCAGGAAGACCACAGACATGGTCATGGTGCCAATGCGATATGACGATGTCGGAGACGTCTGGTTCGTTCGTATTTGCACACTTCGCGGTTTCGCGAAAGGTAGATTCGAGCACTGGTATGTACTCCTCGCGGCCTTCAGCAGTGTCAATGAGGATATACGGGTTCTGTTTCCCAATGATGTAGGTATTGGTTCCTGCAGCAATAGATTAGTGCTGCTTAAAGTTAGGGGTATAGACGATCTACCTTGCAGGGTAAACTTGCCCGGGTTCTATGATAGTAACAAGGTCTGATATTAGTGGACAAGTCGATTATGGGTGGATGGAGTGATATCCACCTGCCCCAATACCCTGACTACGTGCTCGCTCATCTGGAATTGACATTAGAATTTATTGGACGATAGAACGGGGTTCAAAGTATACCCGTGTTACGTTTGGCAAGGGTTCCAGCTTCTCCATGGTTATAAACTGGCCTCTAGCAGAAGGAAGATAGATCGCATGTGTTGTTAACTGCCTCCTCCGGGTTTTAAAGCGAGCGAAAGCCCGGTGCGTCGTAATGTAATGTCTGCTTATGTACATTCCATGTGATTCGGTCGCCATAAGGAGACGAGAGCATACCTAGGAAGCTTCCCAAGAAAGCATTTCGCGAAGAGCATGCATTTAATTGAACAAAGCTGAACTTGGAGGTAGCGAGGTCCAGAATATTTGAACTTGAGGTTTTATGTAAGGTCAAGATTTTTTTATTGAGTTCCAACTAAACCCAGGACTTGTTTGGTAATTGCTCATGCCTGAGCTCTACATCCGACATCTACATACAGATTCGCCCCCGAGAAAAGCAAAGCGTTATACTTGTCGTTAAATATATAAAATACTCTTAAATATACGATAGGCCCTCTTTTAACAGACCCTAATCCTGCCAACTGAGGGATCATGATCGCTAACTTGCGATTTCGAATTAGGGGCCCAAGTATTCGCATGGATGTGTTCGAATTCGACCTTCTTGAGCCTTAGGGCAAGGGAGATGAAAGCGTGGTCGAGCTGCTCCGAGTTCTGGTCATAGACGTAGGAGTAACGCTCCAACTCAGGGATGCCGGCAGCGTCGTCAATGTCGGAGAGTATAGGGGTGAAGGGCTTGTATACAGAGCGGGTCTGAATAAACTCGTTGAAGTCTCCAGCAATGACGATGTTGGCCAAGGGGTTTTTTTGGAGGAGGGATTTAATGAAAGTCTGGAGCAAGGTGATGAGCACATGCACAGTCAAGATCTGCGGAAGATCGGGCTTACAGCAATGGTAGAAATTTGGTTGGTTCGCGCCTGGATGGGAGAGTTGACAGGTGGTCGTGCGTCTCCGTTAGTAGTGGTGCTTCCACCCTTGGAGGCGAGGTGAACGTTGACGGTGAACAGGGAACTCTTCAAAGGACCGACTGCCCAGTGCGCTACAAGAGGCTTACGGCTCGAGTTCCACGCCGTATTGGTTGGGTCAATGCGGCCTGGATTGAAGTTGAGTTTAGGGTTGAAGAGGGTTCCTTGCACAACAGTTTTGTCGAGTGAACCTCCAGCTGGCGACCCTCCGACGAGTTCGAGTTTCTCTGGGCGATACCTAGACCAGCAGTTTTAGTAAGCAACAAACAAGTAAGATTCACAAATCCTCACAAGTAAGCAACCCGGATATTTCCACCTGGAACACCACCGTCTTGGCCGTCGATGGGGTTGATGGATGCAAACTTGTAGGTAACGTTGCTGAGGGACGCGATGGAGTTTACAAGATTGGTAAGGGTGACGTTGGCGTCAACAACACCATCATCTTTTGCGCCAGAGTTGTCTTGGACTTCCTGAATGAACATGATATCGGGGGTCTTCAGGTAGTTGACAATGTGTGCTGCGACTGCGGGCAAATGGGCGCCAGTTGGTGGCATATTTTGAACCTACGGTAGAGTGGTCAGTACAGTCAAAAACTGATATCTGGTGCATACATTGTAATCTCCGAATGTGACAGTGCACAAATCGCGTGTCGACGATGTCAACGTAGTGGCGGGGATGTTAGCACTTGGGGTCGAGATAATTTGAGGCGCAGTGAGCGGGAGCACGTAGTAATACCCGTATCTGAATTTCGCAACTATAAATAAGCAAGGGCTCTTCTGATCCAAAAAAATAAACATGACACTTACTGGTATGTCACAACACCTGTGATGTCGGTCAAGCCAACACCAACGGCAGTTTGCGGGTTTTTGGTCTTGTCAAGTGGCGAGCCAATGAAAATTGCCTCAGGGTTGCCATCGGGAACCCCGTCCTGACCTATTGTCGCAAATGAGTCTGTATAAAAATGCTAAGAAGGCCTTAACATACCGAAGTTGAGAGTGATGCCTCCGCGACTGTTTACGCCAGTCTTTTTCCAGTTTCCGACAGCCCAGAACTCGCCGTAAGAGGTCGTGAATGCGACGGCCGTTGGTTTGGGAATTGTGACGAGTTGGCCTTCAAGACTCTGCCAGAAGTCCAAGCCGTAGTTGTCTGGCTGCAGGGCAGCATTAACCGTGTTGATGCGGCTGGAGTTGTTGGGAACTGATAAAAAGCCGTCGTGCCCTTTGTCGAGGGCAGAGAATTTTTGAGTAGGGGGGCTTCGGTCCTTGCCGAGGACAACCGGGGTCACAGTGTTGTTGGAGGAAAGAACGATGATATTTGTAGGGTATTCGAGTTCGGTCAAGTGGAAGTAGTCGGGATAGGCGGATGAACGGTATTCAGTAATGTTTCCGCTTAATGAAATGTAATCCCCGACGTTGACGGCGCCAAGAACCGCTTTAGCTGAGGAGTAGACCATTAACCCATTTGAGACGCGAACGTCCTTGGATTTCTCCCCGGCAATCCAGAAGCCAGTTGTTCCCTAGTAAATGATGTTCGAAAGATGAATAGCCCAAACAAAAGGCATATCTCACCTTGGCTGTCACCAACCCAGTGACATTCTGGACAGCTTTGTTCGCGAACGGACTGAGCCAAGCATTTCCTTTAATGTCGGAGATGGTGGTAGAGAATACGACGGTTATAGCGCTAGTGAAGAATAAAAGAGAGTAGAGTTTCGCCATGATGGCTGAAATAGATGAAGATATCTCGCCGGTGGAGGTGAGGGCCCACTGGATGACCTGAAAACGACGCGAGAAAGCTCATTTTAAGTCAAGGTGTACGAATGGACAATGAAGCACGTTTACTGCTTGAGCACATGTACTCGCTGGATAGGAACTCATTTCGGAAAGCGGCTGATAGTATAATGTCGACCGCGTGGAGAGGATTGCCAAGAAATAGCGGAACTACGATGAGTATTCAGTGTGGAGACCAGGCGCTATCGTGGTGGTTGTGCTTCAGAACCCACTCTGGATGTTGTTGGACGGGGTGACGTCGACAGATAGCCATAGATCACCTTCAGGATCGTGTCAGGACCACCTCGAAAAGGTGTGTTGAGCGGTTCTGGCTTGGCAGCACGCGTCGGTGTTTGTGGCAAGTTGTTTACCCACTTTGGCTTCACCCAAGCTTCGCCACCACTGGGAGTCTACGATGAGAACGTTCGTCTTTGTCGTCAAGTTGACTAAAACTAGGGCCATAAATTACTCATGGAATACCTCTACCCGTATTCTGGATAATGAAATCTTAATTTTTCAACGTAATCGTAGATTATCCCCAGGTTTTTTCATTAAGAAACGCTAGCCTTCGAGATCCACGTGTGTGGACTGCAGTGGTTCCAGCGAGGCTCTGGAATTAACAGCGATCGTCTCAGCGGAATATGTCAGACGTCCAGAGAATGTGTGTATATGGTGTAAGCCTGTGTAAGTCACGATGACGCTGACTCTGAAATAGCCAGGTCAGGCTATCCTTTGGTACTACGATGAGGCCGACTAATAGCAGAACCAAGATCAACAGTGGGTGGGAGGAAGGTGGGAGGGTTTTAGAAGTTGAACTCTAGCGCAGGGTTCCTAATTTCCACCCGCTCATGTCAGAGATTCTTGCTGCCGCGAGTCGCAATAACATGGCGAAAAAGACAATCCATTGTTACAAGGAATGAAGATTTTCGACGTCCGTTTGGAAAGAAAAAAGAGAGTATCTTCTTCAGGACGACGATTCGATTCTTGGGGACATCCAGAGTATAACTGGATCTAGCACGGACGTAACAAGCACAGTTCCGTTAAAGCTTTCAGAGAAGGCACACGATAGTACTGAACTCGAAAAGATGTTCGGCTTGGATCGTTACAGTGATGAAATTGCGTTGAGCTTAACACAAATTCTTGGAATTTGTGTATCAATGTTTGTCCCACTTGCCGTGGCCAAACACGTTCAAGCACCAGCGGATCCGCTCAGCGACAACATTCGCGACAACGACCAACACGACTGTAGAAAATGTCAGCTGCAGTTCGTGATGGGACCCCGCAAAAGAGAAAGAGGTAATTGTTCGATTTCACATCTTAGAGCACAAGCTGACATTCCAATAGGTCTCGTTCCAATTCTCCTGATGTAGATGGCGCACCACCATCAAGCCGTCGCAGGTCCCACTCCCCCCCTCCAGCATCCCGAATCGAGCTCCCCAGAGTCGTTGACGCAGACCCCGCACGAAAAGCAGAGCGAGAACGTCAGCTCGCAGCCCGTATCGCCGCCATGGAGCTCGAAAAAGCCGAGAAACCGAAGGAAAAAGAATCTGCGAAGGAACTGGATGCGAAGGCAGAGTTCGCCAAACTGGTGGGGTCACGGTCAGGTGGCGTGTACATGCCCCCCGCGCGCTTGCGTGCCCTTCAGGCGGCTGCATCGTCAGACAAGACGAGCCCTGAATATCAACGACTTTCCTGGGATGCCCTTCGGAAATCGATCACTGGTATTGTCAATCGAGTCAATATTGCCAATATCAAACAGGTGGTACCGGAACTCTTTGCTGAGAACCTTATCCGGGGAAGGGGCTTGTTTGCCAGGAGTGTAATGAAAGCCCAGGCAGCAAGTTTGCCGTTCACGCCAGTATTCGCGGCGGTTGTTGCCATCATCAATACAAAACTGCCTCAGGTTGGAGAGCTTCTTCTGACTCGCTTGATTAGTCAGTTCAGGCGGTCGTTCAAACGAAACGACAAAGTAAGTATCACGAACTACTGCAAAGTCGCTACACCACTGACGTACTCCAACCAGATTGTTTGCCATTCTACCACAACATTCATCGCTCATTTGGTGAACCAAGCTGTCGCCCACGAGATTATAGCGCTTCAAATTCTGGTCCTACTGCTTGAACGCCCCACTGATGACTCAATCGAGATAGCTGTCGGCTTCATGCGTGAAGTTGGCGCATTCCTGACAGAAAATTCTCCAAAGGCCAATGCGACTGTGTTTGAGCGCTTCCGCGCCGTTCTTAACGAAGGCAGCATCAGTCAACGTGTTCAATATATGATCGAGGTCCTGATGCAAGTGCGAAAGGATAAGTACAAGGATAACCCTATCCTTCCGGAAGGTCTGGATTTGGTAGACGAGGATGAACAAATCACTCACCAAATTCAGCTCGAGGAGGAGCTTCAGGTTCAGGAAGGGTTGAGTAAGTCCTCATTCACCTCTCCTTTCGAAGAGTGATGCTGATGTCTCGCATTAGATATCTTCAAGTTCGATCCAAAATATTTGGAAAACGAAGAAAAGTACAAAAGCATCAAGGCTGAGATTCTTGGGGAGGATTCTGAAGAGGAGTCTGGTTCTGAAGAATCGAGCGATGATGACGAGGACGAAGGTAAGTCTGTGTGAATCCTTTACGTTACATCTACTGAATCTCTCCTAGTTGCAGAAACTAAGGAAGGAATCGAGGACAGGACTGAGACCAACTTGGTTAATCTGCGCAGAATTATCTACCTGACCATCATGAACGCTCTCAACTACGAGGAAGCCGTTCACAAACTTTTGAAAGTTCAGCTTCAGGAAGGCCAAGAGGTAAACTCATCGCTAATACAAATGTTCCGAATCACTCACTTACATTCCCTGATAGATTGAACTCGTGAACATGATCATCGAGTGTTGCTCTCAAGAACGGTCATACTCCACTTTCTATGGGCTAGTTGGAGAACGATTCAGCAAATTGAACAGAGTATGGACAGACTGCTTCGAAAACGCGTTCGGAAATTACTACACTACCATTCATCGGTATGAAACCAATCGGCTGCGCAACATCGCCCGCTTTTTTGGACATCTGCTTGGCTCTGACTCCATTTCTTGGATGGCGTTTGAATGCGTCAAAATCAATGAAGACGACACCACTTCTAGCAGTCGTATCTTCATCAAAATTCTCATGCAAGAAATGATGGAAAGCATGGGATTAAAGGTGCTCGCGGAGCGGTTCAAAGATCCAGAGGTGAAGAGGGGCTGTGCGGGAATGTTCCCAATGGATGTGCCGAAGAACACTCGGTTTGCGATCAACTACTTTACCAGTATTGGGTTGGGTGTTATCACGGAAGAAATGAGAGAGTACCTCAAGGTTTGCTTTTCTAACTGTGTGTCTTTGACATCTAGCTCATGGATTGTACCACAGAACGCACCAAAACTCATCATGGAACAACGGCGTGCTATGCTAGAGGCGGAATCCTCTTCTTCCTCCGACTCTGATTCGGATTCCTCCGATTCAGACACAAGTTCGGATTCGGACTCTCTTAAGTCTGATTTATCCAAAGGCTCTCGTCGTCATCGCGGGCGTCGTACGCCGACTCCCCCTCGTCGAAGGGGCCGAAGCCATTCTCGATCCGCTACACCTCCACGTAGACGAGTCAATTCAAGGTCACCACCACCTCCCCGCCGTCAACGAGACGTCTCCATGTCTCGTTCTCCCCCTCCAAAGTCCCGTCGAGATCGAGATATTTCCAGATCCAGAACGCCCAGACGGCGCTCGCCATCTCCAGCACCTCGACGACGGGAGCGAGAGCGCGACTACTCCCCTCCTCCTCCACGAAAGGCAGCACGCTCTCCGCCTCCTCCACGAAACGGACGCGATGAACGCCGTCGTCCGCCTCCTTCTCCTTCTCCCCCACCACCACCCACTCGTAGAGGCGGGGGAGGCGGGTCGCGTTCCCGTTCGCCTCCTCCGACTATGAGGAGACGCGATACGAGGTCGAGGTCTCCTGCTCCGTTCATGGCTCGTGCTGGCGGGCCTGCTCCTGTGAAAAGAAGTGAGGACGTGGGAAGGGAGAAGTATACGGACAGGGACAGGGATAGGTCTTCGCCTCCTAGGAGGGAGCGAATGGATTCGAGGGAGAGGGAGAGAGACAGGGATAAGGGGTATGGAAGGAGGAGGTAATTTGGGAATGATACGATGGTCGAAACATGATCAAATGAGTTGCTTTGGAATGCAGTTTGATTTCATGAGATGTGGTACATTTCACCATGATGTCTACAGCCCATGTACTTGCTTATGTGGCACGAGTCTATGTCCTATGAACGTTGTCTTAGTTGGGTGGTAACACGGTTTTTTCAATATCAAAAAGCCAAAGTAGAGGATTGGAAAGGTAGAAAAGTCCTACAGATACTGGAAAATATTTGTCCAAACTTAACAAAGCCTGCCAATCAAAGTGTTAAACAAGCTCCGGGCCAGAATCCCAATCATCATCACCGTCGCTGTCGAGTGAAAGTGTCTCCAAGCCTGTGGATTTAGAATGCTCAAAGGCATGACATTGTATACCGTTGACCTCGTTCTGGAGTGACTCGAGATCTTGCAACAAAATTATGCCAAATTTGAGGTTCATCTCGTCCACAACACGGCTGGGTGTCCATAGTGGTAGAGTGCACGCTGAAATATTACCGTGCCTGCCTCATACCAAAAATTCGTCATCACGGCGATTTCTTAAGATGTTGAGAAAACAGTCACATGTCGGGCAACAACGTTTCGATGTTCCAATCACCGATCCAAAATGCTGTCACCGCAGGAAAAGGAAACGAGGATCAGAGGTCAGAAATAAACAGTAAGAAAGATATTTCACCTCCAGGTCTGGCAATATTTTTATCTCTTTGTAGTATTGGGTATCACCTGGAGTCATGAGGCTCTTCGGAAAGGCATGAAGGAGGAGACTGGCAAGATAGGCTTCACAATGAATGGCACCCTTGAAGGGCTCATTACGTGCCAAATTGAGGAAAAAGTTGGTGGCACTAGGGTGTTGTTTCAATTTTTCCCTCAGAGCCTCAATCTCTGCATCTTCGCCGGTTTGCTTACATTCCCCATCTTCAATGTTTCCATCTTTGACAGCCAATACACCCTTTTCAAGGAATTTGCGTATGGTCAAGTGACGGGTGAGTTTGCCAATTGAGTTTTTCTGAGCTTGTTGATGGAGTGAGCCTGATGTGGATGGAGATGGAGTTGTATATGAAGAGATTTGAGTGGACAAATCGACTGAGAGTGTCAGCTGCATCAAAATGAGAGACCATGAGCTGCAACTAGGCTATGTAAGACTGCAGCTTTTGTGGGGGTAGGACCCCATCAAAGTCTTCTTCCTGCCCTTGTTCATGCTTGTGGGTTGACACTCCTGCACTGGTATGAGGGGGGTCATTGAGCAAGTGTTCAATGTTTTCCAAATGCATTCGGAAAGCACGGCCTTTGGCTAGCATCAGAAGTGCATAGCTGTAGTATCTGAGTTGTTCCACTGCCCTCTTGTGACTGAACAGCCATTCGGGACCACTGTAGGAGTACTTTGTATCGGGCAACAGTTCAGGACCACTGTCGGAGGAGTTTTTACTGGGGACTTGTAGGTTTAAAATGTGCTCGAAGCGATGGAAGAGGACAAGTAGTAGGTCATGAAACTCGGTACGGTGTCGTTGGTGTAGAGCTCAATGTTCCCTGACACTGTCAGGCTTTCATCAACCTTCTTGAGTAGGTGTTCAATCGTGGTGCCCAACTCGGTAGGGCTTTAGAATAGTCTCCAGGAAACGTCGATCACTATCAAACTCATCTCGGACATCACGTTCAGCCCCAGAATGATTGTCTGTTGCTTGCTTTCGGTCCTGAGACAAAAGCGGAATGTCTTTGACTCGCTTCAGAGAGTCAAAATACGGCCTTGAAAAGGTTTTATTGTTGAACCAACGTGCAATTTTCTTGTACGACATTGTAGTTATGTATAGTGAGAGCTTCAACCAAAGATTGATGGGTTTTTCATTAAGAATCTTGCACAATATCCAGAGATGGTCGTTTAATGACGGTGTGGTCCTGTTTTATAGCATGTGAGTAAAGATTGCAATGGAGTTAGTAGTACACTGCATTCACCAATTTGTATGAAGTGCAGATATATAATCAGCTGCACTTCGCTGATCCAGATCATGTGGTGGTGATGGAGAAATGATGGTGGGATGTACGGTTTCAGAGGAAGGCAGGCTTGCAGGAATGAATGGACCATTAGTGGCAGCCAAGATCTGCCAATAAGATTCGTTGTCACTGCAGTAACACCATGTTCAGCAGCGGCTAGATGAGCAAAGGCATCAGATATCTTGAGTATTCGGCGCTTAGACCTGCTCTGTATGTGATCGTCCAAGTAATCGATACGCTTGAGTTGTGTTGCGCGTGGAAGCTGGGCGAGCAGCGTAGTGATTGTCCTGAAAGCGAGGATGTTTTCGGGGATGGGTGCTAATGTTACATCAGAATCGTTGGGAATTTTCTCGCCTTCGCCCGATGGCTTGAGCTCGTTGAAAAGGTTGTTGAATTCGGACATGAGGAATGGGTTAAAGATAGAAACTTCAAGTTGTCGTGACCACAAGTCGAGCTCCCTTACATAATCCTTTGTATGACTTCGCGACAACGATATTTCTGCAGACAATAGGCGTCTTACATTGTAACAAAACAATCCAACCAGAAGACATGCAATGTAAGTAAGTTTCCAAATTTTAGTCCTAAGTATGAAAGGTAACGGTCAGGCCTTTTGACATTGGAAAGCGAGCTGTGCACATTCCAAGGTCCTTAACACCTGCTGAACACTTGAAGCATAATTGAATAGAACGAGTGGTCACAAACACAAAATGACAGCTTGTCCGGGGAGGTAGCCCACTACAAGATGCAAGAAAGTCGTAAGTGCCAGTCGTGATGTCGGCGCACAGTGCACTGAGAGTCGAGAGCAATTTGACGGCAATGGTTGAGAGATGGCCCCCTAAGAAAACGCAGTCAACAAGGCTTTCTTCAGGTACTACTAGGGGTTCCTGTTTCTTGAGCTGCCAACATGTGAGTAAAAACATCTACTTACTCTAGCCTCCTCGAGATTGTCCTTACTTGGCTATAGTAGGAGGCCAGGAAGATTTTATAGAGCACTCACGAGTCGTCTATCCTCAAGACCGACAAGACGCGAAGGCTGACAGTACCCGCCAGCCCACAACCACGTAACGACAGCTGTTCCGCATCATACAATTGAGTGATGTTTTCCTGTTAGGAATTTAGAAATAAGTACATGATGCAAACCAAAAAAAAAAAAAAGGTATGTAAAGCAAACGAAATAAAGCAAGCAAAAAGTATCAATCATCATCATCATCATAATCCGAAGGTGGAATAACCGCAATCCCAGGGCGCGGCGAACTCGCAGCCCGACTCCTCGTCGAATTCCTACTAGCCGCCCTAGACCTCGAGCTCAAACCCGGATTCGGACTCCCATGAGCACTCAAATTCCCAGAATGACTCCTCGCCCTCTGCTGCTGCCTCGCAGCATGATCCCTCGCCTCCTGCTGCGTCATCGGGAACATATGCTGACACCTCAACACAAAAGTGCACGGCAGCGGTGCCCCACATATCCTCTCCACAACCGCTTCGTTGTTTTCTATACCCCCAAACGTAACCTTATCCCTCAAAAAGTCAAGCCTTTTCATCCCTTCGCCTAGCGTTCCACCAGGCACGCCATTCGTCCGGGACCGATTATGCCTATACGCATCTGCCAAGCTCCGTTTTTGAGGCGCAGACAAACGATCATAGTCCTCTTTCTGCGTCAACCTCTGCATGTCATGATAAATGGCCTCAATAACTTCTCCACACGTCACGCCCGTCCCCTCCGTCTGTGCGCGCACCTCGATCATCCACGGATAAACCTCCGAGATGATGCGCATCGAGGAAACGCGGGGGAATGTGGCTGGTGCGTTTCGTCCGTTGGACCAGGAGACGTGTGCGGGGTCCGTGGATCGTTGGACTAGTGAGGTGTGGAAGAGCATGTTCCATTTGAGGAAGGCGCGTTCGGGCCCGGTGTCTGGGACGGGTTCTATGAGTGGGTTTAGCTTGACTTCGGCGCGGACGATGCGGATGAGGAAGGGTTCGAGGACGGGTCCGTCTGTTTTTTTTTTCTGGTTCAGCTGTTGGGAATAGATAGAAGAAGTGACGTACAGTGATCACCAGTCATGAATGGGTCCATACGATCACCGACGTGTGTTTCTGCACGGTGGAGGGGACCATGCATAGGCGGGGGTTGCGCGCCTCCTGCTGGTGGTGGTTGTCCACCCAAAGCTTGTTGTATCCCCCATAAATCAGGCTGCATTGCAGGCCCAGGGGTAAAGTGCTGAGCAGCCCATGCAGGCGGCATACCAAATCCCAGCCCGTACCCAGGTGCACTCATGGGCTGTTGTTGCGGTTGCTGCATTGGTTGCCCACCAAATGCTGGATACAACGGCCGACCTCCCCCCGCCGTCCAGGGCGTACCAAATTGCGGTGCAGCTTGTTGTGGAAGAGGGGCAGAATACATGGGCTGGGAATAGGATCCAAAGGGAGGAGCGGCAACGGGTGGTACGGCCCACTGTGGTTGACGCTGTTGCTGTTGCGGTTGTGCGAACGGGTAGGTTGGTGGGTAGCCTGTATAGTCCTGCGAGACGCCCGCAGGGAAAGCAGAAGCGCTAGGCGGGAGCGGCGTAGGTGGGATGAAGCCGGGTGCTTGACCGATGGGGCTCATGTAGGGCGGGATGTAGCCACCATTCATGTTAACGGCGGGGCTGGTTGGGTAGACGGGGTACGCGCCCGGGTTGGAGTATTGGTACCAGGTCGGACTGACGGGTTCGTTTGGGTTTTGTTGGGGTATTACGGGGGCTGAGGGTAGTGGCGAGTTGTGTGGGCTTGGGAGTGGCGGTATGAATGGTGTTACATTTCGGGACATGATAGATTTTTATTTGATTGGGTACTGGGTAGATTCGAGTCAGTGGGCGCGGTACGAGGCCTGAGGGCGCTGGAAGGCAAGTTGGATTGACTCACGTAAATCACTCGGTCCCCAGAAGTAAATACTGCGCGTAAAACTGAACGCGATTCTTGATAGAGATCGTAAGACGATTAATGAATGAGCTGGGTATAGGATGGTGAGGGGTAATATAGAGAGCGCCTCTTGTGGTAAAGGGCAAGGTACAATCTTATCTCTTGAAAGATCTTATCATCTACCATGTTCAAGAAACCACTCAGCAACCTCAAAACCTCTGCTCCCCTCAGATCCTCAGACAGACGTAAACTAAAACAGCGCATTGAATCCACTTTCGGTTTATCCTCAGAAGACGGGGACATCTTGGTGCCAGACGGGATTTTATCCTTGAAATTCAGCACACACCTCAACGAACCAGGCGTAAGTGCACTGCTGGACATTAAGCAGCCAACGGCGAGGACTGAATGGTTTTATAGGTAGCTTACCTATCACCAGAAGGCGATCCTATCTGGTTTACCGTGGGCAGGGGGTCAGACGAGCTCATTCCAACCATTTACACACTATGGAAGAAGCAAGAGATCCTACCGTTCCTATCCACGCCAGCAGCAGTCATCCCCGTCCTCGTTGGAGGCGCAGACCTCATGATTCCAGGAGGTCTGTTATCCGCCTTTCCTGTCTCCCCAATTTGTAGACTCACATAGTTTCAAGCCAGTCGTTCACCATACCCCATCCTTAGTCGAGGGCCAACTCGTTGCCATCCGTCAATATACGAGGGAAAATGAGAGTGATGTCTTGTCCCCCTCTCTTGCGGTTGGACGAATGGCACTTCCTAGTGACCAGCTTCGCGATGGGGGCAAGGAGAAGGGAAAAGCAGTGTATGTCGTGCATACATGGAAAGATCGTCTATGGGAGATGGGCTCAAAGCCAGACGTGCCGGAAGGGAGTACCCTAGACCAGCGAGACGACGGTAATGAGAATGCCATAGAGGGTGCTAAACCCGCCACTCCACCCCCAAAGAGCCAAGCTCTATCCTATACCCCTCAAGAAACGACCAACCTTTTACTCAAATCCCTCCTCCAAGCCATCTCAACGACCGTCTCTTCCCTCCCTCCATCTTCCTTCCCCATCCCCTCAACACTCCTCTACACAAACCACATCCTCCCCTCCCGTCCCGCCTTCCCTACACTCGTTCTCCCCCCCTCCGCCCTACCACCCACCACCGCTGAAGAAGAAGAAGAAGAAGAAAACAAACCACACATCGACCCATCAGAACTATCCATAAAATCATCAAACCACAAATCCCTCACTTCCTTCCTAAAATCCGCCGAAAAACAAGGTCTCCTAACACTCAAATCCCCACCTAAACACAGCAATTCCCCCGACATCCTCATAACGTCCATCAACGGCTCGCACCCACTCGTAGCGGACCACCAGGCGTATGTGACGGTTGGTGATCTGGAGAAGACGGCGGCGAAGAGGGCGAAGAAGGAGGAGAGGGAGAAGGAGGAGGAGAAGAGGGGAAGGGGGGAGGTGGGTGTTAGGGAGCTTTGGAAGCCTCATTTGGGGAGCTTGGATCTTTTTGAGGGGTTAGGTGGGAGGTAAGCGTTCACATTATATTATCGAGTTAGACTGATTGTTGTAAAGTAAAACGGCACTGTACACTCTCCCAGAGATCAAGACCCTCCTAAACACGTACATAGCTTCCAAGAACCTGGTTAACCAGAACGATCAAGCGTACATCAACTTGGACGACCTTCTTTATTCTTGTGTGTCTTCGAAAACCAAGGGCAGCAGCAAGCCGAGTAAAGCTGGAGGGGGAGGGGGGGAGGAAGAAGCGGCACCGATGATGAAGTTTATGAAGCGGGACGAGTTGACGGGGAGGGTTACGGAGAAGATGCAGAGCTGGTACGAGGTTCGTGTGGAGGGACGGGAGGTGGTGCGCAAGTACGTCCTTCTTGCTTCCTCTTTTGACTTTTTCAATTTACAACTAAGTTCTAACATCGTCACAGAAAAGGCCCACTGAAGCCCATCCAAGTAACCATCAAAGTAAGACAAGGCCGGAAAGCGAGCACGCTTATAGTTGGGTTTGAGCCCTTTTTGGTCGTGGAGGCTGAAGAGATGGCGGAGGAGTTGAGGAGGGTGTGTGCGGGTTCTACTTCTGGTTCGTGTTTCCCCCCTCTTTCTCTTTCTCTCTCTCTTTGGTGAGTTTGTGGATGATGAATACTGACTATTTGTTACCAGTATCCCCAATCGCAGGTAAACCCGCCGGTTCGGGCGTCGAAGTCTTAGTGCAGGGTAAACAGGCCAAAGCGGTCACGGAGTATCTAGTAGGGAAGGGAATACCGAAGAATTGGATCCAAGTTTCGGGGAAGTAGGTAGTAGTAGTGTGTAAGACCGGAACCGGAAAAATAACAGAATCATTGAAGTGCTCAAGAACACGCTGCTAATATCGATTGGTCTGAATGACCTCTGTTCAAGAATACCTCCAACCTCGAGTATATCTTAGTAACCACCGACTAACTAGCTACACTCCCTGCACTTACGCCCCCATCCCTCTGATTCTGATTCTGATTCTTCTTCCGTTTCTTCTTCTTCTGCGTCTCGAGGTTCGAATTCGACGGCGCACCCTCTTTCGAGGGGGCTTGTCCTTCGATTCCACCCTCCTCCCTGACTCTTTTTTGAGGCCTGGAGTCTGTTGGGAGAGCCGGAGTGGGAGTTGGTGCTGGAACTGGGATGTTAATTGGCGCGACTTGTGGCGCTGGGGTTGAGCTCTGTCCTATTGGGAGTGGGGTTGTACTTGGTCCAGGTGCCGCTGGGACCGGCATTGACCCTTGAGGTATCACGAGTTTCGGTTCTGACAAAACGGCACGGTAGGTTTTACGCGTTTCTATCACCCAAAAACGAATTAGCGGGAGTCATAAGAGAAAGGGGGAGAGAGAAGGCGTACGAGCTCTCAACACGAGTGACTTCGGCGTCTTTGTCGATGCTGCGTGCGTTGCGTCTTGAGGAAGACCCAACACCGTAATCCTATCCACAAACACCATAATCAACATCGCGATACACACAAAAAAAAAAAAAAACTCACAAATTCCCTACATCCCTAGGCGCCCTCAAATCCGCATCATCAACCACCCCACCACTCACAAGTACGCCCCGTCCCTTCGTAACTCTAACCAACTCCCTCGCAGCAGCCCACCAATTCCTCCTCGCGCTCTGCCCATTCTCAGCAGCCCCAGCCTCCACCATAACACCATCATTCTCGCCCCCCAGCGCACCGACGTAGTTGATCTCAAACACCGCGCCGTTCTTGATCGCCGTGCGCACGAGGGTGTGTTTAAGGTGGTATGGTAGCCTAGGGAGGGTTAGTGGGATGGAGATGATGTGTGCTGTTAAGGGGGAGGGCTGCGTGTGTGTTAGGCAGGCTAGGGAGAAGGTTGCGTGCGTTGTTGGGATGAGGGATATGAGGTCGTAGGAGTTGAAGAGGGCTACGCTGGCGTTGATCTTTGATTTGAAAAGCAGTCAGAAAAGGGAAAAGGGGTACCGAGGGTTACGAACCAACCCGAATCCTTTCTCGCTGTCTTCGTCTAGGATTATATTCAGTCTTTTGAGGTAGACAATCCCAGGACGTGATTTAAGCTGCGAAAGCAGCCCATCGAGCACATTGACGTGTGTTTTCGAGTCTACCTTCTTGTTGACCGTTTGGCTGAATGCGAGGACCGTGTATCCTACTTGATGATTGAGTTAGTTCATTTATGGTGGTTTTGCGTTAGATTGTGACTTACAGTGGATGAGGAGATCGACATGGGCTTCAAGAGAATTTATTTGAGCGATGGTAAACGACGCCTGCGTGGTCGCTGGTTGCTTTCCTTTGCCCTTCTTGGACGTGCCCTGGCTGGGACTCTGGATATTGGGAACGGGAACGTTGAGGTCGAAAAACATGCTAAATTGCATATGTAACACGCGTGACGCTAACAAGGAATCCAATCTTATCTTATCGTGAACCCAGCTTTTGGAGAGGCAATAAGAAAATCTATTACAAGATTCCGAGAAATACAGGACCACTGCGATACATTCCTCGAGAAGGTGAGTTTGATACATCCAAAGAAAAGCAAGGAGATAGAGCAAGCAAGACGTAAAGATCCCCGGAAATCAATGGGGTATGGTAAGGAAGCAATGCGCGCAAGATGCATATGCGCATAAAAGATGGATAAAAAAGAATCAGGGCACCAAAGTCATAACAAAAACGTTAGGGGCCTTGAAGCCCAACCGTGACGTGGTATAAGTGCCGTTCAACTTGAGCCCTTCAAAGAATATCCTTTCCCTCAGCCAATCTGTAGCATAACAAACGCGATGAAGCTCTGTGCGCAAGTGGGGAATAAAACCAAACGCACCAACACGCTTGTACCTGTTCGGAGGAGCCGCAGGGGTATAGTACATTTGTTGCGGCCATCCCGCAGCCTGAGAGAGGTTGTGCATCGCCGTGCGCTTCACTTGTTCCTGGAGCCTAGGCGGGAGTGCACCAAACTCTACATCTGTCACATAATGGTCTGTATAGCTGCACCATCGAATGAACAACGGAATTTAGAGAAGGCGCAGACAACGCACTCTTTCCAAATCATCGTACACACATCCCCCATCGTCACCCCTCTCTCATTTTTTATGATCGTGCACCATGGACTGATTTCCGTGATAATCATAAGTTGTGCCACTCGTGGTAACGTTGCCGGTTCATCTTTCGCTGTGAATGTGAGATCGCGATCGCGTGCGTTGTTGTTGAAGCCACCCGTTTGACCTGAACACACACCCCATTTATCAAGTTCAGTAATAGTATAACGGCAACAAGGGGGGTAGGATGGGTTACCGGTGACCAAGTTAAATACGAGGTGGAAGTTGTGTTGGTTCGCTAGGATGGGGTTGATCTCGAGTTCGGTGCCGAGAAGATAGAGATCGGTCTGTGAGAGGACTGGGCCATCTTCATCCACACATGATCAGCCAGTGCAGTGGCGAGGAGAGGCGAAGAGCTGCGTACAAGCTGTCCCTGGCGCCCATTTACTGACTGCCTGGTCCCCCATTTAATGGGCGGTTCTTCACAGGGGTTTCAAGGAGCTCAGTTGAGGTGGATGGGATATATGGGTGCGTCGGTGCACTTGGTCGGGTCCGCAGAGGATATCAAGGGTATACACGAGTAGTTAGTGGGAAAGAGGGAGTAATAAATACGGAGCATTGCATCGGCACGGCCTTTGCAATATAGATGCGTTCCGTTTATCTGATCCTGATTAACCCTATAAAGCACTTTTGACATCATCATCCCACAGAAAGCCAACTAGCCAGGTACAAGCTTCCTATCGACATTATCCACAAAGCTAGATACACCGCATAACCCCCGAACAGATGGCGTTCAATGGAGAAAGACAGTAACGCAGTGGAAAACAAGGGCGCAGCGATACGGACCACAGCTACCAACGTCTGCGCAAGCCCATTTGTCGCACCTAGAGACCTCTTATTGGGTGCTCCTGCTGTTATGAACATGTAAATACATCCTTTAACCCGTCTCAGATTATCAACGATGATCATAGAATCGTTGAATCAACTCACCATATCCCAATTCCATAACCATCGAAAAAGCCAGTTGACAAACCAGGAAGAACCAAATCACTCCACTTCCTCCCCCACTCCTCGCAACGACGTTCATAAGAGGGGACAGCCCAAACATTGGTAAAAACATCGCCATCGCAGTCAAGAAGATATTCTTGAGCCCAAACTTCCTCACCAGCACACCAAGGAAGAACGTCTGGAACACCGCGTTCGCGGCTCCGTACGCGGAGAGTACAGTCCCAATTTGTCTGGGGTTGAATTCTAGACCTCCCAAAGAAACAGGCATGGCGAGGAAGAGAGGCTGGATGGCGTTGGATGAAGTGTGCAGGAATGCGATGGAGGTGTAGTTGAGCACCGGGATGAGAACTCGGAGGTTGAGGAGGTCTCGAAGAGGTACGGGGTCTTCCGTGGTGGCTTTCGTGGTCTCTTGATTGGACGGCGGAAGGAGAGGCTCAAGATCGGATTCTAGTTCGTCTGCCTTTGGTGGGTGTTTGTAGAAGTAGCATCCTGGAACGGTCTTTTCGAAGATCAGGGTTTAAAATCATCCATGGTGGACAACCAGACGAACCTCGTTCATGAGTCCAAGAGTGATGAAAAAACCCACGAGAGAGATAGCTGCCACTGTAGCGCACGGAAGAAAATAAGGATTGGCTTTCCAAAACTGACCAGGGAAGATAGTCGGGAAATGTTCTTGCGGCCTCACGAGCCATCCGCCAAGGAGCGACCTAAAAACTTAGCTTGTCGATCTCGGTCAATGACTGTAAATAACACTCACTCACCCAAAAGAACTCCCTACAGACCAGGGAACGTGAAGCAGGGCAAACGCATCTGCACTATTACTAGAATCCGTTATCTCACCAACAACGCTCTTTATCACGCCTAAGTAAACTATCCCATCAGGGTAGTTACGAACGATATGAAGGAAAGACGCACCGGCATTGCTATTCAACGCTCTGAAGATACATCTACTTACAACGAGCCCCCAGAACGTCTTCGAAAGTCCAAAAGAAATCATAGAAACTGCCAAAGCGGCGGTTCCAAGCAAGAGAATGGGTTTACGCCCGATGATGTCTGAGACGCGGCTCCAGTACATTACGGTTACGAGGGATATGATTTGGCCGACCGAGTCCTGTGCCATTATAGATTCACTTGGACGAAAGATGGATTGGAGGACTTACCATCAACCCAGCATAGTACCCCACTTTCTCTTTGTTTCCTCCGATGACTGACGTGATGAGCTGGAAACAAGAACCAGCCAGTTGGTCACTGTGAAATGACGAGAGCGACAGAACGTACCTACCTCGTTGAGAAACGGGAAAACAACGAACACCGATGCGCTCTCGCAGAATCGAAGTAACAGCAGAGTGGCGATCTGCCCCGCTGGCAAGGGTGTACGATATCGACTGGTCTGTGCACCATGGTCAACCTGCGTGTCTTCGAGTTCTGGGTTGGTGTACGTAGACACCGGCATGGTGAGCGAGTTGGAAGGGTGGGTAGATGTGGAAGCGAACAAGTGACATTGCACGCGGGATGGGCGCGCTCAGCGACGTGACGAGGACACTTGTCCCTTGGCGTTCAGTATCGTTCGCGTCATATACTTAAAGTATCTCTGGCTGGTGGCGGTCGATGCGTACTACTTACTGAGTACGTCTCCTCACCATCCTCGAGGGAGTTGGTGACGGGCCGTCTCGGCCCGCTGCCAAGATTAAGTAATGTAACTCTTTCAAAAGTTTGTTTTTTCCGTGACGGTTCGATTCTCGAGATGACAACAAGCTAGTACTAAGACACACCGGAACTCTTTCAAAGTTCAACCATCCCAGATCATGGATACCTGGCCGTTATTCCCCTCTGTGAGTCACCTTGCGCTTTGGCTTCGTATCTATTTGGACGAACCCCTTGTGCTTTATGATAAGACAGGGCTGTGATGTGAAGAGCAACCTATCTGCAGTCCGCAAAGCGCTCAACAAAGGCGGCATGTTTGACATTCAATGGATCTCACGTTAATTCCCTCTGCTCTCTCCGTGCCATGCCGCATTTCTTCAAAGGAGCTCGTAACTTTATCGTTCAAGGTGGCTGGTTCACAACAAGCAAGGTATATATTAACTTTTCATATATTAGGGCGCGGTTTCTTTGTTAGAATTTGAGCGCTGACTGCCGGCCCCTCGCTGCACTGTGTTCAGGTCAACAACTACACCTTCAGCCTCATTCTCTTTGCCGTAGTGGGCGGACCTCCGCCAGCCAGAATAGCCCAGGCAGAGCAAGCAGAACGCAGTGCACTCACGGCGTCCGTCGCAGCAAACTCGCCCCAGCACCTCATTACTTGTCATCGGTCACTCATGGTGCCGGTGGGCGGTGTATTCGTAGCTGTGGTCGTTAGGCTGATAGCTACTCCCACCGACCGCAAAATCCTCCTTTCCAGTCCGCCCCCGTCCCTACCACCTGCTCTCTTGCTCTACGGTCGCGATGAATTCATTCAGGATGCTGTTGGCAAAATCCTACAAAGATCCGAGGTCAAGAAACACGTAGCCATCAGAGCTGGCCCTGGAATGGGCAAAACTGCAGCCGCCACTGGAATCATGCACCATCCTCGTATCGTTCAACATTTTGGGAACGCACGTCACTGGGTTGATTGCCATGAAGCATCTGATATTCTAGATGACTTGAAGGCCCAAAAGCTCCTGGATTTCATTACTCACAGCCTTGACCTCGATCTCACGGCGTTAAGTGACAGCCGCAAGAATATCAAATATTTCCTGGACAATAATGATGTCCCCCGTATCATTGTACTAGACAACTTTGAAACCGTGTGGGAGCCTCCCAGCGCACAGAAAGAGACTGAGGGCGTCTTGACATTCTTAGCCCGGTTCCCTCGGCTCACAATTATCATTACAACTCGCAATGCTCATGATCCCGCCACCCATCGTGGTGTATTGTGGCACCAGTTTGAGTCCATCCAACCACTATCATTAAATGCATCAAGAATGCTGTTCACGAGCCTGTCTCCCAGCAAATCTATTGACAGTCGCCTTGATGCTCTCCTTCGTGCAGTTAATTACATCCCTCTACCTATCGTCCTCATGGCATCATCTGCACAAGAACACTACACGACTTCGATGATCCTGGAAATTTGGAACCGTGGCCTATCCAAACACAATATCAATGAGAGCCAGCCCAACTATGATGATAGTGATCCCTTGAACAAGCTCGACCACTCCGTTGCCATTTCCCTTAACGGTCCTTTGATAAAATCCAACCCAAAAGCTCCTGAGCTCCTCCGTATTATTGCAGGTCTACCTGGAGGAATTGGACGCAAGAATCTCCAGAGAATTGTTCCACTGATTGATGATGTTGACCGTGTGGCAGCAGTCCTTATCCGAACCTCCCTGTTAATGAATTCTCCTGATGTTCTGCAAATGCATTCTACAATCCGTTACCACATGCTTCGCAATTATCCCCTCAATGCCTCCTACAAGGAGGGCGTTGAGGCATTCTACTTCCAGCTGATCCATAATGCGAGAGGCAATCCAGGAACTCAAGGTTTCATAGAACATATTCGCAATCTCTCTGAAGAAGAAACCAACGCCGAAACACTTCTTCTAGATGCTTTGGAGCACAATTTTAGCACCTCAGTTTCGATCTCCCTGGATTACTCCAACTACCTCACATGGAACGTACCGCGCCTAGATGTACCCAAGAAGACTTTGGAACTGGTAAGAACTTATCAGCAGCTGAGAGATGCAGATTCATGGCTGCCCCTTGCCCTGCTACGCCTTGGAACAGTATATTTCAGACTAAATGATTTCCCTAAAGCAATTGAGGCTTTACAGGAAGCTCTGGGTCTGTACGAAAAGCTCAATGACTTGAATTGGGTTGCCCAAGCTCAGTTTCTACTCGCAGATATTGCCCGCCTTCGAGGTGAACACGCTGTTGCTTTTCAATTATTTTCCGAGGCATACAAACGTTTTGAAGATGTGGATGATGCTCGTAACATGGCTGCTTGCCTCCGCGGGACAGGGATCACTTACTTCCTGGTTGATCGTCGCCCGGAGGCACTGGACACGATCTCAACGGCGCAAAAGACATGTTCACCTGAAGATTACACCTGCATCACCGACTGTGAACGCGAATTGGGAAGGATATACAGAGTTGACAACCAGACGGAGTCAATCAGGTTGTCTGCAAAGGCAAGGGACTACTATCTGGTTCACGGCCCTCAGAGGCATGCCTCGATTGCTCTATATCAGAAATCAGTCGCCCTATATTTGCAGGGATACTACAACGAGGCAGAGGTTGGACTCGACGACGCATTTCAAGAATTTAAGTCCTCAAGGAATGACGGGCAGATGGGTTACTGTGTCTTCCACCTTGCTGAACTGAATAAGATGCGAGGAACCTACCGCAATGGACTGGAACTGTACCGCCGTTCCGAAACCATGTTTGAACACATGCAAGGAAACAAGTTCATGGTTGGCCTCTCTCTTAGAGGGCAAGCTGAACTATACGCCAAGCTTTGCCAGCCAGACAAAGCAAGGCAGGTATATAACAGTGCCCACACCCTTATGAAGGAGCTAGATGTAATCGACGAAGCAACAGTCGCAAATGACATTCAGAACATAGATGTCATCTGTGATCCCGCCATATGGCGTCGTAATGTGATTTTCAAGCATCTTCCCTTGTTCCTCGCGTGCATGGTCATATGCTTGCTACTTGTCCGGAGGCAGTGGCGTTATCCGAAGAAAAAACAGCTGCAAGATAGGTCTCTGGAGCTAGGGCAACAAGGATAGTTGTCGGACTAAGATGAACCCGAACCTGAACAATACTAATCTGTACGTGGGCCCGAGAAAGCCTTCGAAAGTCCAAGGAGGCCATAGGGCGGCAAGAGGATGGCTAGGTTTACCCTGTCTGAGGCAACTTCAGTACGTCATTACGCCGGTGTGGCATGCAATTCGGCCGACGGAGTGCTGTGCATTTTCGTTGGGATGGGGAAGGATATTGGGGGGCGTATGAACTCAGCGTAGTACTTACCCCACCTTGTCTCCGTTTCCCTTGAGGACTGAAGTAATAAGCGTGAAAACACACCAACCAGCCACTTACTTCTAGAGCTTTCCAGCGATACTATTACGGAACGGAAAAATTGCAAGGAACAACCGACGCGCTCTCACAGGATCGGAGCAACAGCAGAGAGGCGATCCGTGCTAGCAAGGGTGTACTACGGCGTCGGCTGACCTGCACACCATCAGCGTGTCTTCGAGTTCTGGGCTGGTGTGCGTGGACAGCGGCCTGGGAATGCAGGGGGAATGGCGGATGCATGTGGAAGCGAACAAGTGACATTGCAAGCTGGGTTCAGGATTGTAAGTAGTGACAATGCTAGCCGATTTTCCAAATTTTGCGTCTGGCCGGTGACAATCAATGTATAATACTTACGACCGTCTTCCTCATCATCCTCGTGCAGTTCTTCGATAAAAGATAAGTCAGTGACAGGCCGTTTCGGCCAACTGATAACTCTTAATCCGTCCACATTCCAACTTAGTTGCTGTGTACAGCTCGGTTGCCGTTGCGCCCTCCAGTATGCGCAAATCTTGCTCGCCATACCCCATGTATGGCCAGGAACTTCTTCAAAAAGCTGCATTACTGCCACGCGGAGTCTATGTCGCTCTTGGTACGACACATTTGGCATATCTGTGATCGGTATATCATTTCACAACTCGTGTTCACCTCGAGGCAGGACAGGCAGGCAGCTCGGAGCCTTAAATACTCTTTTCCGTCAAACCCTCCCCATTCTTTAACCCCCCAGCCAAGAGCTCCGTTGACCGATCCAGGGATCGTCATACCACACCCATTTTATTCTACGATGTGAGTCGTTTACAAGACTGGCAAGCTTTTCAAGTCATCTAACACACGGGCTTCTCGACAGAAAGCACAGAGTAACCACCTACTTAACAGCGACGTTCGCTCACACGTCTGATCCGTTTATTCATCAAATATACGACCAGAACCCATGTTCCCTGTTAGCGATTTCAACTTTGTAGTTGCTGGGATTGCTACCTTTGCGGCTACTGTTGGATACGCCTGCTCTCGCAGACTGAGCATCAACTTGTTAGTGTCGTTTCTTTACTGTGTTTTACGCGCTTTTCTGATGGCGTTTGAGTCAGTTTGGATATCCCAGATTCATCGGTGGCGTCAGCTCCAACGGATCTTGCTTCGAAAGAAGCGAAAATGGAGGTCAGGGTACAAGATCAAGAACGTGATTCAGCAACGGAGGTAGTTCAGGACTCTCCGAATGCATCGAGCCAAAGCAGGCGGAACTCCCTCAAGCGCAAAGTGCCTCACGATGGCTTCGACGAACCGAGTCCTGTTAGTTTCTTCCGCTGCAATTACTCTCTCCTGCTCAACGTTATCTAGCAGGATCTCGGGTATCCGCACGTGAGACTAACGATAATGCCGAGTCCTTTCTCTGCTGATATCTGTGCCTACAGAACCTTGTTAACATCTATCCCAACAAACGAAGCAGGACTCCTTCAACTGACTCGGATAAAAATGATGTGAGTTACCCGTTTGCCTGCTTTGTATATACAACTAATTCAATCCTTAGGCCCCAACCGAAGCTCCGAAGGCGGAGCATTCCGCTATATCACTAGCAGCAATGATTTCGGATGAGGATGTTGACATTGTACGCCCGTGTTTTATACGATTACATATCCACAACCCAACCAAGAACTGCAGCCTTTCGTTTCCGAGGATCCAGAACCGGTTGTGGCGACTCCCGCTGCGGAGCCTCCCCGAACGCCCTCACCATCACTAGAAGAGTCTGCCCCCAAAGCGCCCCCGCCTCAGCACCCAGCACCAGCTTCTCCCGCGCTACCCTCAAAGCCCCTTCCTGCAACAAGGCCCACAACACCTCAACCATCTGCATCTTTCGGATCGGTATGTTTTCCCCCAATTATTCAAATTGAACTCCATTCACATTCGCGCAGCCCAATCCATCCCGCGGTTTCGCCTCGTTTGCAGGATCCACCTCGCCTTTCGCTTCCTTCAACAAGTCGCAATCTCCTCTGAAGAACTCGCGATCTATCTGGAGTGCAAACTTCGAAGAAGAGCCCTCCGATGCTTCGCCATCGAGATTACCAGATATTAGCAAGCCCAGCACGCTGCATGTTGTCCCCAAGAAGCATGCTATCGCTGCGGTCGAGCCCGCCTCTAAGCCGGCGACTTTTACACGTCAGTATACAAGTTCCCACCCGCCCCTTATCACCCGCCTGCGCAATCCACCAACAATCTCGGAATATATCAACCCTGTCCTGACATACCTCTACCAGATATCACCGGCGAAGAAAACGAAGACGTCGAGCTTGAGCTGAAAGGTGTCAAGTTATATGTGAAACGCGGGAGCAAGCCCTTCTCTGATGGTATGGTCGGCCATATCAAATTGCTATCGGACAAGGAGACACTCGAGGAACGGCTGCGTAAGTTCTCGTCGGTCTTTGCCACCTCCACACCTACTGAGTTGATATCCGCAAGTCTTCCGACGGGAGCCGCTCTGGAAGATATCCATGAACATCCGTGTGAAGCCTACCGTGCGGTGCACGTTTGACGCAGAAGAAGGCGTAGTCAGGCTCGTTTTGAAGGAGTCCGTTGGTTCCCAAGAAGCTGGGTCAGAGGCCCAGTCGGGGGCCAAGGAACCTACCCAGGAGGTTGTAATATATGCACTCAAGGTACGTATCGTCCGCCTTAACCCGAGAGCGTCACCCTCACGCAACTTTTAGCCTGGAAGGTCATGCTCGAAGCAGGACTTCAAGGAGTTTGCAGAGTCGCTTTTGCAGAGCTCGCACTTCAAACCTTCCAGAACTGCTACGCCAACTGCTGCGTCATCAACATAATCATCAGCCTAGGCGTGCTGGTTCAACATGCGCGGCAACCAGGCCGCTCTTCCACCCGCCTGCGGGACTTGAGCTCCGTGCGAGGTTCCACACCATATGCCTCGCCCTCTATTTTCGATTTCATTTTCTATGTCGTCGCGTTTTCGCGACAACCAACCATTACTTACTTAGGATTTGTATGCCTACTTACGCCGGCGTAAGGTAGCTAAGACCACCTCGGCACCAGGCGCGCTTTTTATGACCATGATGACGGTGCATTCTCTACTACGTTATAGTAAGCTTTGTATATTACTTACTGTAATTTTCTATGTCTGACTGATAACGGTGACTGGAGAGATTCTGGGGTAGTGAAATCCTGAATGCAACGTTCACCGAATCTCAATCCCGACGTTTCAAATACACGATGAAGGCGGCCAAGTATCCCACTGCGTGCAGGTGCCGGACTTTGCTCAACATAGTGTGTTGTACTTCTCTTGTTAGAGATGTCAAGGACTCCGTATTTCAACACTTTCAAAATTTGGTGACTTCAGAAGACGACTGGCGCAAACTAATATCGTTTTTGGAACTGTCTCTGATGGACACGAATTTTGTACTTGCTGAAATAGGCTCTGGATGAGCTACTTGGAGCGCCCTGTAATGACGATCGGGAGGAAGGTGATGGAGGGACCCCAAGAAGCTGCCTGGGGGGGGGGGGGTCATTGCGTTATGGGTCATATAACCTTGCCGTCAGAGATCACCACTCCAAAAAAATTGAACGAAGATGAGTTCGGGGACACCAGAGCCGAGGGTGTTTTGGAAATCCCGGTTGTCGATGGATTTGGAGTGTTGTTGGGGCCAATCCAGTCCCCAGTGCCCCCACAGGGTCAAATCGAGAGCAGGGTGGCGAACTGTCCAACGATGTGGGACGTCGACTGACGACCTGTATATCGTCTTGTGCGACTTTGCGTTCTGGAATGCGCGCGCGATGACCACGACGCGCTATCGTGCTAGACAAACTTTGACATGCCATGACATGGATGCTCGTTGGGTACGCGCCAGAAGCGAACCATCAGCGGAATGGGCGCCTCGACGACACGAGGAGGACATATCTCCCCAGGGATATCGTTACATAGTGTTCGCGTTGCCTTAGGCAGTGGGTCGATGCAAAGTCAAGTTAACGTAGTGACACAGTACTCTTAGTCGAACCACACCATGATCAACCAATTCGCTGGGCAACGACTTGAACCTCGCTCATCATCACGCTCTCGCTGAGCAAGTATCTTGCTCCTTAAATCCCTGGGGTGTCTTCAGTCGATAGGCAAAAATGAAAAGCGTTTATAACGACACACAACACATCTGCGAGAGCTCCTTCATTTGCATCTTGTGAGCAACCTGTGAGTCCCACAAAACGAGAGAATGTATCTCAGAAACACGACGTTGACGTAGTCTGGGGAATAGATGTGTCTTGGATGTGTCTATAGACTGCGTCGAGACCTGTGTTTGCACTGCCAAAGCCCGCAGTGCTGATAAGAATCTGACCTACATAATTGACAACTATTTAGAAGTTCTTTGGGCTACAAGGCCAACTCACTTGATCCGTTGATCTCTCCTTCAGGACGTTTGTGCGCTGGCAACCTAACCGACAACCAAGAATGCCAAGTGGAATCGTCCAACTCTTGGGAGCCTTAATGGCAGCATCTGGTGTATACGGGGTGTACAAGCTCGCCAGAGTCGCTTACGGACAGTGGAATTCACCGCTGAATATCTTACCAGGACTCCCATTCTCACAGCTGTTCCTTGGAAACTTGAGAGAGATTTGGGCTGAGGTTAGCCTTTGTTTTTTTGTTTTAAACACAGCTTGATTAAAGCGGCTTAGGAAGATTCGATGGAACCTGGTGAGTTGATAGCGAAGTATGGGACGACGTTCAGGTTTAGAGGTGTCCTTGGGGTGGGTGTTTGCTGTTTTGAATAATATAAGTGCTGAAAAGGTGGCCATGATGAACAGAGGAAAAGATTGTACACCATAGATCCGAAGGCTTTGAATCATATCTTAATGAATCCCAACGACTATCAGAAACCAGAAGCGTCAAGATATGGCTTGACATCGATCATGGGTGCAGGTATGGGCGAATAGCAAACTACATCAAGATGCTGAGACTTTTCAGGCGTCTTGGTTGTTGAAGGGGATAAACACAGGCAACAGGTAGGCTGTCATTCGGGATTTGCAGGTTTATTCGAACGATGTTTGACGTAATTAGCGTAAAATTATGGTGAGCATTCTCCCTGCAAAGTTGATTCCTCCTGAAATGTCGTCAGAACCCTGCATTTGGACCAGCTCACGTCCGCGAGCTCACCGAGATATTTGTCCAAAAATCAGTTCAGGTGACTTTTATGGATTTTTATTCCATTTTTACATTCTTGAGAAAAATATCTTCAGCTTCGCGATATCTGGGCAGAAGAGATTTCAAAAGGGCAAGGACAGATCGATGTCTTGTCATGGCTCAGCAAAACGACTCTCGACGTCATCGGTCTAGCCGGTCTGTTTATTTCCTTTGTCCCACTGTCACTGCCTTGCAAACCAATGCCTAGGCTTCAATTACGAATTTGACTCGTTAACACGCGGTCCTGGTGAGGACGAGCTCAATGACGCATTCTCTCACATCTTGCATGCTGCAACAAACGTCAGCGTGTTCGCGGTTCTTCGATTTGCCTTCCCCATTTTTCGGAGCATTGTACGTAAATTACCTCATATTCGAGCAATTGGTTCTGATACCCCGAATACCAGCCTGCACCAGGAGATGCAGCTACGGAGAAAGCCCGCCGTACGATGTGCCAAATTGGAAGCAATCTCCTCGCAGATAGCAAGGCGGCTATTGAACAAAATAAGAACACGGACAGGAGCTCTGGCAAATCGAAGGACTTGCTCTCGCTGTTAGTAAGAGCGAATACTTCCACTGAGTTAGCAGATAATCAGCGTATGTCGGACGAGGACGTTTTGGCTCGTGCGTTCATATCTAAGCAATTCAATAAAACCATCTCAACGCTTTTTTTTTTCAACAATAGAAGTCCCCACATTTCTGGTTGCGGGTCACGAAACCACAAGGTAAACCCTTTTAATCTACCCTTTGCCTTTATATAGAACAATTCGATTTCAGCATAGCGACAACGTGGGCTCTTTTCGCCCTCACACAAGCCCCCAACGTGCAGGTTAAACTCCGGAATGAACTGCTCAGTGTATCGACTGACAATCCAACGATGGAAGAGCTCAACGCTCTTCCGTATCTCGACGCTGTTGTGCGAGAGACACTCCGCCTTCACGCGCCTGCATCGTCCACGGTTCGTCAGGCGATGAAGGATGACATCATCCCCTTAGCCACTCCATTTACTGATAAGGAGGGTGTGCTCCACCACGAAATCAGGTCTTTTATTTTACTTATTCTCAATTATTTTGTTGATCAGACCGCAGAATCGAAAAGGGTCAGTCGCTCCGCATTCCGATTATACAAATCAACAGGTCGAGGTCGATTTGGGGTGAGGACGCGTTTGAATTTAAGTGAGAAACGTCCTAGCTATTCGTTTTGTCGAAATTATGACCGGTGTATTTGCTAAACTCCAGACCGGAGCGATGGGAATCGCCGCCTGAAGCAGCGTCTTCTATACCAGGGGTCTGGGGTAATATGCTCACATTTCTTGGTGGGCCGCGTTCTTGTATTGGGTACCGCTTCGCTCTCGTAGAGTAAAGTTTTTTTGTTACCTGTTCTGGGATAATTATACTAATCTCGGATTGTGATAGGCTGAAGGCGCTGCTTTTTACCTTGGTGCGGGCGTTCGAGTTTGAGCTTGCGGTGCCAGTGAAGGATATCGTGAAAAGATCGTCGGGGCTTGTTCAAAGACCCGTACTCTTGACGGACCCGGATGGTGGAAACCAGATGCCACTGATCATGAGGTCTTTTCAACGACTCTAGTTCTATTGTGCTGGACAATGTATGTATAATGTGATACTATGTATACCCTGTCCTCGTGGTTCAACGTTTTGTATCAAGGATTTCCCTTCAAATGCCGTTTGAGGCGACGTAAACAAAATTGGGCACTCGACCAGATGACTTGCTGATTGCCTCGAGTAAGTTCCTATAAGTCTTGTTGAATTTATGAGTCCCTGCCAGTTACAATCTTGAGTATACATACTCTTGAATGACGATTCCAGCCACTATGGTGCGTCATCCCGACTGTAAACAGCCTTCGGGAAGAGAGCTATTGCCTTCTCTCGGATGAACACCGTAGAGTCCTTCCCCATGGATGAAGCATTGCGGACTACAATCGGAGAGGCTACAACGCGTTCTCGGTATCTTTACCGGTGACAAAAATCGTCATCATGTGCCGGTAACGCGGTTGTTGCTGTCCCCGCAGTTGTTCCTGAACAATCGGCGCACACGTATGTCTCCCATCGTCCACGGCACAACGTCAAGGGATTACGAATTTGCACACATCTTTTGGTCTTAAAAGCCAGAGGAACGACTGAAACAGTCAAAGTCTCAGGCTCTGTTGCGACCGTTCACGATGAGCACCATCCTTCAACTTCTAGCATCACTATCAGCAACTCTTGGCGCGTATGGAGTATACAAATTTGTAACTTTCTACTACGATCAATGGACGTCGCCGCTGCAGCTGCTTCCTGGTCCTCCGAGCCCGAGCTTCATCTATGGAAACATGAAAGAGATATGGACTGCTGTGCGTCTCATTAGATTGTTTGTAGATCTGGCAAACTCATCTTGACGATCAAGGAAAATTCGGTTCTTCACGAGAAGTGGATCGAGGAATATGGCCCGACGATGAAGTACAGGAGTTTTGTAGGGGTGAGCCTAACGATTTCTATTTTGAAAACCGTTGATTTGACGAGAGTAGATGGGCCGGCTGTTTACGGCTGATGTTAAGGCTTTGAACCACATTTTAATGAACAGCTACACCTACCAAAAACCAGAGGCTACCCGATACAACCTGTCTCAGATTTTGGGTGCTGGTGAGTCCGTTCGGGTATCGCGTTTAGTTCTGTTTTTATATATACACTTTTTAGGCGTTTTGGTGGTTGAGGAGGATAAGCACAAGCAACAGGTGTGTTTCATTGAAATGAACTATGAAGGAAGATTAATCGAGGTTAACGTGGTAGCGTAAAATCATGGTGGCTACTCTTTAACTGCAGCCAGATGCTTAATCCATGCTGACGTATGAATCATCAGAATCCTGCTTTCGGGGCAGCCCAGATTCGGGAGCTGACGGAGATCTTTATTGAGAAGTCCACGGAGGTAGGCAGCACGTTGCCAAAAGTTTTTGATGTATACTCATTTTTCAGCTCCGAGATATCTGGGATGCAGAAAGCACCAAACAGGGTGGTACAGGGCGTATTGACGTCCTTTCCTCACATATGACAGTGACCCTAGCCCTTACCAAATGGACCAACCGAACTTGACAATGCTTCATACCATATGGGGCCAGCGGACTCGGCCGACATCTCAACAAATCATCCATAGTGATGGCTGGGCCGAACAGGTGGGCGCCTGCCAATAATGGGCGCTCCTATTGAAAATAACCCACACTTTGCACCAATGCCATTATTATTTTGCGCTCTACAGGCGAAATTATTTTGAGCTCTGCAAGGGGCGCAATTATTTCAAGCTCCACAAGAGGCGTAATTCTTTTGCTCCATAGGGGCGCAATTATTCTGAGCGCTACAGGGGGCGCAATTATCTCGAGCTCTGAGCTCCATGAGGGGCGAAATTATTTGCATTCCATGGGGGGGACAATTATTTTGAGCTCCATAAGGGATGCAATTCTTTTGCACTCCACAGGGGGTGCAATTATTTTGTGCTCCACAGGGCGCACAATTCTTTCAAGTACTACTGTATGTACCTTGTGCTGTTGATAGGGTCACAAATAGTCTGTATCCAGCATTGTTTCAATGTCAGAGTGTGCTGTGCCCAATGTGAATGTGCACCAAAGGTCAGAGTGCGCCCATCAAAGTGCGCCCAATGTGAATGGGCACCAAATGTCAGTGCACCCAATGTAAATGTGAACCAAATGCCAGAGTGTGCCCATCAGAGTGCACCCAATGTGAATGTGCACAAAATATCAGTGCGCCCAATGTGAATGTATGAAATGTTGGAATGTGAATGGGCACAAAATGTCAGTGATTATTTTTCTGCACAAAATGTCAGTGTGCCCAATGTGAATGCATGAAAAGTGCACCCAATGTAAATGTGAACCAACTGTCAGAGTACGCCCATCAGAGTGCACCCAACATGAATGTGCCTGAAATATCAGAGTGCGCCCAATGTGAATGCATGAAATGTTGGAATGTGAATGGGCACCAAATGTCAGAGTGCACCCATCAGAGTGTACCCAATGTGAATGCATGAAAAGTGCGCCCAATGTGAATGGGCACCAATTGTCAGAGTGTGCCCAATGTGAATGGGCACCAGATGTCAGAGTGCGCTCAATGTGAATGCACACAAAATGTCAGTGCACCCAATGTGAATGTTCACCAAATGTGAGTGGGTGCCAAATCACTTGTACCTGCACTAAGTATGCATCTGTGTCTGTTATTCTCCAGTTGTATTTCCACCCATTATCTTTTTGCATGAAATGTCAAGTGTGCCCAATGTGAATGTGTATGTGAATGGGCGCCAAGTCACTATGTTCCTATGGCATTTATTTTGCACAAAAAATATGTGCCCCCCCAATTGTAGTCAATGCCTGGCCCACTTTGGCAGGGATTTATGGCACTGATGCACTACACCCATTGGTCTCATTGGTGAGTCCTAACCTGTGCAATTATTTTGCGCTCTACAGGCACAATTATTTTGAGCTCCACAAGGGGCACAATTATTTGCACTCTATGGGGGGTGCAATTATTTTGTGCTGTAGAGGCGCAAATATTTCAAGCTCCACAACGGGCGCAATTCTTTTGTGCTCCAGGGAAGCACAATTATTTCGAGCTCTACAGAGGGCACGAGGCGCAATTCTTTTGCGCTCCAGGGCGCAATTACTTGTGCTCTATGGGGGAGCAATTATTTTGCACTCTATGTGGCGCAATTATTTTGTGCTCTAGCAATTCTTTTGTGCTCCAGGGAAGCACAATTATTTTGAGCTCTACAGAGGGCACGAGGCACAATTCTTTTGTGCTCCAGGGCGCAATTACTTGTGCTCTATGGGGGAGCAATTATTTTGCACTCTATGGGGCGCAATTATTTTGTGCTCTAGCAATTCTTTTGTGCTCCAGGGAAGCACAATTATTTTGAGCTCTACAGAGGGCACGAGGCACAATTCTTTTGTGCTCCAGGGCGCAATTACTTGTGCTCTATGGGGGAGCAATTATTTTGCACTCTATGGGGCGCAATTATTTTGTGCTCTAGCAATTCTTTTGTGCTCCAGGGAAGCACAATTATTTTGAGCTCTACAGAGGGCACGAGGCGCAATTCTTTTGCGCTCCAGGGCGCAATTACTTGTGCTCTATGGGGGAGCAATTATTTTGCACTCTATGGGGAGCAATTATTTTGTGCTCTAGAGGTGCAATTATTTCAAGCTCCATGAGAGGCGCAATTCTTTTGCGCTGCATGGGGGCGCAATTATTCTGAGCTCTACAGGGGGTGCAATTATCTCGAGCTCCACGAGGGGCGAAATTATTTGCATTCCATGGGGGGTGCAATTATTTCGAGCTCCATGAGGGATGTACACTCCACAGGGGGCACAATTCTTTCAAGTGCCACTGTATGTACCTTGTGCTGTTGACAGGGTCACAAATAGCCTGTGTCCAGCATTGTGTAGTGAATACAAATGTGAGTGGGCACCAAGACACTGCCAGTGTCAGATTGTCATGCCCATTGGTGCTTCAGGTGGGCACCATAACTGTCAATACCGAGTGTGTATCTGCGCCCATTATATTCCAATGTGTATCTGTGCCCATTATTTTGTGCACCAATTTTGCCATGTGGATTTCCACCAAACATGAGTGGGCGCCAAGTGTGTATTTGCGCCTATTATTTTTCTTCATGAAATGTCAGAGTGCGCCCAATGTGAATACACATGAAATATCGGAGTGTGCCCAATGTGAATGCACACGAAATGTCAGAGTGTGCCCAATGTGAATGTGCACCAAATGAAATATGAGCCCAATGTGAAGGTGTGCCAAATGTGAGTGGGTGCCAAGTTAGTATATACCTGCAACAAGTGTGCATCTGCACTTGTTGTTTTTCAGTATGTATTTGGAGAGCGCCCAATGGGAATGTGCACCAAATGTCAGAGTGCGCCCATCAGAGTGCGCCCATCAGAGTGCGCCCATCAGAGTGCGCCCATCAGAATGTGCCCATCAGAGTGCGCTCAATGTGTTCTATTCTGACTTTCTAAGGTGTCCAGACATGGGTAGGTGATGATACCTCTCATGCTCTCTCCTATTTCACATTTTTTTCTGCCATCCCATTCTCCTCCCATTTCCAAAACATTTTATGGTCCTATCCTGACTTTCTAAGGTGTCCAGACATGGGTAGGTGATGATACTCCCCATGCTCTCTCATATTTCGCATTTTTTACTGCCTTCCCATTCTCCCCCACCCTCCAGGTCACTCCCAAATCACATTGGTGCCTCCCAAATGCCCCATATTTCACTCTCTTGGATGGTACAGGATATAGGCTGGGCTCTGGGCTCCAGAAGTACACTTCCTGGTTTAATCTACAGGAATTGAAGATGGAATTCCTGGAATGGTGGATGGATTTCATGAATTTTCGGGATGGATTCCATAGATTTGCAAGATGGCTCTCAGCCAGTAACCTACAGCTACTTTTATCCAATATATAGTTATCTTTCTCTGTAACTTTTGGCTGAGCCTTAAGAAACGAAGAAGAGCACTGCAAAGCTCTGGACAATAATCAACGCAACATGCTTGACAGAAAAATCACACTTGTGAGAGCGTGACAGCCTAGACAAAACAGCTGAGTATTGAATTCAGTTGGCCACAAACAACCGTTGCTCTAAAAAATGGTATCAGTAGATGCTGAATTGCATCTAAATTATGATTCCAGCTTGTTTGGGCATCCAAGCTTCTTCCCCCATGTTTTGTAGCATGAACTTGTAGAATTATCGGAATGTTTGCCTTTGTTTGCTTGGCCCTTCCAACATCTTTCAAGTCTTTTGCTGCCATAAAATATTTACACAACTACTGGTGCTTTTCTAATAGGTATAGATCGATAGAGGACATTTATACAATTCTAATGATACTAAATTTGTACATTCAAGCTTCTTCCCCCACACCCTGAGCTGGAAAATATACCGGACATGGCCAAATTTTGACAAAGTCCAAACATCATTTGGCGCAAAAAAATAGTTTCAGTGGGGCACATGATGTCATTCAGCAGGGCAGCTACAAACTACTTTGGTCCACGCATTTACTACAATTGGGGGGGCGCATATTTTTTGTGCAAAATAAATGCCATGGGAATATAGTGACTTGGCGCCCACTCACATGCCCATTCACATTGGGCGCACTCAACATTTCATGCAAAAGAATAATGGGTGGAAATACACACTGAAAAATAACAGGTGCAGATGCATACTTAGTGCACACATTTGATGTGCATTCACATTGGGTGCACTCTGACATGACATTTCGTGCCCATTTCACATTGGGCGCACTCTGACATTGAAACAATGCTGGACACAGAATATTTGTAACCCTATCAAAGCACAAGGTACATACAGTGGCACTTGAAAGAATTGTGCCCCCTGTGGAGTGCAAAAGAATTGCGCCTCCTGTGGAGTGCAAAAGAATTGCATCCCTTATGGAACTCAAAATAATTGTCCCCCCCATGGAATACAGATAATTTCACCCCTTGTGGAGCTTGAGATAATTGCACCCCCTGTAGAGCTCAGAATAATTGCGCTCTGGAGCACAAATAATTGCACCCTGGAGCGCAAAAGAATTGCACCCCCCATGGAGCGCAAAAGAATTGTGTCTCTCATGGAGCTTGAAATAATTGCACCTCTAGAGCGCAAAAGTAATTGTGCCCTGGAGCACAAATAATTGCGCCCTGGAGCACAAAAGAATTGCGCCTCTCATGGAGCTTGAAATAATTGCACCTCTAGAGGGCAAAATAATTGCACCCCCATAGAGCGCAAGTAATTGCGCCCTGGAGCACAAATAATTGCGCCCTGGAGTGCAGAAGAATTGCGCCCCCCATGGAGCGCAAAAGAATTGCGCCTCTCATGGAGCTTAAAATAATTGCACCTCTAGAGTGCAAAATAATTGCGCCCCCATAGAGCGCAAGTAATTGCGCCCTGGAGCAAAAATAATTGCGCCCTGGAGTACAAAAGAATTGCGCCCCCAATGGAGCACAAAAGAATTGCACCTCTCATGGAGCTTGAAATAATTGCACCTCTAGAGCGCAAACTAATTGCGCCCCCTGTGGAGCGCAAAAGAATTGCGCCTCTCATGGAGCTTGAAATAATTGCACCTCTAGAGCGCAAAAGAATTGCGCCCCCATAGAGCACAAGTAATTGTGCCCTGGAGTGCAAAATAATTGCGCCCCCTGTGGAGCGCAAAAGAATTGCGCCTCTCATGGAGCTTGAAATAATTGCACCTCTAGAGCGCAAAATAATTGCGCCCCCATAGAGCGCAAGTAATTGCACCCTGGAGCACAAATAATTGCGCCCTGGACTGCAAAAGAATTGCGCCCCCCATGGAGCGCAAAAGAATTGCGCCTCTCATGGAGCTTGAAATAATTGCACCTCTAGAGTGCAAAAGAATTGCTCCCCCATAGAGTGCAAGTAATTGCGCCCTGGAGCGCAAAATAATTGCACCTCTCATGGAGCACAAAATAATTGCACCTCTAGATGACAAAATAATTGCGCCCCCCATGGAGCGCAAAAGAATTGTGCCTCTCATGGAGTGCAAAATAATTGCACAGGTTGGGACTCGCCAATGAGACCAATGGGTGCAGTGCATGGGTGCCATAAACCTCTGCCAAAGTGGGCTGACCCATTGTATGAGGGGCTTTTTTTCATGCCACCCATCCATGGCGAAAAATTCACCTGTTGTTGCCTGCAGGCGCAACAACGAGGCTGCTGTCAACACATTTAAATACTTACTTCACATACAACAGGTTAATAATATATCTATTTAACTTTCTCCTGTGTGGTCCCCCACAGTGGTACTAACGAGGCAGCACTCTGGTTAACTGCCTGAAAGAACGATGGGCGCAACAATGGGATCTGTGCAATTGGGCGCAACCCATGGGCGCCAGAGGCAAAGTGGGCCGATCCGTCCTCTATGGGGCTCTGTTCGTGCGGCCCACCCATGTCGCATGGCCTATTTTAGAGTCTCGGCCCAGTCATTCCCAAGGCCGAATTCTTGACAGCTCGGCCGAGTCCGCTGGCCCGCTGTTGATGGGCGCCTGTCACACACCGCTGGCCCATCAGTGATGGACCCATTTGACTGCCCTAACTGCTTTCCTGGCTTAGCAAAATGACTCTGGACGTCATTGGCCTTGCAGGTAATGTCGTTCATCTCCTTGTTTGTTTACTCTGACAAATGTTTCTAGGGTTTAATTACAAGTTTGACGCGCTTAAAGGTGATGCCAACAAGAACGAGCTCAACGAGGCTTTCTCCACCATCTTTCGTTCGAGAACACGCATGAACATGCTATTCATGCTCAGGGGCTTATTCCCGCCTCTCCGCTTTATCGTAAGCTCTCCTTCATTGAGCGTTGACATAAAACTCTAATTGAGATTGTGGATTTAGCGAGCGGAGGGTGATGCGGATGCAAATCGCGCTTCGCGTACCATGGATCGCATTGGGAAAGAGCTCCTCTCAGAGAGTAAGACTGCTCTTGCTCACGGCGAGAAAATGGAGAAGACTTCATGGAAGTCTCGCGACTTGCTCAGCCTTTTACTGAGGGCCAATATGGCCACTGATTTGCCGGAGAGCCAACGCATGACGGACGAGGATGTATTGGCTCGTGCGTGTGACTGTCATCTTCAATTTACCACTTTTGACCTGATTGGGCAGAGGTTCCAACATTTTTGGTAGCTGGACACGAAACAACAAGGTAGATTACGGTTCAAGTTGGCTGTAAGGCCTAGCCATTCTGACAGCGGATCACAGCACAGCGACTACATGGGCTCTTTACGCCTTGACTCAAGCCCCAGAAGCCCAATCAAAGCTTCGGGAGGAACTTTTAACTGTTTCTACGGACAACCCAACGATGGACGATCTCAACGCGCTTCCATATCTTGACGCCGTTGTCCGTGAAACCCTCCGTGTGCACGCTCCAGTGCCATCCACCATGCGGATTGCGATGAAGGACGATATACTTCCTCTCTCAACCCCCTTTACAGATAAATACGGCGTCGAACACGACACCCTTCAGTAAGTATCGTTCTCTCTAGTCAGGGTGGCGGTTGACTTGTTGCTTATAGCGTTCGGAAAGGTCAAACTGTACTCATTCCAATTTTGCTGTTGAATAGATCTAAAAGCATTTGGGGAGAAGATTCGTTCGAGTTTAAGTACGTGTTTGTGTCTTTCTTTGGGATGTCAGCTAACGTACATCTACTTGTCAGGCCCGAACGATGGCAATCCACTCCTGAAGCCGCAACTCATATTCCTGGAGTGTGGGGTAACATGCTTACATTCCTTGGCGGACCTCGAGCTTGTATCGGCTACCGATTCTCCCTCGTCGAGTACGCTGGCATTTTATAAATATTGGTGCATCTAACGACCTAATTTCTTAACAGGATGAAGGCGTTACTATTCACATTGATCCGAGCATTTGAGTTCGAACTTGCTGTCCCGCCCCAGGATATCGCCAAAAAGGCGGGTATCGTCCAGCGACCATTGGTTGTGACGGAGCCAAATGCAGGAAATCAGATGCCTTTGCTCGTGAAGCCTTACAATCATTCTGGATAAGCTTTTAATCGGTCTTGGGAGTTCTGGTATTTATTTTAATAATCTGGACGATCTATGTGCGGTCTATGCACAGTACCATTTGTACTCTTATGTCAATGTCATGGAATGCCCAATGACGTAAGGATCAGCTAGATTAGATAGCACTAATTGCAAGTTTTGAGTCAGTACAAATCTCTTTTGACCATCTGGTAAGCATTTCGGCACCTAACTTGCACAACACACTCATCTCCTGTCTAGATTACTTCAATACAAGGTTAAATCCTCGAGCGATCTCTGTAAATTCTCCAGCTTCAATCACCATGCCTCCCAAGGGTGGCAATGCAAAGAAGGAGAGTGGAAGATCGAAGAAGGCCGAGAACGAAGCCAAGAAGCAGGAGCAAGCTGCTGCTGAGAAAGTGAGTTGGTTAATTCTTTGATGCGATGTGAAGTCATGGATGGACTCTGATCAACCAAATCTCCCATTCTACCATAGGAAAGAAAAGAGGCCGATGCATGGAAGGATAAGGACGTGAAAGGTGGGAAGGCAAAGGCGGAGGAGAAAGAAGAAAAACGCAAGGCAGAGCTTGCACGAAAAGCGGAGACCGCGCGGTTGCTTGCTGAAGAGGAGGCTGCGGCTGCCCCCAAAGTCAAGGCTGCGCCGAAGGCTGGCGCGAAGAAAAAGGCTGACGCCAAACCTGCTGGCCCAGGAGCGATTGCTGCTGCTGGTGGGATTGCCGATGACGGTGGGGAGAGGCCGCCGACGGGCAGCGAGCCTGCGGCTGAAGTGGAGAGCTTTGCTGCGACGGGTATTGATAATGCTTTGGATCTGCTTGAGGTTGTGACTGCGAAGATGGATAAGGCCAGTGTTGGTCAGCAGGCTGCAGGCATCGAGAGGCATCCCGAGGTATTCATCTGTTCCTTTACCTTCAGAGTTGTAGACGATCTGATTTCTCGAATTCTCCAGCGTCGTTTCAAGGTAAGATAGGATCTCGGACTGACATTCACTGCCTTCCGATCGTCTTCTTATGCTGTTCACTTTAGGCTGCGTATGAAGCGTACACGGAACGTGAACTCCCGATCGTCAGGCAGGAGGTGGTCCTCTTCATTCAACCTTTACTTCGCATCTCACTCACGTTTACTCCAGCACCCAGGATTGCGTCTACAGCAGTACAAGGTGACTGACATATTCGCTTATATCTTTACATTTTCTGACGGTGTCCATGTTACGCTGTAGGACCTGCTCTACAAGCAATTCCAAAAGTCTCCAGAGAATCCGTGAGCTTTTCGGGGGATCTTTTCAACCTTCTTGATCCTGACAGTAGATCTATGCACCAGGTTTAACCAGACCACCGTGTCGTATGACGCTTCGAAGGAAGAGAAAGTCAAAGCACTCGAGGCCAAGAAAGCCGAAGTGACGGAACGACTGCGCGATAAGAGTTAGAATGCAGACTGGGGTCCCGCGTGGCAGTTCTCATGCGGATTCGTCGTGTTGAAGTTAGCACTCTTGCTTTGGATTATGGATGAGCGTACTCGCTCGTGGAATGTATTATCTTGCTAAACGTTTAGACCTAGCTACCAACTCGCCGATTCTAGCCTGATACATCAGTTGATGGAGTTTTTGTCCGACAGCCTGTGACATCACTGCTCGAAATATATGTGCCATCATATCTCCATGTAAATCGTGGATGTACGCCTTGAGCACTGCTTGATAGCGGGGGGGGGTACGGAATAGCGACTTCAAGAGCCTCGATTGTTGTTTTGTCCTGAGTCAGCAAGGTGCACGCTGGCAGGTCGTTGAGAAAATGTGCTGCGGCGGCCACATTCCAGTCTTTGGAGACATTCAGCCGTACCAGGTGCGGTGCAGATTCCGAAACAGCCAGTGAAATGAGACCCGGCACAACTTGAATGGGATAGGCTGTAGTAAGGCGGCGACAGTGAGAAACTACCTAAGTCTAATCTCAGCGTTGCAACTTCCTAATTCTGTTCCTCAGCCTCTCCTCCGTGTCAGCTGCCTCGATCAACTGGTCAAGCAATTTATCATTCTCCTTGTCAATCTTAGCCCAGGCTCTCTCCAGCTCTCTAACCTTCTGCTGCAGAGTGCTCACCCTCTGCTCAGCCGTCCTCCTGGCTGACGTCTCCTCACTGACCAGATTCCCCAATCTATCAATACTCTGCTGCCAAGAATTTCGAGCGTAATCGTGCTGCCTTTGCATATTAAGACGCTCAGCGCTCGCTCGATCCATCATCGCCCTCATTTTAGCTTCCGAGGTCTCGTATTGCGTCTTCAGCTGCGAAGCCGCCTTTGCTTGCCCCTCTTCGAGCATCTTCGCCATTCTTGCTTGCTCATCTTTCGACCTCTGCTTCTCCTTTGCCATCTCCGCATCGAAATTACCCTGCAACTCCTTCATGTTCTCTTGGTGTTTCGCAGCCACCTCGCGCATCTCCTTCTTCTGATCGTCAAGCGCCTTAGTTTTATCCTGCATGTCTTTCTCCATATCTTCGAGCTTCTTATTAAGACGCTCGACATCGCTTTCTAGTGCCTTCCCAGCCTCCGTTTCTTTGAAAGATATGTTGTTCTCCGCCATTTCCCTCGTGGCTCTGGGAATGAATGGTGTTTGGTGAGATAAGTCGTCTACAACGTCGCTAACAATCAACTCAGATTGATGTTCTCCACGAAACAAGATAATGACTAACGCTCTGTGTCTTGCATTTGATCCAGGTGCCATTACGGAGCAGCGGAATATGGTTAATGAGAAAACGGGATGTTTTACACCGAGCAGAAAACGGGGCTTATATTTGTGGCCATCGTATTTACGCTCTGAATCCGAATGTTGGGGGCTCTCCTTCCAAGGTAGGTTGAGATATCTTCGTATTCTATTCTGAAACATAAGCTGCGTCGGCCGGATGTTGTTGTCAAAGCATCGTGTATGTTATCTACCCATCGCCTCATTTTTACCTCCCGGTTTTCAGATTTTGGGGCTGTGAATCGGTGCCTTTCGATATATAAGGTGCATCTGACAGGTGGAATATTCGTGCTCCCCTCGTGTGTTGGGAAATCATTCGAGGTCTTCGAATCTTCGGGTCTACGGTTGAATAAATTTGGACACGCACTGCATTTTGGGTGAACATACAGAGCGAAATCTTTGACAAAAAGAGTTCCTGCTGACATCTAAGTATTCGTTCCTTCAACTTCGTTGTTGACCTCCAAGATTACGTCTTGTTATCGATATACTGCTCTGTTCAACGTACATCCCGACTCTAGTTAGCCTCTCAAAATTCTCGAATCTCGAATATCCTCCACACCTTGCGAAAATGACACAGGGAGAGTCATACCCCAGAGGTGGCCTTGAGGAGATCACGTACGTGTCATTCTGAATATCAAATTGTCTAACAATAAACCAAGTTTCTGTTTCTGTAGTCGCGTAATATGGGAGCTTATGCATACGCCTGGTTTTATTCCGCGTGTCTCGAAGGAGATGGTCGATCACCAAATGACTTTCGCCGACACCGCTGCGGGGAAATTCGTTCTTGGAGAGCTTCACGAACTATACACCAAATTAAAGCAGTCCAAAGCCGATCTCGAGGAGGAGACGAAGAAATTCCAGCTGAAGGAGAAGGAGATGGAAATGCTCATTGCTAAGGAGAAAGCCGACGCGAAAGAGCGCCTTGAGAAGCTTGAGAAAAAAAGCGGGGACAAGTTGAGAAAGCAGACAGAATCATTGAGAAAGGATAAGGAACAGAGCCGGCAATTTCTCTCTGATATGGAGCGCAAGTCGGACGCCGCAAAAAGAGATCTTCAGAGAGCCCTCGACCAAAAGCTTCAGGACATTGCGGATAGGGAGGACCGATTGAAGGCAGATTTACTAGCGAAGGCAGCGGACGATGAAAGAATTGCGAAGCTGTCCGACCAGGCCGTTGATCTCCTCGAGCAACAGATGAAGCAAGAGGTAATGAGATCGAATATAAATCGCGCGGAAATCAAGAATATCAAGAGACGCATGGCGCAGGCTGAGCAGAAACGCAGGGAGCTGGAGATGAAACGCGCCGAAAGGGAGCGGAAGCGCCGAGCATCTGCTGCGAAAGCAGCAGCGGACCGCGGTAAAGATCCGATTCAGGAGGGGATTAGACCACCACCACCACCGCCCGGAGATCCGTTTCAGGAGATAACTGGACCAGGGCCTCCACCACCACCACCACCACCACCACCGCCGCCGCCCCCGCCCCCGCCCCCGCCTCCACCACCACCACCACCGCCCCCGCCCCCGCCATTTATTCTGCCCCCGCCATTTATTCTGCCCCCGCCATTTATTCCTCCTGCACCGCCATTTATTCCTCCTGCACCGCCATTTATTCCTCCTACACCGCCATTTATTCCTCCTGCACCCCCGCCATTTATTCCTCCTGCAGCGCCCCCAATGTCCATGAACGAGTATTTGGCTTATCCTCAAGTCCAAGCATGGCGACAAGCAAATGCTGCACCCCCCCAGTACTATCAGCCCGGTTGTCGACCGCGTAGGTGTTAAATGACATTAGCCCTCCTTTCATCCCGAGTTTTTTCTTCTAGCCAGGTCAATTTTACGCGGTTATCAACCAATTCCCACAGGCGCGATTTCTGAGTAGACAGAAAATTTCCTATCTATTTTCGCATGCGTTTTGAATATTTGGGAGATCCAAGGGAAATCCGAACATGTCATATTCTCGTTATGAGCACAACTTGACTTGCACCGGCTTGCACAGTCGGGCTCGTGATCTTGCCCACTCTCGTTTATGAATCCTACATTGGACCACAATCAGTATTAGCGCAGAAAAGCCTCATCCAACATACCTTTGCCAGGGACACAGAAACCTCTTTCATTCCGTATAATCCAAGCATTCTCATCAATCCTTGTTTCACGCACTGAAAAATGCGCTGTTCGAGCCGTTGTAATAATAGGTAGCTAACAGTTGACAATGTCCTTGCAGGTACATAGTTTAGTATAAGTATGAGTACTGGAAGAACATGTCGTTAGCACATGGTTAGATAGAAATGAACACGATAGACGCACACAATACATCCCGCGAGAACCCCGTGGCCGTGACGATAAGACTTCAATTGGAGAGGGTCGCTTCGTAACAATGTTATCCATGCCAGTGTCTACAGACAGCGAAGCTCCTGCTGAATCGTCGGGCTGATCTGCCGATCATGTGAACGTGTTTGGTTTGGGTGGGTGCAGAAAAACAAACAATGAATAACAATTATGTAGCTCTTCTTAGTTCTCCTTCTGCGACTTAGGCTGCAACTCCGGCTACCAGAAAGAAGGCGGAAGGTCGGCGATTCAGATCGAGATATACCAATCGACTCATGACCGCATTGTCTCGCTGTTATACCGATAGACTCATGACAGCATTTAGCCTCGCTGTTATCGTTCGGTGATGGATAACAATCACTGGCAGAATTCACCGCCGACATCTCCCTCAAGAAGATGCTAATCAACCTATCCTGTTTCGGCCTCATGCTGGGATAACTGTTGTGTTTTGACAGAAGCAATTCGCAGTGAAAGTTTGGAGATCGATGACTTTGCGACGAATTCCATTTTCGATATGATAATCTAAATCCAAAAAAGCGAAACCGGAGAATCCCCCGAATCGAATAAAAACTCTGTTGAGAGCGTGTTATTCCTGCCAACCCAACGAATACCGTAGCTGGCTTTTACAATGCCCACTAAGACCACTCCAGTGCCTGTCATTCTGTAAGTATTTCGTGCAATTTGGTGCGTTTGGCTCATCATATTCATGGTTCACTAGTCTCATGGGCTGCACTGGCAGCGGAAAGACTACCGTACGTCCCAGTTTCATCTTTGTCAATACCGCGATTATTGCTTATCTTAAGCCTTTGATTCATAGTTTATCAACACATTCCTTGAGGAAGATAAGCAGCTTAGAACCGGGGACGATCTCGAATCCGTGACACAGGATATCGCCAGCGCCCAAGCCGTCATTGGAGGTCGCGAAGTCATGCTGGTCGACACTCCCGGATTCGACGATACTTTCAGACCCGAAATGACGATCGCCGCCACTATCGCTGATTGGCTTGCAGAAAGGTACGGGATTGAACTCGTTCATACTGCAATTTCAGACGACTAATTTCATTCAATACTCACTAGGTATTCAGCCCAAGGTGGCGCAGTGATCAACGGGATTATCTACATGCGCGATATCAGGAAGGTCAGAATGACTGGAACCGATATCGCAAACCGCACCATGTTCGAAAAATTGATTGGAGAAGAGAATTTCAAAAACGTTCGCCTCATGACAAGCTTCTGGCCTCCCTCCTCTGATATCGAGGGAACACTGGACTGTGAAAAGCGCGAGGGGATGTTAATGCAGAAGTTCTGGAGGGATATGGCCGCGAGGGGCTCCACCACTGCCCGCTTCAATCTGTACGATTAGACGACATACCACTATTTGCTACTTCTCTATATTCCGTTTCCCATATCCAACTGCGCATTGCCCATTTAAAATATCCTTTACTATTTCTGGATAATTGGGACATCTTGGATACTTTGGCGCAATACAATCGTTTGAAAACCCACTACCCCTCGCAGCTACATGCGGGAAAGGCGTGCCACGACAATTTAACCCTTTTTTGTTATCTGTAAGATCTAGGAATGTCTGTCTCCGGATTCCCAAACCGCTGATCTACCTTTTTGTCGAACGCAATCCTGATTTTCGGGTCTGTCACGATGACCCGGCGCGATGCGTATAAAATCCCCACCCCTTTGCGTGATTACTGCAGTGTCCTTGCATCGTATTCATTCTCCTCTCTATTCCAAGAAATTTTTCGGTCATCTCTTTGAAGAAATATGGCTCCCTTCAGAAAGAACTCTCCGAAAATGGAGTAAGTCCCCAGACTATCATATCCTGCCCAGATTGACCATTTTACTGACCTTAGGTCGTTTATGGAGGATCTCATGAACGAAAAGCCGTTCACCCCTCCTGTTGCGAAAGATATGGTCGACGAGGGGAAGTCATTCGCGGAAACAGCAGCCGGAAAACAGCTACAAGGCGAACTGCTTATGATGAAAGAGAAACTTGAAGCGGCGGAGAAGGAGATGAAGGATAATCTTGCCAAGTTCCAACAAAAGGAGAAGGCGTTGTCGGAGGAAATGGAGAAGACCAAAAAAGAGGCGAAGGAGAGGCAGGAAAAGCTCGAGAAAGACTTGGACGAGAAGATGGAAAAAATGGCGCAGGAGGCGAGGGATCAGCGTGAAGCCGACGCGAAGAAGCTTAAAGATATGCAGAACAAGTCAGATGAAGAGAGGCGTCAGATGCAGAGGGATGCTGACAAGAGGGCAAGCGATCTGCAGGATAGACACGAGAGAGAAAGGAGGGAGCTGATGGCGAGCCAGACGAATGCCTCATCCGGCGGTACCGACCAGCTCGCTCGCCTCGAGAAACTGATCAACAGCACCCGCAAAATGAGAACTGAAGATGCGAAAGAGCTGAAGAGGCTTCAGAATAGGCTCGACAGAACGAATAACGCTCGGGCCACCATTGCGACAAAGCGGCTCAAGTGTCCTACCGGCAAACTCTACAAGAAGAATAGAGATGGCGATTGGGTCTGCGGTGGGAAACATTTTCTTTCCGCTAAAGAGTATAAACGCCGCGCCTCCTAATCTTTTAGACTGTTCTTCGTACCGGTTCGATTATGTTTCACATATCAGAGCGTCTTGATTACGTGTGTACCAGGTTTAATCAGACCACCGTGGCATATGACGCTTCGAAGGAAGTGAAAGTCAAATCACTCGAGGCCAAGAAAGCCGAAGTCACGGAACGACTGCGCGATAAGAGTTAGAATTCAGACTCAGGTCCCGCGTGGCAGTTCTCATGTGGATTCGTTGTGTTGAGGCTAGCCCTCTTCCTTTGATTATGTATGAGCGTATACTCGCTCGTCCTAAACGATTCTAGACCACCAGCTCGCCGATTCTAGGATACATCAGCTGATGCAGTTTGTGTCCAACAGGATGACATCACTGCTCGAAATATATGTGCCATATTTCCGTGTAAGCACTGCTTGATAGCGGGGGGTAGGGAATAGCGAGCTTAAGACCCTCGATCGGTCCCGAGTCAGCCAGGTGCACAGGTTATTGAGAAAATGTGCTGCGGCCACATTCCAGTCTTTGGAAACATTTAGCCGTACTAGCCAGTGCGGTGCATATTGCAGAACAGCCAGTGAATGCGTGAATTGAGAGCCCCGCAATGCGCATAGCACAGCGTCTGGATTACGTAATGGTGACAAAATTTTCGCTATAAATTCTCTCCAACTTGCTTCTGATGACCACAAGCCCTTCCTCCTTGTAGGACAACGCACACGACCATGACAGGATATTTCGTATCCATTCCAGCCACCCCATCACCGCCATCCTCACCACCTCGGTCTCATCCCACCAACACACTCACGGTGACCAGCCTTCCCAAGTCGTTCTTCGACCCCTTGATTCTAGATGTGTTGCGCAATCATTTTTCGTCTTATGGTCCTCTCAACCAATGGGTGCCCCTACAAGGTTTCGGTCGTATAATAGTCGTTTATGAAGTCGAGCACCACGCAGAGTCGGCAAAACAGCAATGTGATCCAATCGTTTTAAGTGCGGCGCATGATCGGTGGGTTTTTTCATTCTTCTCGCAATGCTTATCCTGAATCGGAGAAAAAATAGTTCACAGGTGATCCTGCGCGTATATCGCGCCGACCCTAATCCGCTCATCCCACAAGGAGTATCCACGTCATGGATACCAGAGACGAGCTACCTGCAACCACCACCGGTGGAAAAGAATTTCCTTATCTCACCGCCCGGGTCGCCTCCTGTAGGCTGGGAGCCTATCAAGGAAGACCCGCCTAATTCCTGCCCGCTTGCTGATGACCTGATGGCTGCCTTGAAGAAACTTAAGACTTATGAGGAGCACGAGCCGGGTCTAGAGCTTCTTCTGGATCCTATGGACGGTGCGGGCGTCGGTGTGTATGTCGAAGACTTTGATGCGGGGTGCCCGAGCATTGAGGTAGATGAGGATGATTGGGTGTACGGCGAGTCTGCACCTGCAAGGGAGAAATGGAGACAATTCGCAACCGCGATGCCGCCCGTACTCACCGTTTAGTTTCGTTTGTTTTCACGTTTGATCTGGTGAGCATCTTTTGCTTTCCCTCTTGTTCCCCCTTCTCTTTTTTTTGCGGATGATAACAATCAGACCTGTTCTGAGCCCCCAAGGGGCACGGAGGACAATCGATATTGCCTATAATACTTCTGATCCTATTCCCTTCCTTTCTCAACTTTCACTTTGGACTAATGCTGACTATCCTTCCCTTTAGCTCGCCTCATGAATTGCCCCATGCACATCTTAGTTTCTCTTTTTTATTTGTGAGTTTCATTCATTTCTCTGCCTTCTCGCCCATCACCAGAAGATGAATATAATTCAGACCTGTTCTGAACCTTGTGGAGACAACCGAATATTGCCTAATAATGCTGATTAAATTGATGGAGCACTTTCTTCTGCTAGCCCTTTTCGACTCACACCGATGCTCATGACCACCTTTTTCGTTTAGGGATTTTAACTGCATATTGGTGATAATGGACACTGGACTCTGTACTTGATACAATTACGACCTCATCTGTACCACCCGCATCTTCGTTCGTGTCTGAAATTTATTACCTGTACTATACTTGCAATATATTCACCATGCCACCTCCTTCGGTCCGCCTAGCGGCGATCTTGCAACGGCGTTTCACACAAGTGCTGGCTTTCTTTTTGTGGGCTCAAACTGTTTTCTTCACTGATCACGTGTTTGCAAATCAATACAACGTAATGACCGCCCGACTCTTAACTTGAACCACGAGGGTCTTTGAACGACGATGAAAGCCTTCATTTCGTTCTCGCTGCTCGTTGCAGGTTCTCTTATCCCCACATATGCCTTGCCGCCGTTTCCCGACAACGGAATCCAAGTCCCCTTACGATCACCCCCAAGCATCTCCAAGAATGTGTTCAAGGACGCCTCAGAGTACTTGAGCGACGCGGAGAAGGTTATTCTTAAGGGAAAGAAGAACATGGAGAAATGGTACCACGATGGAAAGGAGTTTATCAAGCAGAATGACCTCCTCTGTGCGTATGCTCCAAATCAGTCATAGCTCTGGTCATAATCGTACATATGATAGATGAGCTCGTCTCCCACCCGTCATTCTCAGAACACCAGTTGAGGGTTACAGAACCTGACTTGTGCGACTCCTCTGTCAAGCAATACTCAGGGTATCTGGACATCGCTGAAGATAAACACCTGTTCTTCTGGTTCTTCGAGTCCCGCAATTCTCCGGCGGATGCACCTCTTATCCTCTGGCTCAACGGAGGACCGGGATGCAGTTCATCAACTGGTCTTCTCTTCGAGCTCGGACCTTGTAATATCGCCAACAACGGCAAGAGCGTCACTCACAACCCCTACAGCTGGAACTCCCACGCAAATATCATCTTTCTCGACCAGCCGGTGAACGTTGGGTTTTCCTACGCTGACGACGGCACAACCGTCAGTTCCAGTCCCGTTGCCGGCAAGGACGTCTATGCCTTCCTAGAGCTCTTCCTTAACAGATTCCCTAAATATTCCACTCAACCATTCCACCTGGCTGCCGAGAGCTACGGAGGAACATATGCTCCCAACATCGCCAATACCATCTATAAAGCTAACAAGGAGCTTCAGTTAACACCCAACGCTAACTTGAAGCGTATTAACCTTGCATCCGTCATTTTGGCAAACGGACTCACGGACGCGTACACTCAGATGGGTTCAGTCGCGGACTATGCTTGTGATGGCCCTTACCCAGTTTACGACGATCCGGAGGGGCCCCAGTGCTACGCATTGAGGTCCAAGATTCCTACTTGCCAGCGTCTCATAAAATCGTGTTATCAATTTAACTCCAAGTTTACCTGTGTGCCAGCAGTCCTGTATTGCAATTCTCAGCTCTTTGGGCCCCTGATGCGTATGTATTTCCTCTTTTAGTTGTAGTTCGGTTGGTTAAGCGTCCTATAGAGACTGGCCGCAACCCATACGACGTCAGACGCAAATGCGACCGAGCCAAGGATGGCGACCTTTGTTACAAGCAAATGGGCTGGATTGAAACCTGGATGAACGAGCCCAAGAACAAGGTTGCGCTTGGTGTCAGCCCAGACAAAACATTTGCGTCTTGCAACATGGAAGTCAACCAGGCCTTCACCATGAACGGTGACGGTATGCATAATAGCGCTCTCCTCCTCCCTGATCTCATCAACGACGGCATTCGCTTGTTGGTCTATGCTGGCAATGCTGGTAAGTCCATTTAATATCTCTCCAGACACCTATTGAACTTTGTTGTTACAGACTTGATGTGTAACTATATTGCAAGTTGAACTCAACTCCTCCCATAACCCACGTCTCTGATTCCTCCAACAGGGCAACGAACGCTGGGTTGAACTTTTGGAAACCAAGTTCAACAAGGAATTTTCTGAGACCAAATCCGTACCTTGGTCAACTCTTGACTCTGGCCGCATTGCTGGAGAAGTTCGCAGCGCGGGTGGCGGCGGTTTCACTGCTGGTAATATCACATACGTCAACGTTCACGAAGCTGGGTAAGTCTTGTTCACCTAACAGACCTCTTGTTCGGTCTCACCCATACCCTTTGTTCTGCAGACATATGGTACCGTTCGATCAGCCAGAAGCTGCTTTGGTGTGTTTTGCTTTGGCGAAAAGATCAATCATGTATTAACTATTTACTTTACTTCCCAGGACCTGATCACGAGGTGGATTACGGATGTGCCACTCTCGCTCGATAAAGCGATTAAGGAGGCGGCGGCCTCCATTCCTCCTCTATAATAGGATGAATTCTACGGCCTGTGATCATGTAGCGCGATGTTTCGGTTTGTAACTATTTATCTCACGATTGGATATTCACGTAGAGTCTGGAATCCGCTCCATACCCACGCAACATGTAAAGTATTCGGGATCGGCCTCTTTCATGAACCGCCACCCGACGCTCCCATGGGAATGCTATCACTTGAATGCAGAACTCTCGGGATCAATTTTCTCATGATCCGCCCCGCCTTCCAGTCGCAAGCCTTGAGCCTTGCATGCTGATTCCGTATCGAGAATAACATCCGTTTTTTTTTTTCGATTTGATGACTTTAGGATTCAATGCCTTGGACTCGGTGCAAACATGATATATACACAAGAAAAAGTAAGGTACGACACAAGTGGATAATTTACTTCATAAAATACTGAACTCGACCAAGTGAATAAGTTACCTAGTAAAATGTCCGACGAATAATCTGACAACATGGAAGAAGGGGTAGAAACAATCAAGCGACGATAGAAGAAAACCTCGCAAGAAAGTGGGGTGCATGAATACGTACTCTGAGGACAAATGAAAACAACATCAACGTTGAAGAACACAAATGTTCGATTTAGAATCTGGGGAAATACTCTTCGGTGTCCATCGCGAACAACACGTCTGCATGGCTGTCTCGTCCCAGTTGAAGCTCCATGGAAGTAGGCTCCTGTGCGCCCACGCCATATCCATACATGAGGTGCGCGTGACCTCTCCCGTCGTATACGACTGATGATGGGCCTCCCAGCATTTCCTGACCACTCGTCGCATTTTGCAGAAGTCCGGAATCTGTGAAATGCAGTGGCACATTGGGCGTCCAAGCACCGTTTCGGTCGTATTGCGCAACGAGCCCCAAGGGCTGTGGCTGGAGTACTGAGTTCCGGTACTTCGCCTGTTGACAGAGAAACGTGTTGTCTTCGAAGATGGCTAAAGGGGATAGCGATAACGACAGGGGTGACGGAGACATTAAGAATGGAGCACCAGGGCGTGGCGCTGGCGAGTCGACTGTTCTCTCTCCGCCGTTCCAGTTCAAAAGCGATGAACTGCTGGCGGAAACCGAATTGGTGATGGACGGTAGAGCCGAAGAGTAATCCGACGTGGTGAAGCTGTCGATGGACGCGGAATGGTATAGACGGCATGGTAGTGACTGGGAATTCTTAGTCTTGGTTTTGGCGAACAACATTGCACTCACCTCAGAGATGCTCGTCGTACTGTAGGATGGCGCGATCCCATTCATCCGCCCGTGAGTGGCAACGTTTATCTGCTCGTTCGAATCCACGCTCGTTTGATGCTCCAAAAGTAGTGGCACAGAAGTAGGCCTGCGACATGCAGTCTGCAGCCCTGAACCCGGTCTGGATGAATCTTGACTCGTTTCACTGTGCGTTTGTTGCATCCCCCCTGCGCCCATGTTGACCGTCACTGCGACCACCGCCGTCGCTGTCGTCGATGCTGACTTTCCGGATGGTACCTTCGCCGGGGAAGAACGCGTGTTGCGCTTCCTTCCTGTTGCGCTTTTCTTTGGACGGTAGCGATAGTCGGGGTAACGCCTCGCATGCTCGGTGCGCTCTCCGCTCGCCCGATCCCTCCAGTACATCCTCTCTTCGTGAGATAACTGGTGCCATGCCTCGGCCGCTTGCTTTGAGAGCGTCTTTTCCGCCTCTGCGCCAGGAGGCCGTCTGACACGCTTTCCCTCTCTTGAATGCGTCTTGACGTACTCACAGCGGAAGAGAATAAACTCATTTCGAGGTCGAGCTACCCACGTCGGATCGCCGTTTTTTCCCTTCTCTTGGTGTTTGCTGGGCGATTCCCCTCGACTGGACAGAGCGGAAGTGCTCGATGTCGGTGACATCACGTCCATTTTCGAGGAGAATGACCTAGAATACCTCGAACGTAGGGTCCGCATCGTGGTATTGTTGGTATTGGAGATGTGGAATGGTGGGTTTTGGAGCGAGTTAGGCAGGTGGACGGTGACCTGGACATAATCCTCGTTTTCGGGTGGCGCCCATCCGAAGATTCGCGCAAGCGTAGACATGGGAAGAGGGCAAAGGTGAAAAGGACGCCGCTTTCTCTGTCCTGTTCCTTTTCAATCATGGCTGCCTCTAAGGTCAGCAGTATGCATCGTTTTTGGACAGGGTAAAATGGACGAATCTACGATAAGCAATGGGATCTCAGATTGGAGGTCTATTTATGAACAGTCCGAATCGCGATCGTGATCGCTGAACGCCAAGCCAGCCTCGAGGTTCGCAACCTTCCCTGGAGGCAAGACTCGTAGTAATGTTCAATGATGATACTGGGGAATCGTGGTTCCCACAGCTCTCCAAAGACAGAAAAGCTAGAGCTTTCTGAAGGTGGGGTATATATTAGTAAGGTTAATGAAAGCCTCTCCTGTTGGCCGATCATCATGGGGCCTCGAAAAAAGCCCAGGGGCACACTGCCATTTTCTTCACACCAAACATTATATTATAACAGGTATTTGAATTTGACAAGTGACCCGAACGTCATCGAAGAGCCACGTTAGGTGCACCTGTCTTATGAACAATTTTGTTCAGCTCTCTTCGCATTGCACCCAATGTGCTTCGGTAGAAGAAACTCGCTCGGTAAGTCAGTCGCTCGGCATTTCTTCGATGTTGACGAGAAACCTTGTAGTCTCGCGTGCGTGACTCAACCAAAATGGACTCAGAGCCTCATTCCTCGCTTAATCCTCTAAATGCTACTGTGATCTAGATTCAAAGCAGTCCCAGAAAATACCAAACCATTGATGTGGGTAAGTTAGCCATGCTATATTGCCGGAGCCACCTCGATGCGGGATGTCCGACCGCAAAGTAAGGTCCGAAGAATGGTCGCCGAGAAATGGAGGGGTTAGGCGCCTTAACAGGTTGACTTGGACTTCGCCATGAGGCTAACAATCCCAGTTAGGAACGAATATTTGGGGTGACTTTTGCTGCGACTGCGGCAATAAATAAATCAACGACGCACTGAGACGGGGTTGACGTGAAGTCATACAAAATATCATTGGTACCTATCGAATTGAAAAACCTGACCTCGGTAAGATGAGAAGGGAGGTACATGAACTTGTACCTCTAGGCGTCTTGAGACAAGAAGTAATTCCCTTTTCTGGGAATGTAACGGAATCATAAATGTGCGATGGCTTGAACCTGCATGCGCAAGGCAACAACAGACAACGGCGTAAAAAGGTACAACGTGAGAATGGCTTGGGGGAAATATTTATCCGTGTTCAAGATACGGGCAGTGGGAGCCTGAAGGCCAGAATGTCTAAGTATGTGACTTGAACCTGGCTGTTGATAGATAGATAGATAGATATATTCCGAAGCCTCGGTCCCATGAGGAACAACCGGTTTCCGACACACAAGTGTAGCGCCTGAATAAAATTGTGCTACGGAGTGCATCACCACGGGATGTACTACCACAAAATTGAAACAATTTTTTTTGGCTTTTTTCTTTCGAAGCGCAGAGAAACACATGGTGCGGCATAGAGCTGTTGGTCTGAAAAGAAAAATAGAACTATGAACAAAAAAATTGGCTAGATGCACGAACATATATTTCTGTTTTGCAATTTTCTTTGAGTAATGTGGTACTGAATCTTGACTGAATCTTTGACAATGTCCAATGTCGCCTGGTCATGTGATCTTAGTGGCCCTTGATGAGAAGCTTCCTTTTGTGGCAAACTTCTTACATGTATGATGTCGGACGTCCGTCATGAGCGTTAACGGCAAGTTCTCCTTTCCTTTTTCTGCGACTTACACCCCTTGTCTCTGTTCCTTCAACGGACAAGTACATGTGGTAACAGCTCGACCTCATCGTTGTCATCAATCGTTTTGCGGAACCTCTCCGCAGTCACTGGACGTTCACTAGACGTCATCAAGAGCTATTGGAGCGAAAAGATCGTGCGACGTTATAACACCGTCAATGGCTCTGGTACCTCATGGAAATCCTGGAACTCATGCGAAGCGAGAGATACCAAAGATTGGAGGTTCATCGGCTGGTGAGATGTTACCGATTGCGGGATCAAATTAGTGCTGAATCACCTTTTTTCCCAGCCTTCATAGCTGTCGTCGTTATTCTCGTCATAATCATTGTCAGTGTTGGAACGGCGATGGTAATTCTCTTGCGAGAGGATAAGTCCGATGCCGAGGACCGACGTCGTCGGTACCAGCACGCTGGTTCACCAGCCTCTCCAGCATACCAGCTCGATTCATCGTCATCAAAGACGTGGCTTTTTGGAATGTTTAGCTCCAGTAGACGTGAGGCTGATACAACGACGGATGGGCCCACAACGTTAAAAGGACGGGGCGGAGGTCAAGGATGGGTTCAAGCTGTAGGAAGCGATTGGGACGGTGATTCGGTGGATGAACGCGCTCGGATCAAAGCTGGTGTTTTGCAATCTGTGCGAATGACAGAATATGGATCACCAGGGGCTTCTAGTTCATCCTTTGTTGGTCAACCTTCGCGTTTGGACAGTCTTATGTCAGAAGATATGGAATCAAGTAGTCGGCTTGACCTCCAGAGTGTGGGCGGCCCTCCTTACCATGACCCATATTCGCCATCACCACAATTGAGCATGTTTAATATCCAGCGCTTATCTCCCTATTCAACCCCTCCGGAATCGCCCAGCCCTCGTCGCGTCAATTTTCGATCAGCTTCGCCGGGAGATACCACCTCACAAAACGGTAATGCGACTACCTTGTTCCATCCCAACGGCAGTGGACAACAGTTCACTGTTGCCGGAAATTCTACACTATTGCCGGGAGAAGTGACCCGGCCAAACGATGATGGTAATGTGACGAACGACCCTCCTCTAGACGGCAGTGGGCAACACTTCGTCACTCATTCAGGGAATTCTATGCGGACTTTTCATGGTGGCACAAAATTCATTGAGGCTCTGTAAGTATGGTATACGCTCGCTATCCACTGTAGAATCTTGTACGTTAATCTACCTGTAATATCTTGTTTCTATCTAGGCTTGTAAACATTTTGATGATTCTGTACTTCCCATTGTCGTCTTGCACAATTTTTTTTCCATATAGACGAGATACGAATCAAGGCTACTTGCATGCACGATCCCTGCTACTTGCATGCACGATCCCTAGCTGCATGTTTCCCAGCGTTTTCTTGCAGTGTTGGAAGGTCATGACTAAAAATAAGAAGTCACGGTCATGACTTTGATGACTAGTCACGACTAGTCATTGACATCGATTTTTGATTGACTTGCACGTGATGAATGACTTTGAGGGAAGGGTCTGATGGATGACGGTAAGGGTCTGATGGGAAGGGTCTGCCCTACTTGGAGAGTGGAGATTATGAATAACAAAACTAGCAATTTGCGTGCGCGTTGGCATATGCACTCTATACTCCATGCTTGAAGTATATATGATCAATCCAACATTTATTTACCCAAGGAAATCATACAGAGCGCCGCCGTATACCGATCACATGCCGTTTGTCAGCTGCACTTAGATTTCGGAAAAGGAAGACACCCCCCGAGGATAGCGACAACTCTGACCTTGAGGCCTGAGGACCTTCCTTCCCTTGTAGATTAAATATTTCGAACACAAATTCCAGTCTTTTGTGCGTGTCGCAGTGACCGCGCTGTAGTGTTGCCGCAAGCCAAGGTCGAGGTGGCTCGAGCTGAAAAACAATCAAACTCCGATCAGCTCGAGGTACCTCGAGGTACACCTTGGCTTGATCACCTCGAAGCCCCCATCAAACATCATTTCAATTTGGAAGTATTGAAATTATACATTATCTGTAAGTACGACCAGGCAATAGGTAGCGAAATAAAGTAAGTATGATACAAGAAAGCTGTGAATATAATGCAAAAAGAGTTAAGTTATAATTAGTGATGGTAAAGACAGTCAGTAACTCAAAGGTTCATGCTCATTCTTCCCCCCAACCTATCCAGGACTCATCAACATACTTCTCTAACTCTTCAAGCTTCCCGCAAGACATCAGATCCTCAACGACAGAAACGGATAGATCGAGAACTGATAATTCCCTTTCCGTGCTGATTAAATCTGCCATGAAGGTGAGGCGGTCGGACCTGTAGCCAAATTTGAGGACTTGGAGTTCTTCAATCTTCCACGATGACATATTTGTGCACCGAAGTGAATCCATCTCTTTACTTGATGAGAAAATGCGTTCACAAGGGACTGCTGAGGCCTGAGCGGGCAGGACATCCAGGGCGACCTTCCACATCAACGGATACATTGCCTGCTTTGACTGTAACTAGTGCGTGAGTTCTGAATAAAAGAGTTGTTTAGATAACACATTACGCACCTGCCAATACCTGAGCAAATCGAAGTCCTTGCTTTCCGGATGATCCTCATTAAGGATGCCTGCGGCCTCATATGCCAGGATCTCGGCCTCAACAACCTTTCTATCCTCTTCAACTGCACGCCGCTCTTGTTCCTCAGGATCCACGACCTGATCCGTTGAATCTTGAATATTAGAACTTGAAGGTAGTGTAGGTGCTGATAGAGAGCGAGCGAGCTGGTTGAACCGTGCGTATCCTGATGCTTGGGAGAGTGCAGCATGTGATGCTGATGGGGCTCGGACAACACGGCGGGAGATTGACGTTGGTGGGGTTGAAGTGGGCGTTGCCAGTGCCTGAGCCATGGATTTTCGTAAATCGCATTGGTATTCAAGAAGCTGGTAAATTAACAATTAGGTTTTTTTGACATGGAGCAACAACTCATGGATTACCACTTGAACCACGGTTGCTCGGGTGGTGTTATAGTCAGATTGTGTCCAATGATCCTTGAGCCATTGGAATTTGATTGTCGGGTTAAGCACTGTGTCAAGTTCCGTTAGCCACTGGTTAGCCATGTGTGAGTGTTGGCGGAAAATGACATACCCATGGCCAGCGAATAGATTTTGGAGGTCCGGGACTTTGCGAGATATTCCTCGAGCTTCGCTATCGAAGCAGAAATAGCATGGGAAAGCTCAGGTGTCTTCTTCTTAAGATCACCGAGCATAGTGATAAGCTTTTCGTACATGGGAAGGACTATGGAAAGTGTCGGCGTCTTCTCCGCAGATACAAGTTCTTGTACAACATGAAAAACATAAAGAAATTCCCGGATATCGCAAAGCACCTTGATGTCGATAGCAGTGAATGTGTGGTCGGACAGGTCAGTGTTTTGTTGAACAAGCTTTTCAGAGACCTAGAAAATGATTTCAACAACTAACTTAATGACATTATGAAAAAACTAACCAGGTATGTTTCCAAGAAACGATCGACCATGCGAAAGGTCGACGACCACCGCATATCAACGTCCTTAAGAAGGCCCACCTCTCTGATGTGCTCGTGTGATTCTCCCCAGCCGTCGGCCCTGTTACCTTCAATAAGAATTGTGTCAAACTCCTCGCGGCGCTGACCTGATGCCCTGCAGGCTGTAACATATCGTCGTACACGTGCCACAACGTCGCTTTTCAAAGCTGCTTGATAAGCCTCATTGTCTCTAAAGGCGGCGGAATATTCGGGGTCGGAATCGTCAAAATCGAGCTCCATGATTTCATCGAAATCCTCATCTGACAAAAGAGAGGGGAGTTCGGTTAAATGCTTCAGTGCCGCTTTAACTGCGATATTTATAACATGTGGGAAACACCTTTATTTTCAGCATGATTCAGATAGTGTACCACCTGAAAATATATGTGAACATACCTGATGCGGTTTCCATCTTTATCAAAGGGAATCCCAAGATTCTTGAGCTCTGTAGCAAGCTCTTCCATGAGTGTATTGTTGTTTGATGCGTTGTCGAGTGTTAGCATTGAAAGCTAATCCACGGAGGTCGGAAAATCAGTGACTGCAGCTTAATTCACGCAATTTCGAGCTCACTTTGTTGAGACACCCAATTTCTTTTATGACTTGTAAAAAAACCTTGCCGATATTGGCTCCGCTATGGCTTCCTTGGAGTTGACGGAAGGCCACGAGTTGGGTACGAACAATGAGATTACCGGATTTTGAGGACTTGGCGGAATAGTGGGCAGTAATGGCCATATACGACTCGAGATTTTGACGGGACCATATATCGCTCGTGAACGATACCCGCCCAAGTGAGTTCTGTTACCCAAGTTAGCACCAGAAGTGATGAAGAGATCGTGCAAGCTTACCTCGATGTCCTTCAACATAGCCAAATATTCTCGCTTGAATCCCGCCGTGATCAATTCAGAAAGCTTCATTCGATGTGGGATATCAACCTCGTCCAAATGGGGGCTGACAAAGAGAAGGAGTTCACGTAACTCAGGAGAATCAACGACATCTATTGACTGATAACCTCAAAGAATTAGTCGATGGATAACTAAGAACAGGAGGACATACTTGATCATCGACGGCAACCCATTTAACCAACCTCTCATAAAATCCTGTGAGAGAAAAGGGTTCCCGTTCCTGAGGCTCATCTTCAAGTGTAGCCGCGCCAACCTCTTTCCATCCTTTGAGCTGCCGTAGGACAACGACATCCCTCCAGACCTTGCCATGTTTCCCTTGCAGGTGTTGTCTGATGGAGGCAGTCTGGCCCTCAACATTCTAGTAAGGTATAAAATAAGTTTCCAAAAACAGTCAACAATAAGCAATGTACTTACGGGCATAGGCGGCATCCGAGATATTCAAATGACTTGGCGTTGGGGCGTTTTTCCGAGAGGACCTCCTGTTCGGGCATTGTCTGCGGCTTATCAGGAGCGTTGAGTCCTCGAGTAAAATACCAGATGTCTGTTGCATGGGTAAGATTGTTGGCTGATTTGTTGTTCAACAAGGATCCGAGAGAGCTGGTGATGCCGTTTGTGCGAGTAAAAGCTGGGTGGAGTGATGGATTAGCCTGTGAGTTGGAATCGACGATTTGAGGCCCAATGCCTGGAACAGCTGGATGATTTGAGGATGCGGAGGTCGAGATCGGGGTTTGCGAGGCCTGAGCATTGACATCGGATCCCAAATTGTGACGCTTCAATGCAGTCGTGCCCTTGGCCATATTCTTGCGCTTTCCCGAGGCACTGCGGCTCACCGTCGGCGTGTTGATAGTGTTGTAGGTTGCATCTGAGAGTGCGGAACGAAAGGCGAGGGGCTCATCCGGATAGGGATTACTCTGAGCACCGTATGTCGCCTGGTAGACATTCTGGAAGCCAGAGACATAGGCAGGGGGTGGCAGCAGTGGATTTGAGGGGTTGAGATGGGTTTGATAACCCCATGGTGCGTGCACGTAAGGACTTGTAGGAGTTGCAGGCTGTGGCTGTACTGAGAACATGTGCTGCTGAGGGTGGTAGGTAGGTGACAAAGGTTGTGAGGTGCAGGAACACAGATGAGGATTAAGACACCTACAAGATGGCGGCACCTGTGCCATCCAAGTGGGGATTGCAACCTTTTCAATTCTCTCCATTTTATACCTCCAATTTCAAACCTTAATTCACCCATTCAACAAACTGTTCAACAACGCGCGACGTGTCCTCAGACGCGAATGCTTGGTGCGTTCGTGTTTCATTCGTTCCTTGAATTGATATAGTGAAATGATGAATTTGATTGCGTATATAAGCAAGTACAGGGGGAGTTTTGGGGGAGTTCTAGCAAAGGGAAATGTCGGTGGGGGCGTGGTCGGCGGTTGATGTTGCAGTAAACAAATGAAAGGTGAATGTGGTGGTACAGAATCAAGGAGACGGCAGCGATGGCAGCGTGGACAAGGACGGAAATGTGATCAATCAACCTTGACATACAGTGTTTTGCATGTGAGATTGGAATCCAAGTCTCACGAAAAGTTGTTTGTTCTTGTATTAGTTGTAATGTGTGATGTTGCCTTCCTCGGTGTCACAGAGTTGAATGTTGAACTTCCTCTGCCAGAGCGCTCTTAGTGAAGGTCACGGGTAGCCGATAAAGGATCTAGTCTTCTGACTAGATCCTTATTTTCTTCAAGTGGAGGAGTCCCCTCCCTTGGAACTTGGTTGGAACCTGCATTTATGTCGATGATTGAATGTTGACTCTAGTGTTGGCGTCGAATCGAAGTGACTTCGAGGTCACCTTGACTTAGTCTCTCCTAGACAGACTTCAATATTATGTGAAGTCGTACCTTTGTTCACGATAATATGAAGTCTGTTATTTACCACGCCCCCAAAACCGCGTCAGAAAAAGTTTATGTAATCTTCGGACTTTGAAACCTCATCGCGTCAATATCGCGTGCTTGCCGTTTGCTCTCAACGCGATAGCTCATGCGTTTCCATCCCAATACACGTCAAACTTGATATTATACATCTTGGCTGATTTAAAATTCGTTATGACGACTCAGTTATGGCTCAACAACCCCACTGGCAGGACCCTCAAGGACCTGATACGATCAACACTCTGATGCACCACTCCGTCTCTCCTCGTTCAGTCGCAGCCTTGACGGAGGCTTGTACAGTAGCAAGGCTTGAACCTGTCATATAGTCGAGAGCCTTGCGTGCGGTTGTGTCGCTAACGATATTTCCGAATCGGCTGTAAACACGCTTGACATTGACATGGGATTTGGCTGCAAAATGCCAAATACCCAAAACCATCGCAAGGTCTGCGGGATGCGGTCATTGATTCAGTTAGATACCAAGAAACAGGCGAACGAGTCTTGTATTTCTCAGAAAGTCCAGCAATACTGAATTTTCCGAGAACTTCCCAGATGACGAGGTTGACGCGATCTGCACGCTGTCGGCCATTTGTTGATGCTCGAAGGTGAACATCATTATCCTTACTAGTAAGATTAAAAATCTATCGATGAACGTGGTTGGCAACAAGATTTATTGCCCAAGTGAATAGGGAAGGATGCGCGTGGAGGATTTCGGAAGGAGTGACAGATGGCGAGAAAGGCGCATGACACTCGTGGGATTGAGTCGATCTCGAAGATGGTGCACTGTGCTTGTGAGGGGAGTGATGAGAATGGAAGGGCTTCAGGAGAATGTATAACAGGTGGCGCTGCGCCAGAAATTGCTACAGATTGCGATAGGAAGGCTGAAATGAAGTCAGGCGTTGTGGGAACCTGTTCGTGGGCGTTTTCTTGTATGATCGGACAGCGCGAGACTTCTCTTCCATGGAAAGCAACTTTTAAATAAGAAATAAACTGGATTTAAAGTGTTTAGAGGAGTTGTGGAACTATAAACGCGTCTAGAGTTGAGGGATACGAGGGAATATTGACGCGACGCGGTTTCAAAGTCCGAAGATTACATAAACATTTTCTGACGCGGTTTTGGGGGCGCGGTAAAAACAGGACTAACCTTGACTCCCATCAGTCACAGACCACAAGAACAAACAAGTTTTCGTGAGATTTGAATTCTAATCTCACATGCAAAACACTGTAAAGCTCGAGCCTCAGCTCGGCTTGATCACCTCGAGTTTCCTAATTGAGAAAAGGGCCAAGCCAAGCTCAAGTTGACCTCGAGCTCAGCTCGCCTTGCGGCAACACTACCGCGCTGCACAAAAGTTCGTTGCTTATCTAACTACTGTACTAATCCAATCAATTCGTCGGTCACGCGTCACAAGGGGTCCGAAATCGACGAAATTCTAAGAGGTCACAGGTCACAGGGGCCAGCGACGAAACCACCAAATCAGTCGGAAAAGAAGCAAAATTGGGTTCCTTTTTTGTTAGAAACCGATTTTTTCCCCCTCTGCGTATCTCTAGCAAAGTTCTCTAAACTGTCTTAAATTATCTATAGACAGAGGGCCACTCCGACATTTTGACGAAATTTTCAGGCAGTCACACCTCCCCTGGTGACGCGACGAAACCAAAATTTCGTCGTGTCGGTCACAGGTCACAGGGTGCGACGAATTGATTGGATTAGTACAGTATCCTGCCTTATTTAGTAAATGGTGACCGAGTCACGGTCAATTTGACTTGACTTTTGACTACAGTCGACACTCTCATAAGCCATGCATTAGATAAGCCATGCATTAGATAACCCATAACCCCAGAAACCCCATACCTTTTTGCGTCCACCGAGTTGGTGGGCGGAGATTTGCAACCCATAACCCATAACCCTACGATAACCCATAAGCCATAGCCCTTGGTGGGCAAAACCCATAGGTTTCAGGGTCTGATTTAGCGTAGTGCCCAAGATATTTATAGAAATAAGAATTTATTGGGCCAAGATGCCGCCAAGAGGTGCCACCGTGGATGTTCGGGAGCTCGAAATAATACAATTTTGAGTTTATTCCCTCTACTATGGCCCCGAAACCAACCCTCCTCAACCCAGCTGGGGAATCCCACGTCTTGACGGAGGGTTCAGACCGTGAAATCTATCAATCAGTTATGGATGCCATTGATGCACGCGAGAACATCGAGATTAACGGTGGCGACGATATCGACGACGAGAATCATATTTCCCACGCACTTCCCACCCGACGTGACATCGTTTCGACGATTGGCAAATACACCGATAACATGAATGATCCCATCGCGCGCAAGATGGAAGCCATTCTGGGTACTTTCACGCGGCAACTTCGTCTTGATGAGACCAGAGCCATGAAAAACAGTGTTCTAACTGACTTTTTTAACAGGACATAGGCTTAGCATTGAATTGATATAAAATATATGTAGTAGTACAGCCGAACAATGACTAGATTATTTTTCCGATTTTTTGGGGATTTTTTGAGTGCTTTTTTGGCCTACCTCCTCGAACCCATAACCTCTGATAAGCCATAGCTCCGACCGTCCACGGAGCAGTATGGGTTATGAGGGTTTTGACTGTAGCATTGACTAGTCAATGACCGGCACATCACTGTTTTCTTGGCATTCTCCTTGAATTGCTCCGATGTATAAAGGAGTGGAGTCTTCGCCCGTTCCCCTTTCCGAAGGCGAGCACCCTCTGAACAATACCACCCTAATCGTGCAGGACCGTGAAGTCGAGTCTTATTGGCAAGAACATCACATAGCCTTGTATTTCGGAGCATTCTCAAGGGTACATGTACAAGATAACGCCGCCTCTGGAGTGTATAGATTCCAACCGTCTCTCTTTCTCAACGCAATCGATAATTTTTTGTTTTAAACTGGTGATGCGTTGATGTGTTGTGAGGGTGCCGCTTGTCGTGCTAGAACGAACCAAGGAGACTCGGACTCCCGGCGGCCAACTGCTTCCGCGGGCGGCGGCAGAATTGGTCTTTCCCAGCTGTTTCCCTCTCTCCCTTCCAACCCTTCGACTCATCACCCTCTGTTTATTGTTAAAACCACCGCTGATTGGCCAGACGGGGAAAAAACTTCCTGTATGTTGCGAAACGCACTTGGCACTTTCAGGTACCTCTTCCAGTGCTTACTTTTTACCCTTCACGTCCCAGGATATTTCTGCCACATGTTTCACAGAAAATACGTGTTAACCGAGCACCAGATTCCCATTGCACTTTCACCTTAAAAACCACCACCCTAAAATTGCACCACTTCAATTTCCTTGGGTAACCATTGACATACACATGGACCGGATCTAAACAAATGGCGACTTATTCTCTCAATCTGGTCCTATCGTCTCCATTTCTCGTTCTGGATATGGGCTTGCGATATGGTTATTTTTCTCAAGATGCCCTGAAGAAATACAATAAGGAACCGCCCAACTCGCTCGATCGTCAATGGGGACCGTTTAAGCTTTCCTATCATGGCCATATGATTGCGTCGGGGGTGCTTTGTCCCTCTTCGATCGGTACCTCTGCGGACGCATTTGGGCGTACATCAGGAGCTCTGTTGGTGCTTTCAAATTAAATGATACCAGCTGAGCTGGTAAACTGCCTCAAGTCTCAGATCACATGTGAATGGAAAGCCACGCTTTCAATTTGGCGCAGAAGCGCACGCAAAGCAATACTTGGGCAAGAATCATTTTTGCAAAGTCACGTCGGGCTTACTACTTCGTATCCTATGCCTACTTCAGAAACAATTGAACGCTCGGTTAATGGCCAACCAGGGTACCACGAATTCCCACAGGTAGCAAGACTGAAACCTTCTTGGAGTACTGGCAATTGAGTAACCAAGACTCATGACATTGGGGAGAATTCAGCTAATTTCTCCGATTGCAACCCAACACATAAAAAACGCTGGGTATCGTAACGCGGGACGTCCAGGTGCCTCGAAATCCGCTCCTCACTCACTAAAGATCGTAATGGTTCCAGAGGAGAAAGAGGCACATCTGAAAAGACACCCGCTTTTTCAGAGCACGCAACACAGTAAAGCGTTGCATAGCATTCATCTTCCGTCTAGCCTCGATTTTCACGGAATGCAGTTTCGACGAATAGGATTAGGTAGTTCACTGCAAGGCCATGGCACAGGGCATTTTTTTCGACGCCATCCGCCCCAAAGTTGCGGATCTAGAATTCTTGAATATGTAGTCCCACTGCCACAAAGGAAACTACTTATTTTGCTAGGATTTCAAGAGATTAATTTCGGATGGCTTATCCGAGCCTTGGCGCAAGATACCTCTCTGGGTTCCTTCTGTCCCGCTATCGACGCTTTCGTTATCCGCTGCAGAGAGCCCTCGCGCCACTAAGACGCTAGCCATCCACGTTCGCCTTAGCCACTCTTGGCGTATGATAAACTAAACGGACCGGAGCACCAACAGCCAGAGATTCAAATTCCGATCCCGCGTTGTCCACACAACGCCTGTCGTCAAAAGAGCTCTTGGTAAGTACCGGCGGAGGACCCCTGGCAATAGCAGGAAAGCCCTGGTCCCGATCCGGACAAAAAATGTGGATTTTAGGCCCTACAGCTGGGGGCCAATCCGGACAAAAAGTGACAAAATTCGAAACTGCCCAGAGCCAGAGTCCGGACAAAATCGACGAGATGTCAAAAAAAAGCCTCCCAGCCGGTATTTGGGCATAATTGTGGGACATTTGTAGAGAAAATTTTACCCTGATCTGGCCGTCCGGACAAATTTTTGAGATTGGGGTGTGGTAGGCCAGGTCCAGTCCGGACAAATTTGGTGCAGAGGCGTCCGGACAAAAACCCAATTTTCGGGATCAGGCCTTTTCTGCTATTGCCCCGGGTCCTACCGGCGGTGGCGGACAAGGTGAGGACCTTATTTAATTCAAATCTCACACTGGTTGATTTTTTTGAAAGTTCAACATCCCTGAGAATTCCCTTGCTCTAATCTCTTGGTATGGTAACATCGTTGAACTGAGCCCATCATGCCGCCAATCCTTGTTTTAATATTCTGATGTCACATGTGTAGATACGGCCGCGGACAACGAGCCTCATACGCCACCACCAGGCTTTGCCAGATGGAGACTGTCGCGCGCAAGAGGTGTCAGATCCGGCGATGCTGGACGTCAGATCTGTCACGGGACCTTGACAGCGGCTATTTCCGAGCTTCAGCAAATGCAAATGCAAGTCGACGCAGGTCGACGCTCAGTCCAATTTTCTACCACTAAGTATTCTGATATCGTTAATGGAATGTGATTTGATTTAAGAGAACATGCTTGGATTTGAGAGAGGGAGGTAAGTATGTTTGGTGTGCTTGTGACAATGTGCCTAGCAATGGGCTCAGATCAGTCTTGGTGAAGGGTAATTGGACTCGAGACTAGAGGTTTATCAAAGCAAATTTAAGTATAAACTCAAATGAATCAGTATTCATGGTTGCAATGCTCGAGGTCATAATGTTAGGTTGGGAGTTGCATAGTATGGTTGGAGAGGATTGGATCTGTTTTCTCTTCTTTTTCAGTTGAAAGGGGCAAAAGGTATCTATTTGTGCTATAAAGTATCATTACACAAAGTTTGGTACAGCAGCGCGGGCCTCTCGTTCATCAGAATACAAGTTATGTCGAAGACATGCTTCGGGGAAGCTTCTAGCCGGGTAACCGGTGGTGGCTGTACCCCCCTCCCCCCACCCGTGGGAGTCGACGTGCTGGATCGGTGGATCTGACACCTCTTGGTCGCGCGCGTACTCGTTGCGTACTCGCTTTCAATCATTCTTCACGCCAGTCTGAATGCTATCACCCCAATAAATCATGTCCTGCATTGAAGCTAACTGCTCTCAAAGCTATCGAAATTTGAACTTATCTAAATGAAAGCTTGATACATATTCCCAAGCTTGGCCTCATGACTTCTGAGCCATATTTATGGCGTCAAGCAACTAATTATATTCTAATTCCCTGAGTCCCTGAGTACATCATGCCGTTAGCATGAGTAGCATCCGTTCCGGGGCTCAACTGTTCCGCGATGTGGGGAAAGGTGGCGTAAGGGTAGAGTTTAATTACCCCGCACCGGAAAGCCTGGCATCCGAAGATGTAAAAGTTCTTGTATTACGATACTACCGGTAGAATTATGTACAGTATGTACATGTGAAGTACGTAGATTAGAAGAGTAATTAATATCAGTGAGGATGATGGGTTGGGTTATACATGCACGCTGACGACGGAATTTGACCAACTAACTACTAATACAATCGGAGAAGACCCAGAGAGACCGAAAGCCGAATAAATAAGCGGCGAGACGAGTTGCGAAGGGGTGGAAGAAAAAATAATCAAAACTATGACGAAGAGAGCGAATAACATACAAAGCAACAGAGTTGGGAATTACGTGGGACTCGAGGAAGGCATGAAATGAGGTGGGGCCGAGGTAGGCAACTTGAAATATCCCAGTGACCCACTTGAAATAATTCCCTAGACGAGTGGTAGAAAGCAAGTGCGACTGCCTCAGAGAGTGGTAGATAAACCTGGGTTCTTCAAAGCAACTGAACCACGATTGATGTGTCATCAATCCAAGCGACGTCCATGTCCAGGGTGAGCACTCGTGAAACGCCGAAGCGATCTTCACCGCCCAAGGCGCGCCGGAGTAGTCTGAGCGCCATATTATCGCTTCTCGACCCAGGCTCAGCGTCTGTGATGCCTTCGGATGGATCATGCGCTGCCATCCCCCTAGCCCAGCTCTCCACAACCCGTTTCTGACCTTCCCCGCTACACAGATCTGTGAAACCATCCGATGCGAGAATAAGGTACCGTTGCGAAGTGTCCGAGGTGTTCCTATCCAATCGCCGATGGACAACCTCAGGGGAGGCAGTTATATATGGGGGTGTGCGATTCCGGACTAGGAATTCTTCCCAAGGAGAGGTGTTATGGAATCCGGGGAAGAGGTTGTACAGGATCCTCCGCGTGAATGACGGGGGTTGCTTAAAGGGGATATCTCCAAGACCTGTCAGCAGAAAAATAATAGAAAAAAAGGTGGGAGGTCAGCTGGTATCGGTAGCATATTAAGAAGTATGGAGAAATTGACGCACATCTCGTTGGGGCGAGGGCTCCGAGCACTCGGCGTTCGATGACACATTCCGGTTCGCCTGGATGGGCTTTGCGCACCCGTTCGACCTCGGCATCGTTATCCCCGTTATGGCTAGTCGTTAGCGTTTCCACTTTCCAGTCCTGCGCAGTGGGATCTTGTGAAACAAAAACTGAGTAAACAGGACGCGCGTCAGCCGGGCAAGCGGTGATCGAACTTTTTCAAGGTGGTTACTTACACGCTTGGCAATCCCCAAGGTTGGCGAGCCAGAGATTGTGGTGATCGGGGTCAACAAGCGCTACAAGCGCTGTCGTGCCATACATGCACAGTCTGGTTTTCCTCCAGTTAGCGCCGCCTTTGTGCTGGTCGTTAATCGTCTCCCGGATCTGCGCGTCTGTGTAGTTGTCCAGCTGATCCACAGAGCCGCCGAACAAATCCAAGACATCATGTGCGATGGCGTCGTCAAAGGCCTCTATAGCGTGCACAAAGAGGTCTGAGATGGATTGCGGAGTGTACGCGGCGCCGTTCTCTAGTGCTTTTTGTAAGAACTCGCGGACAATGATGGGCAAATGATGTGCAACGTGCTCGACAGTGACATCACCCAGATGGCCTAAACCAAAAGGTGTAAAATAAGGGTCAGAACTACGCCACTGACACTAGTAAGAACGCACCATCAAAGACACCAGTAAAAGTCCACAGTCGGCCGTGGATATCCAGCTGTGTGACGACGTATCGGTCCTGCGTCTTTGTCGACGGTGAGGGTTGGAAATTCAGCGCGTCAGCTTTCCATCTCTCCTTGGTTGTCGAGGGCAGGGACATGCTCTGCGGCTTCGCGAGTATCCTGAGTTCGCGCCACAGCTCGTCCTCGTTAAGGACCTGGTAGGAGCGCGGCCAGGGCCCATCCTCAGGTCCACATCGCGAACCGGGGATATCCTCCGCGTAGGCCCAGTTATACGAGGCGCGTTCTACGATCATCATAGCCACAAAGTGCCAGAGGCGACGAAGGGGGGCTAAGACGGTCGTGGTGGGCGGTGTTATGGATTGAGTCGAGGAATTTCAAAGTGGATGGCTGGGTGAGTGAGTGAGTGAAATGAGAACAGAAAATTAAGGTTGGGATTGGGGAAACCAGGGGGTTTTACTTATAAAAGCGGACTAGAGGCGTAGTCAGCAAAGAACGCGCACCGGACCTTCCGAGCGGGACAATCAAGATCATCATGACAGACATCACTAACCGTTTATTATCCAGGAACCTGCCAAAGTGCCAGAACTACAAAGAAAACATACATTATATCCATATGCAAGAGGACAAGAGCACTACTCTCAACAATACAACAGCCTAAACCTCGCTAGTCGGTCATAAAAAAATATCATGTGGTCAACCGCAAGCAGTTGGGGGATCCGGTGGGCATGTGTAAACCGTGTTTTTTCAGGAGCTGCCAGTGTACGCGTAACCGTTTTGCTTGAATGCATGTATGTAGTAAATACAATGAAGGGGTAAAATATGTGCCACAGAATTAGTCTGTGTATGTAAAAGAACGTTCGCAATCTATGTACTAGTCCATGTCGTCAACGCATCTCGGCATAGATCCATCCACCATCCAATCCAAATCCAATCCGTAAGTAATTCAAAACCGTTGGGGACCCGATCTAAAAGGTCCCTATCCGGAACGGGTTGCGTGGGGTACCGGTATGTGTTGGTTGTATGACGACACTGTTGATTTCCGGTTGCTGCGGGGGCCAAAAGCCTCCCTGGTGTAGTGGCACCGGCATCTCGTGTGCAGTCATTGAAAAGGGTCCAGGTAGAGTCGTCGAAGCAGGTGGAGAAGCCAGCAACCCAGGTCGAGCAGCAATAACAATTTTCTGGGCCTCCGTAGGCGACCTCGTCGAAGTATGGACACCAAAAGGATTGCTCATCATCTGCAACGGAGGAATCTGAGGCGGCAGCTCATCATAATCCTTCTCCAGATCGACCAAAACCTCCTCACGCTGGCCAAGCGTACTGGCAGAGTATCGGGTAGTATCCCAATCCTTGACAGGCTGCCGTGGTTCAGCAGTCCGCCTCGGCACGCCCATAAGCTCAGAAAACAGCGAATCGCGCTCTATCCGACGTCCTCCTCGATGGTTATCATCCAACCCAGGAAGCGCAGATGGAGCCTGGCTCAACCTGGATGGTGCCAGAGTGGAGGGTGCCCGAGAAGATCCATGATAATAAGCATAAGCATCAATAACGTCGTCCAGCGTCTCCCTCTTCTGGGACTTCATCTTCTTAGCCTTCAACCCAGCACGCAGCGCGTCCATCTTCTTTCTGTCCATCGAAAGAAGCCGTCTCTTCGCGTCCTCCATCTCCTTCTTGCCAGTCCTCACATCCGCAGCCGAAACGAGACTCACAGGACGCGGTGTATGCTGTTGCTGCAGTTCATGGTGATTATAGGCAACAGGCAACACCTCTGCTTCCTCCCTCCTCCCCCTACCCCCACGCGCACCACCAAAGAACCTCTTAACCCTCCACCTCCACCCCTGATGCATCCCATCCAACCGCTTCGTATGTGCAAACATCAGCGTCGCTTTCGCCCTTTGCTTCCTCGCCTTCCTCCTCCACAACACGAGCACAAGTAAAAAGATGAACGCACACCCAAGCGCCATGAGCAAGATCTCCCACCATGCAAGTGCCCGCCTTCCAGTAAGCTGAGTTGTAGGGTTCGACAGGCCCGTGATACTGGGCATAGCGGCTGGCGAGCCAGACGAAGAGGGGACGCGGACAAGGTCGGATAGACACACGCCCAAGCCAGGTATAACGCTAGATTGTGCGCTACAATTCGCAGCTACACAGGTCCCAGCACGCAACACCTGACTAGAGCTTGCACACCCTAGACAATTCGCGGGCCCAGACCCAGAGCAGCTCGAGCACGACGAGTCGCATGTCAGGCACGACGAGGACGTTTTGTCAAAGTATTGGGATTTGCTGCATGTGGGCAGGCATCTCCCGTTGGCTAGTACGGGGCGGTTTGGTGGGCAAGTCGAGCATTGGGTGAATGAGGACCCGGAACAGGTGGCGCAGTCTGCGTGACAGGAGAGGCAGGAGTTGGAGGAAGAGAATGTGCCAGAGGGACAGGTGGATACGCATTTTCCGTTGGAGGCGAGGAGGTTTGAGGTGCAGGTTAGGCAGAAGTCAGCGGAGCCTGCGCAGGTTCCACATGAAGAGGAGCATGCTATATTGGCAATAAGGTTTAGCGTGAAGTCATGTGAGGGAGGAAGCAACCACTGACCGGTACAGGTGAGATTGTCTTGTGGGGAAACGAATGTGCCTGATGGACAGCTTTGCACGCAACGGCCTTGGGAGAGAACGAAGCCAGGAAGGCATCCTGTGCATTGTAGTTGGTTGACTGTAGAGGCGACACTAAAATTTGGGATGGCGCATGATGTGCATTTAGCCCCACAGGCTATGAGAAGATGTCAGCAAATGAAAGGCTTTGAAAAGAAAAAAGATACTGACTATCGCACTCATGTTTATTGTTATCAGCAATCATCCCGTTCGTTCCTTGACACACCCCATTACTGTTCGCACTGACGCAGTTCCCATTGAACAAATACTGCCCAGTCGCGCAGATAATGCAATCATTAGACGTTGGCCCGGAGCACGTCAAGCACGTCGACGAGCACGCCGCGCAAGTCGCGCCATTTCCGAAGCTACCATCTGGACAAAGAGTGTTGGACGTCGTTACACTAGGCACAGCGTCACACTTCGTCTTATCGTTCGCGTCCTGAGTAAACCCGTTTTTGCAAGCAATGCACACCCCCGTGCCATCGGCGCACTGCGTGCAACCTACTGCGCAAACTTGGCAGTCCCCCGTAGACGTGAGGAAAAACCCTGGCGAGCACTGCGCGCACGCGGTGCCGTTGGAAGAAGTGGTCCATCCAGGGTTGCACGCACATTGTCCTGTGGACCCACACTGACCGTTGAGGCAATTACATGTGGAGGGTGCGTTGGAAGGGAGGATGGGGACGAGACACCGACCGGAACCTGTGATGCCCTGGTCGCAGGATGGGCATCCTGCTGGGCATGCTTGACATTGTGGACCAAAAAATCCCTGAGCGCAAGTTTCGCAGGAGGAACCGGTGAAGCCGGTGGGGCAGCTGCAGGTTCCTGAGGAGGTGCAGACGCCTGAGCCTGCACATGGGGGTGAGCAAGCAGAGGATTGGATGTCAAGTAAGGAGAGGGATGCGGATGTGCCCGCGGGGAGCTGTGATACGTCGGGTACGGAGTCCCAGAGAACAACGCGGCTGGTTGATGATGATCCTGTTGAGCTCACGGCTGCCCAAACGTTGTTGGAGAGAGCTAAAGAGCTCGCAGTGAGTGGGGTGGATGTATTGGCGGCTGGTGACGCTGCCAGCGGAGAGAAGCCGGCTTGGCCAGCATAGAGGGGCTGCGAGTAGATGGCGAGACCAGCATTAAGGGCGAGGTTTAGTGGGAGGGAGGAGATGGTGGTGGAGTTTGAAAACCCGGCTGACGGTGTCAACGTCGTGGAAGAAGAGGTGAGGAGGTTGTGTAAGAGTTGTGGGTTCGTTGTAGATGTGTATTGTCCCGGAAGGAGTTGTACGGTCACAGGCAAACCAGGAGCAGACACCTTTGCACCGACTATCGATGACGGTTAGTACTCAGCATATGGATGAACCTCATGAACGCACTTGTGACATTAGAAAAACCTTGCAAGCATTGCCCCGCAACGCAAACAACAGAAACTGAAGATTGTGCAACTGCCACGCAATGAGCACCACGAACATCGTCAAAAAGCAAGAAACTCACCAGCAGACGCAACAAAAAGATTGAGAATAAGAAAAAGGCTTGAAAACATGGTCAAGCTCGATCAACGAACGAAAAAGAGTGAATGAAGGTCAAGGTGGAGGTGCAAAAGCAAGGAGTCCGGTGGCAAAGAATGCTGGTCTGGCCAGAAATAGAGCCGCAGCCTTGTAGGGCCGTGTTACCTTGGTAAACTTCTCTACCATTGTTCCTCTTGAGCGCTTCCTGGAACAATGACCACCCTAGTGGCGGTGTCATTTGTTTGACTTGTTTGATCCAAGGTTAACCTAACCCTAACCTTAAGTTGCAGGCAACCCTGCCGGGGTCTGACCCCGTTAGACCCTCCTGACCCATTTTCGTCAGACCGATCAGTAGTCCGCCATCACTGAACGTTCAGCCTCAACAGCCTTCTATCCTATGGTTCGAATCCCCCAGTTTTACATTTTCGGGTTATCCACAAACCTAATTTGTGGCCGCCCTGCTGCGAGTGTTCTCGGACCATACGACTATCGACGGCTTCGACGCATTTCAGTGCACAGAACTTCGAATAACAAACTATGGTCGAAAACGCGAATTGATGAAGCAAATGGGCGACTTACTCGCTCAGTCGGCGAGAAGCTGGCCATGGTCTATGACAAACGGCCCATGTTTTATCGGTTGTCATCATTGTCAAGAACATCCGTCAAATTTCGACGATGTGGGCGAGAGCCGTAGAAGGGCGTCTCCGAAAAGGCTCGTCTACAAAGCATGTTGGAATTTATTTTCAAAGCCGCAAGCTTGAAAACCTTTGGTAGACCTAGTTGTCTTCGTCAAATTCGGACACCGTTCTCCTACGACCTGAGGCAAGGCACACGTAAATGAGCACTGCCGAAATTGCTCATTCTTATCATCTCCCACCCATCGTCTTTCACTGGTTGGAGCTTCGATGGTACTCCCGCAAGATTTTTTACGTTCTTGACGGACTGGGCCGCTTATCTGATGTCAAAATGCTCCAAGCATGCTCCATGACGTGTATCTCCTTCCGCTGCCCATCACATTCACAAATCTTCTGCCGCGTTGTCCTGGACCGCCGTACCCCCACAGAAAAAGAACTTCAATCTCTTCACCTCTCTGATATTCCAAACGCCCCGCACCAGCACGTATGTCAGGGACCTGCGGATTGAGGACGACTGAGGTCCGGGACGTTGTGAATGGAGTCGTCATTACCTGGATGCGCATTCTGAACATCTTGTTCGGCTGTTGCCCATGCTCCCCCTGACGCTGTTCACGCTGAAATTCAACTCAGGGTTTGCGCATTGGAACTTACCTAGGAAGGACGTTCATATGGTAATCAGTAATATCCTGGCGTTTTATCTTTCGCACAGAGAGGCATTCTCACCTGCGATTGTGTCGTCCCTGGTTAGGGTGAAGCATCTCAAACTCTTGGCAATCAAGCTAGACAAGACCTACCTTCCGGGCGAGGAAGGGTGTTACTGTTGTAGGCAATGAAAGTGGTGGGTGTTCATGTCGTCAGGTTGGTGATACCAGCTCTTCAATCTTGATCCTATGTGACTGAGTGCCAGGCCGCTAGGACCGCGAGTATCGACACCGGCTGTTACACTTGCACGGTGTAGCCTTAGATGCGATTAACCCAAACACACTTGCACAAAACGGAGCAACCAGAATTCATGAGATTGAAAACCGCACACTGGCCTTCAAATCCACACCGCGAATTGCTGATGAGATGGCTGTGATCGAGTTTAGAGGGTATATCCACAAACTTGATTGGAACACTCATGCATTCCAGCACTCCAATCTCCCCCTAATCGACAGGTTCGTCGGCGATTGATATTCATCAACAAGTTTTTAACATATTCTTCGTTTTTTTATCAAGACTGTGACGAGACGCTCGTCTGCGTCACTCTTCACCGTTTCAAGTCTGTTGTTTTACGTTCCATCGATATTGGGGAGACCCCATCTTGGCTTGTGAACCTCCTTTGAAATGTGAGCTGCTTTTGAATTGCACGGGAAAGCTCAGCGGTTTCTCCGTGAAACAGAACAACTGTTTTGAACAGGTTACAAATATGATGATTTCAAGATTAACCACTCATCGGAACATCTACATAATGGCTTTTTGGATTTCTGGAATTGCCTTTGGACACACCTCCCACATTGCCGTCTCTTCCATATCCGCCAGCTCTTACCTCGACTATCAGATCTTCCCCTACAACCATTACATCCCTCATTCAGTGAGAAGGCTTCGACGGTTTGCGACGGACTTGACCCTTACGATCCGGTAAACAACGTCGCCCATTGTTGGTCGCTGTGTTGGTTCAGATGACCAGCACTCCATCAGAAGATTCCACAACACCGTGCTGGTCGATGATGGTTTGGGGAGCGTCGTGTGCCCATCCTGGGCGATCTTCAAAATGCGCTGATATGGGTTGGCAATTTCAGAAAATGGTTCCCGACCAGTCATGATCTGTCAATCCCGATTACAGCAATATCCAACATTTAAAGCCGTTTACTCACAGCATAGGAGGTACTGGCAAAAGCGTAAACATCAGCGCTCTTTGTTGGCATTTCTTCCCCATCGAGCTCTTGACGAGACTTGTATACGATTGATTCTGGTGTGGGGATGCGACCAGAGGGCAAAAGCATCAATTTCACAACTTCGGTATATACTCCTGCATCCGTCAAGACAATGCCCTCGTCGTCTGTTACAAGAACGTTGGCCTGGGAGCCGAGTTAGTTGCAACAACATCCTGACACTCCTCCTACATACCGGATACAGATTTCCATGGACGATTCCGAGGCTGTGGAGGAATGCAAGCCCTTCCGCTATTTGCAGGAACTAAACAGTTTCCAATGAGCTCGTGCTACCAGATGATCGGGATTGCTCACAAGCTCCAACTTCCTTCCATCACTAAGCGCTCGCCCGCGAACGAACTCCAAAATGTTGCCATTTCTGTAGTGCGGCGTTTTGAGTGCCAGATAGGTTCCCATGTCGATGACGGTTTCTGGTGCAATGTATAGGTGCTCAGGCATCTCGCGTCTTGCCAAGTAGTTGCGCATCTTCCGTCTGTTACTCTCGAAACTTGGACTGTACCGGAGAAGTCGACGCACCCTTTCCATGTAGTTTGCGGAGTCTTTCATCGAGATCAAAGCGAAATCCCTCAACATGTTCTGTCGGTCGCTATTAGGGTCGATTTGGAATCGACGACGCCCGTAATAGTTTCGATGGACGAGATTTTGCCATTCTGGTAGCAAGTTGGATGCCTGAGATGGAACAGCTTTTTTTCGCCATATCTTTGCGCGGGCAGCCCACCCCACCACAGTAACTATGCCTACGATGGAGAGCTGAAGGGTTCGGCGGCTTGAAAAGAGGTTACCCATGCTTGCTTGTGTCGACTTGTGGTAGTACGTTGGAACCACAATCTCCAGCCAATCTGTCCCGTGGGAATAATCGTATGCGAGCATCAGGCTCTGCAGAACAGCTTTCTCAGAAGGCTCAGCAATCCTGTGGTTCAAAACCCCAAATTGCCCCTTTCTCTAAGGGGAGGGCTAATCAATGGCAGCATGTTTTGTCTCTCTGACTGAGCATGCCCGGCTTTCACTCCTTGGATACATGTTATCCGTAAACAGGAACAGTTCCGACCGAAAACATAAAATTTACAGCAACAAAAAACGTTGACTTGGAACAAAAATGGCAGACCGCAGCTCCCACGCACAGCTTCATGGTGACCGATGGAATAGTCGTATTCATGTTCTTTGTCAAGCGCAGGACATTTCCCAGGACGTATTGTCGTCATTCCCATGTTCTTCTCCGGAACAGGCACTTGTGAAGACGGCCGGAAAGAAGTTTAGAATCGAGGCCGCAAGCTTGAGGATTTTCGCTCAAGCCGCTCAGGCTATGTCGATTATCTCCCTCAAGCACAGAACACAGAGCACTGGGCATCTTCGTCTGAACTATCGCTCCTTCTTCTCCGAACCCAAAACAGGCGCAAATGGATGTACTTGTCCGAAACGACTTGTCTGCAAAGCACGTTAAAACTTATTTCAAGGCCTCGTGATCTCAAAATTTTGAGCGCTAGATTTCTTCGCTGTTCATTATTCTTCGAGCTGAGCGTGGGTGGATCGGACAGAGACAGAAAAGACTCATCTGCATAGCACGCTGGGATCCTTTCCCAAGGCAGCAAGTTCATTGAGGTTTGCGGCTAAAGGTTACCATTGTCATGCGCAGAACAACAGCCAAGGTTGTTTTCACTTACCACTTTTCTGCATTCTTCTCCGATCTGAGAACGGGTGCAGATGAAGGAGTTTGCACGGCTAAGCCAGAAAAATCTTCTGCGCTGTTGAATAACTAGGGCACTATGCCACACAACAGGAAGGACTTACTCTTGGGAGGATCAACGTGTGATCCTGAGACGGATGCAAAGCCTTTCGACTTTGAACGTCTGCGCGCTTCGTGCTACCCTGGGGATGTCCACGCTTGGGCGCTCCCGGACGGCGAGGCTTGTCTTTGGAACCTTTCGGGCGGCCGATTGGCGCCATATCGCGAGCAATTGAGGTGCCATGTTTGTTGAATCTCGGGTTGTCGGGTGTCAGAAATGAGGGGTTGTTGGGTTCGAAAATCTTACCTAGATGAGAGTAGAGGGTTATAAAAGAGTTTCCAGCAAAAATTCGGAGAGTCTGCGCGGTTGCGACAAGCACAATGAGTGGCTGTGTTATGGTAGATAACTTTGCGGGCGGTTGGCAGATAACATTGCAAGCCTTTTCTCGCTCGTACTGTCCCTCGAAACTCAATTTTAAAAAATGCTGTATGTTACTGGTACATAAGGTTATGTATACAAAACATGACAAGTGAACTGTGGATGCTTATTTGCTGTCTAAGTTTGGATCGAACATTCAACAAATGACTTGCAAATGACCCCTTTTAAAATCTATTCCGACCACCAGAGTCTTCGAAAGAGAACTGTCTCTACAAAAATCATACAAAGAGGCTTGTTTACGAGACTAAGTAGTTGAACATAAATACCATTTTTAATGATTTCCTGCGACTGGTCAAAGCCAATCCAACAAGTACATCTCAAACGCGTTCCCCAGCGGACTCCCAGCAAACGAATTTCTGCTTGATATCAGACAACACGAGAGTGCGGCTTTTCTTGACGTTGTTGTCCTTGCCAAAATAACGATATCCTTCCAAACCCCAGCAGGTGTGCCCTCTAACCAGTGCGCCGAGGCCTTGGATGTATTCCTGCACGGCTTGGTCAAGCGCCGGGTCCTTCCAAAAGCGCTGTTTCTCAAGCTCTATGAACTCATGAGCGCGTTTCTTGATCTCCTCCGCCGACCAGTCAATGGCCTCTTGCAATGAGGCCTTGCGAGCGTGCATATATACCGTGAGCATGTTATGCGGTTCATCAGCAGCATCCTCCTTCTGGAAAGAAAACATGTCCTTTGTGGGTTGGTTTAGCTCCCTTGTCTAATTGTAATCTTTTAGAAATATGACCTACATTCTCAAACATTAACAATTCGACAGTGAGAAGTGTGAGGCGCTGCATCGTAGGATGGTCGAGAACCTCGTCAGGAATCTCAGTGAGGAGATAGTTCATCGCGGCGCAAGGGAATACGCCAACGGTGTTACGGCGTAGCTCATGAAAGCTCTCAAGGTCGCGAATGTAGTCGGCATTCCGGTCTTTGGCCTCCTGGACGACACTCTGCGCATACTTCTCCCAGAGAGGCAGAGCGCGCCTCAAGTAGGTGTTGGAGGCAACACTGCGAATCCGTCCCCAAAAACTTGAAACACGTTAGAGTGCGGATAAGATAGTTCATGGGTAAACTACTTGCGCGCCATCTCTCCGACGGCGTTTTCTCCATCAGGACGGGGCTTATCGGGGTTGCGCAGAGCATCGACCAGAATGTCGGCAAGCTTCTGAGCCGTCGTGTCGTCGGCCACATCGGTGTATTCGTCGAAGACAAAGAAGATGTCTAACATGTCACTGGCCAAGCGAAGAGTATCTGTAACCCATATATATGCATTAGCATTGGGACGGAGACATGCAGTGCATTGAACGTAAGTACCTCTGTCCATGCTAGGATAGCTGAAAGCTGTGAACAAGGCTTCATCCGGTGTCAGTCAATTGGAGGCCGTCATATGCGTGAACGACGCACGAAAGTCACAGCGAAGGAAGGCCTGCATGACTTCTGGTTTGTCGAAGGGCTTGAAGCTTTGAACCCAGACGTCCGTTTCAGGCCCAACCTCTTCATAGAAGGGGTTGATACGTCGAGGATACGGGAATTTGGCCAGGGTAACGGGGAAGGTGACTTCCTTCGTCAGCATAGAGGTTGTGGGAGGCGATGTGAGGGTCGGTTATTGTGGCGGCTCAGACCAGTTGTCTTAAATATGTTGCGTGGTTGACCAAACAACTCCTCTCGTTCATAGACTCTGTCAAACCGTAAGCACGTCCCCTTTTTGACTAGTTTCAGGTGTACTGTACCTTTTCGGACGTCACTGCTCCTTCAAATTGTCAGAAATGTCACAAGCATCCTGTATCACATGGCTTGTCCGATTCCACTGGCAGGATGTTATGCTAAATATGGAAATAAAGATTCCATTTTGGCTGCGGGATGAAGTCACCGTCTCTTTGGAAGGTGTCCGAAACCAAGATCTCGGACGAAGTGTCCAGATGTCACACCCTTGTCCGAATTGAATCAATGAATGAAATGTTACAGTGTAATGAACGAGGGGGGGTAATAAATAATTTAAATACAAAGTCGCCAAGAAATACAGACTGACCAGGAAACCCAGGCAAGCAGAAGATAATCAAGCTTCTTCGAGTGGAGGCTGGTACGCCTTCACAAACAAGGGCATTTGACTGCCACCTTCTGGGTTCGACAAGAGAATAGGTCTGTGAACGATCCCGGCTTTCTTGCCAATATCACTCGCAGGAACGGCCAATTCAAACTCGAACGAACGGATTAACGTGAACAAAAGTGCTTTCATCCTATGATATCTGAGTCAGTTTGAGTAAGCGTAGGGGGTGAGGGGAACCATACTCGACAAGTGCGAAGCGGTACCCAATGCAGGAGTGTGGACCACCAAGGAAAGTGAGCATGTGGCCCCAGACCCCTGGGATGGACGAAGCTGCATCGGGAATGGACTCCCATCGTTCGGGTCTGTTCTGATGTCAGGAAGCACGTTAAAGTGTAAAAACTACGAACTCACCTGAACTCGTGGGCATCCTCGCCCCAAATTGACTTGTCCCGGTTAAGGGCCAAAATCGGGATGAGCAGGGGTTCCCCTTTCCTTATTCTACATAAACCGCCCTCAATAAATGCGCATAAACACCAAATGAAAACCAACGGACCTTATTTCATGATGGATCACCCCTTTGCTGTCAGTGAACGGAATTGCCAATGGAAGAACGTCATCCTTCATTGCTACTCGGCTTGTCATCGACACGGGCGCGTGGAGGCGAAGTGTCTCGCGAACAACAGCATCGAGGTATGGAAGAGCGTTGAGCTCATCCATAGTTGGGTTGTCAGTTGATACGGTGAGGAGCTCGTTTCGAAGTTTGATCTGCGCGTCTGGATTCTGCGAATTTAGCGCAAATAATGCCCACGTCGTGGCGTTGCTAAGAGAATGACTTGAATATATTGAGCGGTGAAACAAGCGATAGAAAAAAACCTTGTTGTCTCATGCCCCGCGACTATGAATGTCGGTATCTCTATTGCCCAAACCAGTGTTATTCCCAGATTCGGGAGATTAGAACGGTAGTACGCACGAGCCAAAACATCCTCATCCAGCATTCGCTGACTCTCGGTCAAATCAGTGGCTACATTCGCCCTCACAAGGAGGGACAACAAGTCCCTCGTTTTCCAAGTATCTTTTTCGAGCGACTCCTGCTGCGAAACGGCAGCCTTGCTATTGGATAGAAGCTCCTTCCCGATGCGTGACATGGTCGAAGACGCTTTCTTTGCTTCCACGTCCCCCGCTTCTGGCTGCGTAGACCTAGATGAGGAGAATTTTTCAAATATTGAACTGGATGACTTACCAGGATCCAACTTAAAGCTGGAATGAAGGCTCTTAGAATCAACATCACGTTCACGGAAGTTCCGGCCTGGAAAATAGTATTGAAAGCTTCGCTTAGTTCGTTTGCCTTCGAATCACGCATCAGCGCATTGAATTTGTAATTGAAACCTGGAGATTAGTTGATAAAGGGTGATGCACGAATACAGACAAGCACTCGTACCTGCTAAACCGATGACATCAAGAGTTGTCCAAGTCAACCAGGATAATATCTCTATGCGGCCTTGGCCTCCTTGTTTAGTACACTCTTCAGCCCAAAGATCACGCAGCTGAGTTGATACGTCAGAACATAATCGGTCAACACAAAGAGTAGTTTTTACGCACCTGAATCGACTTTCGAACGAAAATGTCGGTCAGCTCCCGGATCTGAGCTGGTCCAAAGGCAGGGTTCTAATGATTTACTTTAATGAGATAATTCGTACAAAAGATAGGTGAATGCTCGCCATTATTTTGCGCTGTTCATTGGCAGACCTTCAGGATTCAATGGTCCAAAGCTTTATAACATCACACATACCTGCTGCTTATGTTTATCTCCCTCGACGACCAAAAGACCTAGGAAAGAGGTCAGGGTTATCCTTAACTCTCTCAAGTTCGCACACGTACCGGCACCAAGAATGTTAGTGAGCGCCGCCCTACTCTCAGGCAGTTTCTCGTAATCGTAAGAGTTCATCAAGATGTGATTTAACGCTCTCGTATCTGCAGTATACAGCCGGCTGATCTATACATCAAAACTCGTCATTGAGCCTAATTCAACACCAGACGACAAAAAAAAAGAAGACACACCCCAAGTAAACTCTTATATCTGAAGGTGGTTCCATACTTCTCAACTAATATGCCACTCGTCCCTGTATCTTCCTAAAATGTCAAGTAAAGTGGTTAGTAGATGACATGCAAGGAAAGAAGAACAACACACCTCTTCCCAAAGCTCTTTCAGATCCCCATATAAAAAGCTGGGGCTCTTGGTTCCAGGAAGAACGCGCAGCGGCGACAACCACTCCCTATAAACTATTCCCGCAATTTTGTAAAGCCCATACACGCCCAACGTCGCCGTTGCAGAGACGACGAGCAAGCAAGTTCGGCCCATTCTGGAAGTGAGATAGCTAGATTGAAGTCGTGTTGCTCGACGCCAAGTCGAGGTCGTATCACTAGTAGCTGTGAAGTTGTACTGCTGGCTTGGGCCGGCTTGGGCATCCTTTTGTAGTAGATGGATCCTAGTCAGACCTCGTGAACCGAGATCCTGATCACCACATGACGAAGTCGTTCGGCAGTGCTGGCTGAAGTGCTTTTGTGAGCTCCGTGACCACTGGCCGGTGCGATTACGCTTTCCGAGGCAACTGGGGATTGGTAGCGTTCGCAAAGCCACGGATGACGAGCAATTGAATGTTTACGTCAAGATCTAAATGTGTTGATTGGAAGTTTGCTTGTACTTAAAAAGATAGCTGTGTGTATTACAGAGGACGTCGACGGAGAAAATCCACAAAGCTCTAAACCTCAAAACCTTTTGTAGTGCAAGTAGTTATATATAAATAAAGCATTCAAACCGCAAGTTACTCAAAGAGCCTTAGACTTGGGCGAATCACCAGTAATCGTCTCCCACTTTCTACCCTCAGGTATCGTCCAATTCCCATGACAATCATAAACCCAATCCGTCTTCTGTATAATCTCCTTCTGAGCAGCAACGAACACATCCACGGGACACATCCCGTCATCCTGGTCAGGGCATCCGCGGATGCCAGTCAGAGGAACGACACCGTCATTAACTATAATCCGGATTTGTGGGTCTGGAATGGACGTGCACGCCAGAACTGATGGGCTATGTGAGCAGAAAGGCAAGATGGAAGATGGCGAAACGCACGCTGGAACTGGACGTTCGTTGCAAAAGGAGCTATATCCGCTACCCGGAACGAGCGGTGCTTTGGGATATGGGTATATGGTAAAGGTCCAGTCTTGGCGAGTGAAGTCAAGTTGAGAGCGGTTAAGACTATAGTTCGCTTATCAGCACATTTTCTGCCGTGATGTAACGTTAAAACGTACTGTTCATGACGACGACCTCATGAGTCGCATCAACGTAGAGGCTCTGCCCAAGGGGGAATGTAACAGGGTTATCATTTAATGTTCCATTTGTGGATGAGTTGTGAGTCGCGATGGGCGTGTGTGTCAAACGAGAGACTAGTTCTTGGATATATCCAATGCCTTGTACACGAGCTGTTGGCGACCCGAAGGCCGAATTATACCAGAATGTAAGATCGAGCCTAGTCGTATGTGGATCAGGAAAGGATCTCACAAAGGTGACGATAGACTTACCCATAGTTGAATCCCTCCCACTCCTCTTCTGTGAACAACTCGCAGAACTTGGAGTATCCCAATGCGACCGTCTTGTGTAGAACGATGTTTCATTTGATAGAGGCCACATATAACGAAGCAACAAATCGTACCTCGTAGGCGCACATTTGCTGCATGGTGTAGACATCTTCGATCGTCAGATCAAAACCTCCTAGCTGGGTAACTAGCCTCCTCCGCGCATCTCTGAGGTAAAGAGTTGCCCAACGCTCAAGGTACCATCGTCCACGGTCACTCTTTGACCCGTCATTAGCATTGGGGCATCTAGTGATGCAGGTTGGACCGTGTTCGAGAAGAAAGCCACGTATAGATATCACTTACGTTTTATACGGTGCCAGGGTGTTGTTGAACTACAATTTCAAGTCAGTTGAAAGACGGACGGTGATTTGATTGAACCTACCCCATCGGCTTCTATGGTAATACTCTGCTGATATTGCCCCTCATACGGATATCCAAAGAAACCAATGGCAAAATTCATTGCTGACGCAAGCATTCGGTCTCTGAAAGTCGAACATTGAACACTGACTTTACGCCGCCTCAGTATCGGCAGCAGGAGTAACGCACTGAGATTCGGTCCGGAAAACAGGGATTGTGTCCGATTCCGTGAAATTCTGTCAGTGAACAGTCAACAACGCAGTGTGTAAGTTGGGCTCGTTAGGTACCTGCAGCAAGAATCCGTATTTCATGCGCAAGGATACTCCCAGATCGACTATTTAAAGGGTGTGAGATAACGGTATCCTGAGCCGAAAAGTACTTACATAGCTGTTGTCTCCCAAAGGGCGTGAGGACTACGCAAGTGAGCAAATTCCACGGTCAACTGGCTGATTTGTAACCTACGTTCTTCACCAAGCTTGTAAGTCCTAAAATGGGTGAGTATATTAGGAGAAGCAAAGGAGAGATACACACCAGTCGTTTAGAAAATCTAAATCACCAGAAGCATTCCATTTCTCTGGGTTTTTGTGAATTTTTGTCGCGAACTTAGCCGGTCCGCCGTAACTCGCTGTAACACGTCAAGGTATGTTCAAAAGTTCGAGTTTCACAGAACTCACCCCATGCCGTTGGATATCTAGCACCATGTCTGTGCAAGAAGTGTAAACCAGTAATTCGACACGTTTCAGGAATCTCTGGACCCGAGTCAAGGCCAAACGTCCCCCTATCGACGCTGTACCATGGGGACAAGTTCCCCCAAGAACGCAGAAGATTAAAGGCCTTAGACTTCTTCCCTTTCACTCCAGCCTCTGGTTTCTTCGCTCCGCTTAACGCGGGTTGAAAAGATTCGGGGGTAATGAGTTTATTACTGCATTGACCTTTCTGTATAGGATACGAAGGCGCAGTCGCGATTACTGCTGGTTCCGCTCCGGTTGGTGTTCCCCCGGCATAGCCCACGTTGGTTGGGAACTGCGACGGGTAAGCGTTTGTGGGCTTGGTAGGTGGGAAGTGGTGCACTTCGGTCGAACCGACATATGGTGGAGCAAGGGCGGTCGCAATAACATCGTGGTTGGACTGCTGTATTCGATGGGTAGAAGCATTTTGACGACCTGTGAAGCAGCTGGGGTAGACGACCGCGTCAAAAAGGACACAGGCGATGACGCCTGTCAGGAAAGCTGCCGAGATGTGCAGTATACTAAACTGCGATTTCGAACAGACATCCGCCAGACGTGGCCGCTTCTTCTCCAGTGGCAATGATGATGGCTCTGTTTCTCTCGAAGTCGGTAGCAAAGCCTCTCTCTCTGCATGTTGTGCGGTGTCATACGGATTGAGCACCTCGTCGCTGGCGTCTTCAGCGTTGGATCTCCCGAACATGGTGTTGGGCCAGTGAGCTGGCGACTGCACGAACTCAGAAGCGGGCGGCACTTGACTATTCGGGAGCGTCGATCGGTCTAAGGACCAAAATAGAAATTGACTCCGACCAAACTTAGGCCTTATATCTACCTCTTACACCTCCTTCGCATGAGGCCACTTGGTTTTACGCATGCTCTGTGCGACAACGGAACGACAACAAGCGAAAACGAAACAAGGCCTCAATCAGTATGAGAGACTGGCGGGCGATCTGTCAACTTCATTTCAACATCCATTTTTGAGGGCGGCGGGGACTTCAAGTTTGAGTTGGAGTAAAGCTAGCATTGGGGCGTATTTCCTCATTACCGTTTGTACCGCTAAGTATGACCATGATTCCCCTCGACGCCTGTAGAATTGTCTTGAGACAACTGTCCCTCAGGGTTCGATTGAAACTGATTCAAGTCGCCTTCAACGATAAGCGTCAATCTATTATCTAACCCATGGATGGCTCAACTAACCCATTTCCATATGTTCAAGTCAGTTTGCAGCACAATCGCAACCGCGTACCCGGGGCAACACCCACAGATATTTTACGGCTTGATTTCGCATCAAAACGACATCAAAACTGCTGAGTGATAATTGATTTAGCCCAAAGTAGACCTGCATTGCCATTGCCACCGTCAGATCACCGTGGATCACCGTTATAAACGACGGGCTCGAATGCTGTCATAAGTAAGCTGGTCTTCCCCAACATACCTACCCTTTTTAGACGCCGGTCGTCCACCACTTGCAATGTCTCGAGCTGGCCTCGTTTCTCTTGTTCTCTTCTTCCTTTGTATCACCCTCGCGGCATCGGCACCTCTTCCAGAATATTCCTCAAGCGACGTTGAAAGGTGCGCCCCATTGCCATCTGGTCAGAAATTTACGTTGACTCGCCATTTGTTGTAAGCTTCGTTGCCCGCTCTGATGATTACGATCGTGATCTGCTTACACGATCCCTGGATTTCGACGCCCCCGAAATCCGAGAACTTTCTTTCCTCAGAGAGCGAGACTTCGACATAGGGGATGGCACCTACTACAAGGTGCCCTATTTTCCATGGGCTCTGGAACTGAGCTGACGCTGAAAACCCTCAATATAGCGCGAATTTGTCACCTCTGATACTGCTCCGCTTTACCGCCGCTCGGTATGTAGTGACATTTCCCTTGACTTGATTTCCAATGTGCTGAATCAGCACATTTTCTGCTCAGAAAGTTACTCAAAAAATCAACGCGGCATTCCACAAAGCTGGTGCAGCTATCAAGCACGGCTTCCAGAAAGCTGGTACAGCGATTAAGCAAGGCGTCCAGAAAGCTGTCAAGAAAGTGGGCACATTCGTCAAGAACACTGGGGCCAAGATCGCCAAATTCGGGCTGAAAGTTGTTTCTGCCGCGGCGGGTGTTCTTAGTACTGTTTCCAGGTTTATTCCCGCCGTCGGGCCAGGACTATCGGCGGCCTTCAAAGGTGCATCGGCTGCTGCTGATGCAGGCTCCAACGCGATCCATGCAAACCTTGGGAAGAAGCTTAATAACGGAATGAAAGCGCTGAACATCATCAAGGACCCTATCGGTGAGTACCTACCTGCAAATTTATATGACTGAAGTCTAAACTGTACACGGTATAGGTGCTGGTATCAGTGCTGCAGCAAAGAAGGCAAAGCACAAGTAAACCAAGAAATAGCACGTTCTAGCCATGTAACATTCTCGTCCCCCATAATGACTTTGGTAGCGTGCTTCACGTTTCTGGAGGAAATGCGACTTCGATGATATGGTCGTGACATTCGTAGCCTTGGGAAGTTCAAGATAAAACATCCACTAAGAGAAAACGTCTCGGTGCTATCTGTGCGGCTGATCTGTCAGCGGCTCAGCGCATCAGCGAGGCGACAATTAACAAGGCGGTGCTTGGGCGGTGCACAACTAAATTTAAACTGAGGATATACATTACATACACACCTTCCTGATATTGGCGACGTGGATGTTTACTCGGACTGGCGTATATGGCGAGTGTTAATATGGGGCGAATGGTTGTCCAGGAGAATTCGAACCCCCCGGGCCCTCAGCACACAGTGAGCATAGTACTTGCAAATTCCTTGTCATTTGGTCGCATAAAGAGTAGAGCTGTAGTGGACTAGAAATCAAGGACTTTCATAACTTTAAACCCTGTCGTTTAGTCGTTTTTTTGGTCATTTTTTATTAGCGGGAGGGAGCAGTAAGTTATTTGCGACGTGCTCTAAAAAGAGACTTCATATAGTAAAAGAGCGCCAGCTTTCTGGTTAGCTCCGTTGGGACATCCGACCTGCATCGATGATCCGACATCTGAATTTCCGACCATAGATTGCTGCCATAAGGGTTATAACTTATGACGCAACTTCGCTGATGGTAAGGATCAAAATATCTAGGGCGGCTTTAAATAGGGCAACACAGCTGATTTTCTGTAAGCTGGCCTTCATCACTCACCTCCTTGGCCCAGACGCTGGTCGTCCCGCACATAATGCCTCGAGCCGGTCTCGTTTGTCTTATTTTTTTCTTTCTATGCGCTGGCCTCGCATCATCCGCGCCAGTACCAGAACGTGTATCGAGCAACATCGAGAGGTTATACCCGTGTGGATTTCGCGCCATGTGAAGATATTCTGACCATCGATGTTTAGTTTCGCCGCACGCTACGACCATGATTTAGATGTACGATTCCTCGATTTCGATTTGCTTGAAGGACGAGATAACCTGCTTGACGAGCGGGACCTCGACCTGTTGGACGACGAACTTTATGCCGTGGGTCTTTTTCAAAGGGCGGCTGTGTGCGATATGGTTCTAATCAAATTTTAACAACCCACTGCAGCGCAATACCGCACCTCACACCGAACAACTTTATCGACGCACCTCCATCTTCACGGTGAGCTTTTCGCGCTCTGATAAAATTTGAGCACACCGACGGCATCCATCTCTGCTTGACCAGAAAATCAAGCAAGGCTTCCAAAAGCTTGGGCGGAAAATCAAGTCAGGGTTCCAAAAAGCCGGCGCGGCAATAAAAAAGGGATTCCAAAAGTTCGGACAGAAAGTGAAGTCTGGATTCCAAAAAGCCGGCGCAGCCATCAAGACGGGATTCCAGAAATTTGGTCAGAAAGCGAAAGCTGGTTTCCAAAAGGCTGGTGCTGCGATTAAGAAGGGATTCCAGACATTTGGTCAGAAAGCGAAAGCTGGTTTCCAAAAAGCTGGCAAGGCGATAAAGAAAGGGTTCCAAAAAGTTGGCCAGTTTATCAAAACGACTGGGGCCAAGATAGCCAAGTTCGGGCTCAAAATCGTATCGGCTGCTGCAGGTGTCCTGGGTACCGTTGCTAGGTTTATTCCTGGCATCGGGACAGGACTATCAGCGGCCTTAAAAGGTGTACAAAAGGGCACAGATGCAGCGTCCAACGCGATTCACGCGAACCTTGGGAGTAAGCTCGAGAAAGGAATGAAAGCGCTGAACATCATCGGGGACCCCATCGGTAAGTGAGGAAGAGTACGTCTTTATTGAAACTTATGCACGTCCCGATTGGTGCAGGTGCTGGTATCAAAGCTGCGGCAAAGGGCGTTGCGAAGAAGGTAAAGCATCACTGAGAAGGAAATAAGAACCAACTGGGCCGAAACATTACGTTGTTATTATACCTTTGCCATGTTATTGTTAGCGGCATGCATACCCTCTGCAGATCAGTGGTAGAAATCGATGCAATGAGATTGATATACACACGTCAGGTAAATGCGAAAAGTACATGATTGAAGACAAAGCAATATTGCAGTGCGCCATTACTTGCCAGAGAGGGGATGGTCTTCCGAATGCTAAGTAAGAGCTGAGTGCCAGCTCCACGTATACCGTCATACGAAGATACTTTGAGCAACTTGGGACCATTGGACCAAAGCAGATAACAGCGTGTCGCAGACTGCAAGGTATGGTTGCAGATGATTGGCATAGCCACCAGAAGACGAAGTTCGACGCGCCGTGAACAACGAAAAACATTGCATAGATTGACCTCCTAACCTGTTGTCGTTCTGGATGAACATTGGTGCAAAATCGCTGAGACATTCAACGACAGTAATGCTGCATCTGCGTCCAAGTAGCAAGGCTATCTCGACTTCTGAAGGCACTCCAGCATAGTTCTCTGGAGTCTCAGTCGCCACCACGAGCAGGGTAATCCGAAGGTAGTCTTTCGCCGGTATACGGGTAAGAATAGAACCTGAGGCTAAGTATGACCGGGACCAAACAGACAATGTCGTGGGCTCTCCACATTGGACTAGACTATATCATCAAAGCTTGGAAGCAAAGGTCTTGATCTGCCTACGCCGACAGCTGTGTTTCCGTGATAGGCGCGAAATCGCGGAGCAGAAGGTTTCATTCTCGTATCCGCGCGTGTCGTTAATGTGTAGTCCTGTCCCTACAATACGAGGAGATGTTCGTTGGCCCGAGGAAAGCTGTAGAGTGATCCCGAAGCTAGATGACTGGTGGAGCTTGGGCGTCGTCACCCACCGCGAACAACATCAACAACAAGTCGGAGTGCGGGTGCGACAGGAGAACGAGACGAAGTAGGGCAGCAGTTATTCAAACGTGATGTGCAGCTCCGTTCCCAAAGCTTGTCCGTTGGCGAAGCCCCTGACTGCGGAGATTCCGGCAGACGGAGATAAAAAATTGTTCGGGTTGTGTAGAGCTAACATGCATGGCCTACTCTAAACCCTGATCGATGATCATCAGCATGCATCAACCACCACGACGTTTTCACGAAAAGTAAACTTGACGTCGCCAACACCACATTGCACTGGCGAGCGACCGCAAGGAATATGGAAGCTGGTGTGACTATTAGCATGGAATCCTCTGACCACAGAAAACCATAGCCCCGTCTTATTCGTCCATGATTCGTGATATCTTCGTTGTGAGTCTGAACTTGTTCGATCCTTATCTCGTGATAGAAACAACGCTGAAATAACATCAGTGAGGGAGGGTGAGTGTGGGGTGAGCACTGAAAGTAAAAGTCTTGGCTTGGTCTTGGCACGTCAGGTCGCTTTCATAGCCTTCCAATGAATCACGGCAAAAGAGGTTATAGTCTTGCTGTTGTACTAATCATGGACCTCCAACCTCTTCGATATTCCCAGCCACAGATGGAGTCGCCTCAGCTCTTCACTGGGGACAAGGCCAGCAACACGCAGAATCCTGTGGTCGACGCGCAGATAGAAGCGCGTCGCAAAACCGTCACGGGTCGTGCCATTCTTTTCGGAGGACTTATCATCCTGACGGTGCTGGGGATGATTCTGGTGCTCCTCTCTTACCTTTGTGTTGCGCACCAGTGTTCGAGGGGCTCAGGCAGAACGCTCATCAGTACCGCACCTCTAGGCAAAGTGCTTACCATTTCCCAAGTCACTTCACATGTAGCTCCTGTCGCAATTCCTCTGGTAATGGGCTTATGGTCGCTACACCTTGGTGCTACGTGGTTGAAGTCAAGTGCCTCGCTCGGAGTTGATCGGCCTTCCCCAATGCAGTGAGTGCCGTCGCTATTTTGACCGGATTCTTTTACTCATTCATTTGTAGGTTTGGCCTGCTATTATCGATTTGTACGGGTGCTGGCCTTCCCGCCCTAGCTGCTGCCTTGAGACACATGTTAAATCTTAATAAGGGTGGGAGTCCCTCGCTTCCAGCGCCCCCCATGCTCCGACACACTACGGTTCTACTATTCAGTTTTCTTGCTTTATCATACCTAATCTCAGCATCCGATGCATGGTTTCACGCCAGCAGCAAGGCTATCAGCATCGCTTCGACCTCACCATATCTCTTTCCTGCGAATTTTGGTCGCGCGATTAATGCAACTATGTGTGACCCAGCTACATACAATAGTGGGACGGTCAGCCAGCTAACTTGTGGTTTGATCTCTGGTGGCAGTGGAGGAAATGCGAGAACACGTATGGAGGGACTGAGGGCAGTCTCAAATTCATCTGCACTTCATCGTGCAGTCTTCACGGACGACCAGACTGCGATCCTCGTCCCACAGACCATACCCGCGAACGTGTCGTATACTGCTCGAACTATCGGCGTCAAGTCAACATGTCAAACGTAAGTGTCTGTCTCTTCACGAAACAAAGGTGTTTACCGGTTTTCCAGTATCACATCGCAATGCTTGGCACCGTCCGCCTCCCTCGGTTACGGTCCGAACGCTGCTCTTCTGCTGAAGTGTACTGGGAGCGCGCTCTTCAACGCGACGGGCTCCCAAGCACTCTATGCCTTGGACGACCAGGGGAATACAATTTTGGGTTATAAAGTTCTGTCTAAGTGAGCTTGTCTTTGCTTCTGCCAGTATGGATTATGACGAGGAAGCACAGCCCATTTCATGCTGGGGAAGTGGTGATTTCACAAGCATACTACCAGGTTGCTGAAGATCAATGTGCGCATTGTGTCTCTTCCTTGAGTCAAACATGCTCTGACTGAACGATCTAGTTGTTCCTAATAGGCATGTTTCTGACATATCGTTTCCTTCAATGTATAGAGTTTTAATTCTCACAAATAGCGGCTGGTTTATCCACGGAAGTAACGGAGCGTGGAACGTCGTTTTCTGCGACGTCACGGCGCTGGACGTTCAATATGTGTATTCCTCCTCGCGATTTATTGTTCGGCAATCGACACCACTATCCGCGGACTCTGCACGCCATGTCATGACGTTAGGCATTGAAGGCGGCTCAGTGAGGGTATCACAACAGGTGGACGGAGCAGGGCTGCAGACCAACATGACATACGAAGAAGCCTATGGGCTGGAGTTGTCAAAGCAGGCGATAGCAAGAGGCGCATTTGTCTACGAGTCGACGGGTGTCTCTGCTATTCAAAGGGAGCTTGAAATTATTGGGACTAGCCTCGATTTGGTACCGTTGGCGTTACTCCTTGGTGGGATGCTTGTGTTCTGGTGAGATCCGAGCCTTCCTCATCTGTTTTTCGCTCTTCGCTGATAACGTGATGTATGAGCAGTCTTTTCGTTCTCTTTGTCGTTGTCCAGATCCTCCTCTCTGCGGCGCGCGTACCCTACGTGCGTTTAGCTGCATTACAGCTCAACGATCCTCTAACGACCGTCCATGCGCTCTACGGCCCCGTTGACCCTGCCTCTACATGGGCAGATCAAACGTTCAAAAAATTCAGGGCTGAAACGGAGGGTGATAGGCTTTCTGTTGGGCCAATTCCAGTTGGAGAGTATTACTCCCAGTTTGGTGTTACGAAGGGGTCCTAAGGGGTGTAGGTCGGGCTCGCTTTACCTGGTCTCTCTTCGCCTTCAGTGTTCTTTGGGTTCTTGGGACTATGCGTGATACTTCTATACCAGAGCCGTGGACTGCGCGTTGTAGCTAGTTAGACCCTCCGATGTAAGTAAATGTTCATCACCGCCAAGTTGGAGTTTGATTTCGCCTTGGAATAAGATGAAAATGGGCCTTGTCATTATCTATTGCCTCACAGCTTTCACCACAACTACAGCTCCGCCATTGAGTAACTTCTGCCTATGGCTGCAAGGCTGTACCAATAGCATTATGTTCTCCAAGAGATAATACCTTTTTTGCCATTACAAGGGACGAATCATCAGTCAATCAACCACAATCATGTCGAGCCTTGTACTGAAGCGGTTTTCCTCGACATTCACTGCGAAACCCATCCCATCGAAAGCCCATCATCACATTCCTCTTCCATCCTCCTCCTTTCCGAGTGGATATGCGCTCACCGGAATACATGCAGGTGTAAAGAAGCAAGCAGGCGTTCCCGACCTCAGCGTCATCTTGTCGACCTCAGAGCACCCGACCTCGGCCGCCGCCTGTTTCACCCGCAATGCGTTCAAAGCAGCCCCAGTGTTAGTATCGGACGAGGTTCTCAAGAAAAATGGAGGTTGGGCCAAGGCAGTTGTCGTAAACAGCGGATGCGCAAATGCTGTCACTGGCAAACAGGGGATGGACGATGCATGGGCGATGGTGAAAGCGACAGACGCCCTCCTACCGCCCTCTGCAAAATTCGAGCATCAAACCCTCGTAATGTCAACTGGGGTAATCGGCCAAAACCTCCCCATCTCGAAAATACTCTCTGGTATCCGCGAATCCAAGGAAACGCTCAACTCAGACTTCTCAGCTTGGGAACGAGCCGCTCAAGCGTTCATGACGACCGATACCTTCCCTAAATTACGCTCCCGGGTATTCAAAATCAACGGCTTCGAGTACCGTATGGCTGGAATGGATAAGGGTGCAGGGATGATCCACCCTAACATGGGTCCAGCTACAACATTCAAACCAAAGCAGCTTCATGCCACTCTCTTGGGATGTATTTTGACGGACGCTGCAGTATCCCCGAAGAGTTTGCAGGACGCCCTCACGTACGCAGTGGACAGAAGTTTTAATTCTATCAGTGTGGATGGGGATATGTCAACAAATGATTCCATCTACGCCCTCGCCAACGGTGCTGCAAAAGGGCCGCTAATTGACGAGGAGACCGACAAGGAAGCTTATGAGGTGTTCAAGAAGGAGCTAACTGATTTCGCAACGGATCTGGCGCAGTTGGTTGTGAGGGATGGCGAAGGCGCAACCAAGTTCGTCACAGTGACAGTCAAGGGTGCGCCATCATACCGAGACGCACATAACATTGCATCCCGCATATCTACCTCGGCTCTCGTCAAGACAGCCCTTTACGGCGAAGACGCGAAGTAAGCCTGAAATCAAACTAGAACGGCTGTTCATTACTAAACTCATCCATAGCTGGGGTCGCATCCTCGCTGCTTCAGGATCCGTCCCATTATTGCCATCGTCCTCCACGGGAGAGCCTCTGACCATCGACCCAACAAAAGTCAGTGTGACTTTCATCCCGTCCGACGGCACCTCTCCACTTCCAGTGCTTGTCAATGGCGAGCCCGAGGTAGTGGACGAAGTACGAGCAAAAGAGATCATGACCCTTGAAGATTTTGAAATATTTGTCAATTTGGGAATGAGCGACGACCCGGAAGGAGAGGCTAAGTATTGGACCTGCGATTTCAGCTATGTGAGTCTTTCGCCCTATCGTATGAACTTCTTTGATGAAAGACCCTCAGGAATACGTACGGATTAACGGTGACTACCGCAGTTGAACCTGTGGTGGATTTACGTAGACAATGGCATTCTCTCCTTCACGGACGAGTCTTGGCCTGGTATTTCACCTATCTTTGAGCGTTCTAGATGAGGCTAGATGATACACTGCATATCGAAAGTTGAGTAAAGCATGCTTTGTAAGTAGATGAAAACCTTGAAGACGAACTTCAACACTTTGATCAATTTTGTTCAGGGCACATTGGGTTTACCCCTTATGATCATCACAGGCACCAGACAAATATCCCCATGAATTCAACTTCCGTCACGGAGGTTCGGCCACCCTCCTCCTCCCTCCTCCCATCCCTGTGTTACAATTGGAATTAGGCCCTAGGGTGATCCAAGAAGAACCCACAGCCAAGTATGATCCCTACAACGCTCCGAGGTTTCTTCACTACCTCTGTTCTCTCTGTTCGCGAAAACGCTGTCAAGAATGTCATTTTCCGTGCAGCAACCCTTCTCCTACAACTCTTTATCGTGAGGACGTTCACCTTCATCGCGGCCAGATCCAATGCATACACATCGTACCTGATGTTTGCAGAGGACTTCCTCCAAAAGTTCTTTTATGTCACCTCTCGCAGTTTCAATAGACATGCACTCCTGGTTCTTGCCTTTGCTGCTCTCGGAGCACTCTCGGGGCTGTACGACACTCTTTTGTGGTCATTAGACTCCCCCGGATATGTCGTCAGGTCGAAGACCATCAACGCCACATCGCTATCTCAAGATATAGTCATCAATCCAGCCTACATTACCTACATATCGAACCCAACAGGCAACGTCAACGACATTGATACGGAGGGGTCCATAGCTGCCAACCTCTTCAGGTCCGGTTTGAATTTTACGCTTCCAGGCGTGAATGAACCGGGAGTCAGAGAGATCGTCTCTTCGTCGCAGTTGATTAACAACACTGGCCCTCGCATATGGCTTGATGAAGACGGCCTCTCCGTGAGCGTTGATCAAGCTGTGATGGTCACGACAGACGCCGTTTGTCCCATTCAAACCCTCACTAACACCACACAAGCGTGGAAATGCAGTTTTAACAACACAGACGCTTTGCTATTGGTTCAGACAAGCACAGGGAACCCTGAAATTTTTTGGGACGACCAACGCTCAGAGTACTTGTTGCCAAATCGGATGGATAATCCATGGCAATCCCTGGGGAGTGGCGGGGATACTGCAGTAATGAAGCAGGTGTTCACGGTTACGAAAGATCGACGTCGTCATACCTTCATTGAAACTGCCTTCAAGGCTTCCATGCTCTCCCTGTATCCTGCACAGTTCAACGACAGTGACATCACAGACCTCATTCATCGGACATGGTCCTCCGATCCCACACAACCTATCACACCTGACATTCAGAACTTGGCGGACTATGTTATAGATGCCCAGGCGAATCAGTCAACTGTCAGCTTTGGCATCTTCGTTCAAGAACCATATGCATCAATATCCTCTACCATAGAACTTCTGAATGTTATCAACTCTGCGAGTGCGGTACCGCTGTTCAGCGTCTTTCGCATCACTTCGACAAACATTACCCTCATTCGTTCCGAGACGCTGCCTCAGGCACCTACCCCGCTATATTGTAGATATGACACCGTATTTTCTACGAATCTTGCAACTGGCGGTCAACTTCGAGGAAACACGTGCTACAAGTCACTCAATCAGACAAAAGCATCTTTTGTCTCCCAACTCGACGCGTCCGCGGTGGTCATCCTCAATAGCCTGCTGGGTGACGGCACGTCAGACACTAGCGCTATCGCTTTCAACCAAACAGGATGGAATTGGATCGTAAATAACAGCAACCACATAGACGACTTGCTTACCTCGCGAGGACTGATTGCTGGGGGTGACCGCGCGGCTGTGCAAGTCATAGTACAGCACAATGAAGCCGCGATCTCCTATTTTCAGCTACTACTCACGCTCCTTCCAGCTCTCCTTGTCCTGATTGGAGCGGTCGTTAGCTTGTTCTCGGGACCAATGAGTTACTACCAGAGCTCTTTCCTCGCAGCCGTGTGTACGACGACGCATATGACGCCAGGGAAATGTCAAAATGTGCGCTACCTACGTGATCCTCCTGAAATTACGCTGCGAAGAAGCGGAACACATGTGCTGCTGAGTACACCTGGTGAAGGCACCCTAACAAACGTTGGCGCCGATGAAAATGTTCAGACATATGGGATAACAGAGCCTCTGATATACAAGGACGGATCGTACTCGGTAAATGATTAGCATTCTCTTCCTACATTTGTATCTTTTGTATATATCTGTATGTCTGTATTGTCACGCTGACATAATCACACTCACCGACGTTTGCCCGACGTCCAACCTCCCTAAGCCTTCCTCATGTGGCCTTCAACGACGCGCGATACGACCATTTCCATACTTCAAAATAACACTCAGACTGCTTGTCGGGCACACACGGCTAAATACGCAACAAGACCCTGTCCAGCGCCTGTGGTTGCTGATTGTAAGCTGGTGCGCGATGAGGAAATGGCAACGACCGGCTGCTAATCTACGCTTTTGTCCCTTCAGGACGTCTGTTAAGTCCCAAACTTTTGATTGTTTCTACTGTTGGAAAAATAAAATCGGAACTTGCGGATGAGGACATGGAAACAATTCTGGGTTGCCTTTCGATTGAGGTTGAAACTCTAGAGAAGTTTCCTACTTACGACCGATCTACTACCTCAGCACGGCCCCCCAGACCAACACTCGCTTTCCCTGGTTTACAACACGTCAAGTGAGCTAAACATAACCTCGACAGGAACGAGTCCCACGGCGACTATCTATGTTCCTCCCTTTCATCCTTTACAAACACTGACAATTTTAAGCGCTTGCGACACTCTCCTTTGACTAGCGAATCTCTCGCCTGGCATAGTCCCCACAATTTCTCCAGCAATGCACTCGTTCCTCACCACCTCTGTTCTTTCAGTCCGAGAGAATGCAATCAAGAACATCCTTTTTCGTGCATCGACGATCCTACTCCAGTTCTTCATTCTCAGGACGTTCACTTTCATCGCCGCTAGGTTACAAGCATACACTTCGTATCTGATGTTCACAGAAGACATCGTGCAAAAGATCCTTTACGTCATGTCGCGCAGGTTTAATCGACAGGCAATATTGGTCCTTGGCTTTGCCGCCCTCATTTCACTTGCAGGGTTTTATGACACCCTGCTTTGGGCATTGGATTCACCTGGATACATCATCAAATCGAAAACCACCAATGCTGATTCGTTGACCAATGATCTCATCACCAGTCCCGCGTACATCACACTCATATCGAACCCAACAAATAATGTGCAGGACATTAACGTTGACGCCGCGATAGCAGCAAATATGTTCACCGCTGGATTGAACTTCACGTTACCAGGCATCGTTGAACCTGGTGTGAGGGAGATTGTGCCTCCACTCCAGCCCATCAACAGCTCTGGACCTCGTATTTGGCTTGACGAGGATGGGTTTTCTGTTACCGCACAGTACATAAGCTGTCCAGTCCAGACTCTGTCGGAAACAACGCAAAGCTGGGGATGCTGGATCAACAACACAAATGCACTTACTTTTTTTGAGCAGGCGTTAGGCACACCTCAAATCTACTGGGATGATCAACACAGTGATTACCTCTTCCCGATTCGAAAAGACAATCCGTGGGAATCCCTTGGGACAGGTGGGGATACGGCGTTGATGAAACAAGTGTTTACGGTGACGAAAGATCGACGGAGGCACACCTTCATGGAATCGGTGTTCAAGACGTGCATGATCAAAACATACCTCAGTCCCTTCAATAGCAGCGAAATTTCGGACCTCCTCCAGAGGACTTGGTCTCTCGATCCCGATCATCCCACTGGCACGAATCTCCAGACATTGACCGAATACGTTCTTTATACGCAGGGAAATGAGACGAGTGCCACCTTTGGTGTCTTTATACAACAGCCATACACCTCCCTATGCGCCACCGTAGAATATTTCAACGTGGTCAATCCAATCACAAGTCAAAAGTACTATTCCGCCCTCCGCATCACTTCCACTAATATCACCCTGATCCGCTCTGAAATACTCTCTCAGGCACCCACTCCCCTTCCGTGCAACATATTCTCTACAAACCTTTTGACTGGGGGCCAACTTCGCGGTTCTACGTGTGCCCCATCCCTTGATGTTACAAAAGCGTCTTACGCTACCCAGTTGGATTCTTCCGCAGTCATGATTTTGAACGACGTGCTTGGGGATGGCGCTGCATCCACAAGCGCCGTTGCTTTCAATCAGACGGGGTGGGATTGGTATGTCAACAAGTATAACCACATCAACGACGTGCTGACATCACGAGCACTCATTCTGGGGGGAAACCGTTCAGCGGTGCACGTGGAAGTGCAGCACGTTGAGGCTGCTATTTCATACCTCCAGCTCTTGCTCATGCTTCTATCTGTTTTCCTCGTTTCTGGCGGGGCAGTCGTGGTATTGCGAGCGGAGTCCATGAGTTATTATAACAATTCCTTGCTCGCCGCTGTATGCACCACGACCCACCTTACCACTAGAGAATGCGGCAGGGTGGGCTACCTCCACAAGCCCCCGGAGATAACGCTGCGGAGGAGGGGAAGACATGTAGTACTCAGTACACCTGAGGGAGGCACCCTTGCACATGTCGGTGCAGATCAGGTTGTTGCGCATAGTATGGTCACTGAGCCCTGGACGGAGCTGGAGAGTTCGTCTGGAGTCGATGACCAGTTGTTGACCGCAGATTCGACCACGTCTTTTGCGTCGTCGGAGAGAAAGGGGATCATGATGCGGTCGAAGACGGACGAAGACCACTCGGAGAGCGCACTATACGATATTTCCTTTGGAGAGTCATTGGAATCTCGAATTCGACCACGCCTTTGAGTCGAGACTCGACCCCGGCTTTTGTTGATTAGCCTCCTGTGATTAGTAACCACCGTCATCCAACGCCCCCGACGGCAAACCGGGATGACAGAAATCGTCAGGGAAGTCGAGGACTGGCAAATTTCTTCGGGACCGACTCAAATTTTTCCTTGAAGACATTCCGCAGCCCGTGATGAACGTAAGTTATGTTGTATGTCTCCAGGTCTACCGGATTTTCTTTGGGGACAACTCGCTGCAATTACGGCTGCTTGTTAGGAGAATGATCCACAGAGAAATATTATTCCTGTTGATTGATCCCATTCGTTAAGTAGTGGAAGGTGGGCCAGAAAAAGAGTGCAGGGTTATACTTAGCTGACCCGCTCCGAATCTCGGGGGCTTCAGCTAATGAAATTTTGAAAAAGCTCAGAACAGCTCCCTTTGTTATTGACCGGCCGGCGCCCAAAAAATAAGAGCGTCGGCAACGTTCATGCCAGTGAGCAGACTAGTTGCTTTCGCGCGACTGCTCGGTTTTCCCCTGACAATTCTGTAAGACCTCTGGTGACGTGTACGTTGTTAGCTATAAAACGTTGAAACAATTGGAAAACTTCTACTTACAAGTTTGAAATTTCGATTTCAATTCGATATCTGATGTGCAATGAACTTTACCGACAAAGCTAATGTGCAGAAATAGGGGATCGTCGACAGTACTTTGTAGGTTGATCGGGTGGCTGTCAGCTTGAACGCGACCATAATCATGAGCTGCTGCTGGCTGCTATTCCATTACTTACTGGTACTCATCTCGTTGTCAGCAGTGGGTGTTTCGTCGTCGAATATGGGTCTTTCCGAAAAGTTGCAAACCTCGTGTTCTGGTGGCGACAGGGCTGTTCTGGCCCTCGTTTGTCGTTGATGCATGATGGCCAAGACGCCGTTGAAATGTATACGTCAGTCGGTCAGACAACGGTCAAAAGTCTCAGAGCAGCTCAGAGCACACTTATTGGCCAGGTAAATCTTTTTTACCATCCATCTTGTGAGCATCTGTGATGATCCATATCAAATTTGTTTTATAGCTCTCGGCATGGTGTCAAATATGGTCGGTTGCGGCACTTGGCAGGTCCTCTAATTTTGGAACACTTCTGGCTTCAGGTTCGAGGGGCAGTGTTACCGCTCCCCACTAAACAACAACGGGACAAGAACGGAAACTCTTCCAAGCTCCTCCATTCCATCTCTTCCTCTTCCCTCAACCTTACTTACGTATTTCTCAATTTTGGCGGCGCGGGGTTGCTTCCTTCAACATGTTGCTCTCCCCATTGTCCTTGCTGGCGCTATGCCTCGCGTCCGCATCGTCCCCTGTCTCTGCGATCACAGCAGGCTCTCTCGTGGATGGAGGGAACAGTCTAATTAGTGCGATGATGGTAAGGTTTTCCACATCATCGTCACCGTTATACATCTCAACTACTTTCTCTTCTAGTTGTTCGTTGGTAATGAAGAAAAGGTGTACATTCTAGACAAGGCGGAGATGAACGCTGCCGTTATCAATGGCCATCCCGCTTGGGGAGCAGTATGGTAAGTCCTCCGCGATGTTGCCCATCTTTTTCCACTGACGATGCGGACGTCCTCAGGGATATAAATTCGCATAAAACAACTGTGATGGATGTGCCGTCCAACGTGTTTTGCGCATCCGGCATGCACCTACCGAATGGATCATATGTTACTTTCGGCGGAAACAACGCGGTCGCACCAGGAGGAGGGCTTGGCTCGCAAGTATACCCAGGTGGAGGGTCAGCAAGTTGGGACTCGACATTACAGGATTTCGATGGTTCACGATCGATTCGTATACTAAACCCATGCACCAGTGCCGACAATTTCGCGTCATCGAACTGTCAATGGTTTGATGACTCGACACTCCTTGCCATGCAGAAGCAACGATGGTATTCAGCGGCAGAGCCTCTCGGCGATGGCACCGTTGTGATTATTGGGGGCTTTGTTCTTGGGGGATACGTCAATCGTATGTACCCCAACACTGACCCACAGTTTGAGCAGGGCCAAGCAGAAAGCACATTCGAATTTTTCCCTGCCAAGTCTGGTACCCCTCAAGTAATGCAGTTCTTGATCAAAACATCTGGCCTCAATGCATACGCTCACACATTCTTAATGCCATCGGGTAAAATGTTCCTACAAGCCAATACTTCATCCAGTGAGTCTACAACCTTCGCTTCCTATCTCATCGATTCCAACCGTCTTACTTTTTGCAGTGTTGTGGGATGCTAATGCCAATGTCGAAACTGCTTTGCCTGACATGCCCAACAACGTTGTTCGCGTCTACCCAGCATCTGGTGCGGTTGCCATGTTACCTCTTACTCCAGCAAACAATTATGTCCCAACCATCCTTTTCTGCGGTGGGCAAGACATGCCCTCGTACAGCTACGGAGACTATCGTTTCCCCTACGTTGAGACATGGAATCAACCTGCATCCCGGGATTGTCAGCGAATCACTCCTGAACCCGCCGATGGCTCAGCACCAGTCTACGTACAAGACGACAACATGATTGATGGCCGTACTATGGGCCAGTTTATCATCCTTCCTGATGGAAAACTCCTTGTTGTGAATGGTGGTTTGAACGGCACGGCTGGCTACGCTACCTCGACTCTCGTGAATCCTGACATGAGCACCATGCCCTGGGGTATGTCGCTTGCCTCTGGCCCAGTCCTCACACCAGCCATCTACGACCCCAACGCGCCTGCAGGGAGTCGCTGGTCTAATGCCGGTTTGCAGTCATCCACCATTCCCCGTCTCTACCACTCCTCCGCCATGCTCCTTCCAGATGCATCCGTTATGATTGCAGGTTCCAACCCCAACTCTGATGTCAATCTGACAGCCATCTTCCCAACAACGTACAAAATTGAAATATTTTACCCGCCGTACTTTAACGCAACGAATCGCCCAGTGCCTTCTGGCGTTCCCAAGACCATCTCTTACGGTGGAAGCTCTTTTGACATTACCATCCCCTCAACTTCATACACCGGCTCATCGAACGATGCTGCAGATGCGACCAAGGTCGTTCTCATTCGTGGAGGTTTCACAACGCACGCTATGAACATGGGCCAACGCTACTTGCAGCTCAACAACACGTACACAGTGAACAGTAATGGCGCTCTCACCCTACATGTCGCACAAGCCCCTCCCAACCCCAACATCTTCCAACCTGGACCCGCGTTCCTCTATGTCGTAATGAACGGCATCCCGAGTAACGGCACCTACGTTATCTTGGGCAACGGTCAGATCGGTACCCAGCCCACGTCAGCTGTGAGCACACTCCCAGATTCCATCCGTCTGGCAACCGCAACTGGTGGTGTGCAAGCCAGCGCAACCAGCAGCGCTACTAGCTCCGGGAATGGGAATGGAACCGCGTCGCACAGCTCTACGCCCTCTACTGGTACTATTGTCGGTGGAGTCGTGGGAGGGATCGCTATCATCGGCATCCTTGGTGCCATCGTTGCTGTCATCCTGTCACGCCGTAGAAGAGCCGCCACGCCTCCTTCCTCGACAGCCTACGCTGACATGGCAATGAGCACACCCAAAGCCGGTGTCCTCGCAAGCGATGACGCGTCCGCCTCCCTTCCCCTGCATCAGACAGACTACAATCACGCGTGGAACTCGAGCAGCGTCGATTTCTCTGCTCCGTACAGGGATGAGGCTGCATGGCGAGGTAGCTCAGCGGGCGTGAGCATGGATTCGTATGACCCCTACACGCGACCACCGATGACGCACGCGATGAGCGATGCGGGCCCAATGGGTAGGCATTCTTATCAACAGAGTTTCAGCTCGATGCCTGAGACTCCACCCGCTGGCGCAGCGCCCCCAGCCGCATATGGTGGTGGCGGAATCTAGTATCAATCAACTCAAGGACTACATTATTTAAATAATTTTTCTTGCCCATCTCTCGTCTTCTTCTCTGGCACGCACGCACTCTTGGTCTTTCGCGTTTCAGCCATCTCGTCGGGACACTTCTTCATCTAACTTTGTTGTATACTCATTCCTTTACATTGGATGGACATCATTTTACCCGCACATTTTTTTTTTACGACACGTCGCATACCTCTCTCTGCTCTGTGCCTCCGAAAGGCTCACGTCCTCTCCTTGAATACAAAGGGAACATTTGAATAATATTCTAGATGACATCTCTTCTAACAAATACTCGAATAAGGATCGTATGGGTAAAGATAGGGCGCCCACGAGGCGACCAAAGTCAGCGTTATCTGGAAACAACTAACTCAGACTGCGGAGGCTGTAACTGTCCAGATTTCATGCCCACAGGTGCCAACGCTCAAGCCTCAAAGTACTACACTGGACCGATAAGGTAGCCTTGTCCCTTATCAAGTCCGCAGCTTGTGAGAAAAAAATCCACGACTCGGATTATGGCCCGGAATGACAGTAGGGGGGCGTGGTCGAGAGTTACGGAAGACATGTACTAAAATGTACCCAGTCTTGAACATGAAGATTGCCAGCAGGTTATTTTTAATCGCACGCTATTTTTGTTCGATTAAAAATAGATCAAGTATGCCGTCCTGCTTCCTCCGCAGTAGTTCCAGCTGATTGCAAAACGATAGGCCAGTTGCAACAACGACTGATCTTCAGCCGTTTATTTGTGCATTGATGGAGCGTCATGGAAGCTGGACCAAACAACAAACGGCAGCAGGAGCCGTCGTGCTTTCTTCCTTACATTTCTAATTATAGCCTTCCAAACAAACAAACCGCTGAAGAGCAACCGCCATCACAACTGGCCTATCGTTTTGCAATCAGCTGTCATTCTCTGCCTGGCTAGGCTTTCTCCACGAGAAATTACTGAAAGCACGGAGTTAGAGCTCAAACGCCGGTGCAGCGAGGCGTACAGTTGGACATGCGTGCAGCGTGGTCTGAAGGTTTGATGAGCGCTGAGCGTGTCTTATCAGCGAATACGAATGTAATGTGATAGTTAGATAGGGGGCGTTAACAGCTCATGAGAGACCTAGTAGTTGGCCAAAAAGTTCAGGTGTCTTCTTATCGCGACTTGCTGATGTGATGCGGCCGCACTGGATGCAACGGCGAAAATCCGAGTCAACCTGGGCGAGACTTTAAGTCATTGTTTCAATCCGTCCGTTGAATGTGGTTGTACCCTATTGAATGAAATTCCATATCTGATTAATTAGTTACACTTGTATCGATGCGATTATTTGTGAAGTTTGAAAGATTAAGGCGGGAAAGGATCGCTTATGATCCACCAATGAGGCGGTTGGCAGGTAAAGGTCGAGCAGCTGGCTGTAGTAGCTCCTCCTATCGAATTACAAGTTTATCACCCAGTCAATAAAGCATCGCAAAGACTGGAACTCACTCGGTAATACACCCTCGCGTTGATATTGATATACGCCTGGCAATTCCCATCTGTCCCAATCCAATGAACCACCACCATCACCTTCTCGCTGCGTGGATCAAAGGACACATGCTTCTTCAGCATCTTATCCATTGCATCCATGACGTTGTAAGTGTGGTTCGTGCGAAGAGCCTTCCATTCCCTCATCAACAACCTCGCACTATCCGGATCGACGACAGGAAAACGCGGGCCTTCGTCCTCTACGTACCAGAGCTTGATGTCTTCTGGATCGGCAGCATCAACCAGAAGTATGTCGACCACGATGACGATGCTCTGGTGTGTCTTGTTGAGGAACGCCCCGCTTATTCCGAACTCCTCGAGATGGATGATAGATGCTGATAACGGCATCACTCATTAATGAGTACTCTAAACTCAAGCAGTATATCCCATTAGAAAGCTCACTCTGTCCGCGTTGAGCACGATTCCCGCGAGGCGTTCGCACCACAGAGGTATACATCCCATTATGTGCCACATGAGGGACCTTGACTTTACAAACCAACATCTTCAGGTTTTGTTCGTCATTGTTGGGGTCGATAGCGGGTTCGCCAAGGTCGGACATGTCGAGGATAGATGACTTTCGTTTTGGACCTTTTGGGAGGTCGTCTTCCATCTTGCATGCTATTTATCAGGCCAATCGTTTTTATCTCTTCATCTCTTGTGCAGTTCGGCGATGGCCAGGATTGAAACAGACACGCAGGAAAGGTGTGTATCATTTGTGCATGCAATGCAGTGCGGTCCTTGGAGCAGACGCTCGTGACAGCCTCATGTTTTGGGCGCTACCCATGCATTCGCCTAATCGTGCGAGGATGTGAATGAACATGATCTGGAACCGGCGCTCAGAGTTGCCTTTAAGATAGTATTTATGAGCATGTTCATGAGGACATAATTACAGTTGGCCACATACCTGGACAGGTGCTGGTGTGAGGGAATCTTCCGACACATACCCGTTAAGTCAATGCTAGAACCTCAGAAATGTGTTCCTGAGGAACAACGGACACCCACTCCGCGCTTTCTTTTATCAAACCCGCTCTCTTGTATGAAACTACTTTATGCGGTGACATTCGGGACTTCACTAACAGGGACCTCAAGCTCAATTCCAGCATTGGGTTCAGCGGGTGTTGGATCTTCTTACTTTTCTTCAATTGGTTCGTCGGGCGTTGGTGCACGAGGAGGTTTGAAGATCAGCTGTGTGATTTCCGTTATCCGTGAGTCTGTTGTGAATATGATTAGTGATTTATTGGGAGGTGGGGGCTAGGGAGACTCACAAGAGACGCCATCCAAATTGCCAGCGTCGAACAAGAAGCCGTTGAGAACAGTGTGTTTTCTCTCAACATCGTCACCAAGGAGGGCATCAGCAGCAGCGTATATGACAGTACGTTCTACGTCATCAGTAATAAAACTTGGAATTCCAGCACCTCGCACACGGAGGAGATTGAGGATGTTGGCTGTTTCTGACACTAGCCTAGCCTAAAATTGTATACGTGTCAGAGTGTTTTCAAGTCATATAACGAAAAACAAACCTCAGCTGCAGAAACGGCTTGCGCAATGCGAGTTTCCTCTGCCTTTTCTGTTTCAACGCCCTTTGCTGCCAATTCGAATTCATGAACCTAGGAAAAGTTCATTTGTTAGAACAACGGAGCGGCGGTGAACCGTGACGCCATTTACCTCGCTGGCCTTCTTCACCTCTCCCAACTCCTTTTGAATTGCTTCAAGGGTAGGCAAGGTTTTGATAGCCCGTTTTTGGTCATCGTTCAGTTTCTTGGAATCTGCGGCAGCGTACCCATTAATCCGTTGCTAAAAAACCATCTTAGAGTCAAAGACATAAATAAAACAAGAATAAAAGAGACAATTTTCTTCGAGGTTGCTTTTAAGCGCTTATGAACAAGATCAACAACCGGGCTTGACTTGAGTAAAATTCCTTCTTCGGAGAGGGGAGTGCTGGGATTTTCAGTGGAAGGGACGGGTTCAGGAGCAATGATGGGCTCCTGGACCTCGATGGGTTCTGGGGCTGGTTCAAGGACGGCGTCCAACTCCTCAACAGCAACTGTCCACGCGGCGACGGCGACGGCGTCTTTGGGTTTATTGGCTTTTCTCTTTTTCTTCTGTGTTTTTGAAAGGGTGGCCAGGGGAGAAATGGTGCGTTGAGGGACGGGTTCAGGCATGGTAATTGCGAGGTAACGTTGGCGTAAACTTGGCGTGAACTACATGCCGTCAAGGTCATGATCACCAAACACAATGCACAAACAACTAGGCTGTGAAGTACATTATAATTCTCTATGAAGCTTTGATCATGTCTTTGCTGCGCCAAAAACTGGTGGTACAATATAGGTCCAACCCTCCATGAAGAAAGAGGGTTAGAATATTATGCCGAGCCTTACTAGTATTCTACTATCAAATTTGCGTCTCCACCTGAACGTCGCTTCATCCAAATAAACAGTGCAGTTTCGATAGCATAAGAAAACCGCCACTTCTCATAGCCAGGGAGCTTCTTACCATCTAAAGTAAACCTGTAATTGAATGGTCAGAATTTATTTATAAGGGAATAGGCGGAAACTTGAACTAGCTCACCGATGATCCCAATTGCCTTGAATCCTGCTATTGATGAGCTCCCAGTACACTTGAGCATGCGTCTCAGCACTCTTCGGGAAGTCTCCCTTGGGTAGCTCGCCGCTGGGCGACACAAGAGAGGCAAAATAATACCTTATTTGGTCTTGCTACTGGCAATTGTGCCTTATTAATCAAGGTAGCATAGCGGATAAACTATGATTTCAGAGTAAGTACTAAAACATATCACCAAAAATGATGATACATACCGAATATCGTTCTTATATGCTGCTGCAAATGTCTCAACAAGCCTTGCCGATACCACTTTCTGGACATCCAAAGGAGTATACGCCTAGTGCTTGGAAGTCCGGTTTTTCGGTTTTTCAACCCTTTTTTTGAGCTAGAACATTGCCATAAAAATTCCCTGCTACAATTGGGGTTTGCAAACACAAAATTTCAGGGTCAGTCCGGTCTTTTTTCCGGTCTAAGACCGGAAAAATTTCCTTTTCTGGTGCCCCAGATTCATTGGGGAATTTTAATGGCAACGTGCTAGCAGCAAAACTGACCAAAAAGGCAAAAAACCGGACTTCCAAGCACTAATAATACGCCGGCAAAGGGGCGATAAAGGGCAAAAGGTGCAGATGCATACTTAGTGCACACATTTGATGTGCATTCACATTAGGCACACTCTGACATGACATTTTGTGCCCATTTCACATTGGGCGCAGTCTGACATTTGGTGCACATTCACATTGGGCACACTCTGATGGTGAAACAATGGCACCCACTCACATTTGTATTCACTACACAATGCTGGACACAGACTATTTGTGACCCTATCAACAGCACAAGGTACATACAGTGGCACTTGAAAGAATTGCGCCCCCTGTGGAATGCAAATGATTTTGCCCCTCATGGAGCTCAAGATAATTGTGCCCCAGTAGAGCTTGGAATAATTGCGCCTCTCATGGAGCTTGAACTAATTGCACCTCTAGAGCACAAAATAATTGCACCCCAATAGAGTGCAAATAATTGCGCCCCTTGCAGAGCTCAAAATAATTGCACCTGTAGAGCGCAAGATTTTTGCCCCTCATGGATAGGCTATAACACGGGTATGGGGTTTCCTGCGGTTATTATTGTGTGGTGTTTGCAGGTACAGGTATGGTGTACAAAGTTGCTAACCCACCCAACACCTTGCCCGCCTTCACGGTTTCACAGGTTTAAACAATCTGGGTCTAGGGTATGCAAAATCTATGCTAAACACAGCTATTAGTAGTAATTGTGTTCTTTACTTTGCTTCTGCTTCTCGTTCTGCATATTTATCAGTTTTTGCCACTTCTTTGTTGGTCTGTAAAGGCTAATGAGAGTTTAAGTTGTTCACACAGTTTAATCCGCCCAATGTATAAAAGATACTCTGAATATGGGTAAATTTTCAAATCCACATTCAACATGGCACCCAGAGGTGTCTTGTCTTGTTCATCACCCTCTCTGTTATCCGTTGCCTCATCCACCGCCAAATCTGCAAAAAAGAATGTCGCGTCGGTTAAGAAAGTCGCCACAGCTGTTGTCCGCCTGTTCAAAAAGAGTTGCAAGTCCAAAGCATCTGATGCTTTGTCCATCAGCGATACTAGTATGCCGCTTTCAACTCTGCTTTTTTTCCAAGTCAGACAATGACTACACACCATCATAGACGAGGATCTCAACTCAGAGCATCCACCTTCGCTGATAGATGTTGACACATCCCAGGACCAGCCCACAGACAAGCAAGAAGAGGGAGAAACTGATGAACAGGAGCTTAGTGAGTTCTGCTTCATGATTTATGTTTACATCTTTTCACCTTCACTTCAGGCAACCACCTAAAGGTACCCTCTTAGGGTAGTTATTCCATGCCAGTAAGACTACCCTATGATGGCCCAATACCATGGTATGTCCCACCTATTCCTTGGAGTCCCCTGGGGGTTGCCAGGTACTCCCATGGTATTTACCTGGACTTCCATGGTTGGCTTCCCCCATCCTTGGGAGTCCCAGGCTTGTGGGAGTCCTGAAGATATATTGCATGGGATTCCCTCACCCAAGGGAATCCCATCCAAATTAATTTTGTTATACTGGAACTCACAAGCAATGTACACAAATCACTGGTTCCAAATAGACTTCACTTAAAGATAGCAAGCCAACAAGTCAAGTGGTACTTACTCATGAATCTGGCAATTATGCTATAGAGAGAAATAAAATAACTGCAAAGATAGATTTTGTTGACTCAAGCTAAACTATACAAGAATCTCAAGCTAAACTCATACAAGAATTTTAGCTCTATGCTTAGTTCATTCAACTTCATTCACCTGCAGTGTCCAATCCTGGTGAGCTGAATGGCTGGAAATCAAGTGGAAGGTTTGGAATGTTCAATTAATATGGACACCAAACCAATTTATTTACATGGATGAGAAAGCTAGTGTCCACCTGGATTGAATTCCATCAAGGAAATCAGCTAGTAACATATCTTAATAAGTCTTATAATTATCATGTAGAACTTTTAAAGGGTTGGATGGAAGGCCCACCAAGGCAATTTAGGATAGCACCCCTATGTAGAGATCTATCTGCAAGGGCTATCAGAACATCTATGGGATTTCCAGCATGATCTGCATGGGAATCCCATTGCCTTTTGCTGGAAAGACCATGCCTGGGACCCCCAGAGAGGAAGTTGAATATCGATAGGACTTCCTGAAGTACCTCAGAATCTAACATGGGAGTCCCAAGGATACTACCATTGGACTCCCAAAGCCTGCCTGGGACTCCCAGAGAGTGAGTTGAATATCCATAGGACTTCCAGAAGTACCTCAAAATCTAACATGGGAGTCCCAAGGATACTACCATTGGACTCCCAAAGCCTGCCTGGGACTCCCAGAGAGTGAGTTGAATATCCATAGGACTTCCAGAAGTACCTCAAAATCTAACATGGGAGTCCCAAGGATACTATCATTGGACTCCCAAAGCCTGCCTGGGACTCCCAGAGAGTGAGTTGAATATCCATAGGACTTCCAGAAGTACCTCAAAATCTAACATGGGAGTCCAATGATAGTATCATTGGACTCCCAAAGCCTGCCTGGGACTCCCAGAGAGTGAGTTGAATATCCATAGGACTTCCAGAAGTACCTCAAAATCTAACATGGGAGTCCAATGATAGTTCATTGGACTCCCAAAGCCTGGCTGGGACTCCCAGAGAGTGAGTTGAATATTTATAGGACTTCCAGAAGTACCTCAAAATCTAACATGGGAGTCCCAAAGCATCTGCTCAGACATCCATGCAATAAAGAGAGCTAAGGGTGGACTCCCACAAATAGATACTGGATGTTCTAACATAATAAGTTGCAGACAACATCAGACTAACTATCAAAATCCTCCCCACGGAAAGCATCTGCAAGGTCAATAGCCTCAAGAGTATCAATCAGATCCTCATTGAGACTTTCTACGTCTGACGGATTCAGTTCGTTGACCCCAATGGATGGTCTGAACTCCTCCATATCATTGTAGTCATCATACAAATGTGAGGTGACTTGGGAGATTTGAGCAGCTGTGATCTCGTCATCTGTTGGGCCCCAGGCTGGAATAACGGTGTCAACACGTAAGGATTGTAAGGACTTCTTCCATATCGACAGGACATGGAGAAGTTCATCCTTTCGTAATTGGAGTTGATAGCATAACTCCAGTGAATCTAAAACATGATGAGAAGCTACACAAAGGGTTCAAATAGCGAAACGTACCAGTGTTATCATATGTGGAACAGGTGACATTCCACTCCTCTGAATACCAGATTTGTAGCACCTTACGTTCATGTTTGATGTGCTCTTCCTCTTCAATGCATCTATCAAGCTCTAATCGTGCACGAATTCCGGACCTTACAAGATTGTCACAAAGCCACAGTGGTGGGTCTGTCATGGCACCATCAAGTGAATCTTCCAATCCGACATCTTGCCAGATTTCGTTGTCAACGTCCAGAGCAAACAGACCTTTCATGACAATCTTCGACAGGCAAACTGAGCCCAGAGGTGCCTTGCGCTGAGACTTTAACCATAGCATTACATCACATAAGTTGTTGTAGTCACGAGCGAGTTTTTGGATGCTAGGGTTGTGATGCTTCATGGAATCTTCGAGATGATGGTGAACTTTGCACTCTGTTTCATGGTACTAAGTAAACACGGGGTGCAGAATGTTGAAAGGACATACCATTGACATGGTTGCGATATGATCTTTTGATTCGGTCAAGCTCAAACTTTTGGGAGCACAGCCTTTCACGCAAGCATAGCTTGAGGGCTCGGGCGTTCATCCTCACTGCAATAAAAGGGCTTCCAAGCAGCTTCCCAAGCTTGGCTCTTTTGTGAATGCCAAGTGCCGACTCAGAAGCGTGTACCCAAGACTCTGCAGAACTCAAAGCCTTCTTAGCTTCAGCTAGGTGCAATTCTGCGTCACAAAGATGATAGTCTGAAGCTAAAGGATTCAATATGATGTTTTCTTGGTCTTGGACACACTTCCTCAGGATATCACATGCTTTTCAAAGTCAGATGGCTTCAGAGACTGCATCTTTCCCCTGGTTTCTTGTCTGTCCTGGATAAACTATTAATGCTCGAAGTTGCAGATTAACATTGAACGTATGTGGAAGGGGTTTGGTCTGAGCCTGTACCTGCGCAGACCATTCATCCTGGAGGACACCATCAGGAACACCACACTCTGTGAGCACCACTTCAGCAAGGTGTCGCTTGTCTTGACAATGACGAGATCGGCGAAGCAACCAGAAAGCCAGGCGACCAAGGGTTTCCTTATCTGCTTGTTGAACCTGTCGATCGAGAGTGTAAACACATTGATGTGACTATACAAGAGTGTAAACACATTGATGTGACTATACGAGATACTAATGAGATGATATATTTTCCCAGATTAATAAAGACTTACCCCACACACACATAGATAAGCAATTAATTTCTTGATAGAATTCCAAAACCGCTTGCAGCCTTCGCCGTCAGAGAGTCCAAATCCGTTGCACTTTCGAGGATGGTATATGATCTGACAAGGCCACTGATGTCCGAATGCATGAAACACGGAAATAGCAAAGATCAAGTGGTGGAGGTATGCACTAAGAAACCCCCAGTTGACGCAGCTTTTATGTAGCTGACAGCCAACATCATAAAGTAACCTGACTGTTGATACAAATGAAACCATTTCACCCATATAAAATTCAATTTTAATGATTTTACCGATAAAGGTCATCTCTAATAAATACACTACATACAATTGCAATGATACAAAGAGTCAATGCACATACCTGGCGCAGTTGACTAAAAATGCAAATGCGTGGAATCTGAAAATAGGACAAAGGCTTTGGAACTGGCAGCAGTACGCATTGTGACATTATACTTGGATCCTATCTAAGATTCACCTACCATGAAATAGAGCATGAAGCGGTTCTAGAGTAAACACCCAACACAAGGAGAAGAATTGCATTACTACCAAAGGGTTTAGAAACACATAATGGATTTATTGTGGAAACTCGTGCTTATACAAGAAATACAGAAAAGATGACGTAGACGCCTAAACGGCATGTCTGAAACATTGAAAGACTAAACTACACCTAAGTAGTAAACGTGTGCAGATTTAGCGTGGCTCGCGGCCATTCAGAAAGTCATGTATGGCAATTCCCGCGTATGCATCAAAGACTGATGTGTCTGAACATCACAAGTACAAACATGAGAAAAAGACACATTCTATTATATGAAATATAATAAGAACCCCCTGACAATTAAGAAAGACATTTGAAAACACCTTTGGAGTGTCTCCCGACCTCCATAATGAAAAGACAAGCCAAGACAGGGCATTTTAATTAAAAACTCGGAATGATGGGAGACCAAAGACTATTGGTAAACACGTACACATGCACATCAATGCATCAGGAAACATTAATCATTTTGTGATGTCATCTGTCAAACCGGTAAACCGGGCCATAGAAAGAAACACACAAGATCATGCCAAGCTAAGAATAGCTACGTCGGCTAACTCTGCATACACATCAAACACTGATGCGTTTGAAAATGAAAGACGCAACACTACAAAATCTGTAGTGTTCACAGAGATAGACTACAAAATATACCACACGTTCATTAAATTTCATATTTGTAATTCGGACCGAAGTATCCCGCATTAAAACACATGTAAAATGTAGATAGGGGTTCCTGGAGTATATAAGGAGCATGCTGGCAGGTCAAAAAGGAAGCAATCACCCCCCGTTGACCAGCTAGTTGCACTCCAAGTAGGAACTTAGGAGGTGGACAGTTGTAATCAATTAAAGGAGATTTCTTTGTGGTCAGAAAAGTACAGTGTGAATGAAGCCAGCGTGCTTGGGAGTCAACTTACTTGGAGACTTTTGAATAAGAGGTTTTATCATTTAGATGAGACAGCGTACTCGTGCCCTTAGTTTTGGAGCATAGTGACATAATAAAAACTCATGGGAGTCATAAAAGTCAATTGAAGTCGTGTTTTGTGTTAATAAAAGAAACTGTGATCAAAGAACTTTGCATTTAAGAGACCAAGTTCCCAGAAAGACATACTTTGCTCTATTGAACTATTCTAAACCACACCTTCTAATAAAAACCCGTTTTGAGACGGAGGTCTTATCAGTGCCCCCCTAATTCCTGCAGGAATCCGGTCATTCCTGCGGATTCTGGAGGAATGAAATTTGGCAGGGAGGCCTGCCATTTTCATCATTCCGGTGCCTTACCATTCCGGCGGAATTTGGGCATTCCGGAATTGACACCGGAATGATCCGCGGAATGCACAGGAACGGAATGCAACGGAATCCGGTCCTTTGTTTGTTTATTTTACTTGTGTTACCAAACAAAGGCAACGTTACCAAACAAATGCAACACCATTCCTTTCCACCACCCATCCTCTTCCCCACCCCCACGACAGTCACGATAAACCGACGACGCCACGCCACCCACGACGACGACGACAACCCCACATGACCCCACAACGGCGACGACCACCAAGCGACGAATGGCAACAACCACCGCCAGTGACGTGGCAACCAAACGGACGACGACAACAACACCACCGCTATGCACGAGCACCCACCACCATCCAGACGGCATCCACCACCATCCACGAGTGCCCACCACGACGACCACGTGAACGCCGCACCGCCACGTCACAAATCAAACAAGCCCCCCACGGCACGATGGCAACGACGCCCACGACGACAACGACGTCCACGGCTACGACGACGACCACGCGACGACGACCACGCGACAACGACAACGCGACAACGACCACACGACGACGACAATGCGACGACGTCCACGCGACGACGTCCACGACTACGACGACGGCACGCGACGACGTCCACGCAACGACGACAACGCGATGACGACCACACGACGACGACAACGCGACGACGACCACGCGACGACACAGGATGACGACGTCGATGGACGACGAGGCCCAGCACTACCCCCTTCCCCTTTATTATCACACCCCCACACCACTCCCTGTCCCTTCCCTCCCTCCCTTCCTTCCTCCCTCCCTCCCTCCCTCCCTCCCTTCCTTCCTTCCTTCCTTCCTTCCTTCCTGCCTTCCTCCCTCCCTTCCTCCCTCCCTTCCTTCCTCCCTCCCTTCCTCCCTCCCTCCCTCCCTCCCTTCCTTCCTCCCTCCCTCCCTTCCTTCCTCCCTCCCTCCCTTCCTTCCTCCCTCCCTTCCTTCCTCCCTCCCTCCCTTCCTTCCCTCCTCCCTTCCTTCCTCCCTCCCTCCCTTCCTTCCTTCCTCCCTTCCTTCCTCCTTCCCTTTCTTCCTCCCTCCCTTCCTTCCCTTTCTTCCTCCCTCCCTTCCTTCCCTCCTCCCTCCCTTCCTTCCTTCCTCTCCCCCTCCCCCCTTCTCTTCCTGCCCCTTCATTTAACTTAGAAAATAGTAAATTAGATGTATATTTGAGTTTCAATATATAAAATTTAAAATATATAAATGTTATAAGTCAGTATTCATGCCCTTTAAGTCAGTGTGAATAAGTGCATATTGGTGTAAAGGTATCTAGCAAAAAGGAAAGGTGTTGTATGGGTCATATTCTG